TTAATTATCAGTATATCATTCTTAATTGTTGTAAGCAATCTTGAGCAATCCTGAAAATCACATGAAGTTTTACCTTGCTAACTATAAATCTTCCCCACAATTCCTAATCAAATTAATCGTGCTTATTTGAATTCAACGCAGAATTGATTTTATCTAAATGTAATAACTGATTTCTAGCCAACATAAATATCAACTGCAGAAATTATTCTTTAACAAGTGTAATATCCCCAAAGGTTTGAAGCTTTATTATTCTCAATTAAGTATAATTGATAAAAAAAGCTACATTCCTTTCATAAAGATAATAAGTGTAAAATTTCTAGAAAGATTCTCTCCTTTTCATTTCTTTTTAATACTACGACAATATCAAATCTGGCTAGAATAATTAAGATTATTATATTACATTTTCTTCATCAAACATTTGCTTGAGACCATCCAAATCATTTTTGCTATCGTCTCTATAATCTTCGATTTTAGTATGCAAATATCCAACAACTTTGTATTGATCCAAATAAATTTTATTTAAACTCATTGATTTGGTCATAGGATCTTCTTTCATAATTTCATTCATGTTCTATCTGACCATGTCTTCATTCATCTTAATAACTTGGTTTTCAAATATCTATTGCCAATTCAATCTATCCTAATTGTCTTTAGTAATTTAATTACTTTCTCTTCTACTTAAAGCATCATTGCAACCAATTCCTTTACTTTTTAACTTCTAACAGGTTTAGTAGGAAATTTGAGTGGTTTATTTAAAATCAATTATTCTAACTAAATCTAACTTTCAGCTTGCCAAGGTGTTTTTCCATATAACATCTCATAGAAGACAATCCCCAATGACCAAACATCACATTTAGCTGAGAATGGCTATCCTCTTAATATTTAAGGTGACATGTAGATTGGAGTTCCGTTTCTGGAAAACTTTCCAGGTTCTTAATAAGAAATTTAAAATTATAAAATACCATCCATTTCAACTTCCATCACTCTAGCAAAGCCAAAGTCTGCAATTTTAGCAATTCCATTAGAGAGGAGTATGTTTTCTGGCTTGATATCTCGATGTATTATCTTTTTTTGAAACAATTCTTTAAATCCTTCAACAATATGCTTTAAGAATATAATGGCTTCCAACTATAAGGAATTATAATCATAAAAACTTCAGATAAGTGCTTTTCCTTCTTGCTCTGCATAAACTTTCTCAAATCTCCATCCGGACAGAACTCCAAAAAGATATATATATAATTTAATGTTCGATTGGCATTATATAGACGAACGATATTAGGATGCTCAACAGCTTTCAAAATGGTTGATTCCCTTTTTATCAAATTCAATATTTGAGGAGATTGTTTTACTGACTAGCCATAATTAATGTTATTACATCCATGGGGACAGTTTTGACAGCAATTCTAACTTGATTCTACCCAGTGTCCATATACCCCAGATACACTGTTCCATAAGTGCCTTTGCCTAAGATTTTATTTAAAATGACAAAATTATCTATTTTTTTTTTCTTCCAGTCTTCACTCATGTATGAAATATTTTAGGACTCAATAAATAAATTATTCAATTCATTTATGAAATGTTATAATATCACTCTATTATTAATATACTTCAATCGTATACTCATACCAAAATCAAATCTGCTGATTTAGTATTAAATGCTATGATACTTGAATGCATTTAGTAATTCTTAAACCTACAAATTATTAAAAACATAATTGTCTAATTAAGTTCATAAGAAGAAAAATTTTGAATTATGGAAACACAAATACGACACAAAATAAAATGTTGAGGAAAAACAAAATACAAAAACAATATTTACTAGAAAGGGAATAATTTTCAAATAAATATGTTCTAAATGGCGGTTGTGTTATAATTAAGGAGAAAATTTATTAAGGTTTTTGCTTTCATTAATTTGAAATAATAGGACAATAAAATAGAGAAATCGACAGCAGGAATAGCTCAATTTACAAAGAAATAATTAGAATTTACAAAATTGAAATTATCTAAGTTCTACGATATTGATTATATTAAGGGTTATTTCAAAAAATAAAAATAATATTAAATAAACTATTATCGGTTCTGTATAGATATTTTACAACTCAAAAGTTATATATATCTAAAAATGATGAAGGATTAATCAAAAACCTTAAGAAAATTGATCATTCACACATTTGAAGAGCTTATTTGACAGTAGAATACCCTAAAGCGAAATTAAGTTTTATTTTTTGTCTATTTAGTGCATTCACTTTTGTTTTTTTATCTTTCTTTAGATAGGATTGCCTTTGTTTCCATTAGTATTTTTTTAATTGTGTTTATTTCGTTTGTTTTTTCTTATTAGCTATGCAAATAAGAAACTTGATATAAGGATTATCAAAGTTATTTATTTAAGGAAGTTTATCCTATATTTTTAGTGAAACTATATTTATAGACCTAGGGATGAAGTTCTTATTCTGATAATTAATTAGGAGAGAATAAAGGTTATAAGTTATTACAAGAAATCAAACTTCTAAAAGATTGCATTTCAAACTGTTATTTATTAATATATATAACTAAAAATCATAAAAATTAAACACTATTTTAAATGGAATCCAAACGCAATTCAGTAGAGAAAGAATTCATTATTAATGAATCTTGTTGTGTTATAATTTTATCAACAGGTTTTAATGAAATGATAGGCATTAGTAAAAAGTCTTCTGTTAGTTATTTAAACAAATAAAATTCTAAGTAATTTGATCTTCTCTTTTACTGAATTAGCTTGAGTTTATCAAATGGTCCTAATCTTCTAATAAGCATTACTGAGACTGCTAAATCTAGTTCTAGAGGAACTTAACTATTATGTTTTAAGTCTGTCAATGATTATGGATTAAGTATTGGGAGATTTTATAATTATTATTTTGATTTATTTGGATGTTGATATATTATTTTAATTTTTATGATTTGCTGTTAAAGTAATTTTGATTAAACCTCATCTAATTCAATGATGATAGTTTAAGAAGCCTAGGATGTGTAAAAGAGTAGATTCAAAAATAATAGTTTTACATATTTGTAATCTGATAAAATTAGATTATTGCTTAAATTGTTCTTTATTTCAAAATAGAATAAATTTGCCATAGAATCCCTTTAGGCATGATAATATCCATTACACACAGTAATTATGTCCTTTAATAGTAATTAAATGTCGAATTACTTCAGTTTTGGTTGGATAGTATAAATTTAGTTGAAATTTTCAAGATTAAGAAAATCAGTATAGCCCTTAATTAAACTATGATTGATAGTTCTTAGAAGTGAATTTATGATTTTGATGTCAGCTTGTTTGTTGGCATAATTTTAAATCCATTTGAAATAGATTATAGACTTCTTGATTTATTGATCAAAAATTTTTGATAAGTAATTAAATTATTTTTGATTATTTCTCATTCTCAACTTAAGTTCTTCTTCTTGAGTTTCAGATTTACTCTCTTTCATTAGGATTACTATTGATGGCTGAATATCTTAACATAAGTAGACACAAAGAGTGAAAACTTATTACTTATAGAATCCATATAAAACAAATTCATTTCTATTTTTTATTGGAGTATCAGGATTATCATGTTAATTTTCCACAATCAAATTCAATAGGAATTACTTTAAGGTTTGTCTATTTGGAGAGAAAGCTTAATCCATATTAATGACTTCAGTGATTCTACTCTTAACACTTTTCATGGATAAATACATAGATGATGCCAGCTTGTTAAAATCTTCTTGATCTTCTTTTTTGATACTTGTTTAATTATTCTTTTGTATCAAAATTAAAGATTTTCTTTCATCATACTTAATTGAATAGCTTACAATGTCATTAAATTTTGTAATCTTATTAAGTTTTTGCTATAACTTTTTGCATTCGATGAATTACAGTCTCATAAATTTTTCCAGATGATAAGTAAATTATAAGAAAAATAAGGCATACATAAAGTATTTAAAATACAACCCCAAAAAAGTGGTATTATGATCGACACCAAATATTAAATGTAAAGTTATAATCACAATAGTCATCGCAGTTCTCTCTAAGAAGCTTAACAAAGCTAGTGCACTATCAATTTATGACTTGTAATTACCTTATCGACGATAGAGAAACGAAGAAGCCTTCTATATAGTGTGTTTCTATCTAATTTAAATATTTCTCCATTGCAAGGTATGTATTGTATACAAGCAGAAATATTATTATCAAAGCCTCAAAAATGAGTGGATATTTTTGCTTATATTTGATTGATATCATAATTATAATTAATGTGCATATGTTAATTGATCCCACCACCCAATCCTTTGAAACAAGACTGCTCACTATTGATATAATATTAATCATCCCAAAAATCCATTTTTAATGTTCCAATATCTTTCTGAAAAAGCATTGTTTAGAATCTCTGTAATCTTTCTCTAAATTTGATACTTTGAAATTAAGAGTTAGGGAATTCATAACTTAATTATTATTCAATAAAAATTCTTAATAGTTAGACTAATTTAAAGGTAATTATAAAATAATAAAAAGTAGCCGTCATATTTTCAATCATATCGGAAGGCATTGTCAATACGATCAAATTAATAGCAATTGAATGTGTTTTCTCTCTTTTTTAGTAGCAATCAATCTTATCTTTAGATATTTGCCTTCGTTTCAAAAAGGCAACTATTTGACTAAAAATATCAATGATTTGTCCTAAGCTCAAATTATTCCAAAGGGAGCTAAGGGTCTCAAAAATACAGATATGATGAATGCTTAATTAAATCAGTAAAAATAGAGCGATTAATATTAGAATTAGTCAATTAATTAATTAATAATTATGCATTTATAAGTACATTATATTTACTGAAATGATAAGTTCATAGAAGGGATCTAAGAAATAACAAAATAAATGCTTAATTCTTACATAATATTATTATTGGCTTCCATTTTAATAAATAAAAATATTTGGGATTGTTTTAATTTGCTCATTATAGATTCATTTGAAAAATCAAAATAATAATAAATGAAATAATTTTAATTAGCATCAGCAATATTTTTGAAGGAATTTTTGAGGCTGGTTGATTTGTCGTCTTTGAATATTGAGAGCATAGATGAACGCATAGAATAATTAAAAACTCAAATTTTATTAAATCAATAATTTAATGGATTTATAAAAGAAGAGGAAAATTATAATCCTTTCACCAAATGGTCAGAACAGGAAAATCTTAACTAATAGAAAACTAAAAAAAAACAAACAAACTAGATTAAATGTAATGGTAAACAGTATTTCTAATGCGGCAAATGTTCTAAAAAATTTAATCACCCTTCAAGCTTATCTAGACATAAGAAGAATCAACATACAAATATAAAGCAAGACCTGATAGAATTAAAATAGCTTTAAACCCAACAACAAGAAATAGTCATTACTTTGACAGATCTCCAAAATTGATTTTGAATATTAATTGTAAAATAAACAATTATATCATTTATTTTGATTTCCTTCTTAGTTACATTTAATATTCTTTAAACAAAATTGATTATAATTTCTTTTTCAGAAACTACAAATAAATTAATTGGATGATCTCAATATACTATAATAAACGATAGATTCGTCAAGATGCTAATCTCTATTCTAAATTAAGCATGTCATTCATTGAATGCTAGAAACAAGGGCCTTTGCAAATAAAGTCAGACAAAAATCATAATTTATTCTGCCCTTAACCTAATTTCTTTGGATCTACAATGTTGATGTTTAAGGGGAAGAAAGTCCAAGCAATTTCATAATGCTAAATTGGACGATAAGAATGTATAAAAGGAAGGGTGTACAGTTGAATTACAAGAATAGTATCAATCTATAAAGAGATAAGTTTGAAGTTTGCATTTTAATAAGTGATGATATGAAAGACATCACTAATAAAATAATATATATTAAAATTATAATGAATTCATCATCTTTGAGTGTAAGTGGAATTTCTGATAAAGCTTAAATCATCACTAATAAAGAGATCTTGGAATAATTTGAGAATGGAGGTATGATTAGAATTAAACAATTTAATAGAAAAAATACTGTTGTCTACATTGATTATAAAAGTGAATCAGAACTAAAAGAAACAAGAAAGAACATTCTTAATAACTAATAAATACGTATACAATATTGTTCCGAAGTCTGATAGTAAGATTATGTAAATCTTTGGTATTTTCATTCTTTCTATCAATAAATAGGGAAAATTATGTCAAATCAGATCAAAAGAAAAATTAAATTATCTTCAATTTAGGCAGTAAGTGTTACAAGTCTAGGGGCAGAATTCGTCATTCATGTTCCAAGTGAATATGACTATCGCTTCTAATCTTCTGATTAGTAATAACTCTATTAATAATTAGTCGTAAATAAATCCTAGAAACTTTGTGTTAATGCTATTAAACGTACAATCAAAGGAAATTGCCATTCTTCTTTAAGGATGATTTTACCTTGGTATCTGTGTGCACAACCGAGAATGATGTAAAAAAAGGAATTAAAAGATTTCCCACAGAATAACCTATTGTAAATCCCAAAATATAATGATTTAGGAATTGGATGTGAAGGAGTTGAGAGAACATAGTAATAGGAAGCCATAAGAATAATTGATATATAAACGGCCTGGCCTTTAGAAGTAAATCAGCAGTAGTATGATTTCAATTGAAGATTTTGATTTGATTAAAGTATTGGGAAGGGGAGCATTCGGAAAAGTATTTATATTTGTACCCTATTTTCATCTAGGTTATGATGTGCGAGAAGAAGGATTCTAAAGAATTGTTCGCCATTAAATCATTACGTAAAGAACACATCATGGACAAGAATTAAGTAGAGCATACAAGAGCAGAAAGAAAATTATTGGAAGAAATTGATAACCCATTCCTAATTTCCCTTGAATATGCATTCTAAACTTAAGAAAAGTTATTTTTTGTAATGAGATTCATGCGAGGAGGAGAATTGTTCAAACACTTGAGAGATAAAAGAAGATTTCCAGAACAAACAGCCTAGTTTTATGCTGCATCTATATTATTAGCATTGGAATACTTACATAAAATGTAGGTTGTTTATAGAGATTTGAAACCTGAGAACATTTTGATGGATGAATATGGTTATATAAAAATGACTGATTATGGACTGGCTAAATTTTTGAAACCAGGAGATTTTACATATTCTTTTGTAGGAACTCCTGAATATTTGGCTCCAGAAATCATTAGACAAAATGGACATAGTCTTGGTGTAGATTGGTGGTCATTTGGAATCTTAATTTATGAAATGCTAGTAGGCAGGCCTCCATTCTTCTCGTAAAACTAATCTTAATTATTTAAATCCATTGTTGAATCTGATGTGGTGTTTCCATCTCAATTGACTATTAGCAATTCAGTCAAGGATCTCATAACTAAAGTATGTTGCTTACATTAAGTAGCTATTAACAAAAAATCCTTTTGAAAGATTAGGACATAATGGAGATGCTTAATAAATCAAGGAACATCCTTGGTTCAGAGAATATCCATTTTAGGATTTGATTAATAAAAAACTTTAAGCTCCTATAGTTCCTAAATTGTATGATAAATTAGATGTTCAGAACTTCGATTAAGAATTCACGAGAGAAGGTATTTTAAATGATTCTTATTTGTAGAGGCCATGAATTCAGTAGTTAACATGGATCCGAAACTGATAGAAAAGTTCAAATAAGACTTTGGAGGTGTCACCTATGTGCCTAATAACATGGGATTGCAATGAACTTATGTTTGAAATTTCATAGTTATTTGGATTAATTATTTTATGATTTTACTATTATCATTTTTTAATTGTTTTTTAACAGCAGAAGTACTCAATCTCACAACGAAAACACTCACTATCAAAGATTCGTATGGAGGAATCGTAGAGGTTATTTAGGGATCGGAGTATAAACTCAAAAACTTCGAAAATGCTGAATATGCTATAAATATAGAATTGAAAAAAAATAGTACATCTACAAAGGACATATGCTTTTCTAAATAAAGTACAATTTACTTTGGAGATTATGAAAGTCACCATAAAGTTATCTACAATTCTACTCTAAATCCTGACGAAGAACATGCCAATGATCCATCATACTATTTAAGCTCTCCAATTATGATTAACATGGTTCACACTAAACAGGGTTTAGCTATTGTAACTAGCGACCATACTCTACTTAATTACAAGGTCATTCAAAATTATAGTAGTAAGACAGGTTTCTCCACTCAATTACTTTCCACAGTAGATTTTAAGAGTCTAAGAAAACATGCTACTGAATTAGAAGTCCCTCAGATTATTTATGTGCCTTATAATGAATACATTTATATCATTTACTCAGACTAAATTATAGGAGGTAAAGCGGAAAATAATATTGAATTGGCAACAATCCAATTTTCAGGATTTTAAACTCAAAACAGCTACATCAATTAAATCAAAGTATATCACAATTTCCTATTTATACCTGCTGGTTCAGATGGGCTACATATATACAGATTCCAAGAATCTGGTAATATCAATTACGATAGTACTCTCTCCTCATCAAATTTATTCTTTAAAGTAGTTCCCATTCATTTAACCGACATAGTCTTCTCTACTTCTAATTAAACATATGCATATATATTAGACTAACTGAATGGAGTGTCAAGGTTTTTGGTGAAGACTGATAAACTGAAAGTTGAATTGACTAGAGATAATTTGTTTGGATTAGTTCCAATAAAAAATGCAATGAGTTTGGCAGTATCCCCTGATGAATATCTCCTGGTGCTTAAATAAGTGTATTTCATTTAAATTTATAAATTAGGGGCGTTTTTCAATAATTGATTGAAGTCGGCTTATACAATTCAGAATGGTTTTTCCTCAAGACACATCACCTTACAGGTCAGTACTTTGATATTGATATTGGTCCAACTTTTGTTCTTTTAAGAGGAAAGGATGAACATAGAATTATTCGAGTAGGTATATATGAGGAGTTCGAACCTGACTATGTATTCTATTCCTATGATGATTAATATACTGAGAAAGCAAACTCTTTTCATGAATAATATGTGTTCATTCCAAAATTGTAGGATGTAGAGTTTTACAATGACAACTTCGCCATAGGTAATGATCCATCCAAGTGGTCATTCAATCAATCCTTCCCATTTATTTTAGGATTAACTTAACATACTATTGTAGAGATCCCCTACATTAGTCAACCACCCTATGTGTATTGTTCTCCTAGTTCTGATGAAGATATCGGAATAGTCTATCAATATGATATCAATTTATACTCAACTGCCTGTCCAGAGAAGGACCAATACTTAGAAGATAATCCTACTATCCCTTTTCAAACTGTCTAATGTCTCTATTAGGAGACTTTCAAGGTCAAAGCAATACAAGCATAAGGGAAACTGTATGATACATAGTTTTAAGTCATCATAATATTTTGCTTAATTTTGATTTTAACGGCCGTAATCTTTACATTGATCATCTTATACAGAAAATATCATAAGCAGGAGGAAAGTTTAACCAGCAGCATATAAGGATTTGAAAACAGCAGAGGATATGATTTTGAACCAAATGAAGGCCCTTAATGATTCATATATAATATATATAGGGCATTTTGTATTTAGGAAAATTGCTTATAATCAGTATAATCATGCAATCTTTTAACCATTTTTATAATACAAAATAATGGATTCTCCAGTTGGCTTAGTTATGGTTGCCTAGCCATCCAGTGATCCATTAACCCAGATTCCCTTTAAGATTGTGCCATTACTCCACTTGAACATCCCTATTCCATTCTTCTTATCCTCAGCAAAAGATCCTAAAACAATATACAAAATATTATACCTTTATAAACATCATTGGCTTTATTAGTAAACACTCCCATTCCATGCATCTTGTTACATTTCCATTCTCCAATGTAATGACTGCCATCATTCCAATGGTATTCCCCTTGTCCTTCATATTGTCCATCCACGAATTCTCCTTTGTATATTTAATTATCAATATATTTGATTGTTCCGGATCCGTGCTTCTTTCCTTTTTTAAATGTTCCTTCATATTTTGATTTATTTGCCTTGATCTCCAATCCTTAACCATTCTAAGTTAGAAATATTTAAATACTTTTTCTCCATCTTCCCAATTGCCTTCATAAAAATTATCAGAACTAATTAAAGTTCCAAATCCATGATACTTTCCTTATTTCCAAAATCCAGTGTAATAATCATTATTATCCAAAATCATTCTTCCATGACCATCCCTTAAATCATTGACCCAATTGCCCACATAGATTGAACCATTTTAGTAAAAACACAGTCCAAATCCATCTCTCTATTATCTCAACCATTGGCCCTGATAAGTAAGTCTTTCATTGCACTTAAGAAATTGGACAATTGGTTAACTGCCCAATGCTTAAGCCTTGTGGCCAGAAGGGGATTCATAAGAGTTCAATAACTCTCTAGTCTTCTCCCTTTTGATCAAAGGAATTTAATTCAAGAGTTCAAAGCTGGAAGGTAATTCACTTTCATATAAAATGACGTTCATTCCTTTTTTAGTTTGAATTATCTTACTTCTTGTTTTTCCTTAATCCATTTCTATCATGTCAGAAACCTTCCTGAGATCCTCCCTTGCAGTAGATTTAAGTTCTTCCGTGTTCGGAGACCTTACGTCTGCAATATTAAAAATCGAGCTTTCGTCAAGCGTGTCCTCAATTAGTTGTTTTTGTGGCAAGATATCTAAATATAGATTATGATAGATACTTATTAGATGGTCGTTTTTATTTATGTATTTAGGTGATTATTATGAGTTACCCATCTATCTAATTCAACAAATTATAATTTAATTATCTCTAATGATTTTTTTCCTAACTTGACTTTTATAATAATTTTTATTGGATCATATTTTTAATAAAAGTCTAATTTATTAAGAATTATTGATCATTTTATATTCAATAAGCAGCAAAAACTATATTCACTGGCTAACATCATAAATTTAAATTCAGACTTTAAATTAATCCAGCACAAATATACACCACCAATTAAATAAATTTAAATTTATGAATCAGAATTCAATTTTTAATTGATTCAATACTACCTCTGAAACTAATTAATAAAATTGACAAAACAAATTATACAATAAATTAATGATTCCTACAAAAGGATTATTTCATAACACTTTGAATCTTATTTATTAAAAGTATTTTTAAATTATTATAAAGCAAAGACAAATTCACTTATTTTTGGACACTTATAAAATTATATATTACGTATTAATATAAAATAATATATAAATTAAAAAATCACTCATTTCTTTTTTTTGACACAGTGTTCATCAAGATTTGTTTCGCTCTCTATTTAAAATTTGATAAATCAAAGTAATTGATCCTCTTTTATATTGACATCAATTTATTGTATGTCAATTATTCGTAATCCTTATAAAAAATAAAACCATAGAGAATTAACAAAAGTTGATTCACAACCAAAAACGATTTGATGTAGTTCGAACTTTCGAAGTAATTCTCCAAAGCAAAGCAAATTAGTATCAACAAAAAGTTGTTAAATCTTTAATCAATAAATTGTTTGTTGGAAGTAAATAGCCACATCAAAAGCAAATCTATGATGTAGAAAAAGATTTGATCTTTATTTAAATAACATTATTACTCATCTTAACTCCTTAGACGTATATCAAATCAATATAATATTTTGCAATTTGATAAATTGAACTTAATTCTTAAAAAGAATGCTCTATCTCATTATGATATTTATGAACTTATGAGTTGATTTCATTGATATACTCAATCATAATCTTTTGGTTCTATTCCTCATTCTCTCTCTAATTATTGAAATTCAAATATTATGAAGCAACATATTACAGAAACACCTAAGTCTAATTTTGAATTTCATTTTGAGTGCCAAGGATTTCAGAAAATATCGATGACTGTTATTTCCTATATTAAAATGTTAGGGTCTTACAAATTTGTATTTAGAAATTGCTACTCTATTGAAATTAAGGATAATTTGGACTCTACATTACTTTGTAAATAACGCAGTATTTAAATTTAGCAAAAATGTTATATGAGAATATAAAATTAAGTAAATATATTCCTTGAATTATATTATAAAAATTACCAATAATTTGAATCCAATTATCTTGTGCAAGATTGTAAATCATTCAATTCGTAATTGCAATCAACCGTCTTTCTCCCAGATCTCTGATAATGGCAATTCATCATCATGAAAGATAATACTCCTTTTTCTAATTCAGTCAAATTAGAGCAATTTTGCTTCTTCTCTAAAAATTGATCTTATAAACACTGATTCTTCTCATTAACTACTTCAGATATATTATACTTGCAAATTGACATTAAGATATAACTACTGCGAAGCTAATTATTAGAAACCTTCTAAAACACATCGAATATTATGAAAATTTTAAATGCTTTTGATTTAAAAATTATTAAATAAATATAATTATCTACAATTTTAGTTATGTAAATAACAAATTATGGCTATTTATTCAATATTAATCAAAAAAATATTGGTTTTATACATTAATAGAAAATATTGGAACATGAAAACAACTATAATTTTCGATATTTTTACAATGTATATAATAAATTGCATTTTTAGGGGAATGAAATTTATTTTAACAAAAATATAATTCTATTTTAATCATTTATTATCTGGGTAAATTAAACCAATATTTATATACTCTCAGATAGAATAAGTAGAAACTAAATTATACACATCCTTTGGGAATTTAATTTTCAGTTGAATAAATATGAGTTATTGTTCTTCTAACACAATATAGATGCTGATATCTCATTATTCAATTTAATATCTTCCCGTAATAGCATTTGAATTGCCAGTTATAAATGTCATTGTTTTTCATTTCACACTTCAAATAGCCATTAATATCAATATTTTAAGTTAGGATTTATAGAAAATAATCTTAAGCTATTTCATATTTAATCATTTTCCCAATTTAAACTTAAGTTGCAACGGTTGAAACTTTGATTATTTTTATAACAACAATTTCTAAATACTATTTAATTTGTAAAATCTAATAAAGAGCATTCCGTAAATTAATAAGATACGTTGTTAATTGATGGAATTATTATTACTTATTATATTTGATGTGGATTTGGACTTGAAAAGAATGAAAAACTTATTAATAAACCTAACTAATACAAGAATATAAAATAATTTAAATGAATTATGTTAAATTTACAGAAATGAATAAATGGCAAATTGAAATTTCAAAATAAATATTTTTTTTTGTATTTTTCAAAGATGGTTTCCTCCTTATGGATTTTGATGTTATTTAATTCAGCTAGTAGATTTGAAAAGTCTTATTGTAGTTTATCTTTGTGATACCTTTTGAGATGAGATGTTTATAATATTTTTCTTTGCTCATTTATTAGACCTTCGAATTCTACTTTTTAAGGGTTCATTGTTTTCCTCTTGGTCAGAGTAATAGTCCTAGTTCGAACAGTGCAGGAGCGATCTTTTTAGAAATATGTTCTTGGCGAGGATTTTTTGGAAACATTTGTGGCTTTATCGAAACGCTGAGAGAGTACTGATTTTAAAGATCGATTAATTAATGATTAGTAGGATTAACAAGATGTTTCGATTTTATCTTCGCTAACTTACTTTTAAGTTTTGATGAGTTGTAACGTTTTAAATGAATTCTGATCGAGCATATACTGATTCTTTTTTTCAAAATCAATGAATACTCTATCGTTATTTTTTTGAATCTTTTTGTACATCCTTATATTTTCATCTAGTTCTTTAATTGATTCCCTTTAATCATAATTATTAATTTAAAATGGATTGGAGTCAGGAAATACAATGCCGAACTATTCTTGTGCTATTTTACGCATCTCTAGAATCTTCTACTTTGTTTGTTCTGCTTTCTTATTGATTCTATCCGATTCTTCAGGAAAATAAATTGCCATAAGTTTTATTTATGATTTTATATATCATTCTTGTTCTTCGTGGTTTAACTTAGCAGCTTCATATTTTTGCAAGAAGAATGTCTATGTATCCTTAACGATTCTTCCTGAATTGAACCCTTGGTTGGCCAACAGAGCAGACAAAATCCTATCGGGAGGAGGAGCAGGGTCAACTGGCCACTCTCTTGGTTCTGGAGTTGTAGTAAAGGCTCCATCTCCTATACCCAAATACCAATCAAAGGCTTCACCCTAAAGATATGAGAAAATCGATTACATCAAATTGCTTTCCGTAGCCATCCTCAGAGAAGAACACGCTCAAGTAGTTTGGAACAAAATGATACACTTCTTCGAAGAGATAAGAATTAGAAGTCTAATCAATCTACCTAATGTAGGCGTATGCTTATTTGAGATGGAAGGAATAGCCAAAGTAGAAATAGGTCCATTTGCCCCAATATTTACCAATATCGAACTTTTTGTCAACTAGAAAATATGAATATGAATAAATACTTGAACCAACATCATCATCTGCAGTTTCGATGTCTCCATAATCATAAGTGCTGAAATACCATACGCCTTTATCAATGAAGATGGAGAGAGTCCTATCTCCTGCATTGTCATTATCAGCCTAGATGTCTGGAGTATTTTGAGTCACTCTGACAAGTGTGGTCCAATCAGTGACATTCTTTAATTTGTTACCCTTAGCGAATCCATAAACACTGTATTCAAAGACTCCACTATATTTCTCCTCATATTGTTTGAACACTCTTTGAGTCATCTTAGCCTTTTCAACTTGGACTGGCTCATTATCTTACTTATCTTTATAAGGTGGGTAGGGTCTAAATTTAGGAACAACAACATTGAGTAAATCCTCGCTTGAATCAATATAACTATCCTTTCCCAAAAATGCTCTTGGATCAAACAATTTACCTTAGAAGGCTGAATGTCCAAATTCTTTCTTTCCGATTACCAGTCTGGCATAATCTCTCAATAACCAATGTTTGGCACTATCAATTTCAACTCTCTTTACAACATTTTGATGTGTAAGGTAAACATACCCAATACCTTTTGGTCCTGTTGGAATTCTCTTATAACAGAAATAGACGAAATTCCAATATCCTTCTAATTCTTTATCAAATTTGGTTCCTGTTGAGATCTCATTCTTATCAAGAACTGCATCGTAAGTACTGAACTTATACTCTCCTCTTCCAACAAATGCTGATACTGTTCTGTCTCCATTCTTTTAAGCATCTTCATATTGAGCATTAGTTGTAAATCTGAATATGGAGTGGGATTCAGCTTTGTCCAATAAAATGAATGGATAATTCATCAACCATCTTGTCCATAAACCAATACCATATTCATAAATGGCTTCAATGTCAGATCCTGGGAAATTAGTCTATGTGAATTCAACATCTAATGCTGGCTTGTCATCTTTAGCATATATCAAAGCATCAGCATCATTTTATACGTAGAATTCAAAGTAATTATTAAGTTTGTATGGAATCCAAGCTGGAAGATCGACTTCTACTTCGACCTTATCAACATAGTGCCAGCATTATGTACTGCCATAACAAGCATGGACGTGTCTAGATTTACCAATGAAATTCTTATTAATTCCATCCTTTCCGAAATAGACGGCAAGGTATTTTGGAGAGAAATGCAATACCTTCTTCAATAAACCTCCTTTGCTGATATCAGGGAATCCAAAGAACCAACCAGCATACTCATCTTATCTGGAATATCCAACCCAAATGTACATCCAAATTCCTCTATATTCTCCCAAAGCAACATTGGCATTTCTATTAAGATTGAAATCAGTGTCGATGAATCCAATGTCGTAGGTTCCAATTTCCATATCTCCGCCTTTTTGAATAACTGATAATGTTCTATCTCCCAACAAATCAGCATCCTTCAAGAATCCTGGCTCATTATTGGTTAATCTGATAACTGTTTATGCTTCAGTATCATCTAAACTTCCATAATATTTGAACCATCCATAGACTGAATATTACTCTGTTTCAGTTGCTCCATCTTCATAAACAAATGTTTCATAAGTTTCAGTATCTTTGTTATCAGCACCTTAGATTTCATAATCCTTTGTTCCTAATTCTTCATCAACTGGGACCTTATATTATTCAATCCATGTTTCATATTCAGCTATTTCATTGATAAATGAACCTCTTCCAAATCTGACAACTGCATGAGCGATTCTACCATTGAAACCATAAACAGTAGATTTCCATTATCCAACATAGAATCTCACATAATTGTTAGCAGGATCAGCATCAAATGGATCGAAAACTGTTCTTTATACTTACTTCAATTTGTTGAAATTAACATAACCAACAGCAATTTACTTCAATTTAGAATAACTGAAATAGATGTAATTCCAATATCCATCCAAATTCTTTCCATAATTAACTGGTCTTCCTGAACCAGCCCAGAATTCATAATTTCCTCTTCCGATATATACTGCAAATTCAGCTTCATCTTAATCTGTAAATCCTAATCTACCAACCAAAATACGATCAGGTTTCTCATAAATTCTCGATGGATTTGTGATGAAGAATTTAGTCCACATACCGAATCCATATTCATAGACACCATCTGTTACCCACTCTGGCTCATCGTGAAGTAAAGTGTCATATTCAGATTCTGTTTTGTGATTCAACCATTTAGGATCATAAGTTTTCAATTATACTCCAGGCCATAATTTAATCTTACCAGTCTTATAATCATCGAAATCTGTAGCATATCCCCATGCACCCTTTCCAAACCTGATTGTAGTATAGGCTGTCTTTCCATGGAAGAAAAACTAGTGTCCTTGTCCCAAATAGAGAGCCCAATATTTGGCTACAACATGCCAACCTTTGAATTGTTTTTCAGCTTTGCTATCTGGCCATTCAATGTAATATTAGAAGTCTCCATGGTTATATCCAAAGTATGCATATGTCCACAATTATTGTGATTCCTAAGGAATTATGACTTTCTCATCGATGTCACTGAACTTGTCCTTCTCTTCAACTGTATATGTAGAAAATTCGTATTCATTTTGTTCAGTTTACCATAATGAAAGTGCTTTCAAACCATGAGGAATTATTCCTGCTTCTGGCTCGTTGGATGTAAATCTAAATATAACTTAGTGAGCTCTTTCAGACCTTCTTACATATCTAAACCAAGTGGATACTGAATATTCTCTATATCCATCTAAATCCCATTTGAATTTAGGATCATCTACCAAACCATCATATTCAACCTTGTCATAGTATTATTTTTCCTAATAATCTAAATCAGGGTCTGTAGGAACAGTGTACTTGGTTTCAATCAAGTTTTTCATCTCTTCCTCTGTCTCCACAAATGAATTCTTATTCAAGACAACTCTAACATTGGTGATGACTCCGTTGAATCCTTTGAATCCCTTCCAAAGTCCAGATTAGAATTTAATAGTTTTAACAATAGCTGGTTGAGTGACGGTGAAAGTGACACTCTTAATTACTTAAGTTCTACCCCAGTAAATATAACCATTGGCTTTTCCTTCTTTATAGCCAAAATAGACATAAATCCATTCAGCATCCAAATACTTGCCATAATCTAATTATAATTCAGTCACAACTTCTCCTTCAAATACTTAGAAATTATAGAATCCTTCTCCAATAGTTGTCACTAATCTATTTGTATCATCTCCACTCAAACCTCCAACAGCCAATGCTTCCTTCTTTTCTGCAATCTTAACCTTACCATTGTATCTGAAATATGTCCACAATCCATAACTGTATTCAACAGATGTCTTAATTCTACTATCAGGTCCATCTTCAACATCTTTCTCCCAAGGAGATGTCTCTTATGTAACAACACTATCAGTTCTCTCATCTAAGGTATATACAAGTTATTCTAATTCTGGTACTGGCTCATCTGGGAATTCTAATCTACCGAAATCATCGTCTTCCTCTTCCTCTTCAACTAATTCCTCAACAATCTCTTCTACTATTTCTTCAACAATTTCTTCAACAATTTCCTCAACTATCTCTTCTACAGTTTCTTCTTACTCTTCTACTTTTTCATCATCTGGTGTTGGTTCTACAATAACTTCCTCTTCTGGTTATTCTTCAACAACAACTTCCTCTTCTGGCTCAGGTTCTGGTTCAGGTTAGGGTTCTGGCTCTGGTTATGGTTATGGTTTAGGTTCATCCTCATCATCTTCAACAATAATAATGATTGGTTGTTCTTAACATCCTGGATATCCACAACTTGGTTAATAAGCACTTGGTCCAGTTGCTGCATCAATCAATGTGTCAATCAAATCTTCCAAAACATCGTCTCCACAACCATCTTCCTCTTCAGATTCCCATTCAAATTCCTCTTCTTCCTCAACTTCTTCTTCTTCTTCCTCTGCAACTGGTTCAGGGACTGGTTCACATTCTTTAGCCTTCTTAGCTTCTTCAGCCAATCTCTCAGCTTCTTCTGCTCTTTTTCTTGCTTCTTCAGCTGCCTCCTAAGCTTCTTTCAATCTTCTTTATGCCTCCTCAGCATCTAAGCAAGCTTCTTCTTCTTTATTTTGGGCTTATTCCAAAACCTATTGTGATTCTGCTGCTTTTTCAGCTGCTTCTTATGCCTCTCTTGCATCTCTTTCAGCTTCTGTTTCTGCCTCCTATTCAGCAGCCTTTGCAGAATCTAACTCTGTTTCTGCATCATGTTCTAACTCTTCTGCCAATTCTAATTCTTTCTCAGCTTCTTATTCTAATTTTTCAGCTTCCTCAGGTGTTATATCAACTCTATTCTTAAGTTCTTCTAATTCTCTTGCTTCCTCCTCTTTTCTTCTTTATTCTTCTGCAGCTGCTTCTGCTGCCTCTCTAGCCTCTTGTTCAGCTCTCTCTCTTGCTTCTTCTTGCTCTTATTCTTTTCTTCTCTCTTCCTCTTCAGCTTTAGCATCAGCTTCCAATTGGGATGCCCATTAATCTTTGCACTATGAAGTCTTTCCATTCACTCTTGATGCCAGATCGTATAATTAATCGATATCAACTGGAATTGTATTTAATTGTAATTAGATCTCAGTTATCTATTAAATCAACTCTGAAATCTTGGTGGCTATAGTTTAAGCAAGTTATAATTTGTCTTCATCACCTAAAACATATAATAAGATTGCTTACTTTTTGCTTTGTTCAACACTTCCAAATATCCCAAAATATCATTAATATCATACCAACTTGATGTTGACTCTATCTAGGATAATGATTTGAAATGCTTGGATATTTGATGATGCAACTATTTAACCTAAATAAATGATCCGTCTTAAATATGCTAAACTGTCTATAATACTCTGTCGACTAGGCCTTTCACCATTGCCAACACTTGTAAATCACCATCAAATCCATCTTTGTGTTTGATTATGTCAATCCATTAATCAATGTCATGTTATGCTCCCAATTATTCCTTGTAACCTGGGTTCTCACATGTCCAACCTGATGGGTCTATTGAGAGAATAGATTCTAATGGAGTAATCTGCAACCTTGCAGATGTCTTGAACTGTATAGACACGCTGACTAGCAGCCATGCCACTAACAATTGCTTAAACATAAATTTAATTATAATCCGTTTTTCAATACAACTATAACATTATAAAAAAATTAACAAATTTAGATTTTTGTTATTTCCCTATTTCATTAAACCTATCCTATTCCTCCTCATTTATTTGCCATTAAATAAAGAAACATAATATCCATCATTTAATTGTATTCGAAATAATTTTATCTAAAAAGAAAGAAATTAAACTCTTTCCATCTCTCTTACCATAAAGCTTCGGAAATATATTGGCAATTAAGCTTGATAATTTGTCTAATATAATAATATAGAAATTTTATCAGATATAATAGGTGCGGAGGAGGAAATTATGTTAAATTTCGAAGATATTAAAGATTTGTTTAGTTGATTTACATCAAAATTACAAAACGATTAAGTACAAGAATTTCAACTTATAGAATCTAAGCGATGTGACTCAAAATTTCTGATTTAGATAATTAAGTAGATAAATTACTTTATGATTATTTTATAGTAGTCATTATAGTAGTCAAAGATAGGTATTTAAGAATTTTATAATTGATCCCATTTTCTAAAATTTTATTATTATATAATAGATTGCCATTTTACCATTATTACAAGGAGAGTAATAATAAATTTACAATTTTACATAGCTTATATATTATGATCAACAAAGGTATTATTAAATACTTTGATAACAATTACAAGAACTTATAAGATCCTGGTAATATCAATATGTATATCAAATAGATAAATATTTTATTAAAGGGAATTGAAAATTTTAATTTTTAATTAAATATGGCATTAAATAATTCAGAATAAGTGATTAAATTTTTACGTGAAACCGAGAAATTAGATTCAGCATCATATTAATCGTTATTGAAATTAGCTGAGAATAAGCCAATTCATCTTTACGAGATTGGGAAACTTACAAAATTATTATTATTAGGTTCCAGATATTAAGTAATATTTTATACACTATTTGGTCTTGGATATATGGGGATAATAGGATAATAAAAATATTAATAACTGTTGGTTGATCTAGAAAATGTAGATAAAACTAAGAAGTATTATGAAATGTAAAATTACAACATAAATTAGAAAACAAGATAAAATTGAGTCTAAAATTACAAAATTAAAAGTGGTAGCCATATTATTTGGATTAACATCAACACTTGGTCTTTTTGTAACTCAAAGAATGGGCTAAAAAATCCCCAAAAGTTTATGGTTTTAACCAAATGGTGAATTCAAATTAACATTTTACTCATTCTTTGGATTTAAGAAGCACATTACAGCACCAATATCTGATTTTTAACTTTGCACTTCATCAAGTAAAATAAATAAGACTGTTATGATGCGATATAAAAATAAGGAATTATCCACGATTGGTACAGGAGTATCGCATAGTAATCTAATTAGATATTTGATATCGGCTTAGACAAAGACGGAATAAAAGATTTGAGTGCTTTATAAAACCATTTTATTTTTGTTTTAGAAATGATAATGCAATTAATATAAATAAATTTGTAGAATGAATACAAAATAAAAGGAAAGTCTTTCATTCTTAAACAATTACATGTACTTTGATAATCAGGTTAATCCTAAAAATCAAAAGGAGACATTAAACAAAAATTATCAATTCGAAGCTTCACCAAAAAAAAAGGAATACTTGAAATCATATTAAGGAATAAATTATCACAGTTTATTGGAACTTAAGTAAACACCCTTAGTTAAACTGCAAGAATTACCTAATTATGAACCAACAAAATGTTCATCTGTATAAAATGGTTTGGTTAAAGCTTATGCAGCGAATACACATTAAGGATTGATAAGAAATTATAATGAGGATAGAGTTTCAATTATTCTGAATATACTGAAACCTCAGACCAGAATAAATGAAAATTGGCCAAAGTGCTCATTCTTTGGAGTTTATGATGGTCATGGAGGCTAAGGATGTGTTAATTTTTTAAGAGACAATTTGCATTAATACATATCTAAATAAAAAGAATTTCCTTGGAATCCAATAGTTGCAATCAAAAAAGGTTTTGAAGCTGCTGAAAGAGACTTTCTATCCTTCGCTCTTCAATAATATTGCAAGAATTAAGCGGAAAGAAGTGGATCTTGTGCAATCATCAGTCTTATTGTAGGGGACTACTGTTATGTTGCAAATGTTGGAGACTGCAGAGCTATCTTAAGTTCTGATAAAGGGAAGAAGTATTTTGATTTATCAATTGATCATAAGCCGTAGAATGAGTCTGCAAGAATTCAATAAGGAGGAGGTTAAATCTATTAAACCAGTATAACGAATGATAAAGGCATATAAATTCAAGGACCATTGAGGGTATTTCCTGGTAGGTTGTCTGTTTCTAGAGCGTTTGGAGACATTGAGGCAAAAAATGAGCAATTTGGAGGAAAGCCTAATGTAGTTATAGCTTAGCCAGATATAAAAATTTTTCGTATAACTAATTAACATGATTTCATAGTATTAGGATGTAAAGTATAATAATATCTTAGGTGATGGAATCTTTGATAAAATGAATTCCTAAGAAGTTATAGATGAAATTTGGAGTGATTTAAAAAAAAACAAAGATAACTACAATCTTCATGCTTAAATATCATCAGCAGTTGATGCTGTAATCAAAGAAGTTGTTATCAGAAAGAGTGGTGACAACATAACTTTACTGATTGTAGCATTTAATGAACTAATTTAACATCAACAACATTATGCTTATAACAAATCTAGCTCTATTTCCAGCCATATTGAACTGTTATAATCATATTTAAAGAAAGAACAAGACAATGCTGAAAATAGTAGAGAAATTAATTACAAAAAAATTAATTATTTTAATCCTTCCTAAGGAAGTAGGGTATAAACATAAGACTACCCTTAATAAGTTAAATAAGATGTAAGTTTTTATAAAGTAAGATCAAGTTTCAATATGTGATTATAAGTTTCATATTTTTAATAATAAATAACTTAAGAAATAACTTAAGATAATTCTTTCATTAACTTTAAATTAGCATTTTGTTTAATAAATAATAGATAGTAACATAATAAATTAATATCCTAAACTTTTTAGCAAATGTAAAAGTAAAAATATTAAATTTATGTTTCATCAATTCACAATATATATAGTTTCATTAAATCATTATTCTGATATCTTTTATAGTATTTGGAGTTATCCATTAGAACCAGGCACAGATTCTGAAGAAAACAGAGTCACACATTATGAAAATGTTATTTATTGATGACTATAAGGATCGATGATGTTCAAATATTTTTAGATGTCAAGATCTCCTGCTCCAAAATTTAGAATATCAATCAAATTTCGAAATTCGTTCTATTAATATCAATTATATTATTTACTTCGTCAATAATTCCATTAGCATCTGTATCCATTTACTTAAAAGTCAAAATAAATTTCTTCAAATATTTCTCATGTGACTTTAGTTAGAAATCTAATATTATCTTCTGAAACACTGAATATTCTAATTTATATTTATCTTTTTCTTAAAGCAAAGATAATTGCTCTTCTCTAGTTAATCTTCTATCTGGATTTTTCGAAGGAACTATATAATATGACTTTAATTTGTTCAGAAGTAATTCAGAGTCTTCTTAATTGTACATATATTTTATAATATCTACAGCTTCTTCCTCATAAAGTTGCCCATTTATCCTTTGATTGAGCATTTCCTTGATCTCTGCTTGGTGTTTCAATGGAAATTTTCCTCTTAGGTACATCTTTGATATCGAAAATGAATACTTTTAATAATTCTTGCATAGTATTTTTGACTTAGGTCTAAACAAAGCGAAACTCTTCATCACACTCATTCCTAAGAATTTTACCAAATACAGCCACGTCATTATCTTCTGCTGAATACTTTTTAAGTGCATTTATTATTGATGTAGCCCATTCTATTATAAGACTTTTAAGTCCATATTTCTAATTTAGAAAAGTATACATATGTTATTCCATGGTTTCCCTAGGTAATTTAGAATCAGCACACTTCTAATCAAATTTCTGTTTACTTTCATAAATTTCATTAATAACATCTTTTAATTACTTCAACGTCAAGTGTCTAACATTTACTTGTTAAGGTACTGAATTAAGATTCTAAGATTATTTTGACTAAAAAATAGTATTATTTTATTGAATGCTTGATGATTGATGGTTTTTTGAATAGTTCTAAGATTGATAGGAGTCATTTTATTATTTTATTACATGTTCTGAATTGGGTATTGATGACCTATCCCCTTTTGAATGTTTAATGAGCAGATCTATATATCTTTTATTTTCTTTTTCTAATTCAGCATTTTATTGTTAAAGTTCTGATAGCTCTAATCTCAATCTATTTTCAACTGTTTTATCACCTTGCTGTTGTTGATTCACTTACTTTTTATTCTCAATAATTTAAGAGGTATTTTTAGATTATGGTTTAACATTTGAAATCACATTAGACATATCATTAAAAATTTGTAAATGCATATCGTGGATTTTTGTTATGATTGCATCTAATTTTTTGTCATTTGCTTTGAAGTATTTTATAATTGATTTAAAGCAGATTTCATATAAGTTAAATTTTGCCTAAGATTATTATGAGGATTACTGTTAAAATATTAAGATTAGTTAAGTGATCAGGATTGTTTTATTTTAACTTCGATTGAAGATCAAGCATAATGGCTCTAATTTACTGATCAAATTGTTTATCTTCTTGATCCTCTTTCTTGTACTCTCTTATGCTATCATATAAAATCTAACGATATGCATCATAATACAGCCATCTATTCGAGATCATACTACTAAAGTGTAATGTCTTAAACTGCACTCATGGATCTCTCAGATTATTGTTCACTTTACTATTCTAAGGTTTCATCGCCTCCTTCCTAATCTCCATTCACTTTTTGAGAATTCAAAATTTGGAGATTCGTAAGGCATTCTAAAATGTATTGTTCCTCCTCCTTTGATGACAATGTAATCTCAAGATGAATCAAATTGGGCATCGTTGACAAAGCATCTACTACTTAGCCTAACTAAAATAATTGTACATGTAGAGTTACATCAGAGAAAATATTATTAGATATATCAAGAACTTCAACAGTATCTAGCAAACTTAAATCATCAGGCAAGTACGACAAACGATTCCCATGTAAATTAAGCTATATATATCATTTACAATATACCTCTTTTAGATTGCTAAAATTTGCTAATTATGGTAATAATTCCTCTAAACTTTCAATTGATCTATTGTCATAGATATCAAATGATACTTAAATTCCAGATCTATTATTGTTACATTAGTTCCCTAAGTTTTTAATATTTGTTATAAGGCTTCCATGACAAAAATTGAATTTTAAATAATTTTTTAATTATAATTTTAATCAGGATTGATAGCATAATATATTAAGCGAATCCATTTATTATTGTTCATAATGAATATAAGTAATGTCAACAATTTTAGTATTAACTTAACTGATTTAGGTCAATACTAATTTTATGTTGTTAATGAATAAAACTTAAATTAAAAACCAAATGCTAGAGAATAATTTCATAAAGCCACATAATTACGATTAACTTTGGATTTAATTTAAAGTTACTAAAATGAAAGTTGCAACTACTTTAGTCTGAAACACATTTTGGAATAATAATCAATTTTAAGGTAAAATATCTCTTAATATTTTCATAAGATCTATATAAAAATATTTTGTTGATTCATAAATTTGTCTGGTACTTAATTCATCATTTTAGTATGACATCATATTAGAAGTCTAATTGAACAAATCGATTTAGTTATTAATAATTAAATTTAGGTAAAATAATTAATTGTTAAAGTACTTAAATTAAGGCAGGATACTAAAAAGATTTAATAGAAGAGTGATAAAATCAAAGATATTAGTAGAATTTTGAATCTACGATGTTTAATCATATTTTAAAATTGATTAATCTAACAAAAATTAGATATTGAATGATAAACAATTTTACTCTTTATATGTGGTCAAATTTAATCTTTAGATATGCTAAGACTAGTAAATTTAGCTAAAGGATTTAAATTTCTTTGAGTCAGAACTTGAAAAACAACCGAAAATTTAATTGTAACAGAACTTTTGATTTTAGATTGCTCTTGCTTTAGATTAAATGTTTGGCTTAATAAAATTAATAGACTAATGTGTTTCCGAATTAAATATTAGAGTTTAAAACAACTATAATAGAATATAAGTTTCTACTTAACAAAAAAAATAAATGTTTTATTTCATATTTGGAAGCAATTGTTTTCGGATACATTTAGGAAGTGAAATTATTATGATTTTGATAATGATTTTGGTTGAATGTGTTTGAATAATATCAGATAATGTCATCGTGATAATTTCTATATCTTGTTAGACGCACAGAATTTTCAGCATATGCAAATTAATGGGTGTTGTAAGTGGCTATAACAAATTATGGTAGTGATACTTAAAAATGGAATTAGACTTGAAGCTGCAAAAATTGTTCTGGCAGTGAAGTTATATATGTGTTGGACTGTTTGGAAACTTTTTAATCCAAACACAAAATTCCAGGGCCAAGTTACTATTTTTCTAACTGAATTTCTTTGTTCTATATAATCTAATGTTCTTTCTGCCATTTTTATAGTTTGATATTTATATTATTAATTAATAGGATTTGCTTTATAATATAAATAAAAATAAAATAACATGGGCATCTGTAAATCCCAAGCAATACCAGTAGGGAAAGATGAATTAGAAACGAGGAATGTAGAAAAGAAGCCAATTCAAGAATAACATAAAATAGAAGAAAAAAAAAATGATGAAAATGAAGCAGCATTGAAAATCCAAAGCACTATTAGAGGAAAGAAAGCAAAATAAGAGTTTGAAAAATAAAAAGAGGAATTACTATTAGACAAACCTTAAGACTGGACAGAATATACCTAAGAGTTTATTGAACCGAAATTGCCGGCTTACTTTAAAGATAAAGTTAATTATATACCAACTAATAAAAATCGCTCCCTTCCTCCTTACTTAGAACCAGATGGAACAATTTACAAGGGATAATGGAATAAAGGCGAATTAAATGGGTTTGGATAAATGTTAAAACCTGATGGCACATATCTAAAAGGATTGTGGAAAGGAAATATCTTCTCTGAAGGAGGGGTACTTTATCCTAATGGGGAATTTTTTGTAAGTCTCATATAATATTATTTGCTAGATTGGTAACACACAATACGGAGAGCGATGCTTTACCAATGGAATAATTTATTAAGGCGAAGCAGACTATGGAATTCCTCATGGGAAAGGGTAAGAAATATATCCTGATGGTACCAAGTCTAATGTATAATATAATTGGGGTAAAAAGGTATAAAAAGACATAAAACAGAATCTGCAATGACAATTTCTTATAGAATTTGAAATAAATGTAGTATTATTTATTTAAATATTTATAGAATTTTATTTATTAATAATTTTAGGGTTTTCTATTAAAATTATTATTCTTAATAAAGAAGATTCTGATGAAAATTCAATCAAAATATAATATATACGATATAATCTAGAATTATTTTGCAATTTGTAAAAACTAATAATCAATTTATCTATCAATATCATTGCCAAAAAACATACTGTCTATTCTTTCCTACTTTATATTCAATATTCCAGATTTTAAAAATATATGATTTGACTGGATCGAGGGATTCTTTGTAAAATTAATATAAATAATAAAATACAAGAAACTATCATAGACTTTAATTCTTACTTTATAAAAGAATTAGATGTATGTCAAAACAAGTATAATTTTTAAGAACATAGAAGCCTCCTCTCCCCATTCAGGGTTGTTCTGATCATTACTATCCCACCATGAATGATATTGTGATAGCCACAATATATCATAGATAATAGATGCCATTAATCCTAGGCCTACAAGTTTAACATGCTCAGGTTCAAATCTATCTAGAAAAACAGTAAACATCAATCCATGACACACCAACACATCTAAAAATGATGGCTTAGCTGAACAAACAAAGAGAGTTATCAAGCCATAAAATGAAAAGATGGTCATTCCTAAATCTAAATCATAAGGTGCCTATGGGTACTCATCTTCTGGTTATGAATTTTGATCTGTCTTATTAATCTCTACTTTTGAAGTTTATAAAGGATCTGCAGCCACTTCTTCTGGTTTCTTTAATTATATAAAACTGCTTTCTTATTAGTTTGAAGTTTAACCATTTTCATTTGTTATTTTTTCTTCATGTCGATGTCGAAACGGCCTAGTCAGTAAGTCATATTAGTATGCCACTTATTTGTTCAATTCTGTTAGCTAATCTATTTTATCACCTGATTAACCAACTTAGTTTTGGAGATACTCATACTAAATTAGGAATATCAATATTACTCTATTAAGAATGAGTTGAACTTGCATGTCTATAAAACATCCAACTTCCTTTCCTAAGGGATCTTTTAATTATAGTTTTAAGGTTTTAAGTTATTCTTCCAAAGTACTCAGTGATATTTATGCTTATCCCATTAATGTTGGGAGGGGAGAATCGTTCTATTTTGTGTACAACTAAATAGTCAAAATGTAGATGTTGTTAGGAATCGAGCTAAATTAAGAGTATAACCAATTCATACAATTCAATTTCTCTGTTGAACTCTGGGTTGACTTTATCGAAGTGTTCTATTGGTTTCAACCTCTGAGACTAAGAACCTAAAGCAACTTAAAGATGACAATCGGTGTATGAAATCTTTTTGGAGATATTATTTGCACTATTAATCATAAGATAGATATGTTTGAACTCCGAACTGTTGGCTTATTAATATAGAAATATTCTTACATGTTGCAGACATCTGAGTTTAATGCTTTTTCTGTTTTTCCCTGAATGTATGAATATCAGTCTTTATCTTCTCTAATTTATTCCCAAGAATTATTATAGCACTATGTATGGTTTATGCTAGATCTTGCATGCGATAGCTTTGTTCATAATTTTGATTTATTGATTTATGACATTATGCTAAAATCTAATTGAGTACATCCCGATCCATATCCTTAGTTCCAATCATTTGATCCATTTTCTATTAAATCTCATTTCCAGTTAGTGATTAATTTTTTAAAAAGCCAAATCTTTCAAATGTTGCTTCTATATGTTTGAGTGTTATCATCTTTAGTGTTTTTTAATAAAATTATATAATTATTATTTATTGTTTGTATGCAGAAATGTCTTCTTTTCTTATATGAATTCATATGCTTGAAAAGATCATTCTAAATCGATAGTTTAGTTATCATAAGATCTTTAATATCATCCAAAGTTTTATTCATATAAATTTATACTATATTCACAAATATATGTTAGAATAAATGAGATGACATTATTAGTTGTAATATTATTAAGATCTCTATTTAAAATCAATTAAGAATAAGAATAAAAAGTAAATTAATTTAATCTCAATTCTCTTGTTTAATTACGAGTAAGGATGAAAAGTTAATTATATTTTATATTATGGAGATCTTCTTCGCAGAATTTTCTTTAGTTTGAATCATCTCAGGTATTTGTGTTATTATTATAATTTTGTCAATGTTCTAAATTATTAAAATAATTCTACTTTAACAATGCTCTCAATTTTAGTTCCTATTTACTCTTTAAATGCTTTTTCTCTCTTAAAGACGTTCTTAAATTGTTTACAAAATAATTCATTGTTCTCTATTAAAAGTGGAGCTAACATCAAAATATGTAAAATTCTTTTGACATTATTTGTCAAATTGATTTCAATTTTTAAATGAAATTAACTTGTTCTGAATATCTCATTACTACTTAAACAATCAAGCATCATCTCAATATTTTAGGCATTGCATTCTAAAATGTCTTCACTCTATTAGTCCTTTATCTAAAATTTTGTAAGTGTCAATATCAAACTATTCACTTCAATCAATTAATTATTGAAATGAGAGAGTATCTTAACTACATCACTAACTAAGTTTGCTATTAATCCTCTATTTTTATCGCAAAGCAATACGATCAATTTCTAAAATAGAGTAAATTCTTACATTGCTAGTATCAGCCTTTTCTTTATCACACAATTTTCTAATTTTTTCTATATTTTCATTTAAATCTTGATTATAAATTAGATGATATTCTTGACTATTAAATGCATAACTCTTAAGAATTAGGTCGATCTACTTATAAAGAGTCCCTTTAATGAACAACTCTAATTAATTAAACAATTATTCATATTGACTCAGTCTTGTATTTTCTTTTCTTTAGAAAATTTGATCAAATTTGTAGAACTGACATCGATAAGGATTCAGTTTTTTAACCTTTTATTTTGAGCTCGACCATAAATTAATTGAAGTGTTTTCATTATTCAATAATTCGTTGTTTTCAAATGAGATTTACTTTTGATTCTTGATTTTAAAATAAGGCTAATATGTTTAATCATACTCGTTTGTTTTATTATACAATATGCAAAAGGTTCTTATTTTTTTCTTTTGACAATAATATTGCTCTTATATCAATTGTAAACTAAACTGTTTTTTTTTAGCTTATCCCTAAAGCACATAATTTTATAAATTATTAGTCTAATTCAACTTTTGAAATTTCTCAAGTTCTCCATTTATTATTTTCAACTCTTCTTACATCGAAAATTATATTTCAAAGAGTTCACCATATTCTTTGGATTGTTATTGATATATGGATTAATCCATCTGATTAATTTTTTTGAATTCTGTGATTAAATATTCTCCCTCCAATATTTACATACTCTGATGATTTGCATTAAAATCCCTTTATAATCGATTTAATATCTAATTTCTATCTGCTTATTGATTAATAAAGTGATCTAGCTAGCTACTCAAAATTGAATTCATGTCATCCATTATTTGTTATTATTGCAATAAATCATTCTTTTGAATTTGATCATCAAGTTATCGATTCAGATTGACTAATTGATTCACACGTCTCTATTAAATGCTCAATTCATCCTACTCTTAAACTTATTCTATTAATATTCCTGCTTATTCTTTTTCAATGCTTTTTTTCAAAAATGTTTTTTAAATTTCTTGATGATAGGTATTATGTACAATTGATTTGTCAATCATTTCTAATTTTTACACGAATGCAATCTTTTTTGATGCATTCTTTTTAGCACTATCCATGTTATAATTTAATTTTAAATTACAATATACAATAATGTTATTTATTGATGATTTTTATACCCAAATAACATCTATTATTGAAAATCAAAGTGGAGTATTGTTTAGATTGTTAAGGATCAAATATTACATCCAAAAATGTATCAAACTTGAAATAAATGAAGATTTGCCCATTTGTTGAAGTGAGAGTATAAGAATGATTGAATAAACATTTCAATAGGGCAATAATTCTAGACTTAGCATGAAACTTATAGTGACAATATAAAATCAATTAATTTTAACGGCTAGTCATAATATTATTAATTAAAATATATGCACCTAGAAGTACATCCATAGAATAGTAACTACCGTTAAAATTAAGCTGGTTTACAAAGTAGAAGAGAGAATACTTCTAAATTATCTTAACATTAATCACCTATAATTCCTATCTGTTTAAAGTAGAGCACAAATAGGGAGAACGAAGTTCCTCAAGAATTTGATGGAGAGAAAAGCATCTACAAAAGTTTTATAGATGAATATTACAGTGTGAGATCGAATTTTCCAAACTCTCCTTCAGTCAAATTTCAAAAGAAGAAAATATTTGATGATGTTTAGATTCCATCTCAAAAGACAAGTCAAATAGCTACAAGGTAAATCTTAAATGAGAAGTCTTAAACTAATAATTAAGAGATCTATCACACCTATTAATAGCTCTCAGAAAGAGATGCCACATTAATACAATAGCATCCCTATTTTGAAAATTAAATAAAATCACTCTAAATTGATACGTAGCACTAATTTAAATTAGAATGTCTGAAAGATTCAAGTAAGGAGAATTTAATAGTTTTTAAAAACAAACAAATACTCATAACACTTAAGAGAGTGAGTTTGAAGAAGAATATATTGAATTGTGAATTAACTTTTTAAAACATTGGCACTGCTCCAATTTCTGTCTTAGATGTACTGTATTCAAATGATCAAAGTATTTAATTTATGTATTATTCTAGCATTGAGATTGTCTAAAGAGAATGATTGCATAAAATCCTTAACTCCAGGATATGGTCAAATGAGTACTATTACTGTTGAGATCGTAAATGTTCCTTTTACAATTGTTAGCGTGTCTCTCGAGTACAACAATCAATTCTTTAAAACTTATTTACCTATTACAATCTTAAGTTTTATTTAGGATTATTAAACTACTCAATCTCGTTGTTTCAATAATCACACTCATTATAATAGGCTCATCATCAGTAAAAAGAATTGGAGTATCGAGAGTAAAATAATAATTGGCAATATCCTTAATTCAGAAGTTGAAATAAGAGTAGAGAATCAGAATAATCAGCTCGTATTGTATTGCCAAAGTGACTTAGAACAATTAAATTGGTAAATTCTAAATACGCTTTATGTTCTATTTGACTTATGAATATTGTTATTTCTATTTATTGTTATCTAAGGTTGCCAATTCTAATGATATCTTTAATTCATCAGCCCTAAATTTAGTGAAAAATGCTGAATACAATATTAATTTAAAAATTAAAATCACCAAAATAATCTTTTGATGCTTTTTTTAATTATTTTCACATTATTAATTAATGTCTTTGCTTTAGTTACTTTGACAATAGACGAGCAATTCTAGGAGACTGAAACTGTTTTGAAATTGATACAATCTCAATATCAAGTGTTTTAGAGTGTTCAAAACGCTACGTTCTATTTTTAACCCTTCCAAATCGATTAAGATAAATATTTAACAGTTGAGTAAGAACTATTATTTTAAGATATAGACTGATTTTTGGGTTTCCTCATGATGGAGATGTGGATATAGAGTTTTCAATTACAAAAAATAAATACGATAATATTAGTTCTCAACTTGATATATTTTACGATCTAAATGGAAAATATTTGATGAAGTCATATCAAATAATTCAAATTAACCCGTTTACTTTCGATAAGAATGATAAATTCTACATTGATGTGAATATTAGAGACACTAATCTCACAGATTATTAATATTTATTAAAAATAACTAAAACTTAAAACAAAATATGTCCAAATTATTGTGGAAATTCATAATCAGGATTGTGTGATGCAGAGATTGGACTTTGTTCATGTTCCTCGTAATTTGTAGATTTAGATTGCTCTAAAAAGGCTTATCAAATAACTTTGAAAGAACCCCTTCAAAATATCATAATATAAAAATAAGAATACTTCTATTTCGAACGTGATTAACTCAATTCTAACATTACTTTGAATTTTGGATTAATGAATTCCTAATATCAAACCTCGAATGTTGAAATCTTTATAATGTATGAAAACTTTGAATTAGGAGTACCATGCGAAAAGTATTTCAACACTTACGTTTCGGTCAACAATTAATCTTCTAAGTCAGAATTAATAGATCTTGCACCTTTGATATATGACCAAAACCTATAAAGGTATTAAAGATTACTGATCACCATCACTGCCTAATAACCCGCTCTCATTTATCTCTCAGCAAGCATATCTACATCAGATAGTAACTTTGATATAGATTCAAGTCTAATTATTGTATACGTCCTAGTCTCAATAGCAATTTTGTTGTTGTTGACCTGGATCATTGTTATTGTGATAAGGTATAGACGAAGTTCAAGAATTCATGATGAAGCCACTAACGTTTCTCATATTCAAAACAACAATAATAGAAGGAATTCGTCTTCTTTGAATGCAAATATCATAGATCAATACATGCCAAAATTATAATACTTTTAAATCTTAGAATTTCCAGATTTCTAGGATTTAGATATTTAGGAAACATGCTCTGTTTGCTTACTAGAATATTAAAAGACAGCCATATGTAGATTTACTCCTTGTCATCATATTTTTCATGCAGACTGCTTGGAATAATGGATTATGAAACATGAAAACTGTCCTTTGTGTAGAACAGCCTTAGATTATAAAACCTTGAAAGATTTACTCAATTTAAATAGTCTCACTGCTTTTAAGTAACATCTATAGAAGAATAAAATTAAAAAACATAATATAGTTATTTAAAGTCATTTGTTCTCTAATGCTCAGACTGAATTGAGAATGATTCATAATTAATTGGACCATCCCTGATTGAAATACGATTTGTTATTAAATTAATTATTTTTTATTTTATGTTATATCAATCAAATGGAAAATCATTGATCATAATGAAATTTATATCATCAAAACAGAATCTTTGAATTCTTAAGAAGACATCTAAGCTAAAGAGGAGAATAGAATTCGTTTTAGAGTAGCTGCAACATTTGCAATTATAAAAATAATAAATAAATTAGTAAAAAAATAGATTGATTAATATTTATTACATGGTTTAAGTAATCTAAACTATCAGTTGATATATTTCATATGTATATGTGTTTAGGATCTTTGTCTTGAAGGCAAAGGTTAGTTTAATTTTCTAACTGAAGAGTAATTCTACTAATTATTCTATTATTTTTATTAGCTTGTTGTTCTCTAATTATTTATCGATGCTTGAATATTTTCTTTATTGTTATTATAATGAATAGAATTTTCCCGATGACCAACCAAAGCTCTTACGCTAATAACATCTTTGTGAGGTTAACCCTCATTCATGATTTAGCTTTATTATAAATTTCGCGCTTTTTAATCCGATCCTTATAGGGTAGTAGCAGACTTTTGTAAAGTGTTTTAGGAGGGTTGTTAGAAGAATTTTTATGATTACTTTTACATTGATTAAATTTAATGATTGAGAGAGTCAAAATTTTGCTTAATTTTTTACAGGTTTTCAATTTATTTCAGCAATTTCACTAATTCACTTTTAGAGATTAGATAGAAATCAAATTGATCTGAATTATTGACTGATCCTTAAAAATAACCTACTTTCTAATCAAATATATTAGTGTGATCTGTAAAGAAAGATTGAATGTTTGGAATTGACATTTCTTCTGTTTTTAGATTGAGTGTATTCTATTCATCCTGATTTGGACTAAATGATAAGTATATTTGATCAATTGGCTCCATTTCATATTTTCTGAAATCTATCTATTTCTCGTTATTATTCAGTTAAAACATTATTATTATTTAATTAATAAAATGAAAATTATTGTTGATTTTGGTGGTGGATTAGATGTTTGCTTTGAAAACAAAAAGGAGCTTACTTTAGAGTTCGAAGAATAGCAAATTAAAATGACTGACGTGATAACAAGACTGAAAACACTTTGCAATCCAAAGAAATTGGACTTCTTTTACACCTAATAGCTTCGACCAGGCATTCTCGTTTTAATAAATGATGCTGATTGGGAATTAGAAGACAAAGAAGAAGCATAATTATAACATAATGACAGAGTTAGCTTCATTTCTACATTACATGGTGGTTGATTTAAAGAAATTTCATATACAATATATTAAAATTCTTTCATTATTAAAACAAAGATTATTTCAGATTTTGATTTTTGTTTGTGATTTCTTAGATCCATATATGAATCGATCCATTTTCTCTTTTTTCTCCATTTATTGATTCAATTATTTAGTTAATGACATTTTTTCTTTCTGAAACAACTCATTCTCCTTCTAGTATATATCTATTTCTTATTAGAGATTTTTGATTTCTTTTTTCAAAGCTTCACAATCCTCCTTATTTTGTGAGTACTTAACTCTAAAAATTAGATATCTATTACTTCAACTCTTCCTATTATTGCTACTCCTGGTGTAGTCTCTTTGACCATACAGATTCAATATCCTTTGATGTATTTTGCAATTATTAAAATTACTATTGTAATAATTAAATTTAATCGCTTTTTCCTCTTAACATTTACTTCAACTCTTCTATTTACATAGCACAATCATTTTTCATTATTGTAATGCTTTTTTCAAATTCTTACTAGAATTCTTTTTTCATTTTAATCTGTTGACTTTCAGAATCTATTAAAATTTATTCTTCTGTAAACTTTCTTCTTTCAATCTCAGCCCTTAATTGAGATATTGTTTACTAGGCTTCTTGTTATTTAATTTAATGAACATTTCTTGTAATATACAAAATAGGATTACCTTAATTCATCCAATTTTGATTGAAGTGAATTATTAAATTGAGTTTCACTATCTATTTAAGAGACATATTGAGCTATTTTATCATCATATGATTTTCTCAATTTGTTTATTTCATGTAATTATTCTTCTTACTTTTTAAACATCTCATCTTAGACTTTAATCATTTGGTCCTTCATCTTTGATATATTTTCTTTATGTTTGTTCTCAATATTCTCTATATGTTATTTCAATAAATTAATTGTATTCTCCTATTCTTGTAGTTTTATTTTATATTTTAGTTCTATAGACTTAATTTAATTATTATTAAATTATTCATCATTATTGATGAGAGAATTAGAATTCTCTTCATTCTTTTTAATTCTAGATCGCAAAATAGAACTCAAGTGAGGTACAGACTCTTGTTATTTTTCAGGAGTCACTGATTTTGTTCTTTCTTCATTTAAAACCATTTTATCATAAGGAATTATTTCTTTTTAATGATCGCATTCAAAATGCAATGCAGAATCACAATTGTAACATAATTTTGTTATTTCATTTTGGTTACAATCAAAACATTTGATGGTTGCAGGTTTGAGATTACAATTGTAACATCTAACGAATTTCCTTTAATTTTGATTCATATTTTTTATAATAAAACAATAATTCAAAACATAGCACATTCAATTCCATTTTGATTAAATTCATCATCATCATTTTCTTCTCTTGCTTAATGTTGTTAAAAATCGCCAAATAAAAATTCTTATAATTTTATACTAAGTTATTTTGGTGTAAAAGATGGTTCTGGCAAGGTCTCAAAATGATATTTAAATATACCTAGGCAAGTATCTTAATAGTATTCTGATCAAAAGCTTTAGGAAACTCAATGTAAAATGGTACATGTAAATCACCATAATGACTCTTTATCCTTAACATTTTTCACATGATCTTTTGATGTCATTTAAAGTCTTTTTATGAAGGCTCCCAAGGCTATTCGTTTAGAGTGATTTTATGCTCTAGTTTATAAGGTTCACATTTTTTGAATTGCTGATTCTTGATATTAAATCATTTAAGCAATCTTATTTGCCAAATTTATCATAAATCTTCTTTTTTTCAGGATCTGATAATACTTCATTTGCCTTTAAAATCAATTAGAACTGTCATGAATCTAAGGTAATTATTGTTGATATTCATCATACGAATCAAGTATCTTGATAGGCTAAGTGACTAAAAGCTTTGGGAAAGGGATACCAAACATTTTATTAAATTAAAATTTATAATTAGTTAGTATATATAGAATGTATTTCAAAATTTATTATGAGTTGCCATGTAATTCTTTTATTTTTTTAAAGGAGTACTTGGTTTGCAAGGGGACTTTTCATTTGCCACAGCAGATCTGAATGATAATTCATTATATTAACGAATTATTGTATTGAACTAGTTTCCTTTTATTTGAGAATCATTCACAAAGTTCATTAATTCTATAAAGAGTTGTTATAATTTAGAAGATTGATTAACTAATTAATCATACCTTGCTTGTCTTTTGATGTCAATTTATTATAAATAGTTTAGTTGTTCTCTCATTTAAGTTAGTTAGATGTCCATAGATTAAGGCTAATTCTCATTCTGCATTTTATTGAGCAACTCATTGTTTTCTTTGATTATATCTTCGATATTCATTTGTTTCAACCTATCGTTATATTAATTAATATTATAATTTAGTTGGTATATTAAACAAAAATCAGTAATATTAAGGAACTCTGTCTTTGAACCCCAATTAGGATTTTGATATCTCTCTAATTTGATTCTGTTGATCTGATAGTTTGGATCTCAGAAATTCATTATCCGATTTATGATTTCTATAATCCTCTAATTCATGTCTCATCTCTGTCAACTACAAAAGTAGACCATCTATTTACTTATTTGTTCAGACGCCTAATCTCGTTTTCTAGGATCTGAACCTTATCCTTATAATCCTCTACTTCCTCCAAATTGTAATTCTATCCACCATTCATCAATTATTGTTTATAATACATTATTTCCTATTTGGCATGTTCCAACTCTTGGTATAACTATTAATCGCCATTGTTTTATTATCCGTATTGCAACTGAATAACATAAATAATATACTTTCAATCGCAGAGTATTGACTTCAGATTCCTTCTCTTGTAACTAGGCTCTCAGCATTTAATTTTCATTGACTAGTTAAGAATCTTGTGGAGAGTATCTGAGTCTGTCCATCAATTAATCTTTCTCCTATTACAATAGATAGATTTTCTATTTCAATTAGTTAATTTCTTGGGAATAGACATCTCCATTATTCTTTCTAGATCTCCATTCCTAAACTTCCTATTCCCTGAGGACAAGGAGACTTTTCGCTTAATCAAGTTCTATCATTTTTTCTTTGGCAAATTAGTTCATTTAATCCAATTTGTCAGTTAAAACCAAAGCTATTTGCTCATTGTCTGCTTTCAATTCCTAATTCTCGCTGAAATGTTGTTCTTTTAACTTTTCTATTTCTGAATTCAAGAAATCGATTTCTTCATTCTTATTGTTAATAGTTGACTGAAATGCCTCTCTTTCTTATTAAAAATATAGCAATTTGTTGTTTAAATCTGTTTAAGCTATTGTGAGTTGGTTTTATAAATAAATTTCCTTCTGAGCTGCCTTCTGCAATTCTTAAGCTAGTCGATCATAACGTTTCATTAAATCTTCAAGGAAAGCCTTGAGTTCAGGCAATGATAATCCATTAAATTAACTTTGGTCTTGCTATGGTATTTATTAGGGTTCATTGGGAAGAACACGAATGATTTCTGTAGTTGGCACAATTTACTTAGGCTATATATATTGATTAGGAATGATCTTTTATGAGTGCAACTAAGGCGATGGCTAAGTAAGCAATCAATGACTTACAATTGGCAAATAAGAAGGTTTTGGTGTAATCGATCTTGGTGGTACATTTGAATAAGTTATCATGATTATCGAACTTTCTAATAAAAATAAAAATGAATATTATTATTATATAAATTTCACTTATTACAAGATATTTCTTAATATAAATTTGGATTAATTCTACATCCAATCATAAAATACATTAATACATATAAGGATCTACTCTAATAGAATTGTTGTTGAATTAAAAGCCTATATATCGTCATTGATTGAATTCTTGCTAGGTTTTTTACTAACAGCAATTTAATTTAACAGATTCATAAAAGAATTCAAATAAAAATAGATGGAAGATAGAGCGCTAAGAACTAATTAAATGATCAATAGATATCAGGATCATTAAACCATCAAATTGGGATCTCCAGAAGATAACCATTATGCGAAGAAAGAAAATTGGAAGCAAATTGATGAGAAGAATAAAAACTAATTTAGAAGTTATGAAAAATAGACACTGAATTTGGAACCAAAGACTTCTTATCAAACATATCAAGTGGCTAACAATGGTTTGGACGATAAAGACTAATATAACAATAACACTAATCTAAAGTAATCCTATTATTATGAATAAACCAAACCTTAAACATCGATTTATTATTCAAGAGAAGACAAATAGGAGTAGGTGCCTATTAATAGATAAAACAGAGATGAACAACTCCCACATTCATCTGACTAATATTATTCAAAATAAAGTGGATTACCCTAAGGTAATAGAACTCCTATGGATTCAAGATCAAATTTCAATTCAAAAAATCCATTAGATAATGACAGTTAAAATAAATTTAAAAGTGAATATTAGTTTTCAGGTTTTAAGACTGATTTTAAATGGCCAGAATACTAAAGAATGTACCCTGAAATAACAAAGAATAAAAATAACTAGTAAGAAAACAACAATCAAGTTTAACAGGGACAATCGCAAGATTAGAGAGGATTCTTAGATATCGAATAAAGATTATAATAAAGAAGAGAATAGGCAGAGAAAATAGCTGGATAATAGGATAAGAGATTAAATTATTATTCAAAATCTTTAGAATATTCATAAAGATAATAACAAGTAGGATTAGAGAATAGTTAAGAAAGAATGAAATAATTCTAAAAAGAACTTAGAAATGAAGTATAAGAAAGAATAAAAGAATAAACTAATCAGCTAGCCAAATAAGATTATAGAAATTTTGAGTTGAATTCTTAAAGAAGCCATTTGGAAAGAGATATGGATAATAGACATAACAAAAATGAAATACTTGAATTAGATTAATTTAAATACACCTAATAGGATGCTAAATTAAATCTGAATGAAAGGAAAACTAATTATTATGATAACTCAAGAAAGGATTATGCAATAAATAGTAGAGGATCTCAATTTGATGAAAAGTCTCCTATCTAATCAAGGTTTACTGCTGATTCCAAATTCTAAGAAGTATCAAATTTAGAAAAATATCATTATGTTAAAAAATAATAATTAAATCCACATCAAATTTATGATGATAAAGTAAAATATGTTGATAGATCTTTAAAGTATAATAATTCCTAAAATGAAGAGAAAATTAAATGTAACCTAAAATCTGAAGGTAGCACCTTTAAAGAATCTAATGACAAATTTTAACTTAAAGAAAAATTAAATTATGAAACTAAATTACCTTATCAAATAAAGAGAGAGGAAGTATAATCACAAGGGATATAAGCAAGACATAACCTATATGAAAAAATATAATAATTTGACCAGAAAAGCAGCACCAAATATTATGATAGTCGAGTTTTTTAAGCTGACAAATTTTAAAGTAATAACTTTATATAGGAAACAAAGACATTTGATTAATATTAATCTATTGAACCAAAAAACAAAGTAATTGGATATAATACTGATAAATATGAGATTAAAACCCAAGATTAACAGATTTAATAGATGGATAAAATGGAATTTAAAAGATCTCAATTCTAACCTGAAATAAATCAACTTAGAGTAGAATTCGATAAAAAGTATGGCTAATTCAATCCAGAAATGAGCCAAAAATTGTCTGAAATAGATAAAAGAAGAATTTTTGAAGATAAATCTAAACCAGAACCAATTTAAACCAAAATAGCTGGAGCTAGAGAGTATTTAGGTTAAAAGTACTATCAAAGAGATCCTTATAGATATGAATAGAGACATAGTTATCATGAAGAATCATCCTATCAAGATAGGTTGGCTATAGAAAAAGGGAACAGCAGAAATAATGCCAATAATAAGGCTATTGAAGATATACTTCAAGGAACAGCATTAAGCAAATATATTTAAAAAGAGAAGTAAAATAAAGTAATGGATAGAGTAGTAAGTTTTACAAGTAGCAACATTAACTAACAAAAGTCTCCTTTAAATGATAAAGAATAATAGTTAGGATATGATAGATAAGTTTAATTGTAAAGAGGACTAGGGAATGATAGATATGCCATAAGCGAGTATTAAAACAGATTATCTTCAGATAAAAATTTATAAAAATGTAATTTTTTAACTTATTTTTAGATGGTAGTCCATCTGGTTAAATAATCAAGTAATATAGAAATTACGATACTATGGACAGAAGATTTTGATAAATTACAAATTGTTATTTTATTTCACTTTTTATAAAATTAAGAAATTTAAGAGTTTTAGGGATTTTTCAATATTCATATCTTTTGTCTCGAACATTGACATCTGTATATTAAACATTTATCAATCTAGAAATACACAACAGATATCTGATTGATAATTTATAGATTAAAGGGTTCAAAATTATATTTTGTTCTTAGATAATGGTTTAACGTTTTATATAAATCATACAAAAGAACGATTTTCAGTGCATTATCAATTAAGAATTAAAAGCTTCTTTAAACACCAGAGTCTACAAGTACAGTCTTCATTTTCATCATAGAGATTGAGTAACAAATGTATTTTGATTTATTTAATTTATTCCTATGTGTAAACTGAATTGAGAATGCTCATAGATGAATCAAATGTATCAAAAGTGCAATTTAAAGTAGATGCTTCTCCTTTAAATTTAAATTAGAAAGTTAATTCTATTAATAATATTAAGTGATACTTGGATCTTCTTTTGTTTATGATATTTATGATAAATCAGCATGATTGATTTCATACAGATTTTCGGTTTCAACCTCTGTCAATGTTTAATCGTTAGATTAAGGTTTCATGAATTCGTTGAAGTCATTTTCAATAGATTCGATTTCTGATTTATCATTTTATAATTGTTCTATTCCTTCAATTTAATAGATTTATTAAGATTTTTGTTGTTTTTATTATGGTTTCTCCTTTTTTTTACTTGAAACCACCTTCCTTTGGTGTTATTTCCTAATTTGTTTTTATTCTTTCAAAATATCTTATTTTATTCTTTATGTTGTAGATGGAAGATTATCATAATAAATTGTGAGCAATTAAAATAACTGAACAATTAGTGCAATAAGCGAGAAGTATATTGCTATCATATTCATGGTTTTAGGCAACAATAAACTTTAGTTAAAGATTAAAGATTACTTTAAATCTTATATAACAACGGATGATCCAGCAACAATGCTGTTAATCATGAGCAATTTTTATTTCTTATCTAGTAGTATTACTGTCGCTAAACCTGCTAATAAATTAATATACTAAGATGAAGTTTATATATACCTAATTTGATTAGAATATCGGTGTAAGTTTAGGATGTGACATCATTTAGTTAGAGTCCCAGAATTCTACTGGTTGATTCTCATATATCTAGAGTAAAGCATTTAATGATAAGAATGAAAATATTGATCTGACAGCCGAAATGTTCATTTTAATTATTAAAAATATGCATTTGAAAACACGAATATCAATATAATGTTTAAAGAATATAAATATAATATAATGTAAATTAACTTTATTTATTTATCAAACTTTATTCCCCCTTCATAATTGCAAACTAAGATAGAATATCAAAATTCTTTGTCAATGTTTCAAAATGTATTTATTAATATTTCCTCAACAATATGTACAATATTATAAAAAGCAATAATTAATTTTAAATTCATTGCATATATTATATTAAAAGGATATAAATCATATAGCTATATACGATAGCATTCCAATTTTATAAGAATAAAAAATCAACAATAATGATTGGATTTATTTAGAAATAAAATTTATAATTTCCTATAATACATTTTGTAATATAAAAATCTATTAAATTATTTAAAAGTCCATAGGGAAGCTAAAAGTGTATTGACTTTTATATAAAGTAGTTATATTAAGCATTTGTGTTCTTTTTAATATAAATAATTTTATGTATAAATGCCCTTTATTGTGTTATTCAATTTTCTTAATTCAAAATACTTGGATATTCAAGGGAATATAATAAATGTATTATTTACAGAAAATAAATTAGATAATTTGAACGAGTGACTATTTAGATTTTTTATTTGACAAAATGTAAAGTAATTTTAGATATATTTGTAAATGCAATTTGATAAACATTGAAAAAGTGATAATTGCAATTTTCATTAAGAAATAATTAAATATATGGCAAATTGTATATGTAATGTACTTATTTCATCTTAATCTTCTGGCTTCTCTTTCGCATTCCATGAGTTCAAGAGTGTCACCTTTTCTCACTGGTCCCATGACATTTCTAATGAGGGTTCTTTATTGACCAACCAATTGAACCTTGACTTATGTAATGCCACCTCTGGAACCTGCAGAATGTATAATTGATTGGTACCTGTTCTTCCAATGATTTCGATAACAGTGGCTCTTGTTCCTTCTACTCTGTCTTTAGTTGAATCCATAATGAGTTTATCGAATTTTAATTAAATGATTTAATTTAATTTGTGTGTATGATGCAAATATTAATAAAGTAAATAAATTGTCACTCTGCATGTTTAGGCGACCTGTAAGGATTGCTAGGAGTTCCTTTCCGATTGACAAGCCTGATGGGACTGTTCCTGTTGACTTTCCTAATTTCGCTAGGGTCAGACAATAATTGTTTTCTGCCTTCTCTAATAAATTCTTTAGATTCAGATTAGGCAGGGAATAAAATGAGTTACTATAATAAAGAAATGAGTTGTCTACTTATAGTTCTGAGTTCTCTTTGCTTAGCTTATTATTCTTCTATTCCAAGGAGATGACTTTGCTCTTCAATTCGCTAATGACTTCAGCCGTTTCTTCAGTGGGCAGGGTTTGATTGTTGGCTTTGGGACTTGTTTTTCTCTTCTGCAAAGCGGTTTTCAACTATTCCAATTGTTCCAATGCTTTTTGAAGTACGACCAATTCGAATGTTGTTGTCTTGAATATTGCTTAACTATTGTAGGTGTTGATTTTGGTTGACAATTATTTAATTTGAAGATTGGCATTTTCCAATTGAGTTTTGAGCATTTTATTTTCATTTTGGAGTAAATGGATTTTCTAATAGAGTAATTCTAATTCGCCCAATTGCTTGACAGGTGTATAGTTGTTGGAATCTTGCATAGGGGAGGTGGATTGAAAGTACATCTTCTAATTTGGAGAGAGGGAGGGGTTTGTTTTATTGATTGGAGTTTGATTTGCAAAAGGCATATTTGGATATTGTGAAGGTACATTAACTTATTACATTAATTAATTTAACTGTCATATGAAAAAAAATAGCATTTTATCAGTGCCTATCAAGTATTAAAATTAGATATATTAAGTAGAAGTAAGAATTATATATTACATAGATATTTGCGTTTGATACCCCTTTGTAAATAGCATATAGATTCTGCACTTAGCAGAATTTGGAATTCAATTTTATATCGCCACTTTCAAAATAAATAATATCCTTTGTGTCAATGCTTTTGGATTCTGCTAGTATAGACAACACCACCAAGGCGCAAATAAGACTGCACTTTGATAAATTCATAAACAATGCGAGTATAAGGGAGAGTATTAAAATTGTGGACACCTCCATTTAAATTCGAAATGATTGCATCCAAATCACGAAGCAGTAAGAATCCACACGGAATAAGGATGAGAACTTCAATTTCTCATTTGATAAAGACAATAATGAAGACAACACATCAAACCTCCAAGATTAATTCTAATTTTCATTTAAAAACAAATTACAGGAAATGTTGAACCCAGAGAAAAATCAACCCTCCTCTAGAGGAAGCAGTCGTATAGATCATTATGTTAAGAATAATTCAGTCCATCAGATTGAGAATCTCCAAAAATAGGAGAAATTGAATCAGAAAATAATGAATCGATTGAAGAACAAATCCCCTAGTAAATCACCTAACAAACGAGTTGGCATTCCTTATTAAGACTATATGAAACGACCAAGTGTCCAAATAGATAACTCTAAGGATAGTTTTCATTCGAATCATGGTCTCAGAAACAGGCCGAGTCAATTCATTTCTGCCCAATAGAGTCCCATTTATACTCCAGAAAAGCAAGAACAAAACACTCTTCAAACTTTACCGAAAGGTAGAATAAGCATGGAAAAATCAAAGCAATATAATTCGAGAAACATATCTCCTCAGGAAATTAGTTTCTCTTAGTAATAGATAGATTAGAGCATACAATCAGTAAAGAATTAAATTAACTTGTTTAGTCGATGGTTAGCAATGGAACACTATGCAATAGTCGGATTGAGCATCAATCTAAGTAGGACAGGATGAAGAGTTTCAAGGATTTGATGAATAAATTGTAATGCATTTCTACTCCTCAGAAGAGTCAGAGAAATTATGAAATTTATATCAAACAACAAAACAATACATAAGCAAAAATAGTAAACAACATTTTTAGTGTAAAGTTATTAGGAATAAAAAATAAATGAAATATTTGCTGTGCTTGATACTAACAAGGATGGATATATTGATCATGAAGTCAACTTACAATAGTTAAAATAACAAATTATAGATTTGTTCGAGCCGGTTTGGTTTCAAGTTCTGTGGAAGAAGATTAAGATCAACAAGAGGCAATTTCAAGACATGATGCAAAAAAGGTAATGATTTAAGTAATTAAGAATTAAGGATCTTGATTAATAAGATATTGGAAAATTTATATTTAATGGAATTAAAAAGTGATAATACAACAGTTTTTATACAAATAAATTATTATTTATTAATTCAAATTAATTTGAATTTCGATGTTGCCTGAATTCGGTGAAAGTGAAGCGGAGAGATACGAAAAACTAGAGAAAATAGGGAGTGGAACCTATGGAGTTGTGTATAAAGCATTGGATAAATTAAATGGATAAATTGTAGCTGTTAAAAAAATGACCTAAGAAGTATTGAAAATCCGCCAAATCATTAGTTAGAATAGGAAGGTGTGCCTTCAACTGCGATTAGAGAGATCAGTTTACTCAGAGAGCTCAACAATCCACATATCGTTTAATTAAAGGACGTAGTTATTAGAAATAAGAAACTTTAACTAGTCTTTGAATATATGGAAAGAGACCTCAAGGCACTTTTGGATAGCTCTCCAAAAGATCAATCTCTCGATAAAATTACCATTAAAAAAATAATCCATCAAATATTGAAGGGTATTCAAGCCTGTCATTAGAGACGTATTTTGCACAGAGATCTTAAGCCCCAAAATATTTTAATTGACAAACAAGGTACTCTGATTCAATTTATCTAGGCAATACAAAAATAGCCGATTTTGGTTTGGCAAGACCTTTCCAAGTGCCTATCAGACCATATACTCACGAAGTAGTAACTCTATGGTACAGAGCCCCTGAAGTCTTATTGGGAGCTGTTGAATATAGTACTCCAGTGGATATTTGGTCAGTGGGATGCATCTTCTATGAATTAATTACTAAAAAAGCACTCTTCACAGGAGATTCTGAAATTGATCAATTATTTAGAATTTTTAGGATTCTCGGCACTCCAAATGAAAATACATGGCCAGTACTAATGAAATTTTAATTATCTAGGGTGTCACTAATTTGAAGGATTACAAAACCACCTTTCCTAATTGGAGTCCTCAAGGGTTTAAATAATTGTTAAATAGAGATGTTGACCAATTAGCAATTGATTTATTGACAAGAATGCTTAAATTGGATCCGACTCAAAGAATCAGTGCTAAATAAGCGCTTAATCATGTACAGATTTTAAATTATCATAGTAATACTTTTAAGAATTTTAAGTCAAACCGATTCCCAAGAAATCAGATTATTAATCCTTAATTAAATTTCCATGAATTTATTATATCATATAATTTTATGTCAGAGAGGTCTTTATCTCCAACCGATTATTATGAATTGAAGCATGTCAAATCCATCAAAGTCAATTAAAACTCTATCAAAAAGAGAAGATCAATATATTAAAAAAGCAATCTCTAATTGCAACTGGAATCTAACAGATGCAATCTCTCCTGTGAGTGTTCCAATTGTGGTAAACCCAATGGATTTTAATTGAAGATCCATGTGGAATTGCCGCTCAAGGAAACTAGGTATGCATTCATCCAATATATCCAAGATATCAGAAAAAACAAAGGATCCTGAAAAAATTCAAAGCTGTCGGAAACGCTATTATTTTCATTCTCATTTATAAATTGGAGGCTATCAAAAATTGGAAAAAGAAAATGCATAACCTTAAACTCTCTAAGAACTTAACAATCCTAAGAAGACCTGCAGTTTTGTAAACAGGTAATTTATTACCAAATACTCAGCCTAATAAATAATCAACCAAGTACATTTTATCTTTTGAAAGATCGAAATATTATCCTAACCCATCAATTTCCATCCAAGAATTCCCTTGAATTATCAAAAGGTCATCATACTGAGTTCTCTCATACAATCTACACTCAATAAACCTCAAGCAACCCTAGAGAGCTAAGACCCTTTGATCCCTCTCCTGCCAGACCCAAATCTCGTCCTTAAATCGATAATTCAGGTAAGCATATCATTTATTTAAAGGTAAAATAAAAAATGGAAATGAGTATTTCTCTGAAGTGTAACAACTATAAACGAGTAAAGAAAGCTAAACTAAGTTAAAGAGATTAGTAAGATCGAAAGCAATACAGAAAACAGTTGAAATGTGCTCATGCAAATCATAAAACACATTGCAAAACAGTCAAGATGAAGAAGTCTTAATGAATGAATCAGTTCATCGATTTCAATAATCAAATTAAAAAGTATCAAGAAGAAGGAGTTCAATTTAATTATATTTGGATAAGATATTTAAAAACACAGAATCTGTAAAAAAAGAAAATAATTTAAAACCCTTGAATATTTTTAATGAGGAAATCAACAAATCAAAAAGCAAATATCACCTCAGATCCACTTCTTAATTTTATCTAACTAATTCACAATCATAATTGGTACCATATTATGAACAAATTCGAACTACAACTAATAGTTCTTATTACAATAACAAAAAAAATGGTATCAAGACAATGACTCTGGTTAAAAACAAAAGTAAAGCTATAAAAATAAAAAAGTGAGTAAAATTCAAATTGCATTCATAATATTATAAAATTTAAAAATAGTATTTAAATTTCATGATAGAAATATAATTTTTAAAAATCTTTTGTGTCTTATTATAGTGATTGTAGTGATATTCTTGGGGCAATCATGCTTAACATTTTAAGTCTATAACGTAGGAATTGAATTTGTGTAAGTCAGATTAGATCCTTTATAGAAATATTAATTATATATTTCAAATCAGCCAAAAGTGTCTTAATAATCGTATCTCAAATAGAGGAACTCATCTTCTTTATCTTTATACTTTTCAGCAATGTATTTTAGCTTTTCCTCAAGTGGAAATGTTACGTATTTGTTTTCATCTGTTGTACAGAAAATGTAAAAAGAGTGACTATTTAAAGATTTCTCCTTTAACTATTCTTATAATTTTTACATAAGAACAGCTCCTGTTGATTCTTCTTCTAATAGTACTCTATAAAATAATTTTATAAATTTACTCAGGTCTGTCAAGAAAGATTTGATAACATTTATGTTTTCGTTATATAATCATGGGAACCTTACTTGGGTACTTCAATTTATAGTTTTGATATTTTGTCTTTCTTTCCTCTAAAGAAAAGGTTTCTCTGAAAGCGTTATATGTAGGACTTTTGTAATTCATTTATAAAATTAATAATAATGGAATTTTTTTTAATTTATATATAAATGACAAAAGAAAACCATTATTATATAGAATTTAATCAGTTCGTCAAATAAATTTTATTCTTCTTATTTCATTAAAATTATATTAAATTATGTCTTAAATTCATAACGATCTTTGTATAAAGAGCATTGATGAATTGAGACAAGCTTTCAAGTAAGTTCAAATTCCAACTTAATAACCATAACAATAATAATAATCATAGCAATAAAGCCCATAAAAGGAAGTCGAAAGAGTTATTGAAACTAAAGCACCTACTTCCTCACATTAATAGATACATTGTCATCCAATTTGTTTCCCTTCTCATTTTTGTCATCCTATCAGTTATTAGCCATTTATAATTGTGCAAGAGCAACCTGTAAATGAGAGGAAATCAAATAAGAAGAAGAAGAAATACGTTAAAGAAGTCTAAGAAGAAATTTAAGTTCAAATACCAGTCAAAAAATCTCGATAAAAAATAGAATAACCCAATTTTAATGTTTAAAGGGAAGTAGACCATTTAGAATAGCTTATAAGGCAAGTTAAGATTCAAGAATAGCCAGCTTAAGTTTTAGAATATCATATCAGTGTTCCTGAATAGGAGAAGCCTAAAGATAACACTGAAATGATCGCTATGTTATCAGCATTAAAATAAGAACCAATATAATTACCTAAGGATGATTATCTAAAAATTGAGAATGCTAGATTATAAGAAGAAATTAAAAACACTAAAATATAATATCACGAACTCAATGTCAAATATGAAGAGTTATAAAAAAGAAAGAGAAAAGAAAAAATAGTTAAGGAGATTGAATATAAGGAAATACCAAAAATTGTTGAAGTACCCAGAGATGTGGTTAGAGAAGTAGTAAAACCATTTGAAGTTGTTAAAGAAGTAATTAAAGAGGTTGAAAAACCATCTTAAATGAATACTAAAGAAATTCCCATTTATGTACCTTAATATAAAGAAGTAATTGTCAACAAAGAAGTACCTGTTTATAAGGAAGTACCAGTAGAAAAGGAAGTAAAAGTTTATAAGGACATACCTGTTTATAAAGTTTAGCCAGTATATTATGATGTACCTGTCTATAGAGATGTTCCCATATATCAGAAGGTGCCTGTTTATAAAGAAGTGCCAGTTTATTCTGAACCAATCAATGTTTACAGAGAAATACCAATAATAAAAGAGGTAGATCGCGTTCCAGAGTCGATTGTAGAGCATCCAAATTTATCAAGGACAAGGAGACTGATCTCACCCAACTAAAATGGTAGATCATATATACGGTCTCCATATTCAAGAATAGAATATTGATCATTAATGAATATTATGATTATTTTAATTATTTAGATGTTAAATTAATAAAATTAAAATGAGTAAAGCGCATTTAGTTAAAGAGATGATTATAATAAGAGATGAAATGAGAAATATCAATGTAAATATTTATTATTAAACCAGAATAGAATATTAACAACGAACTCTTCTAGAATCTTTGACTGTCCTCCAATTTAAAATAGAAATGAAAAGATAAGAAAATATTGCTGTTAACTGATAGCCTTAAAACCTAAATCATTCAAATAATATTTCATATCAGAATAATACATACACGATTTATTGAATAAAATGGACTATGAAAAACTACTTAAAATTTCATTGAAGTTTATCGTTAAATATTTACAGAATTAAGATGAAGAAGAAGAAGAAAGTTCTGAAAATGAAATCAAATCACCCAATAATACTAAGGATGTTAAAAAGTTCAGCTAAATGATCAGAGATATTGTTTCTCCAATTAAAACCAAAGTTACTACTTAATCACAATTCTTCGATCCCAATTTAAGAGGCATCCATAAATCATCACAAACTTTAAGTTAAAATTAAGAATCACAAGCAAAAACTAATTTAAACTTAGGCATACGGCAATAATCCTCTCTATTATCATCCATATAATAAGACAATTTAAATTCACCCAAATTTAATGACAATAGAATAAATGTGATTGATGAAATTTCATTTGAAAAATCCTCCATTAATAAAGATTAATAAAACAAGTATAAGTTAGATCAATAAAATGAATATCACAGTTAAAAATTAGATCACCACCCTTAAATCAATGACAAATTGGATTATGATATTAGTTTAATAACTACTCCAAAATAAAGAGAGTTAGATAATTATAAGCAGACCTTAAATACTAGTATGAATAGTTCTTTTAAAGACACCAAGAGAAAAATGAAAAATAAGTCTTTGCTTCAATCAAAGCACTATTAACAGTTTGAAGATAAAAGATTTCCAAAGAAAGAGATTCCATTTACAATGCTATCTGTTGACCATTTGCTTAAGAGAAGAAAAACTCCAGAAAAAAAGAGAGACTTTAACATAATTACGAATTCTTGATTAAATAGATATTATGTTAATATTAAAAATTTTGCATGTTTAAATTACAATTCTGCTTAATTATGTTTATTATATTTCTTTGTAGATATTTTTCATAAAATTTATATTAATTAATAAAAATACTTATATTCATGTAAAAGAAATCCCTGTTTCAATTATTGAATTTAAATAACTTTTCATAAGCTTTAATTATTAAGAAGTTTTTATAAGTTGACATCAATCTTTGTCCAATTATATATTCCTATTAACATTGAAGAAGCATTTATATATGAGGAATGTTATCCTAAACAGATTTTATTGACATCTTTATTGGAAACTCAATCTGCTTTTGGCAATCTTCCAAATAAAAATAAAATCTTTCATTTTTATATAAGATTGTCACTATTACATTCATCATCAATCTGGATGAATAAATAAACTTATATTTAGAATGACTAATTAGAATATTTTGTCATACTTATTAATATAAGTTTCTAATTTTATGGATTTTTTATTGGTTCTTAAAGCTTGAATACTTTTGATATCAACTTTAGGAAATTCAATTACTTTTTTTTTATTCTTAATTTATTCAGTTAAGTAATCACTACTTTGTTTAAGAATCCTTAAGGCTGTGTTATAAGAGATTTGATTCAGCTAAACATAAAATATCAATATTACTGATGAGTAATTATAAATGCATTGTCTAAATTAACATTTCAAATTGATTGCTTTTTAAGTTGAACCATCTAATTTCTTATAAGAAAAATAGATATTTGTGCTTTATGATTCTTTGAGGGATATAAAACTATATTTCTCAAACATAGAACCATATTCAACTTATTGCTACTCAAAGAATATTTCAGCTTGGTAATCATCGTCAATATAAACCTATTGAGAAACTCTAAATTTAATGTAATATCATATACCCCAATTATCTTAATATGCCTCTATAAGTGTCTATTTATAAAATGTATTTATTGTAATTAGTCATTATGATGTTACAATCCTCAATCATTTATTCCCAGAACTAATTTAGTAATTCATAATACGTAACACATTAAGAATTTATAGGAAATGTTTTTGGATAAGGCTGCAATTTTTAAGATTTGTTACAATTTGATTACATCATAAAATGTATCAAATTTGCTTATTGATGGTTTGACACTAACTCTTTCTTTAAATACTACACATATCAACTTAAATCATACATTAGACATCATGGGATACTCTTTATGGATGCGATAACTTTCCAAAATATGTTCTTGATGAAGGCTTCTTACTTTCACTTCTCAAAATCTTATAACTATGCTTTATCTGATTCTATTGATGATGACCAGTTTGAGATTAAGCTTAAGAGCGATAATAATTATATCCATGTGATAGATCAGATTATTACTAATTCATAAGCATTTATTCATATTGATCTTTAAACTTTTAAATGCTGATTGAAGAGATTCCTGATCTCTCACTTAATCTTGATTTTATAGAAAACTAATCGTCAATATGTTACAATTTTTGTTATCTCATAAATTATATGAAATTATTATATCTTTGTGGAAAATGATTCAAATACTCATCTAAGCTTTCTAATATGTTTCCAGGGATGATTTTGTCTAATGTGGTTTAGTGTAAATTACTAAATTCATAATCTGACATAACGCTTCTAAATTGCTTGCAAAGATTAGGAATGTAGATTTGTATAATCAAATCATGATTTAAAGTATTTTAGAATAGAGATACAATTAAGAAATGCTTACTCAATTTCTTAACTCTTTAAAATATTAATTGTATAGCTTATTTCTATTTAATAAACAGATTTGTTTTTTGCTTTGATCCCATATTCTCATTTATCTAATTCACATACTTAAAATTTGAATTTAGAGACAAATGAACTTATTAGGAATTCCCTTTATAGGCCAAACTTAGTAAATTCTTTAAGAACAAGGCTTTCTCTTCCACAGAAAGATTCAAGATCTAAAATGTCTACAAATCATTATGATTCAGATATGTTTTAAAGGATGATAAACGTTTTTCAAATGGAAATATCAGAATCTCCAATATCATTATATCTTCATCCATTAAATATTAAGTAAATTGCAATAAATTCATCCCTTTAAAGTTATTTAATTTAGACACTACCTGAAATTTAGTTATTTTACAGTAAGTTCTTAGTAAATTCTTGATATGACTTTGTTCATTAGCAACTAAATGTTTTAACAGTATTTTGTAAATTTCTTTGGTTGAATTAGATTTCAATTCATAATTAAAAATTTATTTTGTTTAATTTTAAAAACCCAGAGTAACATAGCTTCCATTTGCTTTATATTCTTAAAGTATGTAATAATTTAAGACTCGTTGTAATTACTAAAACTCACCAATGATAGGTCTACTTTATTGATCAAGGATTTTCTTAAACAATTCTTACAATTTTGTTAAGCTTTATTGATTGTTAATTTATATAAATTTTGGTTATTGATTTTTGTACAGGTACAACTGATAGATTTCTTTTCCTTTAAAATATGACTATTTAATTCTAAAAACTATTCGTGATTGATTTAAAGGTTTAAAAATAAAAATGTAATAATGATCTTTATTAATTTAGGAGTTGTCATTAATTAAAGATTTCCGTTCTATCCTTCTTGTTATTTTATATTCAGGAAATTCATCAAAGTTAATATTGTTGGATTTTTAATAAGTATATCCATCGATTTGATTAATTTGCTTGATGTATTTGAGTTTAGCTATGTAAGGAATATTTCTATAGTATCCCAAATAGATTTTTAAAATAGATACATCTAGGTCTACAATTTAAGTGAATTTTTGTAAGGAATAGCTAGACTGAATAACATCCCTTTGTTAAAACAAATAACTATGAAGAAGAAAGTGACCAAAATTTTCTGGATTTTCAAAATTAAATGTAAATGTCAGATAATTAACATGCCAGCCCTCTTTATCACGTGTTAAATAAAGAAGTAAAATCTATCTAAAATCATTATAATATTACTTACTAACTCTAATAAGGATTAAAAGGTATGGGATCTTTTAATTTTATATCTCTTTGTTTTGGATAGTTTTTAAAGTAATCCTCTGCAATGGGTTTTTGTTTGGATTTTTTCATGAGATTTGAGGAGCTTTAGGAAAAGGAAGAAAAGGTATTATTCTTTGGTCTTATTTGGGGAGAGATTGAAGATCTAGGTGAAGCTGAGGAAAATCCTGATTTGGGTGTAAAACTGGATTCTTCAATAATTTCATCTTAATATTCTGCTTTGAAGGATTAAGATCTCAATCCTTGCCAGTAATTATAGGGGGACATTGCTGTCGACTATAAGACCGGAGATTACAATTCAATTGCAATAGACAAAGACTTTAATAATTTCTTATTTCTTAAATTAGAATTTTTAATACCAAAATATCTACTACCGACATGAAAGGGAGAGAATGTCTTTTTAATAAGATTTCTTCTTTATTCAATTTATCGATACAATTCCACTTGATTTTCCAGTATTTATTCAGAAAAAGTGACTCTTCTGAATTTGTATCCATTTTCAGTTCTCATATAAAGAAAATTGTTAAGAAACAATTGGTTTAGATGATTTGAAATGTTTTGACATCCCTTCTTCAAAATGTCTTATCTTAGTAATGTTTATTTGGTTTGAATAAATTAAGTTGTAGGTTTAATAGAGGGATTATATTGGATCCCATGAGACTGAAAATAAACATTTATTAATTGAGATATGAGTTCAGTACTGGAAAAAGTATTTTCAAAATCTTTAGAAATATTTTATATATTTTTCAGATGTAACCTGATATCATATTGTTTGCCTTTGATTTCTATCGATATACTCAACACAAAAATAGCATTAGTCCCATCAATACTACTACTCCACACTTCTATAATCTGGCGATATTTTGGAGTTTCCTTATATAACTTTGCTATGTCAGGATGGATTTAAGTTTTCTTAGTTTTTAATCGTTTAAATACAACCCAGGAGATATTCTTAATCTTCCAGGAGACTGCATTAATTTATTTGATCGGTGAATAGATCATCCAGGATTTCAAAGAACCTTAATCTATCACTTAGCATATATGAAGAATTGATTTAATTCTAGCAATTTTCTCTTCTATCAATATATTTTTAGTTGCACCAACTTCAACAATCAAATTTGAAAAGTGTTATTTGGCTGTGCTCTTTTTCATTAAGTCTTGACTCTTTTAAATCTTTTGCTTTTGGACAAAGCTTCTAAAATTTTTTATTATCATTCTTAAGGCATGTTCTTATTAGATCTTGTATAACCCATCCAATCTATTATGTAAATACTCATTATCAATTTAATGTTTGCTTCCACCTGAACTGGTATTTAAACTGTAATAGGATTAACCAATTCTAGGAGAAAAATGAAAGTCCAAATCCTGCTAACCTCTTTATTAATCAGTCTTAAAATAACTTGATTGTTCTGAAATCTCACACTATATTGATTTAGAATCCAAAATTTTCGGTTACGATTATTCTTTAACCTCTATACGTTATTTTGAACTACTTTTCATTAGGTTTTGTTAATGGAGTTTTATTTAACTCCTCTTAAGTAGAGTATTCCGATTCTATTATTGCTAAGACAAACTCGATTATTGATGATGATGTTGCTTTTAAGGGGATGGTTAAGTTTACTAATTTTTAACTAACTTCTTTGGATGTCTCTATTTGCATGATTGAGGCCTTTGTAAGAGTAATTCTTGCATGTTACTACTTTCTACAGGCATATCTTGAACAGAATCTAGTTTATAAGATCCTCTTAACTCACTGGTAATGTTATTCTGTCTGAATTAAATGATTGATTTAGAATGGAGGTTAGAACTGGAAAGAGGAAGATACAGGTTCATCTTTTGATCAGAAATTTTGAGTAAAGATTCATTGCCTTTGTATCTGATTCTTTTAGAAGGTTCAAAGGTTGATGCTTCTGTCGTTAATTTTTCAATTTCACTTAAATGCATATTTCTACCCTTTTTTAAATTGGCTTCTTTTTTGCTTTGGTTCTTGAAATACTAAAATTCCAGTCCTTGCTTAAAAACTTCGAAGTTCGGTATTGATTATAACTGTAAGAATTTTATTTTTCTTTATCTCTATTCCAGTTCTGTCTAATATAACTAACTGATTTTATGATCACTTCCAAAAAACTATTCTGCTAATTTTGCTGCATACTCGATATGTTCAATTTTATTAGTTTGCTTGTATAACATGAAATATGTTTTAGCTTTTATCTAATTGATCTTCTCATCATTAGTGTCAAGAGCCAACAATCCCTCTGCTGTCAAAGTCTATTTTAAATGATATTGGGCTTCAGCTAAAAAAAAATATAACGAGCTTTTTGTAAATTAATCAACTTTTTGCTTGACTCCACTTGGTAGCTTATCAAATTCTTTAATATGATCTCCTATCAAATGAACAATTTAATCCCATTCCTTGTCCTTTCTATATTATATACAAAGTGGTAACGATTCCTAAAAGATGTGAGTATATTTGTTTATGTAATCCTTTGAGGTGAGACTTTTCATTAAAGTATTAAATTTATTCATTTGAAATAAAGTAAGAAAATTATAATGAAATTAAACTAAGAATTTATTTAATTATTTTAAACTTTCCATTTCAAACATTTGCCAATAAAATGTGTTAATATATTACTACCTTTTGAAATTACTTTGTTGTTTGATGATGGGATAACTATATGAATGAAAAATTTAGTCTAAAATCTTATTAAATTATTTTAGAACATTCCATAACAATAGATTTGTTTGTGTAAACAATTAAATCATCTCATGAATTAAAGCGTATTAGGACTTATACATATTTTCTAGTGTTGCTTATGATTTATTATTTGTGCAGCTTAATTTTTACATTTATTCTAAGCATATTCATTTAGTGAAAACATTAATTCAATAAGCAATAGAAAAGATAACATTTAAATCATATAAAGAATACACCATTTAGAAGTTTGATGTTTATTTTAGAACTCATTAATGAAGAATTTTGATTCCTAATAAAAAGGTTATTGATAAATTATAATTGAAACTACAAATTTATTAAAAATAATAACAAGAATTGATAGTTTAAATTACATATATAGAAAATTGAAATTTCAATTTGACATTATGTTGATAGCCAAATATATTAATAGTTTCTAAATTTTATGTTAGATACTTTTAAGAAATATAATTTAATTTAAAGGGGAGAATCAATAATATTTAAGAAAATATCACGTTATTTGTTCTAAAAATAACATAAACTTCATCATAGTTTAGCTTATAATAAATCAGGAATAGTATTATCTGACTTTGTACCAAAGGTGTTATATAGAAGTTGAAATTTATTTAAAAACTATTAATAATATAAATACCCTTCTTATTTATGATGGATATTCTCACATTCTTGTTCTAATTGTTCTGTTACTTCTAAAAAATTAGGATTAATTAAATTCTTCAGCCTCTTTCTGAGAAATAGATCAATAATAGATAAATCAATTAAAATATGAAATGTATTAATTCTTAAAGAGAATTTAAGAGACAGTCTTTATTGTTAAATTGATGTTTGTTAATTTAAGTATTTCATTTATAGAGGAATGTTATAAATGACTTTGTTAAAGTCTTGAAACTTATATTAATATAATTTATATTCAAATGTCTTTCGATAAATTACAACCTGTCATTAAACAAATCGATATGAGTGATGAAATGCAAAGAGAAGTCATTGAAGTATCAAGATAAGCCATTGACAAGAGTTCTACAGTATAAGCATTAGTAATTTGTAGGATTAATAAATTGCATCATACATCAAGGATGAATTAAGAGCAAAATATCATGGAACGTGGCATTGTATTGTAGGAAGAAACTTTGGATCGTATGTAACTCACGAAACAAAACATTATATATATTTTTACATTGGATAACTGGCCATCATGCTCTTCAAAACAGGATGAATTATATATTATATATCAGATAATAATTATTGGTTATATGAATTACTTCTGTTTAAAGTCATAATAGTTTAATATAGAGAGGATCTCAAATATCAGTTTTTTAATTTATTATATTTAATTGCAAAAATAAACATATTCTTAATCAAATGGAATCTTGTAAGTATTTACTCTATGCTTATGCATAGAATGCTTTTTGTAAATTAGGATTTTATCTCTGTCTTCTAGTTTGAATTTATTAAAAGTTTAATTTCAATATGAAATCATCATCATTTGGCATAAAGTTTCGATATTCTTTTTAAATTGAATCTAGTGGATTGAACTATATGCATTTGATCAATTTGTTTGTTTAGAGATCATTATCATCCAACATGAATGTAGGTTATATATCATTATTTTCTAAATGATATTTTTTTAGATTAACTTTTTTGTTTTATTATGATTTTTTCATTATTTTTGCAATTATTGAAACATTTTATTTTTCTGATTCGAAATTCTTCATTTAATACCCTGATTATGCTCTTTTACTATTAGTTCTAGTAGTGTTTAAATGCTTCTAATCCAAATCATAAGTTCTTTCTCTACGAAATGAATAAGACTTTCTTGCTGAACATGTAGTCTAAGGACGCATAAAGTATGTGTTTATTGACTTTTATTAATTATTTGAATTTATTGAGTAATGATCCAAATACTTACTTTTTGCCACTATTTGAGTAGTTTTCATGCCGTATTTTTAATTTATACTATTTAATTTTTATTCGAACTCTTTGCTTATTAATTTACATTTCTTGGGTTACTGAATAGTCTTTGATTACACTGACGAAGACCTGTAAGATCGATATATCACTCGATTTTCAAAGTCTTTGACTATTTATTGAATTCTCTATGGCTTGTTGTCAAATTTTTAAGATTGTTCGAATGAACTGTAGTGATTACGATAATCACCTTTTTACTCAATAAACCTCTCATTGTCTGATGAAATCTTCGGCGGATCTATAATTTCATGGCTTGTATTATTTTATAAGGCTAATTCCTTTATTTTATTCAAAATCTCCCTTATTTTTGTTAAATCCCAACTGCCGCTTATTTTGTCACATTTCAAAGTGCGCAACTTTTCCAGTGGGTTAAGTAAAAAGTCCTCTATCATTCCGCTAGCTAAACCGAATGGTTTTTATTTATTAGGACTGGCTTCTAAGTTTATATAAGTCAAAGACATAAAAAAATTAAATTAGTAAACAAATACAAATCATACTTACATTCTTCTTTAATCAACCACGAGGATATTCGGTTTAGCTCTATTAGCTATTCTGCTTTTTAAGATTCTCATTTCTTGGTCAACTAAAAATTTATTACATTTTGGTATTTCGAAAGAAAGATTACCTAATTAAATTTAAGTGATAGCCAATTATTAATCCCTTATATTAGTAGGCGTGTGTGTTCCATATTAATGATATAATCTATTTTTCAGCTTTTTATTGATGGTTGCAGACTCAATAATAGATTGAGCCCTACTGGTGAGTTCATCCAAAAGAATTGAGTTTCCCTTCTTCATATTAGGGACATTCCTAACTAAGGAAGGAGAGTTCCTATTCTCACATTTCATCCATTATTGAGCAAAATCATTGAAGGTTTTATTTAATAAAGTTCTTGCCTTATCAAATTTGATTCTTTCTGTATGAGAAGATGTAACAGGTTTTGCTGCTTATTTAACTGGATTGCTTTCAATTTCACTATATCGAAGTGAAGGTAAACCCATTTTGAAATTTTTAGGTGTATTTCGATTTTAATATTCGATAAGTTTTTGATTAATGTTTCGAGATCTTAGCTTAGATCTTTCTACGATGTCGATTGACTTATATTGATTTCTGTAAAATTGCGCTATTTCATTTTAATCCCTACTCTTATAATTCTCTTCTACTTTTATAGTCTATTTTTTTTGTTTTTTGCTTAGGTTTTCAAAAGCAAGCAATTTTATGGAATTTAGGATTTATTTTATTTATTCAGTATCGTTCTAATAGTAGCCTTGTTCTATTTGTCTTAATTATATTTATTCTAGTTCTTTGAGAGGTGAATTCATAATATGTTAATTAATATTATTATTTTTATTTAAAGCAATTAAAAATAGTATAAAGGAGTGCTCTCAGGGGCAATATTTAATATCTACAGAGGTAGGGGTGAAATACTGTTATTGATATAATGATCTAAAATTAATATAATATAATATAATATTTTAGATTATTCATATGATCTTTTGGAAGCACTTAGGTGTTTGACTATTATAATTCAGTTTCTAGTGGATATTTGTATTTGCATATTAATGAAAGTATAATTAAATAAATGTATTAAAATAAAATATTTTGTGCATTATCTAGTATTGCCTTAATATTTTTTTGTGTTAATTTCAGGGAATCTTTACCTTCATTATATTTGGTAGAGTGCTTGATTCTTTTCAAAACAAGTATTTAAGTGAGTTTTAAAAGAAATGATAGATTTTTTAGTGAATTAGTGCAACATAAAGAGTATTGTGTATTTTTAATGATAAAAGGACTCTTTCAAAAAATGCGAAGTTAATTTTAATAGATAAATCGTATCGAATAAGCAGATTCTATAAATTGAAAGTAATGATAATTGTAGGGATCAACATCATAATACTGCTATATTTAGGTGCCAATTTTTATGCACCTGAGCTTTTAGATTCCTTATTAGCCATATATGGAGAGTACACTAGCATAATCCAAGAGAGAGTATCACATTATCCATTCAATTTTAGATGAAAGATCTAACTCTATTTTAAAATGTCATCTACAACAGCATTTTCTTTTTGATCAGTTTCCCATACATGTCATCAGAATTCACCATATACTCCAAAGTGAATTGGAGTTACTTTCGATTCTTCAATACAATTTCAGCATCATATCGTTACCTTCAAGTATGAGAATCCCATCCTACTCTAGTTCTTAGAAGCAGTCCTCCTGTTGACAGCCTCATTTATGAAACCAACCATAGCAGCCTACCCTTTGAATTTCTTCGCCTTCATGTTGATCTATGAAATCAGTATCCAGGAGCCTTTCTTTTTCAAAACTGTATAATTGTCTAGTAATTAGCACTCAGTTGAAACAAAGCTTTAAACATCAGATACTGTGCAAACTACAGATTGTGATACAATACACTCTGATAATAATATTGGCGTTAGAATATTCTGGATTGCCCCAATATGGGTTAAACAGTTTTTAGGCCTTGCTCTCAGGACTGAAGACTTCGTATGATGGCCCCTACCTCCTCATCTTAGCAATAGCTTATTTTTTAAACATCATAATAGATGTGCTCTACAATGTGAGACAATTAAGAGGTCAAGTAAGTGCGGCTAGCGATTTATCGAATGACTTTGATTTGGATCTAATAACTTATTTGGCTTAGAAGGAAAGGTAGGAACGCAGATAGACGGTGGTTGCATTGATAATCCAAACTTAGGAGAATGGGATACAAGATCAGAATGAGTTACCGTAAATTAATCAGGGCGAGGCGAATGGGGAAGTTCAGAGAAATTATATGGAATAGGAGTAGGAAGTGATTGAGGATAATGTGGAAGGGTAGGAAAGGTAAAAGAAGAACCATCAATTTGTAATAATAAGGATTCTTATTGCGATTTAATAACTATATTGTGTATTTATCATAATGAGATTTCCGTATTTGGGATTCACATTATCAATTTTATGGATTTTCTAGAGTTCAATCACTAGGAATCCAGAGCAGATAATTTAGTTTTTATTTTTGATTTATTACCCAACTGCATATTATCAAATTAGGGAATGTGAGAAGCTTGATATATTTGATTAGTGTTTAGTTTGGACTTAACTCTTTATTTGTTTTGGAACCTATAAATTTTACTTGAATAATAAGGAGTAAATTCAATTTGCGTTAAATTAAAAGCAATCCTTATTCCAGACTTATTTTAATTAAGAATAGGAGGAGGAAGCATTTCAATTAGCATAATTAATTTGGGCATTTGTTTTGAGGAACAGCTACTCAATTACTTTGGTAATAGTGTTTTGGATTAGTCTGTTTACAGCTAACATTATACACACTCTCTTATTGGTGACTACAATCCTATTCATAGTGAGACACGAGAACAAAAATAGATCACATTCCCAACATTCATTCAGACACAGAAATTGGATATGGATGGTTGTGATAATCAACATCATCATATTACTCAAATATGTGTATATGTTGGAGATGGTGGTATTCGGTGACTTTGGTTACAACATAATTGAGTTGTTTGGATTTTAATTTGAATACAATTTGCCATTTAATTTAGGGTTCAACGACAAAGATTTTGGATCTTTGAGTGTATTTTGGATGCTGGACTGTTTTGTTGTTCTGCAATATGAAACATATAAGAGTACTACCTATAAACAATTGCAGGAGAGCTATCAGAAGATGATTTCAAAAATTGGATTATTTTCATCGATAAGATAGTTGTACAATGTGTTGTATATCAAATTTATTTTATGGATCTGCTATTGGATTTCCTTATTGATACTCACATTCTAATCCTTCAATATTATAAATCTGTTTCAGATTCTACTATTGCTATATATCATAAAGACACACATATCAGGAATGATAAATAAGGATATTCAATTCAGAAAGATTCAAATTTGTTGGAGTATCTTCCTGATGCAAGTTGGATTCGCCACATTATTTCGATATTTATTCGACTTCTCTTGGTAATTCATTATATCTATTGCATAAGCTTACAATTGTTGTAATCTCAATTGAGAAAGATAACCATTTATGAATATTTGTATACTCACCAAGGCTTCATTGGATTGAGCAAACGAGTGCCCTTTTTGATCTTTCCCAATCTTGTGTTAGACATTGCAGTATTGTGTTTGGGATACTTGGGGTAAGACTATTTGCAATAGATGATATCGATCAATGATCTAGCAGTTCATGTGTAGAGACAGCACAAGCATACGAATGAACATAATGAAATTGAGTTGGAGGATCTAAGCAAAAGTCTCAAGGAGAATCTGATCAACTCTAATAATGACTCTTAGATGGAGGATAGACAATCCATAGCAGCTAATTTCGCTTTTGATTTCACAATTCAATTGTAATTTATGTGTTGTTCTATAATATAGTCCCTTTTTAAATGTGATATTTAAGTATGTGAGTTTGGGGTTGCCAATTGTTATCTACATCGTTATCGTTATAACGTCAATCAAATATAAGATATCCTGCAGTATGTTAGTCTATTTACTAATCATGTTCTATTACATCTACAAAACGAGATCATATTTTATTGAGCAATTTCAGAATCATCAAATCACAAGCAAACTCAACGAAAGTATTATTTGAATTAAATTAGAAATCATAAGATGGAAATACATATTCATAAATAAAGTAGAGAAGGAAGGAATGCGAGTTAGGATGGAAGACTCTCTAACATCAAAATACAATACTAATCTTATTTTAACTATTGCCATGATTACCAAAGACATAAAAATAAAATCATTTGAATACAAGAAAGCTTGTTGGGTTGGCACTATCATGTTTAGTTTGCTATTCCTGTTGATTACTTACTTATCGCAATCGTTGAAATATTTTGAGGATTACATCGACTTAAAGACAATGGTCAACATTAAGTACATCTTGTTTGCCTTTGGAACCTACAACGATTACCAAAGAGATGATTTGATAGTCAAAGACATCTATCCATATTTGGTAGCGTTGATAATAGTGATCATAGATGTGAAAGCTTCAGACTTTCTCAATTCCATTGACAATGATGATTAACATCAAGAATAGATTACCAAATCTATTTAATAGACTGAATAATACAGAGTCTCAGAGAGAGAGTCATTGTAAAATTCAGCATCTTATTTGATTGATAATTTCTATTACAACAAATTTCAATTGCTAAAGTTGAATTTCCAAAAAGGAGCTATTCATTCTTCGGAGAGAATGTACATGATAATCCTCTTCTTTTTGGCTGCCATATCTGAAGGCATATTCAGCATAATTTACATTCTATTATTTGCACTTGTGTTTTACTCGTCAACCAACTCAAAGTCTACCATCAACAAGTATTTTATTTAAAGTATTTTCTAAGAGTGAGCGTATTAGTCGTGATCTTCCAATACGTTAGCTATCTGATAACATTATCCTAAGGTTCATCCCCAAGAATCCTGCCTGAGGAATTCAACCAAACAGAATATCTCATATTCAATTTCTCAAATACAGATTTGCTGGATAAATGGGGGTTGTCAGGTAAAGGAAGGAGCAAGGGAACCTTTATTTTTAATTGCATCATCATATTTGCCATCTGGCTGTTTTATTACTTTTAGGAAGTGCTCAGCATCAAGATGATCTTGTTCATTGATCAATGCTACATCAATATGAAATTAAGGAAAAAGGAAAAGCATATCTCCTCTAAATTTTATATCATTATTAAGCGACTCTATATAATTAGCATAGTGTATTTCATATTATTGGTGCAACTCTCAGTGCTATGCTATTATCTATTTGTAATCTACTCAACCAGAATCTTAAAGACTATCAATTTGGCCATGTTTCTATTCACAATGTAATTAAACTGTCCTAAATATTTAGACTGTCATTGTATGTAATTGAAATACAGTTGAAGATTCCAAAGAAATAAACTGAAAAGAGAACTGATATATACAAGAGAATAATCTTTGTTCAAGAGGGAGCCATCCTCATTATATTTACTATATTGTTTGCACAGAAACTGTTCAAGGATGAAAATAATACCACAAGCAACATCTCAATAGTAGAGATTCTGATATTTTATTTGTTGCAATTGGGCAAGGATCTCTTGGAATCTGAGTAATACGAGAAGATATCGAAGGATTTCTATGATAATCTGGACACTAGATCTGAGGCTGTTGGATTGGCGATGAGTTTTGAAGCCAATAATAGAAAGCTGATGAAACTCATTGAGAGATACAAGGATAGAAATGACTTGAAGGAGAGAATAGACACCATTACTAAGATGATAAATGAATTCAATCAAGACAAGTATGAATATCTATCTGAAGTAGTCGCCAATCTGATTGTTAAGTCATAAACATACAGGATCAATACAACCCAATGGCTGAACCTTTGAAACTCACAGTTTACAAATGGATTGAATCTCATAGAAATCGATTCTTATTTGAACCTACGCTCTAGATTTTCCACTTCATTGCTTGTTCCAATTTGTAAGTGTTGGAAATTGCAGAGCATGAAATTCAATACATTTAGAATCAGGATTTCGAAGCCGTGATTTCCTATTTACAAAGTTTCTACAAGGAGGCCACGAAGTACATATCACCTACTTTAAGCAAAGAGAGTTTCATGTAGTAGTTCTTACAAAATAAGAAGACTGTTGGATTTAGTTAAAACAATGAGATAAGGTAAATAAAGAAGGATTGGCAAAATCTAAAAGAGAAGATCTCAGAACATGCTTCGTCAAACAATTTAACTAGAGAGGACATTTCTCAATACATCAATCAATACGATTGGAAGAGATTTCTTCTAGTCATTGGACAATTCATATTTTCTTTCTGGCATTTCATTTGTTTCATCTTATTGATCACTTATTACTTTCTAAATCATGGTTTCTTTACTATAATAATGCCATTATTGGTTTTTGCTTACGGAGCAATTGAAGAATAACAGCCAGATAAATTAATGTGGATATTCCCCTTCATTTATTTGAATTTTCTTTGTGCCTTGGAGAAGTTGGACGATCTAACTCCATTTCTGTAAGACAACAACTTCTTGGTGTTTTTATTTGGTGAGAACTCAGTCGTCTTCCAATTCATTACAATCGTAGCTATCATAATACAAGTGAACATCATGAAGAATATTGGTCTCTATGAGAAATTCATAAATCAATATGAGACCATTTATGGCAGTATCTTAAGGCATCTGTGTAATGGCACCTTGAATTTGGAAGATGGAATCAAGAGACCCAAGTAGTAAAAGATTGTGAGATCCAAAAGTTAAGAGAGATTCTAATGTTTGAATACAGCCTTACAAGCATAACGAGTTTCAATATAGATGAATCAAACCTTTACAGTTTTGCAAAAATTGGAAGATGATCTGATTGATTACCTGACCAGAATCAAACTAATAAAGCCTAACTTTTTCTTTAGGGCTTTCAGCAATATGAAACCTGGAAAAGATGTATATCCATTCATGGCTGGCATTCAAATTATACTGGCCATCTACATATTTTTATTCTACGATCAGATGAAGTCTATGGATTCACCTTCCATTTCAGAACTCTTGAAGTACAGTCAATTTTCTGGTCACATGGTTGTCGCCTTGCTCTTTCAGATTCTGTGCATTTTGGTCGATAGGTACATACTGCAATACAAACCCAAATCTGCCCAATATAGTATAATCGACGTATTCTTCAAGAGTGGAAACAAGTAGAACCAGAATCAAGTAATGATCCAGCAATTCAACTAATCGAAAGATCAATTGGAACCTGAGGAAGTGAAACAAATTGAAATTCAGATGAGACAAACAATTGGAGGAGCTGGATAAAGACAAGAAGAGGCTAATCCTCCAATCATTAGAAAACTCAGATCGTTTTCGTATGCAGAAAAGAGACAAATAGAATAGAAATAGGTAGAATAAGTTGCTCTAAGATACAAGTACTATTTTTAGGTAGTGTTACTGGTTTCTATAAATCTCTATTTATTATATTAGATTAGATAGAGCACTTGCAATGTAGCAGGCGAATGTCAATATATCACTTACAATATATTTATGATCCTCTTCTACATGTTGATTTGTTTGTACTTCTTTTTGTCTTCCATTCAGATTAAATATGGGATCAACGATCAAATAGTAAACTACTGCATTAATTATTACTTTAGGCATAGAACACACTGATGAAAGGATACAAGTTCCACAATTTTGTTATTTTTAAGGTATATAAATTAATGCCCTTCTTGTTTGAATTGCGAACCATTTGCGATTGGGCATTTTCAGAAACGTCCTTAACATTATTTTAATGGATTAAGTTAGAGGAGATACATTCCCTATTGTATTTGGCCAAATGTAATTCCTACTTCTTTTCTAACAAAAAGGTTGGGGCCAAGATTGCCTTTCACACTAAATTTTCATTAGGATTCTTGGTAATCATAGTGTTATTGGCCTTGTTGTTCGGTCCAATCTTTTTGTACTCCCCATTAAACCCAACATTTTAGAATGACAATCTAATCGGAGCCAATATTGAAGTGGGTTTGAAGATAAACAAAACAAACTACTTTACATTGTTTGTGAATTCCCACGTTAGCGATATCCATCAGATTAGTGAATACGAATGGAATGCCAAAAATTTATCTTAATACAAATTCTTAAACAATATTGACAAGGAGTCCCTGTAGATAGTTAAATTGACTCATTTTTCAGACACATATTGGGACATCAGCTATCCTAGTTTGTATTCATTATCTGAGAATCTGAAAAATGTGATTGACAAGAAAGGGGCATCAACCTTCAATCTCATACAAACTTATAGGTTTATGAGACAGTATACAGATCAAACATCTCAGTTTGTGAGTGATAATTATGAGTTGAATATCAACACGTTGAAGTAGATCTACGAATCGATAGTGAGTTGTTAGGAGAATAAATAAATGAGTAATCCCATTCAATTGCAGAAGTTTTATCATGACTTCATAAGAATAGACAAGAATAAGGATATTTCCATATTGGACGAGGGATTGATGAATTCAGTGATGATACAATTGAATTGTACTGCCAACGATCAGTTTTGGTGGTCAATATACTCAGATTACAAATAGTCAGTCGGGATTAAGTTCTACATTGTGAGTGATAAGTACTCGAGTGCTTTGTTGGGATACTCAATCCTTGGGTTTTACATAACGATAGTGTACGTGGCTGGGAAGATGGCAAGAGGGATAATGTCAGGGGGAATAGACTTGATAATGTTGTAGGACATGCCATATCCGGACAACTTGTTGAAGATCTGCGAGGCAATAATAATGGCGAGAGTGGAGAAGGATCTAATACAGGAGGAGTTGCTGTACTTCTAGTTGATAGATGTAATACGGTCGCCGTAATTGATGCGGAATATATCTGGAAGTTTTGTGGCATAGAGATTGCAGCGATTGGAGATAGACAAGTAGTTGTAGAAGTAGAAATAGAAATGATTTAATGATTTTTGTTATTGAATTATAAAAAGTACATCTGATATAGGAGAGAGGGAATATAAAATATGTTGTGCATTTGAATATGTAGAATATTAATCATTGATCATTGGGAACAATGATGAATCCTACTGTGATTGAATGTGATAAGTTCTATTCTTGGGCATAAATTTCAGTTGGAGCAGAAGCACCGTCCATCGCAGCCATGGGAGCCATTTTGGTCATGTAGTTTGCTCTTGGGGCATATTGTTAGTCGATGGAGATACTTTTGATGGAGTTGATTTTCATGTCCAAAGATTTTAGTGCAATTTCAGCCTATTGAAATTAATAAGTAGACAAACTTTGTGTGTTGCATCTTTGATAGCTAATTAAAGAATTTAATCTTTCAATTCAGACTTCTGTTCTGGTTTGACATCGAAGGATACACTGGTGATTGTGGTTACTCCTGCATTGATGGCAGCATCGATCAATTGTCCGACGATCTTCAAATTCGAGGTTTCCAATTTTTGGTTTATGACCACTTTGTAGCCCTTGAATTTGAGTTCTGGATTTCCATTGGGATATTCATATTCAGAATGAGGGAACATCTAGAATTAAGTTGTGGAGATCTTCACTCCTGCATTTGAGGTGTCCACTGATTGCAATGACCTATTGGGGATTCACTAGGAATTTTACTTGAAGGCTGTCGCTTATATGGAGTTGGCTTTATTCAAAGCCTATTCTGCCAATTAATTTAGGATTTCAATTGCAAAGTGAACAGTGACTATTGTTGGTTCAACAGAAAGAGATCCTGTTCCTGTGACATAAAATACATCTGGTCTCCTGTGTTCCACTTCAGAACACTAAATAGGGAATTTTGAATTAAAAATTACTTCAAAGTTATTGATTGCTGTTTAATCTTTGATGAATGATCCAAAAATAAGAGTGATGCAGACTGCGATTGTTAAAATTCTAATCATTTTTTATATTAAATATTAACTCAATTATAATAATTGAAGGAGCTCTTAATTACTAATTATAGTGATGTTATTTAAATTTCCCTTCATTAGGGGGGAATCAGAAATCGTATCTACTAATTGTTGTTTTAAATTGATTAATTACTAAAAATAGTGAAACCTAAATAATTATATTATTCGTATGATGTATCATTATTCTATATGGCTGATTACGAATCCCACGCTCACTTATTGCTCCATCTGACTGCTGACACCGTATCCGTAATTCTCCAAGATTTGGACAGACTTGACCGACTCAATCCTCATGTTCAATTCCTTCAACACCACATTGGCCTATGATTATTTAAATTCATTACTGTATGTTTAGCATCCTCAATGGCTTATTCCACAAGAACGTCCTTCAACCTCTTCTTCTCCTCCTTGCTCACATCGAATTGAATCCCATTCACCTTATTGACCCTGTGTTTCACAGCTATGTCAATGATCCTAACAATCAACACGAGAATCTTACTTCCCCACATCACTAATGTTGAGTGTCTCCACTGTTATCCTGTTGATCACTATGAATCCTGAAAATGTCTCATGGTATGGTTGAGTCTGACTGTACTCCTTGTGAGGGGAAATAGTGAAATCGGCTGTCTGAATCTTCAATTATCCCTTGCAGTTCTCTTTTATGGCTCTACCCAATAAGGTCTATCACATACTTGACAGCATCGTCAGCTATTTAGGCTGCCTGTTGCAAAGCATTCTGAGCCTTTTCGTCCTTCACTTCCACTTCCAAGGTTACCACTGCCTGAGTTGGCTCTATAGTTGTTGCTGCACTTCCTTACACATAATAGATGTCTGGTCGCAAGTAGATATTCGCATCACACTTTCATTAATTAGATCAATTCCCTTACCAAATTTAGAGTCGATGTCTTGATAAATTAAGAGTTCAATGTCATTAATGAAATAGATAATACTAGTATGGCTTTCATTTATTTATATAATGAATATTAATTAAACTACTCATGAAATTTAATCTTGTAAACACGCCAAGAAATCTTTCTCCATCGCTTCCTTGTATCCTGATCCCAACAAACTCAGGAATAACAAAATACTCAGCCACAACATCCAAATCAGTCGCGGAGATTCCATGACTCGGATCTCCTACATTGACAAAGAAGATTACATCGACCAGATTCAAAAGCTAAAGAAGAACAACAACCTACTAAGACAAGACCTTAAGCAAGTCAAGTCCCAACTCATGTATTATCAGGTATAAAGTGTTTGATTAAGAAAGAACTCGAAAGTTTACAATCATAATGTTAAGAATCGGATAGTATTTCAGTTCCACTTCAATAGCAGGTCAAAATTAAACAGCTTCTCAAGACTCTTTAACAGAAGGAATCAGAAATTGAGTATCTTAAAAATCAATTGAAGATCGATTAATTAACTGAACAATAAGAATAATTGTAAAAATTGAGGGCAATTTGTGAAGTACAAAAGCAGAAACTTCTCAATAGTGAATCTGAAATTATCATCCCCTCTAAAACCAATGTCGTTAAAGATTTAGAAGAAGACAATGTTAGACTTGTCGAAATCGTAACTGCCCTCGAAGAAAAAGTTAAGGGGCTTGATCACATAAAGAAATAAAATACCATATTTCAAAGCAAAATTTAGAATCAATAAAAGCTAATTCTTCAATTACAGTTAGAAATTAGATAGTACAAAGACAGAGACACCATTTTTAATAATAAACCCACCAAATAAAATAAATAAGAAAATCTTATTTAAAAATTATCATCTGAAATCAACAAATTAAATCACTCAAATCAAATTCAATTGTCTCAAACCGATAAACTCAAGTCTAATTTATCAAATCAGTAAGATAAATATGAAAAAATTATCATGGAAAAAGATGAAGAAATCTTAACCTTAAAACTCAAAATAGAGAGTCTCAATAAAATTATTAATGAAGAACACTAAGGCTTGTCTGAATAGAGATACAGAAAGCCAGGTAAAAACACACTCTTACTCAAACCATCCTCATTTGCAAATATGACTGAAAGTTTAAAATTTAATCAAGATCTTGTTCTCACTTCTTAAAGATCTCAAAGTGCAACTCAACGTAAACAACTTGTCTTAGTTACTAAACAAGATCTTTAGTAGGTTCCCAAAATTCTTAAATATCAATTACTTATTAATCAAATAAGTCTTAATGACATCGATTAAGTATTTCTCTCTATATGTAACTTAGCATTTGTTCTGTCAAATTTCATAAGAGGACGTTCAATTAAAAGACTTGACTGAATCCTTCCAAAAGTCACTCTTCAAATTAAATTAATAATAGGCCTATCAATTAAGCCTCTACTTGATGGATTCTGAAGAGGGAAATGAGACTTAATCCAAATAGAGAATTAGGAGTATTTTTAAAACCTTAGTTGATAATTACTAATTGCCATCAGCTTAAGAGATTATCAATATGAGAAAAGAGCTCTCCTTAATTTTTAATGAATAGGGATTCTAATACATTAAAAATCAACTCACCCTCAAATATGGACTTTAAGTAAAAAAGTATCAAATTTATGTAAATTACTAATATTAAATTTAGGATTTATTTGAAATATTACAATTGAAGGACATTAAATTATCTAAGCAAACAAAAGAGTATATGGAAGCTCTGCTATTTTAATAAAATAGTCAAACACCAAATGTTTTTTAAATCGATTAATTATAACTGATGTTTTGTGATAATTTTTGAATTTATTTTATCTTATTAAATTTATATGAACTATTTTGGAATTCATTTTAATTTCAAACAGAAGTATCTTAAAAATTAAAGTAAGATTTAACAATATAATTAAGAAAGAACAATAATTCAAAAAAAAATATTAACTGAGAAAGTCATAATTATAAAGGTTATTCTAATTATTTTATATTGCTAATCAAATTAGTTTAATAAATAACAGATCTAAACAGATCCTACAAATTATATCAATCAAATAATCCATGCATATACTATTTATTTGAGAACTTAGAAGTATATTCGAACATTGTTCTATCATTAATAAATGAGATATTAATGAATATATTAGAAGATTTATCAAATGGGCCCTTTAATATTCCTAATTTACTTTTTGCATTTAACCTAAAAATAAAATAGAATTTATTATTAATCTAATTAATCTAGCACTTTTATCAAATTCAATTGAATAAGAAGAAAAAACCTTAAAAATCTATCCCTAAAGAAGGATGATGAAAGTATTTCTTAAGGATCTTGTTAACATTGTTATAATTAAATTGATTGATATATTGATTTAATACAATTTATTTATTCAATAAAAAATGAGAGGCAATTAAAAATAATAACAATAAGTTCCAATACCAAGTTACCCATTTCCTTATTCATTTTGGTCCTATAATAATTTTGAAACAAAAGAGTTGGAAGCTTACTTATCATCTCAATCCTAAACTTTGCAAACATAAATTCCAAAAACGTGCATCCAAGATGGATATTAATAATTATGTAAAATCTTAAATCAGCATCCACACCCTGTACTACATGCTAAATAGGCCAAACAATAACAACCAATAACCAATTTACTTGGCGAATAATCGATCGATAGCATTAAAAACACTTCAGAAATAACATAATTTTTGGTATTCCAAAATACTCAAATCGATGCAATCACATTAATTTTACTCTAGTTTTTATGGCCTCTTTATTAAAACCTAAATGTCTTGAAATTATACAACATTAAATTTTCTGAAACTGAAATGGAAATTATATAAAAAATAATTGAAAATAACAAACTCATTAAGTTATTTATTGAGTATACCAATATAATTCCTCAAATAAATTGCCCAACACTTACTTAATTATATTTAAGAGGAAATTAAATTACTTAATCTAAATTAAATCAAATATTTTAACCTGGCACTCTTTAGGCCTTATAAGTGATTGAATTGAGTGATAATCCTCTTGGAAAAGATTGTATATATTCATATTAATGCAAGCTATTTAAATATTGGCCAATTTTATGAGTAAAAAGAACAGTGTTCAATATATTGGATTATCAAGATGCGAAGTAGCAGCCTGGGAGGATTTGAAACCTCTGATAGAAACTATTGGGCCAGAAAAATTGAGTGAAGCGAAATTACAGGCTTATAGAGAGTTAGAAGAAAAGAGGGATAAGCAAATTAAGGATTAATTGAAAGCAAAGAAGAAGGAAGTTGTTGCTGAAATCGAATTAGAGCCACTAACACAAAATGCAGATGGAAGTAATATCCATTATCTTAAATTCTAGGTTATTCAATCATACATAATCAGTAATTATAAATTCTGTTTTTGGCTGTGAATCCATTCAAAGATAGTGATAAAGATTAAATAGAAAGATTTATTTAAGCAAATCCTAATGTTTATGTTGTGCTGCAGGGTTGTTCATTTGAGACAAAGACAAAAGAGAGACTTAAAAAGCGCTACAATAATATAGTATTTTGATTTATATAATTATTGTCATTATATAAATATTTTTTGGGTTACTGGACAACATCAAAATTGTAATATTGTAATTTCATATTTAATCATGTTCCTTGATACTTTCAAATACAGTTAGTCCTAGCCGTAATATTGATATAATGATTGAAAGATTTATTTCATACAAGTTTATAAACTTTAAATTTTTAAATTAAGCAAGTGAAATAACATTTAGTTAGATTTTTGAAATATTTAAGGTTGTCATTCATTAAAAAATGCTTTGTTTAAGATTTCCAAAATCATAACTGTGATAATAGTAAATTTAATCATTGATATTACTTTGGGATATATAAATTGATTTCAATTTTCTAAAAAACCTTTTGAAGTTGTTGGTAAGATTGGAGAAAATATAAATATCAATAAAATCATCATGATTCTAAGAATTCGGTGTCTCAGTTATATTTTATCAGATATAGATTACTATTACATTACACTTAATGAGATAATAAATCAAGTTTTTTATAAATCAGAATAGAATTTTTACGGAATCATTAAATCTCCAAGCACTAAACCTTTTTTATGATTACCCATCAATAGATTACTAGGTTTTTGATTAAGAAACTAATTGCTTTATGGGACACTTTGATTTATTTGAATTTTGTTTCCGAGGTTTGTTTTATTCAATTTTTTGAATGGAACGAAGTTATTTAGTTTTAGGTAATGATCGGCTACTTGGTTTTGTTTTTTTTTGATTTGCATGTTCAGAAATTTCATAAACAATATACTTACTGCCATTCATACTGGCATATGGTCGTCTTTTGTATTTTTACAGAGGGGCTGAGTTATTTCTTTAAACAAAGTAATTCTTTAGACTCTAACTTTGAGATGTTGGGGATTCTATAACGAAATCTAGCAGATCCTATTTTTTGGTTTTCGATAACTCATCTTAAACAGATGGGTTGATTTTGTATTCCTTTTAAAAAAACTCATCATCAAAAGAATCTAAATTAAGTTTCATATCGTATGTGAATTATTCTAGAGAATGTTATTTCTGAGGGGTTGTCAAGGGATATCCTCCCTTCAATATCAGGAAATGATTTGCTTTGTTTTTACTGCAATTATTACCCATTAATTTATATTTTTTTCTTAGAATCTTAAAGTATTTTTTAAAAACATTTGGTAAATATAACATATTATATGAATTATAATTTAATTTAATAGTTTCTTTGGTGTATAAATTATATATTAATTTTATAGATTACAATGAAATCAGGGAATAAATGTCTCTATTATTGCAAGCAATTTTTCAATCTACTATTAGGAATGAGCGGTCTACTTATGATTGCAATAGCCATTTACATTTGGGTCGTAGCTAAAATATTCTCAGTTATAGTTATGTGCATATTGGTGTTGGGGGGAATCCAATTGTTCCTATCGTTGATATGTATTGTTCAGATATTCAATCTGTTTAGCATTGGGAACAAAGAAGGCAATGTTCAGAATCAAGTTTTACAACTTCTTCTTAGGATTCATACTATTGGGATAGATCACAATTACAATCTTAGCATTTGTTTTGGAGGATCAATTTATCGATAAGGGTATAGAGAATGATCTAAGAGTGTAGCAATTGAAAAACTTGATGAACCCAAAGAGACAGCAGATGCTCTAAAGGATTAATTGAAAAATCAATACACGAGGTCCATTTTCATTACGCTCGCCAGTTTGGGGATTTAAATCATGTGCTTTGTGTTCAGTGTGTGGTATAGGGATTCACTTGAAAATGCAAATGACAATAGCAAACTCTTATATGATGAAAAAGAAAAGTATAATGAATATAGATTTATATAGAAAATATATGAGTTTCGAAGAATATTCCTAAAAATAGCAAGCATAGGTAAAGGATAAGTCCAATAACAACAGAAATGAAGTATATTCAAGAAATCCTGAATTTTATGAGTGGAAACAATAACAACAAGGCAAGAAATGATTTATCAAATGATTTAATATCATGCATATTTTCTATTAAACTATCTGCAGTCAATTTGTTAAGAATTAATGCTCATCTAAACCCAAAGTGGCTAATGACAAGATATTATCTTAAAGTGATAAAAAGTCATTTCATATATGTTTATATAGAATACTTTATATATTAATGTGACAGTTAGAAGAGAAGTTAGCGATTCAATAGTTAGTATAATTTGCTTATATTAATATTTAGACTAGCTTTCCTTTGGAATTTCATAAATTTTAGACTTGAAAAGTTTTATGTATATATTTAGATCATGTCTTAATTTATCTATAATATACTATAGGTTGACAAGAGCGATGGAGGGATATTCAGAATATTAAATATAGATATTGAATATTGATAATATCTCAATCGGAGGACTCAGAGGGAAAAGAACTATCTTCTTAGTTGTTGGATTTTTGGGAGCTGTAATTGATTGATGGATCAGCTTTTACTTTTTTTGTTTTTCTATTTGGTATTAATATTAATGTGATACAATTTAGATTGTACATATTCTTATAGTTTGCGAATGACTTTGGCTGGCAATTGATCAATATCAAATTCTAGTTCTTCGGCTTCTTGATTTTAAACGCTTTACTACACTATCTCCCAAACTCCCGTCAAATGTTCTTGAGGCAACTCTCTTATGTGTTGTCCTAATTGTCTTTTTTCTTCGAATGAAATATGAGTATCTTATTTTTTTTAGGATTAAGGTTCTTTAACTTTGTTGGAGTTGGCTTTGTTAGTGGTTGGGATGCTTCTAAATAGGCTGATTTAGAGATTTACTTTGTAGATGAGGGTGTTAATTTCTATTCATTTTAAAATGCTTTAAAAACATGATAAAAGTGATTTTCTAATTGCGTGACTTGATCCTGCATTTAGCTAGATGTAGCAGATTAAGTTAGTTTTTGTAATGCAATTCTAATTTGATTCCAAAGACTCATCAAATTACCTTTTAATTTACAAGTAAGTAATACCCTCCTATTTGAAGGAAGCTTCAATTTTATCGATATTTAAATACCCAGAAGCATTGATCTCATTGAATGCTGGATGGGATTTGAACTTTTGAAGAAGGTACAAACCCTTCTTGCAATTATCATCCTAAGGAATTTTGACTTATTCTTTTTGCACTGGAGCAATTCTTTGGGATCTCTTGCTTTTGTCTTCAACCACTTCCTATTTGTTGCTTTGGAAAGAGGCATCATATTTGTTAACCTTTTTGGGCTATTTCGCTAATAAGGAGGGGCATTATTACCACTCTCTATTCACGGGATTTTAGGAGATTAGATTGCAAAAGCGAATAGCCTTTGGGCATCTTGCTAAGAATAAATTCAACTTGAATCTGATTAAGATTGAATTCCAATTAGCTTGCCATAAATATGTTATTATTTATTTATATTTCTTAATAATTTACAATTAAATTAAATATACTATCATAAAATTTATTATGACTATTCTCTAGTTATATATAAATATAATAATTAATAATACTTAGAGAAATGGAGAAGTACAGAAGAATAAGGAAGATTGGGAAAGGAAATTTTGGAGATGTTTGGTTGGTGGAAGACAACAAAGGAAGAGTATTTCAAAATAACTATTTAATAGTAATATGCTATGAAAAGAATAGATTTAGTCTTTGATACGGTGGATCCTCAAAATGAAGTCAGCATAATGAAAGTTCTTAAGCATCCTAACATAATCAAGTTTTATGATTCCTTCGAACATAATGACAAATTGTGCATTATCATGGAATATGCCAAAAATTGTAAGTGTCTCCACTATATCTAAGCTGATCTCTCAATCTACATAAAAACTAAACAGCCAGACATCCTGAACTATTTTACGTAATTGTGTTTGGGAGTCTAATATTTGCATTAACAAAAAATAGTACATAGGGATATTAAAATGAGGAATGTTTTCATTACTGACGATGGAATTGTATGTATTCCTACTTAATTCCTTTATAGATTAAATTGGGCGATTTCAGTATCTCCAAAAAATTGATCGATCTATCCACCAATACAACTTTAGGTAATTTAAATTATGTAAATAAGGAACTCCATATTACTTGTCTCCTGAAATCTGCCAATCCAAAAACTACAATTCCAAAACCGACATCTGGAATCTAGGCTGCTTCTTATACGAATTATGCACCCAACAAAAGCCATTTCAAGGAGAGTCCCTCCCTGCAATCCTCAACTCCATCTTAAATGGCCAAACTCCTCAATTAGGCGAGGCTTTCCCCAAGTTCTATCAGGATATCCTCAACATTACCTTACAGAAAGATCCAGAACTTCGACCAGATATAGATCAAATACTCAATATCCCTTAAATTAAGGATGAACAAATCAAATTGTAAGCGCTTTATAAAAGTAAAGGACTATTAAATAAAAGGATATGTCCTATTGAATGTCCAGGCTTTGATGAAAAATAAGAATTCAAATAGGACAAACAATCAACTAACAAAGATATGTCAAATATACTTAAATAATCCATTACTCCTTAATATAGATAAACTTAGTTGGGATTGTAAAATATCTTCTCAGAATGTGTGTCACCCAATAACAATTACTGCTAAATTCAGAAAAAGCCTTACAAAAAGATTATGACCATTAACACTTAATTGGATGAAAAAGTCGAATAGGAAATCACCCAAAAGAAACCCTCTTTTGCCAAATTGCTCTTCAATCCCAAAACTCCTACATCTCCAAATAGAAATATACTATTGGCAGACTTTTTAAAAAATAAGTTAGGATAGGAAGTGTTTTAAAGAATGAAAGATCTTTTAGAAAACAGCAAAGATCCAATCTAACTATTAGAGAATAGGGACAAAATGATGCAAATTTTGGGCGAATAGAACTTGGATTGTATCAAAGTAATGTCTCAATTTAGTTTAGATTTTTAAAATAATTATAAGTAACAGCATTACTCCTCCGAGTAGTCATTTTAGAACAATGAGTGCTTCATATTAATTTATTACTTAGAGGATTAAAACAGTTAATAACCATGATAATAATATTCCAACTTCAGCATGGGATGAATAATTTTGATTATAATTAGCTTCTAATATATATATATATATAAAAAGCAATTTTGATAAAATAATTATTTCATGAATTATTATTATTGTTGTTGTTTAATTTTTGTATTGCTTGTATTTACTAAGTATTTTTTGATTCCAAAGTATTTACCATATGAGAATTTCCTTAAGTACCTGTTCCCTAATTTTGATAGAGCTTTTAAGTTGTGGGTTCTAATGACGTAATTAAGACTTGCTTTTTATTAATTAATAATGATTACATCATTCTCAATCAGACTCTCAATTACTTGACCCTTGTTTAGACTCTTTTTCTTCTTATACCCAATCAATATTTGTATAATTAGAACTATTGTGCAGGTAGTGTATTGAATTATTCGAGAAATCTTTTTCAATCTATACCAATCAGAATCATGCGGATCAATAATGGGTACTTTTCCATTGCCTAATTTCTGTATTTTCATAAAAATACCGTTATCATCTAATAAAGCATGAGAAATTTGAGTTATGGCTGAATATAACAAAACTAAAATAGCTAGAATTAAAAGACTTGTTAAATAGTAAATATATTAACATCATACGAGGGCATTAAACATGTCTACTTTTTGGTTTAAATTAATAGAGGTATCCTTCGATGATGATTAAACAAATAAACACTCCTGACTACATGCATCATATTAAATTACTACACAGCACATTATAAAGTAGTTTGTAAATCGACTACTATCATCATCTAAATCTATTATTATCCCAATTAAAGTGCAGCATAATACTAGAATTATTACCATTAAGGTAAGAATTGTGATTTTGATTAAATTCATAATTATAATCTTATAAATAATACACAATTAAACAATTATCATTACTATAATTCAATTGTTTAACTTATATCAACTTACAAATATTCCAACTGCATTTAACTTTTGAATGACATCAACCTTCATTTTCTTTCAGTTCAAAACAATTTTGAATTTTAGAATTTGAAGACTTTGTTTATATCAAACATATCATGAGGATTCTAAGATGAAGGTTAAGTTTATTGAATTAGCACTTCTAATTTTGTAATTACATTGAAGTGTGATAATTACTAAGTAATATTAGATAATTGATTTAATTCTTCAATGTAAGCGAAACCTTAAAAAATTTGAAAAATACCATAATGAAAACCTAAGAAATTATTCTCTTTTTCAATTTCTTTAAAGTTAAAGATATAAATGATTAGTATTCTATTTATTATGTGTTAATAATATTTTTAGAATAAGAAATATGATAATGAAATTAAATAATTAAGAAATTATTAAATTAATGTTTAAATACTTGATTAAGTTGTTTGGCAACTAGTTTTCGATTAGAAATTTATTGATTCAGGAACTATTAAGGTTTAAGTAATGAATCTAAAATTTCGTACATCAGATTTACAAATAGAAGGATAGATAAATTGAACTGCTTATCAAAATATTCATTATAAAACCCCTCTTAATCCTTTGTTCATATAAATAAATATTCAAATATAATGATAGTTGGAGAAGCTTCAATCTTAATTGAAGAAATAGCATAGGCCATGGATTAAGAAGCTTTTTTATCCCAAGAATATGAAATGCCGGGCAATAAATCAAGCAGACTGGCCATATTTCCTTCACATTTTTATTTTGGACTTGATGATAAAAGAAATGCATTAAATTATATTGCTCATGCTATGGATGGCATTGAGTTCAAAATATAAATAGGATTTGAAATCAAAGATGAGAGTGCTTCAGTTTTAGTTATTTGTAATGCTTTGAGTGATAATCTTGACTAATCGTAATTTCTTAATAGTTTAATATAGGAAAATTTATAAATTATCATGTACAATATTTTGTAAGAAAAACAAAAAATAAAAAGATATAAAATTGGAAGCAAAGGAAGTGATCATAAGAATGCCGTTGACTTAGAAATAAAAGGAACTTTAATTTTGTTTAATGAATGAAATTTCAATAGAAGTAGCCCCAAAATATAACAGTCGTGATGAGGTAGGTTTTACAGGAATTATCAATAATGCTGCTACATGTTATATGAATAGTGTATTTTAAATACTATTCAATCTGGGCATATTCCAGAAACATGTATATTCTATCGAATCTTAATAACATAATCAATTTCCATGCACTGTAATGAATTTATTAAAATTTAGTTATAATCCTTGTTTTATAATCTTAAACATAGTAAGATTGCAATCTCTACTTAAGAGATCATCAAATCCTTCAAATGGGATGTTGATCAATAAGCAATCCAACAGGATGTTTAAGAATTCATAATGGAATTATTGAAAGCACTTGGAACCAAAGCTCCACAAATAGAAAATGAAATTAATAACTTATTCTAAGGTATTTTAGAAAATCACATAACAAATCAGCTTTTTGATAATATAAATCAAGAGTAATTTATGGATATCTAATTAAATATTACTAAGTCTTTAAGAGAATCACTTGACTTATTTATAGAAAATGAATCATTAGATGCTTATACACATGAGGAATTCGGTAAGTAAGAAGCGGTAAAGTTCCATAAATTCAAAAAATTACCACCTATTTTGGTCATTAATCTGAAAAGATATCAATTTGATGGATAAGGATTTACTAAAATACATGATAGTTTCTAATATGACAATATAATTAATTTTAAAGATTACTTAATTGATAAAGAAGATAAATTCTATGAGCTCTATGCCGTATTAGTCCATAGAGGAGAAGCAATAAATCATGGCCATTATTACTGTTACATAAAACCATTCTCTCAATCATAACAATGGTTTAAATTTGATGATAAGTTTGTTACTAGAGCCACTCAAAAGGAAGTGTTTTAAAATAACTTTGGTGGATAATACTAATTGCCAGAGTATAATGAGGACTTATGTTAAGTTATTGTGGAGAATAAAAATAATCCAGAAACAGCATATATGTTAGTATATTTGGAGAGGAACAACACTGATCTTTTGAGTTAACCAAATTAATTTCCTGATTGGATCTTATAATAAGAGTAGAAGATCAATGATTTGTAATTTGAATAAAAGAACTATATCTCAACATATTTATTCTCTATTAATCATCTGAATTTGAATTAGAGTTAATAAATTAAATCAGGAATTATATTCCATAGACAAGCATTGAATTAATCAATAAATTTTAATGCCGTTGAAGAGTTCTTTGATTAATTTACTACTCCTTTACTTGTACCTAAAACTATTACGATTCAACAAATCATTGATTAATTATGCGAAAAGATTAATATCAATAAAAATAATGCTCATCTTCTCATTTATAGAATCACACAACTAAAACCTAATTTAGAATCAGTTGTATTGATGTCACCATTAAAATAATTAACATTTTATTTTGCAAATAAATGTTATCAAACAGGTTTGATGTTTATTTCAACTAATCCTGAAGATTAATAGCTAATAAATAATTATTTAGGTTTAGACAAGATTAAACTTGAATAGACCCAATAAAATTGTAAAAATGCTAAAGAACTAAAAGGAAATGAAAAATCAATCATATTTGTTAAGACTGTTAACAATTTGATAGTTTAATTTAAATAAGTCTTACTTATAAACAAGGACGAGAGTATAGAAAATTTTATCATGAATGAATTCAATTCAGAACTTAAAGTGAATATACAATACTAAAATGATGGAATTTAAATTCAATCTTCTAGCAAATTTAAAAACACAGAATATTATTAAGTGTATTTAGATTATGAGTTCAAATTCTAAGCTAAAGTATTTGAAATAGAAAACAGCCGAGAAGTTTTAATTAGAGTAGTCAATGAAACTCAAAGCACTTCCTAATTATTTAATAAGAACGACTCTTCTTAGCAACTCTTGGAATATTTGTCTTAATTAGAAGATTGCCATCCTGAAAACATCTAGATTAAATATAAAGATAGAAAAGGTATTTATTAAAATTTGCAACAACAACTAAAAATTCATGAGATCATACATTATGATAACTGTATAACTTATAAATAGACAGTTATTCCAGTTGGTGCAATGAAGGAATAGATTAGTTTTTAAGTTGAAAATTAAAATTACATTATCCAAAAAAGTATGAGTTTTTCTGAATTTATGGAATAAGAAAATCTCAAGGCTACACTTCCTTTATTAACATCTAAAAAGGATTAGAAGGCAGCTTGGGTTTTATTGGACCATAATGCTAAGATTTCTAAGACAATCTCTAAATACAATGTAAGATTTGTTAAACCATTAGTTTTTGGAAATGATATTTATGTGATATGCTTTTTATAAAGCGTAGAAATAATATTATTGTGCAATCCTTTGGTGTTCTTTATATAAAAAACCTGTACCACAGCTGAACTTACAAATTAAATCATTGAGACTTTAAGTTAAAATTCCTTAACTTATAAAACTCAATAAATTTATATCACCTAAGAAGGTATCTATAGTAGTGAAGAATATAAGACTTAAAAAATTGAATTGTAATTGAGGATAAAAATAAATAATTAAGAAGTATCAAAAGATGTAGCTGTTCAAATAGGAACTTTGTTTTCAGAGGAAAAATAATTAACGCTTGTGATGACATTTTTAACTATCAGAGATACTAAGAATGATAAGCTCAGACAAAAAGGTGTTTAAATTCTATGAATAAATTATAATATAATTAGAATTATAACTTAGTAAACATAATTAATCCAATAGAACTACTTATGATTCTCAATTTCATTGTTATAACAAATTTAGATTATTTTATATCTCTAGAATAATGTTTTTAAATTAATAATTATATAAATAACTCAATATTAAAGATTTTTTAAATTTGTTAAATTTTGATAACATAATAATATTACTATCAACTATTATGTATTACAATTCCTGGAATGCAAGATTGGGTAAGACTCTATTTGACTTAAACAGATTGGTTTATGTTTTCTGTTTCTTTATTGAGGAACTTAATTTCTCCAAAGCTGACGCTCTTTCCACCAAACATATATAAATTAAAGGCTTCATTTGTTTAGGAGACTAGGGATAATGAATAGGTCATTCCTTTTTTTAAAAACACATCTTATTCTAATTCTATGAAATAGCAATCATTAATAATTTTCAATTTGGAGTGTTTAATATTAATAATTTCATCATAAACAGAGATATTTAAATCCAATCCTTCGTGTACTCTAAATAATACAACTACTTCTCTATTTTGATCATTTATATTTTAATCAAATTGATTTAATCCTGAAAATAATTAAGTTAATAGGAATCCCGATAAAACCACATTTTAAAGGGGTAAAACATTCTCAGCAACACCACAATTTTTGGTAAAATTAAATGCTACTTTTCTATCATTTGATTTAGCAAAAGTTTTGTGTTTCCAAATCTCGTTGCTTGAATTCTATGCACCTGAATTCACAACTTTTTTATTGTCTTTTTTATTTTAATCAACTAAGTTGGTGATATTATTCATCATATATTAGTTTGATAGTTACAATTCCGTTAATTTTCTGATTGCTTATTAAAAATATAAGAGATTTAGCTATTCAACATTATTATGGGAAATTTAATTTTCTTTACAATTTGAAAAACTAGAGATCATTTAGAATAACTCAGTTGATTTTTAATCAAAATTTCTATCATTTGATTCAATGAATAAAGTTTCCATTTGATTTAGTTGTTTGAATATTTCATTCTCCTGTAAGACTTGGATCTTATCGTAAATCAATTTTTCTAAATCATTCAATTTTTAATTTATTTGAAATCTTATCTTGCTTATCAGTTAAATTGCCTTGTCCAATTATTTTTGATCATCTATGCACAGTTTTTGTGAAAGGTATTCCATTTGTAAGTTGTAGATGTAAATTAATAACAAATTAATAAAAGAAAATTTATATTTCAATAATTTTCTGTACAATTACGATGATTATTAAATTATCGGAGCAAAAATAAAATAAAAATTAAATGTTCTTGAATTGTTGCCCTAATGTTTACTCCTTGATCTTGAAAACATAAATCTAATTTATTGATCACGACATAATACTACAGATTAACCTAAAAGACTAATTATCAATAATTTTAAAGAAGGACTTTTTACACATCTATAAACAAGGAGAACCTATTTCCTCATTCAAATTACATTTTCCTAATGTGATCAAATGGTAATTCGATAAAGGATTGGTAGGATTCACCATAGAAAATGAAACCTATTTAACTGAAGAGGCATACAAAATAAAGGAATACTTAAATGGAAGATTGTTTTTTTCTAAAATTCAGGATTTTTACACTCCTCTCTAAATCTTAGGGAAAGGAAGCACTGCAAAAGTTCTTCTGGTGAAAACTAAAATTGGGGAATCATTTTATGCTGCAAAATGTGTTCCCAAGACTGAATCTATAATTTAGGAGATTGAAATTAATAATCTATTGGATCACCCAGCCTTTGTGAAAATAAAAGAAGTGTTTTTAGGAGATACAAGTTATTATATCATAATGGATTTATTGTCTGGAAAGAACCTTTCAATATTACTTAAGAATCAACATACAGGTCTGACAGTTGAGTAGTCTAAGTTGATTATGCATGTAAATTAATAGTTAAATAGGCATTATTAAGTGGAATTGACTACATGCATTCAAAAAATGTTATGCATAGAGATATTAAACCAGAAAATATAGTTTTAGAAAAGATTAATAATCTTACAACATTAAAATTAGTAGACTTTGGTTTAGCTACTTATTCTAATATCAAAAAGTAATTCAAGATTTCAAACTTAGATTTAAGTATCCCAAGTGTGGTACTCCAGGGTATGTAGCTCCAGAAATTGCTAATTTGACTGACTAGAATTCTATTTATGATAAGAAATGCGATATCTTTAGTGCAGGAGCAGTGTTCTATAAATTATTAACTGGACGAGATCTATTTCCAGGAACAGGGTTTGCTTATGTATTAGCATAAAATAAGAAATGTCAAATCGACTTTACTCTTTTATAATTAAGAAAATTGCCATCAGATGCTATAGTATCTAATATTATAATTGAAGATTTTGTTAAAATCAATGCTATAAAAAGATCCCATCCTAAGACCAACCGCTTAGGAGTGTTTGAAATTTCCATTTTTTACATCTACTCAATAAAAAGAGACTGAAAAATCACCAGCAAATAATGGAACTTAAAATTCAAATTCTGCACCTACTGGACCATCTAATGCACACAAAAAATAATTTTTTGCTTAATAAAAACAGATGATGCAGACTGTAGATTTCCAACCTGAAGAAAAGCCTGAATATAAAGGATCCTTCGTTACAAACGATATGGTGTAATACCCTTAGATGCCTAAGATGGTCATGAAATTCAATACAACTGAATTTGAATCAATATGAAAATTACATAATTAACAAAAATCTACAATATTAATTAATTTTAACCTATTTGCTGCTAATAAATTTTCTTTAGATTGTTCTTTATCTTTATACTAAATAACTATTATACTATTATTGAGATTATATAAATATATATCAAGTCTCCTTTTTGAAATACCAAAATCCACTAATTATGTCATTTGTCTTTCCTCGTAAAAAAGTTGAATAAATAAGGCGTATAACATAAATCATAGTAGCATTAATTAAACTTCATTATGTTGATTGAATAGATTTTGGTGTTTCTTAAATTATATATGAGAAGTACAAATAATGTACAATTTTAATAGTATTTAATAATAAATAAAGTCAATTAAATTTTAATTTAAAAAAGTCATGTTCCAATGCTTATTTTGGTGTTAATCTTTTTAATGGTTCTATAACAATTAAGTTCTCTATCAAATTTATCAACTCCTATTAATTTTATGGGATTAATGCTTTAAACACCTTCATCAGACTCAATTCTTAAACCATAATTGAATCTTCTGGCCATTTCAAAAATGAGTCATTCAGTTAGTATTCATTGAAGTAATCTTTGGCTTCATTTCTACACTGTGATATCATCTCAATAGGAATTGGACCACAATGTTTTTCAATTAATGACAAGTGAAAAAAATCATTGCCTTTTGGTTTAAACAATTGTTGGCCTAAAATAATGAGATTTAAATAAAAAACCTGTAAATAATTCGACTGCTATGCAACCCATACACCACATATCACTTTAATTAGTCCAGTTATTTTTGAGAATTACTTCTGGTGCTCTGTATTATCTAGTGTTAATCAATTAGGAATGACACTCTGTCTAAAATACTGCTCCTCCAAGGTCTATTATTTTTACATGATAATGACTTTCTTTTTTCCTAATAGTATATTAATTAATTTAATTACCCTTTCTATTATTTGTCTATTAGGAGAATGTTCTCAGGTTTAAGATCTGTGTGAGTGTATCCACTTGCATGCATAAAATCTAAACCCTAGAGACAATCATATAGTATTTCTTAAACTGCTTTCAATTCAAATCCTCCGAAATATTTTCCTCTCATAAAATCATACAAAGATAATCCAAGCTAAAAATTAGAATGCCATTCTTACATCCTCGAAAACTATGCAATAATTGTCCTTATGACTAAATGCTTCGTATGCTCTTACAATTTTCTCATTTCCTGGATGATATTGATTTTGTTAATGAATGGTTCTAAGTATTCCATATTCAATTTTTGCACTCTGAATATGTCTTTTGACTGATTTGATGATCTTGATGGCCTTGAAATCATTCTCTCCTCCATCAAACACTCTCACTACTCTTCCAAATGTTCCATCTGAAATGGCCTACACAAATAAATATCTTTAATTGAATATCTCATCTTTTTATAACTTGTAGTGTTTTTCCTTTTTTGTATCTCCTTTCTCTCTTTATTTTTTAATCTTCTCCCTCTCCCTAGACCTACTCCATTCCATTCCAATGACTAAATAAAAAGTACTTAAATTATTTATCCCATACTCCAAACTATCACCTACTTATATATAAAAAATCCTGGTTGTTTAGCATAAAATAAATTGTTTATTTTTCCTTATACATTAATTAATTAATTTTCTATAAGCATTATTATCAAAAGTGCAAATACTTCAATTAAATATCTTACATACTTAAATCTCATTTATTTATTAAGAAAAATTATAATATCGATATTAAATGTTCCTAATTCTATATAGTGGTTCTTAGTATATCAAGAGGATTGATTGTAATAGGGTAGCGGATAAGCTCTGATAAAACTTCAATTGATATAACAATTAGTTAATTTCCTAATTTATTAATGAAATATTGAATTTATTTTTAATTTTTGATTGATTTGTTGATCTTTCGTAATATCATGTATATCCCTCGTTCCTATTCTCATTATAATAAGGACTGAAGTAATTTATGGATTGAGATCGATATACAGTAAAATAGTTGATCACTATTCTATTAATCATTTATGGTTTAAAATATTAATAAATATTTAAGAAAAAACAAATGAATTCCAATAATTAGATCGAATTCTACTTGAATTCACAGCAAGTTGATTATATCTAAGTGAAATTGCCCTAAGGATTCTCTTTGCACTTGGCTAGTCTAATTCATTAGAGAGAATAAAGGATTGTATTATATTGTCCTGATTAATTTAAGTCTAAGAAAGTTTCCAGGTTTGATGCTACATTCAAATGGCACAAATTGGAATAGACAAGCCAAGAAGACCTAGCGCCAAGAAGAGCCTAAAGGATACAACCTCAATAATAAAAGGACAAAAAGGAGCCAGATAATAAAGCATAAAAAATTCTGCAGAAATAAAAGCATCATTAATAATATTAATAATAATCTTAATAATAGAAGCAATAATAATAATAGTAATAATAGTAATAACAGCAACAATAATAATAACAGTCAAGTCCAAAAATTGTGTAAAATATCATATTAAATTAAGATCCAAGTTGTAAAAACAAATGACTTAATAAGAGAAACTTAACCTAGGGGAGAACATAAAGCAATTGAAAATAGAATATTTGAGAGGTGTTTGGGAAATTGTATAGGAGAGTGTTCAAGCTAATGGGGAGGATGAGGTAGAATTTGACATCGATGTCCTTCCTACTAAAACTGCTAGAAAATTAGAAGCTTATGTAACAAGTCGATTGTATATTACATTATTTAATAATTAAGGCAAGCAAAGAAACATAAAAACGATGAAGAGGATAAATCATTAGATCCTAATTCTTCAGATTAATGAATATAAATTATTGAAGTTTGTTTTAAATTACTTTTAAATTGACCTTTATCTATGAAATTTAGTAATAATAATATAGATTGATGTAGAATTTATATGAATTCTAACTCAACTCTAAACTGCCATTTATAATCCCTTTTTAGTCAAATAAGATTGAACTCCCTTCATTTTTCTTTATTAATCCTTTGAACATTTATAGAATCCCCATAAGTTGATCCAACTTAAACTAGCTCCAATTCCTGCAAATATGATCTTTTATTAATCCTTAATAATTTACATCAACAAATTCAAAAGATAAAACATTAGTAAACACGAAAAATGCCCATGCGCATGATGCCCCAAACTAAAAAGTCCAAAATACAGAGGAATCTATTTTACTTCTTTTGCATTTGTCAAAACATTCAAATCTCCAAACTTCATCTCCTTTTGGAGTAAAGTCTGAATACCATCTCAAACCAACTAAAAATTTTCCTGTAATATTCTTAACTGTGTAAAAATCAAAAGCATGAAAAATCATTATCAGTATATATTAAAATAAAGTGCTTGAAATTATTAACCCTAAAAATAGATATCTATTAATTATAATACTATCATTTACGAAAAAAATGCACAAAATTTAAAAAATATATGAAAAAAACAAATGCCTGGATGTGCTGCTTTTGTTATATCATACTAAGAGATTTCCTAGCGATCTATTGTAATCATTACATTAACCTTGTCCAATGATTGGTTTCATTTCAATCCCTTCATTTTTGGAATTCATAAATAATTATTTTTTTAAACTAATATAAAAAGAAAATTAATTGTAAATATAGATTTCTATGAAATTAATTTTATTTACATGTTACCATATCATAAATGTATGAAATTTGCTAACGTATATTATATGGTTTATTAAGTTATTTTATTAAGTTGAAAATTCTAATCTTCTGTAAAAAGCATTTATCATAACAAAATATAATTTATTTAAACAATTAATTAGATTAATAGGAACTAATTTAATTATAATAAAATAATTATAAATATTTTCAATTTCTGTACTAAAATATTCAATTATTAAGCTACTCATTTTTAATCTTGCAATTTATTTTTCCATAAACTAAAAAAAGAGTTTTATATCATCATCATCATTTAAATATAAAACGTGGCTACATACTTTATTTTCTTTTACTGAGCCTATCTTTATGTATGACAATGTAAAGTATCAACATATTAAGAATAGTAAGATATATCTAAAAATAGAATTCTTAGATCAGTCAATACAACTTAAGTTAAATTTCATTATTATTCCCAATATTTTTATAAATTCAATATTTGATACATTATTAAATGGGTAATACATGTTAATTTTCAAAAATGGATAAAGAAAATTAAAGAATTAGACTGATAGGAGTAGAATGTTAATAATTCCCTAATAAATAAACTTAGCTTGAGAATTTTTCCTATAATATTCAATAAAACATTGATCAATTTGAGGAGGAATTTTTTAATAAAAGCTTTGAACTTGATATACACAATGAAAAGATTGCAAAATCAGAATCCATCAAAACTAACACAATGGAGGGAAAACAATTTTCATTTAATTCTCTTGTCTTTCTTGAAGAGAAATAAAACAGCACTCAGTTCGGCAGCTATAATTAAATGGCAAGTGAAGCCTTCGTAAATTATATTAAACAGAGAACCTAATTTAAAAGTTAGCAATCTGATAGAATCAGAGAAAGCGCCTAAAAACAAATGCATTTGAATAATATTAAACGCTTCCCTCAAATTTATGGAAGAACTTAATTGAGAAATACAGATATTGATGCTTAAACTTCGAACTCGAATAGAATCAGTAAATCAAAAAGGAAATCTAAAAGCAATTTTCACAGTAATTTATCTTTAAACCACAAATCCAATATCTACTAGCCTTCATAAAAACAGGAACGCAAAATTAAAATCATATATTTATGAGAATTAAACAAAATTATATTTAAAATAAATGATATTAAATAAAAACGATTTAGCAAGGCCCATCTTTTTATTTTCTAAATTTGATCATCTCAAATGGATAGAAGACATGCTATCCACTTTTAATGTATGGATTCATGGTTTAAATTTCAATATAATTTATAACTTTTATAATATATAATTGAATTTGATAAAGGATAAAAGTTTATAAAATTAATAAAAAAATATCATTTTCAACTTGCTCTTAATTTTAAGTATTTCATCCAGCATAAATTAAAGAATGATTATTTTTCTCTAATTTTCTATCTATTTAGTATTGATACACAAACATCATTATTTTATTTAATATCATAATAGATCATCATTAACTGAATAATAAATATATTAAAGATAATGTCTATATCTATAATATCTAAAGTAAAATACTTTATCTATTATGTTTGACCTACAATTATTTGGATATTAGATATTTATTTAGATGAGGTGTTATTTAAAAAGTGTATAAGTTAAAATATGAATATCAAAAATCATTGTTTTTTTGATGAAATCTGTTAGGCAAATACCTTGAATTAATGGTAGAGTGTGGGCTCAAGGATGTATTAGTGACATTATGAAGTATATTGTATTTGGATGAAGAATTAGATTATTTAAATATGGCACTTCTTTGTCTTGCTTCAGATTGTTGACAAATAGACTTCAATTTGTTTTTGATGTTAGAGGTAGAATTTTATTATTACTATTGCGTATTTTATTGCTATTATTATTAGGATTTATTTAATGGACTTTTATCTAATAAATTTGAATTTGAATAAGTATTTTTCAAAAATTAACTACTTCTATATTATTTGATACTTTATGCACTTTTTTATTCAATGAGTTACTTAAAGCATTTTTGCTGTTTTTTGAGTTCTAACTCTTCAACAAGTTTCTTCTGTTTATTAACTAAGGTGATGATTCTTGAATAATCCATTTTTTTATATAGAACATCTCTGTAAGTAGAGATTGGATATTACTTATCATCTTATAATTAAAGCATTATAGATCCATGATAAGTAATTTCTTCTTTGATATTGCGATATTCTTTAAAATAAGAATGTTTTAAGCATTCTTCAATGCTTAATCGTTTGGTGGGATCATACTGGAGTAATTTGGATATGATATCTAATTCATCCTTGGGACAACCAAGGAGTGAATTAAGTTTTTGTTTAGATGGTCTAAATTAATTTTAAAAGATTTGAGATTGTCCACCCATGGCAAGTATTTCTTGCTAATTGGGACTACCAAGAATGTCAACAATCTTTTCTAGTTAATTGATGGTACTGTTGCCAGAGAACAGTGCTTTACCTAGGATCATTTCTCCCATAAGACAACCGACAGACCATAGGTCGATACCATAAGAGTATGATTTGGAACCGAGGAGAATCTCAGGAGCTCTGAACCACCTGGTAGCCACATAATCAGTTAAGATATCAGAATCTTGTGATCCAACCATGCGTGCTAGACCGAAATCTGCCAGTTTTATTTAGCATTCCGAATCGATCAAAATATTGGCAGGTTTTAGATCACTAGTTGTAAATCTAAATAAATTACCGATGTATCATTCCTGCTGAATGTATGTATTTCAATGCTTTAATTAATTAATATGTAATGTAGCGGCGGTGCTCTGCTTATAATATGTTAGCTCTGATGGCAATGTGTAAATCTGTTTCCATATATTCAAATACAATATAGAGATCAATTTTGTTATTAGCAGGATAGGTTTCAATAATGGAAACAATGTTAGGGTGCTTGAGCTATTTAAGGAATGTCACCTAACACACTTTGAGAATACAATTATACTTCTCTATAAGTACGCTGAGCATCAGTGGGATTATTGAATGCATCAAACACTTTTTTGAGAGCAACTATTTTTAGAGTTTTAAGATCCTTGGCTTTCCATACTATTCCATAGGCTCCTTTACCAATACGTTAGATGACCTCATATTTTTTGAGAATATGTTCATCAATATTTTCACTCATTATTATTTATAATGTTATAATTCAGTATCAGCAAGATAGTACTTTTCTTACATTTAGTGATATTTCTGATTGAGTTCGATGAACTTCTGTTTCCAAGCATTGACCTCATTCTAGAGCAACGCCACTTTGCTCTCCTATGTCAAGATCTATTATTGTTGCTATTGAATTATTTCATTGAGATGAGATATTTATTATGTTTTTGGATCGATGTGCATTGAATACTTCCTATCGTTGTTGATATTTTTGGACTCTGAAGGCATCGATGGAATGTCCTCAGTACTGGCCATTCGAGATCTCATGTACAATGGAGGATTGTGGATCACATATTTTGTAGGAGAGTATTGTTTGGCAGGAGAGGGCATTCGAACTTCTCTGGTCTTTACGAAGGCAGGCTTCATTGATAAGATTGATTACCACTCGAGACATCCCAGGCATGCTCACTCTTTATGGAGACAATCTTTATAGTTGTTAAAATTATGATGGACTTAGCATATGAAATAAAATAAAATTTAATAAATTTAATTTGATAAATAATTATAACACAACATTCAATCCACAAATAATGGAACCATTACTATCGTGATAGTAGAATATAATTTAATTAAGATATGAATGGATGGCCCTGCTGTGTCCTTGCATGGATCTCCAACCGTATCCTACAATATAGAAATCATCCACTATTACCCCTGTTACAGCTGCCTTATGAGTCTCACTTCCTTTCCCTCCCAATTCTCCTGTCTCTATATACTTCTTGCTATTGTCCCAAGCCCCTCCTGCATTATTTAAGAATAAAGCCTACAGAATTCCAGTACAAGTAGAAAACATCAAGAAAGCACAAATGGCTTTAGCTGGTAGTAACTCTTACATCCTCACAACATTGATTGCTCTTAATGCAATCCCCAAAATTAACGGAGTTAAGACACTCAGTAATCCAGGTTTGATCATTTCCCTTAATCCAGCTTTGGTAACAATCTCCACACATTATTTATAATTTGGTTACGCTGTACCTTACAATATACCTTCATTTTCTCTAAACTATCTGCGAACTTCCTTAATAACATCTTGTGCTGCATTTCCGACTGCTCTCAAAGCCCAACTGCTGAATACAAATACTGTGCAAGCTCCTATCAAGCCAGATATGAATATCTCGGGTTATGTGATATCAATATCCAATATCTTCTTAGTAGGTGACAAGAAATTGACCTCGTCTATAAATGCTCTAAACAACAAGAAAGAAGCCAAAGAGGCTGAACCAACTGAGTATCCCTTGGCATTAGCTTTAGTAACATTTCCAACTGCATCCAGTCTATCTGTAATCTAACGCACTTATTCATCACAACCACTCATTTCAACTATACCTCCAGCATTATCAGCTATAGGTCCAAAAGCTGCCATTGATAATATGTAGACTCCAGTACAAAACATACCCATAGTTGCAATTGCAGTTCCAAACAATCCTCCGATCAATTCACCTTAATGATTCTTGATACCACTCTACTCTCCTAAATAGTATGCTCCCAAAACACCTACACTAATAATAAGTATTGGGATGCCAGTGGATTCCATTCCCACACTTAATCCAGCTATGATGTTGGTGGCATGACCTGTTTTACTTGCTTATGCTATTCTTTTAACTGGCTCATAATGATAATCCGTGTAATATTAGGTTACTTCAATAAACAAATAAGAGACGATGATTCCGATTAGTCCACACATTCCAAAGTAGAGCCATGCATCTTTGTGTTACAAAGGATTTAAACAATGATGACATATGAAAAAGAACCCAAAGAATCCAATTATCATAGCTATTCTATACCCCTTCTTCATTATACACAAAGGATCTTCAATATATTTATTTGGAATTCCTGGTTAAGTGCGTACAAAATACATTCCAATTGTAGATGATATAATGTCTAAACAATGTACTACCAAAGGGAAAAGCATGAAGGTAACTTTATAATTGATATGAAGATTTGCTTCATGTGTCAATGTTGCTCCCAATATCATAGCACTCAAAATTTCAGCTGTGATAGATTCAAACAGATCTGCACTTTAACCAGCACAGTCACCCACATTATCACCAACAAGATCAGCAATCACTGCAGGATTCCTAGGATCATCTTCGGGTATATCATTCTCTATTTTGCCTATCAAATCTGCTCCAACATCAGCAGCTTTTGTATAGATTCCACCTCCCAATTATGCAAACATAGCTACAAATGAAGCACCAAATCCATATCCTATCAACAATAATGGTATTTTATCTATTTATTCATTTAGTTTCTATTGATCTGATATTGTTATATAACAATAAAAGTATATCACCAAGAATAAGACACTTATCCCAAATATTGCTAAAGCTATATTGATTACTGCAGCAAAATAACCCCCTCTAAATGATAACTATATTGCTTTATTATAACAAGTTCTTGCTGCACTTGCAACTCTAGAATTAGCTTTAATGCTAACCCACATTCCAGCAAATCCGGCAAATCCAGAGCATAATGCCCCAAATAAAAATGATCCTCCCTCTAACAATCCTATTATTAATCCTCCTACTGGTATCTCATCCTTCTCCAATTCTCCTGATCCCTTTTACCAATATACCAAAAATATTAACAATGCGAATATTAAACTCAAATTGAAGATTGTGCCATATTATGCCTTGAAAAAACCTTCTGCTCCCTCCTCTATTGAATATGCTATTTTTTTCATTTCTTTCGTGCCCTTTTTTAATTACATTCAAATCTTACATCATCATGTCTTAGTATTTAATCCAAAATACACGTCGCAAAGATTATGGTGATAATCGATATATGCAATACAGTACTTATGAATTGTATTAGATATGAAAAACCCAAAATCTAAGTAAACATTCAACAATTCATTACTTATAATAAAATGCATGTTCCCAAAGGACTTATCAGGAATATTATCCCCTTGATATCCAAATGGTCGAATTAAATGAATTTGATGAACTGCTCTTTTTCAGGATTCTACACGCCTAATAATTCATATTAGGGTTTCTTTTAGGGTAACATCTAAACGTGTATAAATTATTTAATATATGTTATTCCTCATTTTAATCAATTTGACTTTTGCTTGCGATTATGAATCAACGTATGCAAATATCACTGATATCAACTCCCTCATTCCAATCAATCACATCATCTAATAGTTATCCACAACCTAAACTTTATAAGACACGCTAGAATTGACCAACATCACTATCTACACTCATCATATCAATCATTCATACACTAATATCGGACAAGTCACTATCTACCTTAAATAAGCCATCTCATATGCCTTCACAAATAATACATTCCAAACAATTGGATAGGCAATTCTTCAAGATGTTTAATTTAATATGTAATTATCATTCAACACAAAAACTAATACTTTTGAATCTAATTCCATATAGTACAATTCACCAACACAATTCAGTTTTATTGGATTGTATAATTACTACTAATACTATCAATCCTTAGTATCTTTACTAATTGCTCAAATCCCCCCTTAGCTTAATCAACTATTTAACGCCATTTAATTTTAATTTCAACCTATTTTTCCTGATTATACTTATACATACAAAAACATCAATGGTGACTCATAAGAAATTGACTTTACTTATCAATCAAATAACCTTCAATATCAAAATTAATAAATTAATCTTATAGGTTAGTTATTAATCAAGAATTACAACAACAATCTTTGTGTCTAAACTTAATTACCCACCAATAGCAATCAATATCAATAATTGGAAATATTTTCTACCTCAATCATTTAATCAATTATACAGTATGCTTACAATCAAAACTATTTTAATATTCAATTGAGCAACAAATGGAAGAGTGCCGATTTTCAATTTTTAATTGGATCCTTTCAAAATATTTTATATAACTTAGACAAAATTAATCCAATTATTCCAGTGACTGGATGGTGCAATCTTACTTAAATTCCTGTGTATAATCCATTAAATATAACACTTACATATGAATGTAATTTTTACTTCTCAGATGACGAAATAAAATTGTTGACTTTGAATTTAGCCGTAGGTCTAAATCTTAGTTTTTATTAAGTGTTATCACAGATTGAAGTTGTTTGTACATCTTATAGGTTCTAATTGGATGATGTAATTTAATCCTTCAATGAGAAATATCCACCTAAGTCACAATTCTTGTCATTAACAAATCTATATATAAAAACTATCTTGAATGCTCATATTAAAGATCATCCACTCTTTGGTAATAAATAATTTAATAATTCTTTAGGATCTGGATTTTAGACTATTCCAAGAAAGAGTCCCAATATCACAATAAATAATGATTATTTGATGATTTATTAAAATGAGTGATTTAATATTGCATTTTAATGTCAAACAATAATTATTTTTAATTATTTTTTATAACTTATAATAATAATTTAATTACTTTATATTGTTTCCTAAGTACAGTAATTGCATAACATTCAATTTAATTAAAAATAATATTTTTGCTATTACGTAGCTAACATAAAACATATGGTGTTCAAAATGATATCACAAACTTATAATTAGTCGACAATTTGTAATTATCGCATTAAAAGAAGGAAGTCGATAAACTCAACTAAAAACATATAATCAATCACAGGAATAACAAAATAAGCTTTTATGAGTAAATCTACAAATACAGTGACTATCATATAATGAATTCTGATAATCCTATTTCGAATCAACAATAACTATATTAAATTCTATCCAAATTTTAAATTTTGAAAATCCATTAATTGCAATAATCAAAAATAATTTGACTTAATAAAAATTAGAATAATAATATGTGTAATACAATCCAATTTTAATAGTAGATGGTTAGTCGCATAGAGAAGTCATTTAGTTTATTTAGAAGGAACTTTACTTGGAGGGAAAATAATGTTAAGGCCAACTGTCAAATTAAAATAATTAAATTTGTGTTTTGAATTTAAATTCTGTAATGATGTTCATTAGAAAAAGAAAAAATAAAAATATATATTACTAGTCCAAGAACTATTTAAATAGACATTATCCTTAATTTTGCATTTATAATTTATAAATATCATGTGAATTAAAAGATATCATTAATTTTTGTTATTATTTTAAAATTGAAAATTCAAATATGAATTATTCTAATGGGAAATAGAGAAAATCATGTAAATAACCTCAGATTGTTAACTTAATTCAATTCTATAGTAATTATTAATAATCTGATATCATAATTAATAAAATGATCACAACATAATAATTATAATCAGTATTTATGATTCTAATCATAAAGAATTTACTGTAATTTGCATAATTTAAATCGTATCAAATATGTTTCAATTATCCCGATTTGTAGAAATTAAACTCAGCTATGTCGACTCTGAATTTATGGTTTATTTCGCAAAAGAAAAGTCAACAATGAGGCCTGTGCAGTTAAAAATTTCAAATTTCCACAATTCTCATTACAAGGAGCGCACTTTAGGAGTAGAAGTGAAAATTCTTCTAGGCTTAAAAGGAATAGCAGGAGTCCCAGAGATTATTGATTATGGATATACATCAACTTCAAAGTAACCATATTTAATTTAATAAAGGTTCTACATAGTCTCGGAATAAACAGGGCACAATTTGTAATAATACATTGATGCAAAAAAGTAACTAGGCTCAACCACCATAATTTACATTGGACAATAACTTCTTGGAATTTTAGAAAGAATTCATGCTCTCAATGTTTATCATACTAATTTAAGTCCATAAAATATATCTATCTTAAAAAATCAAGTTTATTTACATGGATTTTATTTCAACCACTTGGATGATAGAGAAAAAGTATTATTTAAAGATAAGAAGTTTTGGAGTAAATCATTGACCAATAGTTGTACTATAACATTTAAGGATGATTTAGAAAGTTTAGGTTATCTACTAATACATCTCGTCGATTGTAAGTATTTTAAATATTTTTCAGATGAACTTAATAACAAATCATATGGAAATTAAGGATCGAATTAAAGTGGTATCTTTTTTAGAAGTTACTTTGAATTGCTTTCTAAATTATAATCCACAAATCCTCCACCATATCTTCATTTAAAAAAAATAATTTATAGAATTATTACTTAATGTCTAAGTGATGAAAATAAAATAAGAATCAGATAGGCTTCAAGGTAGCTTGCTTCGAGATAGAATAGAAATCATAAAAACAAACTCAGTATTATTAAGGAGGATGACTTAGAAAATATAGTGTCCAAAGATTTTGTGAAAATCAATGCTGCCACTCTATTTGACGATAAAATTAATTCTTCGTTAGAATTGTAGAATAGTATGAATTAAACGTTTGAGATCTCAGAAGAATAATGTTAACTTTCGGAAATGATCTAGAATTTACACAGCTAAAGTATAAGAGCAAGATCGATTGCTTCACTATGTCAATATAAATAATGAACTTTATAAACTATATTTTAATTATCTAAATTATTATATTTATATAGGGTCAGTAATTATTGAGAATTAATGGAAAGTTCATTCAAATTCATCCATCAAAGATCTCATTTGCTATTTAATATTATTAAATTTAATACATCTGCTACTTGTGATTTATAAAACATTAATGAACTTGTATTCACTGACTTGTTAATGACCTTAGATTAATTCTTAACAAATGAATTGGAAACAATAGATTTTACTTCACTCTTGTTTTCATTTATTTCTAAGTTTACATCTTTTTAAATATTGCTTTTATTATTGCTTTAACTGTATCTTTAACTTTATTTTTAAGAGTTGGAACTTTGTGAATTTTGTATTTTATTAGATTGCTTTGACTTAATTTATGAATTTCCTTAAGATTCATTTAATTATTGATCGTCTTATTCATAATCATCTTATTAATATTATTCTTCTTGTTCATCCTATTTCTCTTATTAATCTTATTATTCTTCTTATTAATCTTATTAATCTTGATTATCTTATTCGTCTTAACCTTCTTATTCTTCTTCTTGATCTTATTAACCTTATTCTTATTCTTATTCTTCTTCTTAACCTTACCCTTCTTCTTAATCTTATTAATCTTCATCATCTATCTTTTTACTCTTTACTTTTTCATTTTATTCTTCCTATTAACTGTAATTTTCTTCTTGTTCTTCTTGTTCTTCATTTTAATCATTATTTTCTTATTATTAATCTTCATTCATTTCAGGCCATTAATCATTAGGTTCATCCTCTTTTACAGAAGGGGCCGGCTTGCATTTATGTTATTTCTAGATGCCTTTTCTTAAATTATTTTCCTCTGTTATCCAATTTTATAAAGCATCTCTCTTCTTTTTTGCAATTTCCTTTAAATCAGTCTTTTTAAATATATGTTTAGGTTTAGTCTTATCAGTATATTTTGCTTTTAATTCAAGCGTTTTGATTTTAATAGTTGGTGGGGTTGGTTTGGCTAATTCTTTTTTTTAGGCGGCTTCTACTTAACATTTAATTTAAGAAGATGGAAAGTATTCCCAACCAGGATTTTTGGAATGATGATTAGGGGCATGGTTAACGATAATATTTTTTAAGTCTGCACTTCTCATAATTATAATATGAAAATAATTGATTTTTATATGAAATTGATATTTATATATGTTTAATGTCTAAATCAATCCTGTTGTAATTATTATTATAATTATTGTTATTATTATTATGAAAATTGATTGTCCTCTTCGCCCTAATGTAAAACTATATATTCTTACCACTTCTGTGTTAAGAGGTGTATCACTAACCATGTGATTATTTTAAGTTGTGACTTCATACTTATTAGGATTATGAGGAGCTTTTTCGGTTGGTGATGCAAACTACATATCTGCTAATGCTGATTTCAATTAATCAAATTTTTATTTTTAATCTTCGTCCTCTTAGGTTTAATTTAATTCTTGAGTCTCCTCTCTATTTTAATGAGAATAATAATACTCTTATTTTGCAGGTTGTTCCACTGGAAATAGTGGTTTAGTGCCATCGGGATTCCAAGGACCTATGTTCAAGGAAAGAGCATCTGTGTTTTCACATTTTGAATTTCCACCCAAAAAGTCAGGTAAATTATCAATGTCGATGTGTTTCAATAATTCATCTTTGTAGCTTGAACCCAAAATTGTGATTTTATTTTTTGTCTTTTCATCTAACCATATTTTAATCATGGCCCAAATACCAGTAAACATCATAGGAGCATTTACAATGTACATTCTAATAAATTAAATGAAAGATTTACTTTCCCAATATCTCAGGATAATTATTTTAACCAACATTTGATGCTAATTGGATGAAATTATAGACTTGTTTAGAGACCATCTTCATTGATCCACCTTTGAGATCCAAAATTGTGAATGTTTAATCAATTCTTGTACCTTTTGCTTAAGAACATGCAGGAAATATCCTTTTAAGTAATAATTCATATGATTGAATGTAATATTTGATCAATCTTTATTCTGAAGTGATTTCAAAAAGTTTATTTAATTATAACATTCCAATTCTTTCGATATAGAGTGGTCTTCCCTTAAATAATTTACAAATTGAATACCATTTTATCTGTTTTATGATAACCGTGAGGATAGTAGGTTCTTACTTATGGTAATTCTTCAAACATATATGTCTAAGATTATTTAAATGTTACCATAATGTTATCAACATCGTTTTCTTTACGCCATTTAATAAAGTCATTAAACATTATTTGAGTTTTGTTAATATCAAATTTCCTTGCCCTTAGAAATCTTAAGAGATATGGATCATCGTAAACTTTATCACTCAATCCCATAGCATTTACAATGTTTCTGAAATCAGCCAAAGCCTTTAATTAAGTTTGATTGCAATCGCCAGGAAATCTAAAATGAATACCAAACAAGAAGTTACCCTGTATAATCTTTGTCCTTTTTGCTCATAATTTAAAGATTTAAAATTATTTGTAATATAAGAATATATTCGATGTTAATATGTGTTGATCAATATATACTAAATGATAATCAAGCCTTTGCGAATTTCCAGATTCCATTTCCTTTGTGTTCTACTCCAACAAGACTGGCAGAATTATAAAGGGATGTCCACAATTTTTTGGCATCTTGATTGTATAAATCTCCAATGACTTGTTTTACGTAGACATTAGCTTCCTATAATTGTTTAAATGATAGAGTACTCTTGCATTGTAATGAGGTAATTCGGAAAAGACATGATGAACAACATGAGTGGTACCAATTTCGAAATGTAAAGCATCAATCCATAGAGGGTAATTTCTATCGATGGTACATAAAGCACCTAAAATAAATAGATTAAAATACCTTTCAACCATGTCCAGGCGGTTTCATCATAATGAGGAACATCAGCATCAGTGTGTTACAAGAAGGTGATGATAGTCAACCACATATTTACAACCAAATAGGGACCAAGATACAAAGCCATCACTTCAGCAAATGAGGTTGCTTAATACCATTTGTAAAGTCCATAAATAACTAAACACAATCCAATATTTGAAGCAGTAACTTTGACGAGCATTTTTGGTGGGAACAATTTGTTGGGTACGATGAAATGACTAGTGAATCCTCTTGCTGATCCTCCTGTGACTCCAAGTAATAGATAAAGAGGCCATCCCAACACTGCTATATTGAAGATCTAAACACAAGCAAAAGATTCCACTCCCAAAATATCTTTCATTTTTTAATATATTTTTCCCATCTTTGAATCGATAATGACTGGATTGTGTGTTTCACCTTCAGTTAAATGATTTGTCTTAGCATGATGAAGAGCATGAGAATGTTACCATGAATAATATGGTACCAACAATGCTTCATGCAATATGAAACCTAAAGCATCATTTAACCATTTGATATCTGAGAATGCAAAATGTCCACATTCATGACCAAGAACCCCTAAGTTTAAATATATCATCTTACATATTCCTGTAGCCACAGTTCCTGTTAGAAAGGCATATGCCACCCAAATTGGTAAAGCCAACCAAGTTAAGGGGATATAATTATAAGCTAAATATGTTAGTAATAATGTGCAACTAACAGCTTAGCCCACGGAAACCAAAAATCGTAACTCGTTCTTCTAAAATAAATGTTGAGGGATTGCCTTTCTAATTTCTATTTTATAATAAAATCATATTACATCCAACTGTGATTTCAAGGTCCTTTTTACTCATTATTTTTTAAAATCTTAATTTTATTTATGGATTAAAATATTTATTTTAAGAAATTTAAACATTCTTAACTCGATTGTCCATTTATCTCCTTTGCTTTTGTTTTTCCTATCAACTTTTCCAATGAGGATTCTTTAATAATCTATAATTTAATAAATCTCCATGATTTAATATTATGATATAAATGAGGAGCCACAAGGGTAAGCATAATAATAAGGACCAAGAGAAGCATAATTGCCTTAACTATAAAATGAAATATAAGACATAGAAAATAATGATGATAAATGTTGTTGTGGATTGCTAAACAGAAGTGATCACATCTTAATCATATTGTTGAAACTTATTCTTGCGCTTCCACTTTTACCCTTAGTTCTTATTTGGAAAATACTCTAATGGCTAACAATTTTATTATATGATTTTTGTACCAATCAACTTTATAATTGTTTGCTTTATGTTAGCGAAAAATTTTCTTAGTTTTTACAGTTTTTATTCCATCTACTTTCAATACTTTTCAAATTTATATACTTCTGCTTAGCTTTCATTGGCAAACAATTACTTAAAGTCATCTATTTTATTGGTAGATGCTCCAAATGTGCCCTGGACTGGTATGCAACATTTATTATCTATACAATTTTCAAATTTGCTCATTTTTAATCAATCATATAAGAATTCACTGCTTTTATTACAGTACCTATATCTTTAAAAATTATTATTCCTTTAGCTATGTGCTTTTACCTTAAAATCTTCACTCCCATTAAAACTGCTGTAATATATATAGCAAAAAAATTGTTTTACGCAATCAAAAAAACTATTGAATTCCTATATAACTCAACAGTAAATTATATCCTCAAACCCTTTTATTATTATATAATATTGAACATTTTGCGAATAATTCGATTTATCTTAGTGGATATCGTTTGCAACATCATTATTGCAAATTTATTTAAAGGATTAAGATGGTCAATAATTAACTTTTATACCTATATTTTAGTTAATATATTCAAGTATCTGATAGTTAAATTTTTGTATGAAATTATATTAACTTATTCATGCAAAGCTCTAAAGTTATTTTTATACGACTTTTTATGTCTGCTTATTATTGTTCCACTCTGTAAAGCAACCGAATGGATATTGGTAGATTTCCTTTATGAAATTATCTTAGTTAAACTATATCAATTTTTAAGATTCATTATTGTTGATGTGATAATCAAAGTAATTGTTAAGATTGCTTAATTCATTTATTTTTAAATTTGTGTAAATTTATTTCGATGTTTAGCTTGGATCATAATACGTTTAATTTATGAGTTAATACTAAGAAATATTTATTTGTATGTTTTGTAGCCATTATACAACTTCCTTGTATCTATACTAAGAATAATAACTACTAGTTTGTATAGATTTATATTATTGCCATTATGGAATTTGATTAAATATCTTTTTAATGTAATTCATATATTGTAATAATTAGGGTTTAGTAAGTATAATTAGTGCTATTGGATCTTTTATTTATTATTCACTTTTGAATCCAATGTGGAATTTAATTACCATTATAACAAGAGGAATAATAGATTTGATAAAGAAGTTTTTTACAGCAGTAGGATAATTATCAATAGATTTGTGGACAGGAATAAGAAACTTGGCTAGTAGACTCAGAAATATGATATGATGAGGAATTTTTCTATAATTGTATGATTGTAATATAATTCATATCAAAATAAATTGTTTTCCTCAACAAAGCACGTAACAACTTCTATTTTGGTGGCTATGATGTTTTAAACATCCTTAATGATGGCAATTTATTTATCTCTTTCAATGGTATTTTATTGATATTATAATTCGTACTCTTGGCATTATTGGTTTCTTTATTGGTTTCCATTCTTAGCAGCATTGAATTCCTAATGATAGAATGATATGATACAGCATGAGCATCTCTGCTTCTCTTGTCTTGAATGTCTCTGTTTCTGATGGTCTCTTACAATGCTTCTTCATCACTTGCTTTCTCTCTGGTCAAGCTTTCAATGGCATTGAAAATGGCTGCCAAAATGGTGTCAGTGTCCTAGAAATAAATAAAGATGAGGATTGTACTCTGGCATTCTTGGCTTCAGCTTCTTCTTCAGCTTAGATACTTTCTTTGATAGAATCTCTGATGGCTTCCATTTTTTCAATTAAAGTCTAAACTGCAGTTGGTTCTAAGGTGGATGTCAAAGCAACCATAGCAGTGATTGGATTTTCTTCACCAATCTTAGCCAATTGAACTAAAGCTTCGTTAATGGCTTCTTCTTCAATGAAGGAACCAGCTTTGTGAGCAGCAGCTACATCCCAAACTTAATGGAGTTTTGGTAAGATAACTTCAAAGGCTTGGACCATCTCTTTCATTTAAGTGGTTCTGGTTGAGAAATCTAAATTGTCTTATCTTCTAATATCTCTTAAGGTATCATCTTTGGCTTAGAAGACTTTGATTTATCTGGCCTTTTCATTGATTTCAGCTTGATAGACAGCGATGGCTTCATTCAATCTTTTGGCTTTGAACTCGGCATCCTTGATTTCATTGATTGACAAACTAATTCTTTGACTATAATTTTAGAGATCTTTTTTGCATTATGATCCAATTTGAGCTCTTTCGTTATCAGCATCGATTTGTTTACCCTTGAATTAGAGTATATAAGTACCTCAAGATCACCTTTCAAATCATTCAATAATTTGCTAACAGCACTTAATGATTCGTTGCCTCTTAATTGAAGGGCAATGGTTTAAAGAATCTTAGATCCAAGTGGATGATCTTGAATTTCTTCTAATTTTCCATAGGCTGGATCATCAGAGAGAGCTAGTTTTTTATGGCCTTGTTTTAATCATAAGATGGTACTTTTTTCAAATGCTGAATGTTCTTCATCTTAGTTATGTTTTTTAGACAAAACTTGATTTGAAAGGAGACACAGAACTAATGTTATGGCTACTATACTTTTCATTATTTTAATAAATAAATCGTTTTTACTAATTATGCTTTATTAAACAAAAATTGAATTGTCATTAAATTAAGTAATTTGAAAAAGCGAATAATATGAAAATCACATTTGTATAATCTAAGCATCAGCCAAAGCTCTCGCATTTTGAGATTTGAAAGAAGTTCTCGTCTTGTTCGCTGTATTATCATAATTGTTGGATTACTTGAGTGATCCATAATGTTATTGAAAATATTTGAGGAACTTGCTTTGACCTTGCATCATATCATCAATTTACAATGAATTGATAAATAAATCACTATTTTTTTAAGAATTCTTTCTTCTTAATGGTGAAGTTCCTAAAGAAGAATGATAACCAATCTACTTAACAGGAGTTGATTGTATAGAATTATTTCGAGTGTAGAATTTAGCCCCTATTGATTATTAATCAGAGTTCTTCTTAGAGAATATGGGTTGGATCAGATTGGAATCTTGTTTCACTAACTTGAGTTTAGTTTATTTATTAATATTGTTAGATTTGTAATCTTATTATTATGGTTATTGCAAAGATTATCCCATCTAGTTTGACGATGCTACAGTTTTATCTTGAAGATTAACTTAGTTAATAGTGAGAGTAGCTTAATCTATTTTGTCTCCTACATGATCACAATTGTCAGTTCTGAAATTCTCTTTGTTTCCAAAAGTCACCAAGACTTTCTTTTAAGGGACATTGTTTTCGCTGAAGCCAATTTGTATTTTATTTAGTTTGAGTTTGGGGATGACTAATTCCTAATTAAATTTATCCAAAACTTGCTATTAACAATTCTAATTAGAATTCTCTAATGTATTTAATCTGTTATCAAGATTCTTTAAAATAGATTTCAGGTATTGACAGTCAACTTTGGGTCTTCACATATTAATAAAAAATTACTCTTAACAGAATGACATAAAATTTATTTAAATTATAAAGAGTATATAAAATTTGGAAAATAGTTCATTCATATATACTTGGGAACTTGATTTATGTTTTTGGTTGTTTCTCCTCGAATCTATTCTTAGGCACTATTTTCATTATCCCATTTCTAACTAATGGATTTAATTGTCTTTATTTATATTAACAAAATATCTCACCTGAAATCTTTTTCGTCATGATATCCTGGGCAGATATCTCGATAACAATTTTACTAAGTACATTCAAAGGTTTTATACATATGAGGATGAAAATAATATTCAAAGATAGAATGACAAGATGAGCATTCATTAGAACAACTCTTATTTTACATCCAATTTGGACACTATAAAGGTTAATAAGAGACATCTTGAACTCTCCTACGTTTATCACTCTCATTATGATAATAATCACAAGTTGACCTAATTAAATTATAGATTACTAAATTATGATTAAAAAGTGCGTATGGACATGCTATGGTTTTGTAATGAAACATGTAATAGTCTTGATCATGCTAATAGAGATGGATCAATTCACATTTGATATCCTTTTCAAAATGAGCATAAGGACAATACATGCCAAAACAACAATTTTAAGGTTGGGGACAAAATAGTTTTCGATAATTGTCTTCTTAATACAACAATTCGTATTGATTATGTGCTTTACAACAACTATAACCATGAGGACACTCTTTTTATTCTACTTTATAGGGACACATTTCTGCTTTATAATATGTCCCTGGTCTTCGTAAGTCACCTTCTGAATGGAAGTATGGGCATTGTTTATGATTATGTTCGCATTCTCTTTGACAAGGACGTATTTTGAAGACTGCCAAATCTAAGTCAAAACTAGTGCCTTCTTCTTTTGGACATCTATTCAAACAATGCGCTTTCTATTCAAATTGGCCTATTCGTTAACATATATACTAGTCTGCTTTATTTTCTTATTTTCGCAAGGGGGTTTAGGATTAATCATACCCAACATTCCTTTGCAAATGGAAGGATTGTGTTTTTATTCTTAGAAATTACTCAATGATAAATGGGAGAATTGAGTTTCAAATTAATTTATTTTTGGAAAACGAGTTGGTGTTTGCTGACCCTTCATTGTGGATTTTCCAATTTCCTGCTTATTAAAATAATAATGAATAAATTTATTCGCAAAAACTCATTAAATACACAAGCTCTAAAAGAATAGGAGAACAAAAAACTCAAATAATACATTCTCCAAATGGAACAAGACCCATCCCTTTATGAAACTTTGACATAAGAGTAAATATTTGGTATTCTATGCATCATCCTCACTAAATCATCTTATCACAGAACTCAATCAGAAATCGAAATCCTTAAAAAAGCTACTATTCATATAGACTATTTCTAAAAATTGATAGAGAAAGATCAAGGTCCCTTATTATGGGAAAGATGCTTAAGAAAAATGAGCTATACATATCTTTCTTATGGTTAAACTTTGTTTCGAGAAGGTATTTTTTAATTTCATTTTTCAAGGGGATGTTGGTACTACCTTCTATATTATTTTGTAAGGAAGGGTATCTATCCATAAAAGATTATTAGTCTAAGAGGAATTTTAAGATAAAGAATTAATCTAATTGTAAGATGGATAAGGCTTTGGAGAATTAGCACTTGAGAATAACGAGCCTCGTTCTGCCTCTGTGAAGGCCATATTACCAACTCATTTGGCAGTTTTGGAAGCTGAAGATTATATGGTTATCAAAAAAACTGTGGTAATCCTAATTTATTCAAACCAAGATTAACCAACAAAGATAAATGTATTTTGAGGAGTTTGCTAAATTGAGTATTTTTAGAGATTGGAAGTTTATGAGTATTAAATCTCTATTCGATGTAATTAAATAAAATAAATATCGGCTTAATCACACTATTTTCAAAGAAGGTGATCCTTCTAATGAAGTCTACTTTATATAAACTGGTTAATTCAAAGTACTAATAATTTATGATTGTTCTAGGCAGTTAAGACGTTAAGAATAACACAAGAAATTGAAGATAATAGTTCTTAAGATGATCTATAAAAATTGAAAGATCGTTTTGCATACTCTAAACCAAGTCTATCTAATTCAGACAAAATAGATATGCTCTATTAGAAAAAAAAATATGGAAACCTAGTCATCGGAGATAAAAAGTCAACTATGACCTTAAAATTTGTTGGTGCTGGTGAGATGTTCGGAGAATTAGAAATATTAAAATAATAAGACTTATGTAGATAATTTAGTTACGTTTCCACTTTTGAATCCAACACTGTATATTCTGTCTCCAAAAGAGATTTCTTAAGAGTCTTATAGAATGACCCACCTTTATTGCAAAGTCTGAATTCTTTAAATGAAGATAAACTAAAATAGGCTCTGGCACAAATTAAAGCATATGAAAAGAACTTTATTGATTAAACAGAGAAATAAACAATCCTTCAACGAACTTAAATCAAAGAATAACTTAATCCAAAATTATTAACTGATGAAGATCTGGAATCTAAAGTATTAGTTCGCAATAAAACCTTTGTTTCTAAAATCAGTAGTAAAAAATAGTGTGTAGATAAAAAAATTAGAGAACTTACCTTAACTTTGCAACCTCCTAAATCTGAAATGAATTATAGTACATTACTGATGCAATTATATGAATCTCAAAAACATAGAAGATAAAGAACTGAGTAGTAAATTAATTTGGTTTCTAAGAAAGGTTCGAAAACCATAAAAACTTCATTTGAAAAAAGACCAAAAACAGAAATGATGTCTCATGACTCACCTAAATTAAATGTACACATAAGCAATGTCCTATCAAAATTATTTGCATCATAGCCTATAATAGAGAGTAATTTCAATGAAGAAGAAGAGAACTACAATAAAGAATAATAACAATTCAATTTAAAAGAAATCAAAAAAAGTATGGACCACATTTAGGATAGTTCTCAAAATTTGATAAAGAAATATCCTACTGAAAGCACGTTAACCAGAAGAATACATTCAACAACTTCTAGATAATTATAAACAAGTCCCACATCATCTAAATTTGGGCAAATAGATAGATTTAATTCTAATTCGTTTAAATCACATCTTCCCTTAGTTTTGCAAAATAAGTATTTTAGATTAACACCTAAATAATAATGAATATAATAAATATTAATCAATGCGTATATTCCCCCCTCAAATCACTTTGCGCATTCAGATAGTTTATTCAGTAGTTCTCGATTAATATTTCTCTAAGTTTATAGAGCTTATTCTTTATCCGATAGACTTTCAGCCAAAGAATTAGCCTAATATTATTGATCATTCTTACTAATTTCTACAACATCTATATTTCTTGAGAAGTATTGCTCTTTAAAATGTTTTTATTAGTTAACTTAAGCATATCCTATTCATAATCACATTTCAAACTAAAATTTATCACCTTTCTTACTTCTTAATAGTAGCTTCCAAGTTATTAATAGTAGTTTTCAACCTTTTTATTTCATCCTAAGAACCATTGTTGTTATTTTGAACAATCGAATTGCATATAATGATTTCAGATTATTTATTAGACTGAGCATCACTCTAGGGTCTATAATGAAATCATTACTTCAGAAGAGATATCCGATTTCTCTTTCTTCTAGTTAAGTTCAATTTCTTATAATAGACTCTCATATTTCTTTTTGAGACTATTCAATTCATTTTAAATTAGTTCTTTCTCTTCTAGAATAAGCGTGTTGTTGCTTTCTAGTTTTTTTATTTCTTTCATTAACTAATCATTGATGAGTTGCCATTATTGGTTTTCTTTTGTGCATTTCTCTAAATAGATATAATTATACATCATTTTGTTATTTTAAGCTGTCGAGCTTTTCTTTGTAAAACATTTCGCGTATTTCATCTTAATTTTAGTGCTGATTCTTCTTCAACTCATCTATTTCTAGTTAGAACTTTTTATTTGTGCTTTCTAATAAGATTACTTAACTCTTCAACACCTTTATTTCTTATATAAAAATTTATGTTTTTCCATCCAACTTATCGATCTATTATTTTAAATTCTATATTTCTTTATCCTTATTTTACATTTGTAAATTCTATTATGCTAATTATTTATCATTTGATTCGATTTTTTTGATATTTAAATTGCACTATGATTAAAGTTCATTGAGATTTTTGGTCAGTTTCTGTTTGATTTCCTTTAGTTATGAGATTTCATTGTCCTTTTAAGTCAACTTTTATTCATAATCGGAGAGTGTTACATATAATTAGGCTGTGTCACTTAGATGAGCTTTTTTTGATTTTAATGTTTTGCTAAATTGAAAAATGGCATCTCGAACGATGTTATTTGTTAATGCTGCTAATAGTTTAATATTTTAATTGAAGATTTCAATCTAATTGTTATTTTTCTTAATAATCTTGAGTTAGTACTTTTCGATATTCAACAAAACCTTATTTTAATCAGTCTTAAACATCAATCCTTGATCATTGGCAATCAAAGTGCATATCTAAGGTAAGTTAAGATCTGTAAAGGATTGGTTATCTTGAGGTTGGATATTTTCCAATTTACAATTCAATTACATCTCTCCCTCATTGAATGCTTGGTTAACCTAATGTTGATGTGATAATCTACTAAATCGAAGATTTTAGAATCCGCTTGCAAGAAATTGGTTTCAGCCACTAAAGGCATGCCATTATATTCAAAGTCCAAAATGGGGATTGCTTGAACCATAATTCTTAAAGGATTATTGCAGAATTTACTTAGTATCAATGTCTAAAATACAGGGTTGATAGAATTGTCCCGATACATCCTCTATTTCCACAAAGTCCTAATCTTTGGTGATGTTGAACCATTGACATCTCAATGGAATTGATTACCCCTTAAATTATCCTTAATTAAATCGCATAAATACCTTTGTTGAAAGAGGCCTCTATGTGCAGTAATTCCGAATGAAGATTGCCTCCTTTCAGATGAACATTGATATAGGTTTCATCGATGATAGATTTGGAGGTTGACATTGAATAGAAATTAATTTATTTTATAATTTCATTCTATATATAGTTAATTTAAAGAACTATGTTGTTAAAATTTGTGATTCTTGATTAAATCCGATTAGAGATATTTAAATTGTATAACACTGTTAAACATATAATATAATTTAATGTTCATTTTACAATAATTATAATTTTTGTATACAGATTGCAATAATAAAATAAATGATTGTTCTTATAACTATTATTTTTTCAAACTTATGCTCATTTATAACATATACACACATCATTTTAATACAATTAATACAATTAATAACCATTTCACCAATTTCTTACCATAACAATCAAAACCGAAAGGTTTTTTACTAGTAGTTTAGGTTAATAATATAATATTTGAAGTGAATTAATTATAATTTTTTTAAATTAATTTCGAACATAAATTGTACTAAACTTATGACTCACACTAATGAGTTTAGCTTCATTTTTGTAAAATGATTATATGAAGTAATTCAATCAAGTAATAAATGTATATAATTCAAAATGTTCCAAAATATTTAACTCAAAGCAAACTTCCATGAGATGAGATTGAACCCATCAAGACCAGTTTACCAATATAAACTAGAAATAACTGATTCCTCCCCAGAGAAAGTCAGTGAGGCACTTAAAAAATTCAGACCACAACTCCAAACCTAATTGATCCTATTTATGAGCTTGAACTAGAACATTTATTCACCAAAACTAATCCAAGAGGCAGATAATGGCTTAGTATTAGGCTCATTGAGTGGTAACGAGACTAATCAAGACACTGCAACTCTTAAACTAGTAGGAAAAATAGAAAATAAAGCCGATCTGAATATCATTATATCAAGACTCTTTAAATAAGTGATCAGAAGTCAATTACAAATGGTTTCGGTTGGAAACAAAGGATAGAAACTCTTTTGGTCTAGTCGAGCACAGTAATTTAAGGACTAAAATTTAGAAGTAAGAAAATAGTTTATATCTATAGATTTGGCCAGGTGTGGAATGCATTTTTAGACCTGGAGAGGGAGGAGCTTAGAATCCCACTTTGGTTATTGATTGTGCATTCAAAATGCTCAGATATAGATCTGCCTTAGAAGAATTGAATTAAACTAGAAACCCATCTTGCATTCAAGATTAGATTGTTATGACTACTTACAACAAAAAGTTCTATAAAGTAGAAGCAGTTGATGTTAATCTCAAACCAGCCAGCACATTTACAAATGAGAAAGGGGAAACCATTTCATTTGCCCAATATTATGAATAAAGATATAAAGTGAAAGTCGATGGAAATTAACCATTAATCAGAGCTACTGTGAGAAGCAAATAAGATAAAACAGAAAAAACTATTCATTTGATTCCACAATTGTGCCAATTGACAGGATTAACTGATGCCATTAGAAATGTACTCAATTTTCTAATAATCTTAGGATTTCAATGCCATGAAGAATTTAGCTGTTGTTACCAAACCAGGAGCTGATCAAAGAATGAAGATGGCCTAAGAATTTGCCAATCAACTAGCCAACACTGAAATTATTAACAAAAAGGCTGGAACCAAGAGATAAATATTTAAAGAGTGGGGAGTAGAAATTAACCCAGGAAGTATGGATGTACCTGCCAGAAGGATTCACCCAGGAAACATGTTAATGGGAAATGGATTAAAATTAGATCTATCAAGTCCTTAAACTAATTTAGATAGACAAACTTAAACATAAATGTTTTCAACTCCTCCTCAATAACTGATTTTGGGAATCATTTACAATAAGAAAACTGGACAATAAACTATGGATTCCTTAATGCAAAACTTTTAAGCTGCCTGCAATGACTTCAAATTTTAAGCTTTCATGGCTCCTAAAGTATTCCCTATTGAATAAGACAGAGATGAAGATTTAGAAAGAGTTCTTGATGGCTTTTAAAAATAAGCAGAAGCTAATAAAGCCAAAGTTGGATTCTTATTATTCCTTTTACCTGGATAAAAGAAGAAAGCAAGATTGTATAAAACAGCCAAGAAAATATCTATGCAGAAGTTCGGTTGTGCATCTTAAGTAGTCGTTGAAAAAACACTAGCAAAAAATACAAGATCAATTGTTAATAAAATATTAATACAACTCAATGCTAAAGTGGGAGGTACTCCTTGGGCAATTGATAGTTTACCACTAACCTTTTAAAATCAACCCACTATGATTTGTGGAACTGACTGTTTTGTCAAAAGCGGAAGAAAAAATTAATTAGCCTTCTGCAGCACTGTTGATAGAAACTTGAGTAGATATTATTCTCAAGTTGTAACATCTGGAGAGTTCAGCTAGCATCTTCAACAGGTTTTCAAAGCTTCCCTTCTAGCCTTCAAAGAATAGAATGGAATCTTTCCAAAATTGGTTATCATTTATAGAGATGGTGTTGGTGATGGCTAATAGGCTGTAGTACTTGCTAATGAATTACCATAATACAAACAAGCCTTAGAGGAATTACAAATCACAGATACTAAAATTTCGCTAGTTGTCTGCAATAAGAGAGTCTCAGCTAAATTCTATACTGGTGGAAATGCCAGGCCTGATAATCCTTAACCAGGAACATGTGTTGACAACCCTAAAGTCGTTGAGCAATCCAATCCCAACTTTTATTTAATTTCACAAGTAACCAGACAAGGAACTGTTACTCCTTCCTTGTATAAAATCATTCACTCAGATCAAGCAGGTATCTTATTATTCTAATTCTAGGTCTTGATGATGACATCAAAGTTTTGACATTTAAATTGTGCTGGTTATTCTACAACTTCACAGGCTCTATTAAAATCCCTGCTCCTGTTAGATATGCTCATTGTCTTTGCAACTTTATTGGAGATAACTATGATGATAGAGATCAAGTCAAGTTCCTACCGTTACCCGACCTTGTTAAGTAAAAAGTCCTATTTTATATCTGATTTATCAGTTCATATCAAGTCATTAAGATATTTATAAATAAATAACCATTTAATATCACTTTTATAACATAAATGATATTAATAATTTATAGATCTAAATTTAACTTGTTAAAAAGTTCTTAATAAAATTATTTTGTAAGGAAAGTGAAGTAGATTATGAAAATGAGAAAATAAAGTTAAAAATTTTATTGCTTTAAATATTTATGTATTAAACAATCGAAATAACAATTTTATGGTAGAAATGGAATCTTAATTTTTAAAAATCAATTATAATAATAATATTCATTTCAGAAATAGTTCTTTTAATTCAATTTCGTAGTTTCCTTTCAAATTTTTCTTCTTTTAATCTATTTAATCAAGTAATTTTGGTTTTCTGCATTTCAGGATCATTTGAATAATCCCTGCAAGTATGGTCCAAGAAAATAAAGAATATTCAAATACTTTATTTTCAAAGGCCCAACTAAAGATCTTCAGGTATTTGATTTGAGTTCCGAATAGTAAATCTACTGTTGTTAATCTAGTATATTAAGAGAAGACACAAGTACTGAAGTGGCACAAAGCAACAGAACTGATTAAAATCAGAACAATATTGAATAGAAATGAGTTCATCCAAGTTTCATTTATTCTAATAATACAAATTGTGCTTACTTCATTGGGTGAAATTTGAAAATCCATGGCATTGAAAATACTAAATTTCCTTTGGTGACACACCATAATAAATAAAGTGTAAATAATCCAAAGAAAAACACGGAAAGAAATGCTACATTATAAACATCCAATTATATAAACAGCTTATTTAACCAAGGGGAGAATGGGATTCCATCCACAGTTATTATAACATACAATAATAGGTGCAATAACCAAGCTAATGTAATGATGAATAAGACAATTCCTAATAACAATTTAAAGATGTAAACTAATGGATTGGCATCACCCATATTTAATTCTAGCAGGAATATTTCAAATTCTTCTTCTAGTTCACTAACTGCAGAAACCAATTTCTAGTATCTTTTTTCTACTTTAGTATTTTATTTCCTTTTTGACCACCATCCAGTTGAACATTTCACATCCTTCTCCATATCTCTCAATTATTTGGCATAACCAATCATCTAAGCCACTAATCTCTTTAATCTATTTTTTTTTTCAGCCGCCTAAGAAGCACTTTTCTAAAGTATTAAAAAATAAATACAAAAACTGGTCTTGTTCCATATGAACAAACAAGGTCTAAAGGCAAAGCAACCATCCCAATGCCTCCATATAAAATTAAGAAGAAATAACCTAGAAAACACATCAATCCGATAGTAAATGTGATTGGATCTATTGTAGTAGCAATGTGATCCTGTTTTTCTTCGGTTATTGTAAAGGTATCAACGTTAAGATCGATCTCACTTGATTCGAATTGGAGTGCAGCATCTTGCACTTAAACAGTAACAGGTACCAAGGCATCTCTTAACCAGAAATAGGTTAAGAAAATAGTCAAGAAAGCAAATACAAGGACCATAAACTCTTAAACTATTGTTAAGCTTATTCTTTGACACTTGGATAATGTGAATTATTACAATTGGTTTTTCATCGTCTGATTCATAATAAAAAATGGCAAGAGGTATGAGAAATACCAGCATTACAAATACTGATATATAAATGATTATCCAGCATAAATGCATGTCCAAGCCTTATTATTCTCTTTCATTAGTAACATCCAAAGTTAACATCAATGTTTAGCACCAAGATAGGCTTAATCCAAGTACAACAACTATTTTACAAAATAATGATGATCCGAATCCACCATCTTCAGGATGGCAATATAAAGCAAGCAGATATATGTTCACATACATTAAGAGCAATCCCAGAACACATATTATTATTATTAAAAACACATCCATGCTGATTCAGAATGTAAAAGTATATAATTTTAATTAAAAATTAAATGAGTGTAGCAACAAAGGGTTTGATTGAATTTGTTAATCCATGTAATTTAGATTATCTATTTAGATAAATTGCCGAAATTTGTAAAGTAAGTTCATTTACAAATGAGGGAAATTGAAGGAAGACAACCATTTGGTCAGGGATTATATCATTGCAACAATTATGAGAATCTAATCAAAAGACTCACTCAAACAAGATAGCAATACAGATAATCAAAAGAAATAGAAACAAGAAAATAATTATCAACACAAGAATTTTAAGCTTGGACTGATTATATCAAAGAACGAACTCTAGAATTACCACAATAACATTAAGTTACTGGAAAATAATTAAATGAATTGAGAAGATCTTATGAAGTTTTTATTGCTAAAGGAGAAAATGGACTTAGACCATCTGAATTACTCAATGTTTTCAATGTATTTTTAATATTAAATATCAGGATTACACAAGAGTAAATTAATTTACAATCCCAGTCGATAATTGGTGTGTATTGTAAATGGTTCATTACAACATGGGCTATCCAATGAATATGAATAGATTATTAAAATTTGAAGAAATAGCTACTCTAGTTTAAACGAAAGTTTTAGCTACATATGAAAGATCTCTTGGTTAGGATCTGTTATTTAGAGAGATTTCCTCATACGGTTATTGGAACTTATTCGATCAGAGCAAAGGCTACATGAATATCAAGGACTTTAGTAATTTTGTTAAAGTATCAAATATATCGATATATTATAGATATTTAAATATAATGTTGAACCTACATTAGGCGGAATACTAAAAGAGTTTGGATTTGCAGCAAATCTGTTTTAGGGTGAATTTGTAAAGGAAATTGATCCTAAAGAGGACATAGTGAGATTCGATTTCTTCAGATATTTATTTTTAGAGAGAAATTTGTGATTATTATAATAATGATGTAAAATAACAATAGAATGATCTGGAGGAAAATTGATCCATCTGGTAAATAGCCAGGAGACAGGGCAGCTCATTCCTGTGATCTAATAATGGGAAAACTATTTATCTTTGGTGGTTGGAATGGAATGAACGCGCTGGCTGACATTCATATTTATGATCTGAATTCAAATTAATGGTCAGAATTATAGACAAATGGAGAGTTACCATCTTATCGAAACAATCACACAACTGCAGTTCATCAAACAAAATTGTATGTTCATGGAGGTCATAATGGAAATACTTGGCTAGATGATCTTTATTATTTGGAGACGAATGGATAACATGGATAAGCTACTTGGTACAAAGTACATCCCCAAGGTTAGATACCGACTGCAAGGGCTTGTCACTCTTTGAATATAGTTTCTAAGAAACTCTACTTATTTGGTGGTTATGATGGTCAAGAATGCTTTAATGAGATAGAAATATTTGATACTTAAGAAAATAGATGGATATAACCAAGTGTGAGTGGAACAATACCAACTGCTCGAAATGCGCATACAATGACCAGGTAACTAAATAATTATAGTAGATATAAGGAAAATTTGTATTTGTTTGGTGGCCATTCTGGAGCATAACATTTATAGGATCTGCATGTATTCAATACTTATAAATTGGAATGGACTCAAGTGGTTACCAAAGGTATTTTGCCTAAAGGATTGAGAGGACATACTGCTAATTTAATTTAAAATAATATCTATGTATTTGGAGGTTATGATGGTTCAGGTAGGTCAAATGATCTATTTATTTTTAATTTCTTAACTAATTAGTGGGTCATCCCTAATCATCACGGAACTGGAACCTATTTATAAATGGAGGAGGTAGCCTTATCTCAGATCCCATAGCCAAGACAGAGACATTCAGCAACTGCCACAGGTATGAATTTATTAGTGAAATTTTAGAAAATGATCTTATCTACATCTTTGGTGGATTCGATGGTAACAAATGGTTGAATGATCTGTATGTGTTGGATGTTGGCTTATTAGAAAATCGTACGATTTAAGAGGAAAATTATTAAAGAGTCATTTCAAATATTCATAAAAATCTATTCAATAATTAAGAACTAAGTGACATTACTTTTGTAATTGGTAATTAAAGGATCTATGCTCATAAAAGTAAACAAAATTACTATTTAAATTTTAGTTTATTTGGCTGCTTAATCTCTGTAATTCAAAGCTCTCTTTTTCTCAAATACAAAAGAAAGTGATTAGCAGACATTCATCATAGAAAATTACTCTTATAAATCCTTTTATATTTTTCTACTTTTTGTTTATACGGGATTTATCAATGTAGCTGAGTTGGATATAGAATTAATGGGAGAAATCTTAAGTAAGTTTAAATTCTATCTTAGGTTTGGCTGATCATTACTTGATTGATGGACTTAAGAATCTAATGCAGAAGAGCATTAAGAAATATATAAGCAACGAAACTGTTTGTGATTTATTAATCTTTGCATAAAAGTGTTCTGCTCATTCATTAAAAAATGCTTGTATGAATCATTTACTCAAGAATATCAATATTATATCTGAATCTCCGAAGTATGAAAAGCTAGAACTACAACCTTCTTTACTTACTGAAATTACGAGAGCATTACTATAACATAAAGAATGAATTAATTTTGATATAATGTATGAATTCATTTTCAAATAAAATAGAAATTTCAATCTTTAAGTTAAAATAATTATTTATACGCTTACCTAATTTAATTAAAATGGAAGAGTAACAGATTATAACAATCATTTTTCCATTTATATTTATACTAAAATTTATTAAAAATATGATAACTAATCCTGGGATCGTAAGAACAAAATTACTAGAAAGTAAATCTACTCATACTCCTTATACTCAATCTACGTTTCATAGCCCTAGTAACTCAAGAACGTTGTAAACGACTTATTTTATCATAGAGGATTCTTCAACAAAGAATTAAAAAAAATATAGGATTCAAATAAACTCTAACCTTTCTTTGTGGAAAAATAAAGTCATTCAGCTACATCATCATGTCATACTTTTATGACTTAGATGGAGAGTGCTTAACAATAAATTAGAGCGAATAAGTTTGGAAAAATAAAAAGCCGAAAATAAATGACATTATTTAACAATGAGGAATTTTTATCTGATGATATCCTTGAGTTGTACAATGAATATGAAAAGAATTATACCACTTTAAATAAAGTAGAGAAATTTGTTGATATATAAATTTCGTAAGTTAATTAGCCTTAATTTACAATTGATTCTTAAGACTTTTTAGCTATCAGTGATGAAAAATTAAAATTAAATGATTTATATAAACTGAACAGAGTGAAAATACAGAGATTTAAATTCTATTATTTTAGAATAAAAACAAAAGGCAGAATGTCTCCTGTTCAAATATTTTTACATTGTCCGGATAGAGTTCAAAGTTCTAATATTAGAATGTTCATATCATCAAAAGCTGAATTTCCTACTAAATTCAACTCTGAATAAATCATTTAAGCCAAAAATGCCAAAATGTACGCTGATCATAATCAACCTTATTTTTCCAAGGAATTTTTGTATATTACAATTTACTCAGACATCGACTTTGAAGTAACAATTGACATTATCTTTGGAAACCCAATTCAGAAAATTGCACCTCGAAAATAGTAAGTAGAAGAAGACCTTTTGGATATTCGTCCACAAACTCAAAGGGTTATCAGGAGAGATAAAATTATTTACAATTTGGATATGAAGTAATATTTGCTAAAGATGAAAAATTTTGAATAAAATAAAGTAAATAATGAATTAATGAAAGGTAGAAAGAGAGTATAAACAATAATTAGTGTTAACAAATAAAAAAGTTATTTAAGAGGAAAAGCAAGTGGATAAGGTATGCAAAGTTTTAGCCAGAGAATCAATAAATTAATACAGAGAAATAGAAAAAATAGTGAAGCAGAGGAGAGAACAAACAAAACTGTTTTAAAATTCTTGGTGCCAAATAGTGAGTTTGTTTGATTTTTGTAAAGAAGTGAAGACAAAATTAGAAGTAATTTAAAAATTGATAAAAGGATATCAAACGACATAAGAAGGCTCAAGCAAAAGGAAAGTTATTGGTTTGGCAATTAAAAACAATGGCATTAATGAAAGTCTAAATATATGGATCCACTCCTAAGGAGAGAACAATATTCAAATCAAAATTGATCTTATAATCTTATGCTTTTTTGATAAAAAAGAAAACAAAGTTGTTAGCTGAAGAAGTTATTACTCGTTTTATTAAGAAGATGCTACTCTATCTAACAACTTTAAATAAATAATAGAGTCTAATAAAGAAAGGTATGGAAAATATATTTGATTTAGTGAAAACAATTCAAAGAAAATTTCGGAGTTTGAAGTAAAAACGAAGAATGTTTAGAGATAAGTTTTGGAAATAGATAAAAGAGAATATAAGCAATATCGTTTATTAATTAAGAAGATAAAAAGATGTTCGAAATTTATTTAGTGATGGCAAAAGACCTACAATTCAAATCGATGTGTAAATAATTCAAATTCATTTAGACCTGTAATGTAGAGTCTCATTGATGACTACTGCGAAAAAGCTAGGGCTCGATGGATGAATTACATTAATAGAACTTTCAAAGAAAAGAATAGGGCAAAAGTAAGATTTTATCTAAGTTAAATTAGAAAATTTAAAATGTGGCATTGAATTTTACGGAACCAAAATTATATGACATGCCAAATGAATACGAATTAACTTAATTAATTGATCAATATGCTAAAATTAAAAAATTATATTGAATCCAACAGCTTAATTCTAGATTTAAAAAATGTGTATTTTCTATTGATTTAAACTAATATTAATGACAATAATAATCAATAATAATAATTTATAACAATAATTATTATGATTACCTAGCTTAGTCAAATAGAGAGAAGTTTATCAAAAATAACTAGTCCCTCTTATCAGTAATTAAGAAAATATTCTTAGTACAGTGCAAGGTTCTATGAGACATCTTTCCATGAGTCAATCGCAAATGACTCGATCTAAAATTTATACATCCTCTCATCCTGAATCTCAATTTCTTTAATTAGATAATGATATTCTCGAAATATATGATGAATTTGAGAAGAATTACAATACAATACAGGAGATAGACAAAACCAATACTAAGATTGAAGCAAAATAAAAGTTTATTGAGCAACCCAAAATAATATAACAACAGAAGAAGTTATTGAAAACTTTCGATGGATTGTAGTAATCTGATCTGGAAATAGAATATATTAATCGGATATAAATTGTCAGATTTAGATTTTACTACTTTAGGATTAAAATTAAAGGAAAATAATGTAATAGTAATTTGTCATCAGCCTTTAGCTCCCTTGCAGATCTTATTAAATTTCCCTTCCAAAATAACTAGCACTCAATACAAGCTATTCGTATCGACTTCAATAGAATTCCCAAACAAATTTAATGCTGATCAAACAGTTCAAAGTAGATTTGTAAAGATTAACTCTAAACAGAACTCGAAATTATTTTTTGATGAATATGTGTACTTAACATTTTATAGTGAATTTGATGCCATCATAGGTATGTAAATCACTTTTGGAGAATAATACACACCATCAAACGGATAAAAATTAGTCTAATCAATGATAAATATTGATACCTTTCCTGAAAGAAGAACCATTCATCCAAAGGATAAAATTCTATAAAACATTGAAATGGCTAAAACTAAAACCTATTCGAAATTAGATGAAATACTAAAAGCAAAGCGTAATAATATTCAGAATATATTAGATAGACATACTAAATCTTAAGAAACAATTCAGAGATCAAAATTGATTTAGAAAGAAGTGAGATAAACAAGATTAATCAAACTATTAGTCAAAGATCAAATAGTGTAATTCAGAGAAGTAGAAAAAGTTCATTAGAAAGAATTACAATTACAAATATTTGTCAAAAAGAATTGGATATTGATAACTACAATATTCAACGTCTGTAGATAAATACATAGAAGATTGGAAGTAAATTTATTTTCTAATTCTAGAAAATAAGACGCAAGAATAAAATTGCTGCAAGAGCTAAATTGTTAGTATGGTAATTGCATACAAAAGCTTTGATTGAAGTAAGGAAATATGGAGATAATCCATTCATAAGATCTCTTAGTAAATCCTCTCTTGTGTTATCTACTTATACATCTTACATCTAAGAAAAATGTATTTCAAGAGCTGAAGTAATTTTAAGTGAATTCTTGGTGGATATCATTCTTTATTAAACTTTCATTAACAAACATATTTCATTGATTTCTAAAAGTAATCATAATGAATAAGTTTTAGTTAAATGCATTCAAAGAAATTATAGAAAACTCCGATTGGTTCGAAAGAATTTCAAGGATAAATTTATTAAAGCATTCAAAGAAAAACTTTAAGTTCTTTATTAAGGAAGAGGAAGCGATTAAAAGGCTAGAGTTAATATTGAATAGTATTTCTTCTTGTTAAATTTTAGACACATCATAAATAAGCTGTTTGATGAATACTCAGCAAAGATAAAACATCGATGGATTGATTCTCGAAGAGCCATAAATGTTTTATCTGTATTAAAAAAAGTAATTATATAATGACACATTTATATAGAGCTTTTCAGTCTAAAGATAAGATATCAAATTATATTCATTACCTGATGAAGCAGAGATGTAATTGATAATTTAATAATATTACAAAATAAAAAAATAACTGAGCTGAAATTTCATTATGTTTTTACAAATTATCGTAATTCCTTATATATAGGATTTCTAATTTGTCTTGCGATAGATTTATTTTTTATTTTAAACTAATGGATTTATGAATAGCCATCTATAATTAAATGAATATTAAATAATTAGATTTAGTATCAACGAAGTTAATTATAACACTAAACATTCAATTAAAATATTTTTATATTCTATTTAAATGAACTGTCAATGTTAATTTTGATAATAAATTCCTCTATATAAAGTCTATTATCGTATCTATTATATATTTTATTATAATTTATTCATACATTCTATAATAATCATCAATTTTTCTTTACTCGTAGAATCTAATTTTTCTAATTTTGGAATTACTTAACGAATTTATTTAAATTTTAGTTTTCTTTTGATAACATTGCTATTAATGATTCTATAATTTCTTAGCACTCTGTTAACTTTCCTTCGTCAATTAATTAGAAATTCAAAAGTAGCAATTTATTAAGTGCAATATTTTGCAACTCTTAATTTTGAATGTATTAAATTGCCTAGTGTTGTTTATAAATTATTTAATTACAAATTCCTCTGCATTTTTAACTTTTTATTAAGAAGTTAAGTTTATTTAATCTTTCAATTTAAACGATAAAACTATTAAGTAAAAGTCTCTTTCCAAATTCTAACGATCTATGTCTAATTGAATATCCTTAAATTTATTCAATGCATTATAAATGGGTAAAATGTATTATTCATTATTTTTTAATAGATTATTTTACATCACTTGATCAATCCAATCAAAAATTGGTATGGAAGCCTATGAATTGTATTGCAAATATAAAATACAGGCGATTTATTGTCTTTAATTAATTTGCTTAATTCATTAATATTGGTAATAACTTTATCAAATCTGACTTATATTTGAGCAAGATCCTATGATTCTAAAACATCATCAAAAACACACATATTAAACTATAAATAATTAAATTAACCATACATCTAATATTAGTATTATTGGTATATCTAAATCTATTAGATTTAAGTTATCAGCTAATGTTATAACCTCATTCATGTTTATTTCTTCCAAAAACCCTCTTTTCTTGCAATAATAAATATTAGAGTATAATAAAAATAATGTTTTATCATCAACAATAGCAGTCCTTATTGAATAAACTTCAACTAGTAATTTAGTTGCATTGTCAAAAAGATCGCAACTTAAGTAAAATTGTGCAAGGTTAACTTTTATGTCTAAAACATATGTTTCAAATGATTCTTCCCAGTAGGTTGAAATTAAATCAACAATTTTATTAGCATAATCTATAGTAAATTCTGTTTTAATATCATCAGCTTATTTAATGCTAATGAAGAGCTAGAATAAATTCACCAAAATCAAATCCAACTCAAATTATCCTTTAGGTTCCTATAAAAGTTTCTTGGCTTGAAATTTAACTTCTTCAATTCCTTGATCTATAAATCTTTCAAATTCTTCAACTAAATTCCTTTTCCTATGAATTTAAGCAATAAAAAAGTAGAAGTTAATAGAAAAATCATAAAGTTCCTTAAAAGCATTAGAGTATGCTTAAACTTTTTCTTTTTATAAAATTTCTAAAACAAGTTAATTGTGTATTTCAATTTAGTCTAAATAATCACTAATGATTATATATATTTTATTACTTCATCCAATCATGTAATTAATTAATATCAACTTCTACACCATAATTGATCATTTGGCACATTATACTTGCAGCATTCAATTTAACCTTCAATCTTTCCACATTAATTTGATCTAGCAATTTATATTGTTTAATAATATCTAAATATTTTAATAAATCGCAATTTATTAGTTTTTAAGTAAATTCACTGTCCAAAGGATTTTGATGCTATGTATAAGCATAAATGGCAACTTGATACTAATGTAAAACCAAAATTTCTTCTATGTAGATAACATTAAAGTATTTGTCATCAAAATTTTTAAGATTATCTTCCAAATATTCAACAACTTGACACTAGATGTTACAGACATCTTCTAAATCATTCAAAGCCACTATTTACTCTTAAATAGTTTTAATATGATCAACTCCATCTTGTAATGAACTTAATATAATTAATTGGATTACATTTTATGATTCTAAGAAAAATTATATTATGTTTTATTTAAATTAGTTTGATTTGGTATTTGCATTTTGTAAATGTAGAGTAATTTTGGAGAATTTTTTACAGTAAACATAATCTACTTAGCGAGGGGTAGAAATCGTTTTAACATATTTATATATATAATTAATTATTAAATTTAGATCTAAATTTTGAGATTATCATATAAAATTAGTTACTTATCATGATACTTATATAAATCATACAATATCGAGCAATATTATTTTATTTAAAGTAAAAAGAATCCTCATATTATGTTTTTTTGCATGAATAGATTTCTAAGACATTATGAACCTTTTGATAACTAAATCTAATATGCAAAATTTCTCTGTACCATATTCTTAAAGTTACTTATAATATTTAACAAAAGAGTAATGAATGCTAATTAAAGTTTATTAAAAATATAATTTTCATATTTTTTGTCATAGGGCAATTTATTTAATTTATTTTTGGTTTTAGCATAATTAGTAGCTAATATATCAGAGCAAGCAGTTTAGTTTACATAATTAAGTATATAAATTATTAATAGACTTGATTATTTTTAAAGATTTAAGTAATTTTAAATGAATTCATTTTTTATAGATAGTCAGAAACAATAGAATTCTGAGTTTGCCTTGTTTTTGTGAATATAAAAATACTACAAAGAATGTCAGAAATCGATTTGATATACATATTAGAATTCAATAATATATATAATAATATAGAAAATGAATGCTCAAATAGACGGAGGATAACAAATGGTGAATAATGAAAATGAAGGAAACACCGTTCCTAAATTCACGAAGCTTTTTGGAAGAGCGATGGATTAATTTAGATTGAGAGTGTTTTTCCTATTCCTTGAGAGATTATACTTAATAATCAGTATGCCGATTATTTTAGTTTTATTATCTTTACAAAGTTGTGGGTGGAATGACTTACATTATTGGGTGTTATTTAGCTGTCTCCAGGCAATTTTTAGTTTGGTTTTGTATGGATAGTTATTTCACTTCTCCAATATTCAATCAATTTAATAGCATTTAGCTTTTCATTACGTTCAAATAGTGTTTGTTCCATTAAATGAAGTAACAGATCATCCAATAGCTCCAGAAGGTATCAAATAATGATTAAGGTAGTTTTTGATCCAACTGCAAACTTGTCAACAATGGAACTAGATAAAAAGGCAGATGTAATGCAATTGTAAATACGATAAGAGATCGTTAATTAAAGTAGGTTTTGCAAGTACAATAACATCTTTAGCAATGCAACTAATTAGGCAATATTTATTTGGACAATTTATTATATAATATCTAATCCTCAGAACAGTGGGACAGAAGCGAATAAATGCGATAGATGGCCAATTATTCAAACTTATATTTACGGAGCCTTATTATTCTTATAATATTCCTAGTATTATTTACTAGCTGCTTTGGCATTGGTCATGCTCCCTTTTATTTTGGTATATCTAATAGTTAGATGTTTCACTGATAGAAGAAAGAAATAACAGGCTTTGGTGGCATTGAGTGAATTGCAGAAGAATAAGATTTTGTATAAGCCTAACGTAATAGAAGGAGAGCAAGAATGCTCAATTTGTATGCAGCCTTATCAAACTGATGATGAAGTCCTGTAAATGCCTTGCAGTCCACTTCATCATTTTCATAACACATGTATATCTGCTTGGCTATAAATCCAATCGACTTGTCCAAATTGCAGATCATAATTGTTGGCAGAAAACTAGCAACCACTCCTTCAGCAACCATAACTACAAGAAGAATTATGAAATATATATATAACAAATGAGCTTAACTTTCAAACTAGTTTGATACTCAATTACTCAAAACACGATATTCATTCTAAACTTCAAGTCTGTATCTGTAAACATTTTAACGAATTCATCTAATTCAATTGAATTTGACTTGTCATCATCTACAATGTTCATAATGTCTTTTCCCAATTTCTCAACGTAATCTTTATTCATAAAATTGGTCTGAAATATTTAAGGTCTCATTGACTTCTTCTAAATGGCTGATGTTTAACTTTTCATGAATAAAATCTTAAACACTTCTGTCAAGTCTTCCTTTGTAATTTTACCATCCTGATCCAAGTCATATATTTTAAACATGTAATCCTTTTTCGATTCCACATCTGCTAATGGATGAAAAACTGTTAAATATTGCATAAACGTGGCGAAATCCATAGTTTCTGTTTTTCGTCTAAAAGAGTATATTTGAAGAAATACTTCTTCATATCCTCCTCAATCAATGTGTAGATTCGTTCTCGAAAGAAATGCATTCTGATTTCTAATAACTCCTTAAATTCCTCTATTTTAATAGATTGTCTAGAATTTTTATCAAGGATTTTAAATTTCTTTTAAAGAGTGAAGACTTCATTCTCAGAAAAAGGTGGATATTTTGCAGATTTTACTTGCTTCATTTGCTATTATTTCAACTAATCCTATAAGGATTAGGCCTTCATTCCACCACCACCTGTTCCCATTAGAATTATTATTATTTTATATTATAATTTAATATTTTTAGATGTCTCTCCCTAATCACATAAGCATAATTAGAAATAAGAAGATAAGTTAATAAAGGTTTACCCAAATCGATAAACATTTATTAACCTATCTTATTGACCTTGTTTTTATTAAGAAATAGTTAAAAGTGTCTGCGTTTCTAAATCACTCTGATAAATTATATTAAATGAGATCAAAATATAGAATAATTAAAAAAGATATTACGTATTAAATTTTGATACATTTAAATTATATGGAATAATTTAATAGAAAAACAGCACAAATTATAGACTAGTTCTTATTCTGAATTTTTGATATTTCATAAATTTAAAATAAAAGCGTATTTCACTAAATGGAAGAGAATGTAGTTATTGGAAATAAATATTCATATTGCAAAAATAAGAACATAGTGATTGGATCATTTACACAAATAATTTTAGGCTAAAATTTATAAACTCAAGAGGCTTTAGCGTTTAAAATTAAGTAAAAAATTAACTCTAAGTAAAATTTTTATTTTATTAGTCAAGTAATATAATATATGGATTAATTGTGGATTAAGTGGAAATACATAATGTAATAGCAGAATTAGTAAAAAATGCTATTTGTCCATTTATCAGTAAAACCTACGAATGCTTAGAGATATAAGATAATATAATTTTCGTTATGGAATTGTGCAATTAAGGATCTTTAGAGTAAAAAATTCGAAGAAAAAAGAAGATTCAAGAAGATGAAGCCTTATTCATTTTGTTTTAAATGCTGTAGGCACTTGCTCTATTGGCTAAAAATAATATTGCTCATAGAAATATTAAACCTGAACATATTTTAATTAAGGATGAAGTTTATAAATTAGGAGGCTTTAGTTTTGCTGAGTAAAAGCCAACCTATAAAACTAAGCTTGGTACTTTAGTATATTTGGCACCTGAAATTTTTACTAATGATGATTATGATCAAAAAGTAGATATGTGGTCTTTAGGATTGGTTATTCATCAGGCGCTCTTTGGAGAACTATATTATTTTGGATAGGACCATAATAAAATCAAAGAATCTATTTAAACTAAGTAGTACGATATTAACGATTAGAAATATGATATTTCGGATGAATTTAAGGTGTTGTTGAGTTAAATGATTCAAAAAGATCCTAAATAAGTAAATAATCAAATTTAATTCATTTTAGAGAATCTCAGCAGAAGATGCACTTCAGTAATTTGGGATATTCAACAAATTTCAAACTGACCCAAGATACATAAAAATAATGGAAGATGAAAAATAATTGTTGAAATAGTTTGAAGAAACTAGACAATAGATTTAAATTTAGGGACAAGAAGGTATAGAATAATAAAGGCAGTTTTAATCTTAGTGATTTAACTTAATACTAAAATGAAATACAGAAAGCAAAGTAGAGTCAATTTCATAGATTCTTTGATAAAAGAATTCTATAAGCCTATTAAAGCTTAATTTGATTTTACTTTCTATATGGAAAATATATAATAATACTACTTTTACTATTTAATATTTAATATCAACTCAAAATGAATTGCCTTAGTCTTTATTTAATGGTCCCTTGATGTAATGTTTTGGTGGCCAATAGATTGGATTGTAGTGCGACTTTTGTCTGTAATTTTCTTCAACAAATTAGATCATTACGAAGATGCAAATGAATAATGTAATATATAAAAATCTTTCAGTGAATCTATTGATATAATAATGATAAAATTACGGGCTGTATTTTTGATGTTTGAGTAAAACTTTAAGTTTCATTATTAAGACCATAGTCAATCCAACAAACGTCATTCCAAGACTAAGGAACAATCCTTCAAACCCAAGTTGTTGTCTGCCACTATTTGTCTTCCATTATAAACCTCCTCTGTTATTTTGACTAAAGAATGGAACATTATGAATTATGTTATAGACGACTCCAGCCAAACAAGTAATGAAGATTATTACGGATCCTATAAACCACAATTTCGGATTTAGAAACAAGGGTCTTGCTATAATGAATATTAGGCCTCCAAATGTCAAAGCTCCAAGAAGAATACCAATAACAGTAAGCGCTTCTGAGGTTGAGGCCTTGTAATCAACCTATCTTGCAGTCCTCTTATTTATGAATTCGAGGAATTTATGGGCTGTGACTGTACCATCTGTATAAGAAATAGTCCATTTCATGTCTCTTAAATATCTTTCTCTTTCATCTTGTGGCACAAATACTATATGAGGTTATGAGACAAATAAGTTTGGAGCTGAAATGAATCCAAGTTGTTCGAAGACTTGCTTATTTTTATCATTGAAAGTCATGGTGGCAAAGAAGACAGCTCTTTTGGATTCACTCTTATATAACGCTCCTGAATCAGCATAGAATTTGGCTACTTTTTAGTAATGCTCATTTAGATCATTGCAAAGTTTGCAGCTCGGAGCAACAAAATATATAACAATATCATATGGTCGTGGAAATTCCATTGTGTAATAACTTGATTATGAATATAAAAATGATACAAATATCCAGTCGAATTCAATTCAATTATTCCATCTCTCAATTACATTTCTCTTAATTCATTTGTTTTTTATGAAGCTAGGGAGTCTGCATTAATAAAATTGACCAAGAATAATAAAATTATAATCATTATTTTTTAATTATTATTTGTTTTTGTTTTAATAATTAGCATTCATCAATTGTCTATTATCTCTTAAATATAAAAATGTCTATTACACTCCTTTGAAGAGTATTTATAATATTTACTACCAAATATCATCTTTTAGATTTAAAATTTATGAATACCATATACATTACCACCATTCTCTTAAAATAGTCTGTTAAATTTATCTCTATTCCACTGGATTTACAATCTCCTAACTTGGATTTCTCAATTAAACCCATTTTTTACAACTAAGGGTAGCACCCCCAATCATTGATCAAACTAAGATGAGTCTCTTAATTGATTATGTTTTTTCCCTAGTTAATTTTGGGGTTTTGTAACATAGACACATTTATTGCTGTTAAAAAGGGTGATGTCAATTAGAAACATATTTTGATCTGAAAATCCTTTTAGACTGACATTTTTCAATGTTTATCATTTTCATCAATACCACAAAGGTGTTATTTATCATCTCATATGCAATTATCATTTTGATGGCTGTTGGCACAAAAAGTAATTAAAATTTGAATTCTTGAAATAAATTATCAGAAATGGCTCTTAATACTTATTTCAATCAATTGTCATCTACTTATTTCAAAAAAACAATAAATAAAATATATCATTAAATATGAATAAACATATACAATAAATCATTCATTTTATAGTATTTTGAAAATCTCTTACATGGCTATTTTTTTAACCAATCTCATTTATGTGGTTGGTTATTTTCTTTTTAATTTCAGTTAGAACTTTTTTATTTTCTGATTTAATTATGATTTAATTTATACCTTCGCTTTTGAGACCTTTTCTAAGGCCTTCTATCTTTTGATAACCTCCACTAACCAGATTAAATCAATGTTTTCTGCATTTGATGTGTTAAGAAATTACAACCCACTAATGTTCTCTTCCATCTACAATTATTAATCATTATTGTTTGGTAATGGTTTTCCCTCAGATTGTTAGTTCTTTGTCTAACATTCATTTTATTAAGGTTCGCTTTATTCAATTGATAACAATTTCATGTGGAAATTTTAAAGTTATTCCCTCTGAATTTTATTTAACTATTTTTCTTTTAGAATTTTCGTATAAATAGTGAGGTAACAATAAATTTATTCAATTATCTGATCCACCCCCTTAAATTTAAGTTATCGATAATTTAAATCTAATTATAAAATATTATATTAAGTATATTCCTGTTTCTCTCCAACCTAACTTGATTGTTATTGTTATTGTTACCATAGATATAGGTCTTCTATTAATAACATCAATAAGCACATCAAATATTCAATTAACAGCCTAAAATTTATTAATAAATTTATTGAAATTCTCTTTGTAACCTGTGCATTTCCTGAAATATTACTATCAGTTTATTACAGTTCACAAAGAATCTCACTGGTTTATCATTCATTAAAAAATAGAAACTTCTCCTTTCTTAGTCATGATATAAATATCCTGATTTTGAAGGAACTAATAATTCTATTCAAATTTTTGTTTGGTTATTCAATACAAGCACATGAATCATTATTCATTAGACAGAATGACCAAGAATTCATTTCAAAAAGTTTATTAATAATTATTTTAATTATTTGTTAATGCCAGAATTTACTCCTTTATTGAAAATATTAAATTATTATATTAGAGAAATTGAGAATTTGTTAGAATATGAGGAAGATCATTTTTTCTCAAAAAATAAATTAATGCTGTGTTTCATTTAGTCATCTATGCTTCATTAATCCAATTTTTTGATCATTAAAATATTCCTTATATTTTGATAATCTACCTATGCATTATGTTTGATGCCTATGAACACAGACACATAATAGCCGGTTGATGAATGAATATAAAAGGAGATAAATGATAAGTAACATTTAGTTAATAACAGAAAATTGATAATCATTTTATTATTAAAATTTATTTAAATTTTTTTAGAAAGAACTGATTAAATAATTATAAATTGTTATTTTAAACTAATATTTTTCATAAGCTTTTTAAGACAAATTATTCAAACTCTTATAGAGAGATAAAGCCATCTTTATTAGAATCAGCTGCTTCTAACCAAGTTTACACATCCTTATAGGTCGGTTAAGCTAATCCCATAGATCTGTAGGCTTCGGCAATCATTTTTTGTATTTCCTGAACATTCAAGTAGCCTGAATTATCGGTATCATATTTCCTAAACACTCTTCTTGCTACATCGATTCTGGGATCTTATGGTTTATTAACTTATTATCTTTATTGCTAAGAAAACTAAGGACATAAATATTTGATGCATAATTCTTCAATATCTTAATAGGTGACTTTGCCATCTCCGTTTCTATCCATGACTTTTGAATAACTGTCGATATCTCCCCTGGTGGGTTGAAAACTTCGATTAAAGGATTTGTATGCATCCACTATCATAGGTATAGTCTCAGTTGTATCAATGACTCCATTTCGGTCTCTATCATAGGTCTCAAAGAGTTTCTTTGCAACCAATTTGGCACTTTCTAAATCACTCATGCTTGCTGATCCAATTCGATAATCCATTAATTCAAAATTAAATAAATAGTTTATTAAATAATCATGGATTAAAGCGATAGATATGATAATGAGAAGATTCTAAAGTTGCTGACAGAAGCCAATCAATTCTTTGAGTAGAATAGAGATTACCCTCCCCAACAAATTGGTGAATTTCTGGTTGAATTTTGTAAACTATTCAAACAATTGGGCAAATTGCTATATTTTGCATTCTCAGATGTCATTGAAAAGGCTTAAATCATCAAAGATAGAGGAAATGAATACAACGAACAAACTAAGGGAATCTTTGGAGTCATCCAAATAGAGAAGTAGAAAGGATTAATGGAATTGAATGGAGAGAACAATAAAGAGATCTTAAAAAATAAAGTAACACTAACTCATCAATTTATAAATAGACATTACCTAATTATTAATCTATGGCTAGAACAATGTTGAGAATCATTAGATTCTTTAATTATTTGAAGATCATGTTCCTTGATGTTGATAATAATAGAAATAAGAAGTTTTCAGATATCTGTTCTGATGCATACAATGAAGCTTTGGCACCTTACCATACGTAATTAATTCTTAAACATTTGTAGATTCATGGTAAGAAATGCTGCCAAAGCTGCCTGGTTAGCTGCTCCAAGTAGAACAAAAGTCTTTGAAACTTTTGTTGGACCCAACCAGACTGATGAAGTTGCTTACGCAGCAATCAAAAAATTTGTTAATGCACTTGAACCAATCAGACTCAACTTCTGGGATTATTATAATACAAACAAATTAACCAATCTGCCATGAAAATATCACATACATACAATTAATCATATATTTTTAATTCCACAAAATGTACGTAATTACTCCCAAACAATAAGTTATATAATATTAAATGGTCCGAATCTTATCCATTATGGGAAAAATCCTTTATAGAATGCGCCTAGACCCTCCTATTTAAATGTCTTGATTGCACAGTCCATAAGTCCATTATACACTTTATGACCGGCATCTTAAGACATGATTCTGGTCTTAATTAAGTCCATAGGTGCAGTTGTAATAGAGAGCATCAATCCTAAATACATGATATCTGAATACCTGTAGCAAATGAGCATACAAACTAAAGACTGAATCCCTCTTTGAATGCAAAATGTTCCTTCAACCACTATTTCGTCTAATCATAAGTGGCCATTTTTGTGCCTGTGAGAATTGCTCCTCTCAGTAAATTAGGCATTGTGCCCTTATACAAACCTAGAATTCCCTCATGATGTAATATTTGTGTAATTTCAGCAAATACTGACTGATGATGGCCAGATATAGATTGCAATCGAATTTTTAAACTGATCAAAATTATTAATAATTTTTTACACGTCGCATGGATTTGCAACAATTGCTCCAGTTGACCCAGACATCAAGCCTGCGAAAAACTTGACTCCCAAGGATGTCTTCTCTCCATCGTTAGATATCATATGCTTAAAGGGTTCATACAATCCCAGTCTCAAGGTCGAATAAGTAGCTTCTCTACCTAAAGATGCTGATAATCCTTTGTATAATGCACGTAATCCTTCCTCTTTGTATATTACATATGATCCTCTTATGATATTCTTGTATTTCTTAACAGCAGATTATCCTTCGCCTTCCTTCTACAATCTCACTTTAACTGTATCAACTGGATGAGTAGATCCACCTGCCGCAATCGAAGCTATTCCTGCCAAAAACATCCTCAAAATTGGCTTATTCTCTTCTGGACCAATGGAATTCATTTTATTTATAGCGAATTAAATAATCAATAATAATCATTATATCTTTTAATTATCTGATGCAAAGAATATTGGTTTTTTGCCAGGAAGTGGAGTTAATTTATTGGTTTTTAGACTTTTTTTCTTTCCAAATATTTGAGGGGTAGTTAATTATTAGTCAGTTTCAGATATACATAATTTACTTATTGATAATTTGGTATGGGGTATATTAAAAATGCTACCATGGATAATACTACTCTATTTAGGAAGGGATGCCGATGAATTTATTATACTTGATCTTATTACTTCGCTTTGTCTTTCGTAAGAATCCACATTATTTTTATAATAAAACAGCAAATAGGCATCACTAGTGAGAACTTGTTTTTCCGTAATCTCTTTAATTCTTGTGTCATCGAAGTTATACCATTTCTAAGTATCCTTATTTTTACAATTGGACGTATAATGACCTGAATGCAAAGTACCGCTATGGTTTATAACTCCATACAAATCATATGTGGCCTATTCCTATTCTGAATAATTGCTTAGGTCTAAATTATACATTGGAAAGTTTATTAGCCATCTCAATTTGCAACGATAATTGGCTGTAAATTTAAATCGCTTTAGATGGATCACCAAGATGTTTGGCAACTTCCACAGTTTTATCCCTTTTTTGCTTTTCTTAACAGATTTGCATTTAGAACAATACCATTGATTGCCTTCATCCAATTCCTCCTCTTTCAAGTATTCCGATATGCATTACAATAAATCAGCATCCTCTAAGATTGGCAGACTCAAATACATAAATGTTTCAAATTTATACGATTTTGTATTACATACCATGCATTATAACATATTGATTGATTGTCCTTAGAATAAATCTACTATGATTGATCGATTCCTTTTCAAATAATCTGACCATGCTTTGTTTGCTTGTTATTAATTTGGCTGTTATTCGTATGTCTTCTCCTCAATGTATGGTTTAAGCTTCACTCTATTCAAGTCTTCATGCAGCATGTCTAACAAAAACGCTAACAACTCATGACTATCTTGTTGACTATTCATAACAAAGAATGGATTCCACAATTGGATCATTGATATCAATTCAATAGGGTTAATGCTCTTCTAATATGACTCTTTCCAAAGAGAACATATCAATCTAGCATAAGCATTTGTTATTTGACCTCTGCTTGATAACGGATTCTCGATATTCAACTCATGATTGTGAAGATTCTATTGAAAATATTCTGTAAGTGGTTATGTATTCGATAGGCATTAAATAGCCTTAAATTAAAATCAAAGAATCTACAGCATTAATATAACAAGTGTTTCCTAAATTTTATAACCCTATTAAACCACATGATTTATTTTAAGGTAATCGTTTAAATTTATTTGGAATCTTTGCATAATTAATAGTCAACACAACACTGTTTTCCATATTCAATGGATGAACTCTCCTTATTGAACTCTCACTAACAGCATCCTTACTCGTACACAATCCCATTTATTTTATTATAATAATAATATATATATATATGTTTATTAATTTTTTATTGAATTTTTAAATATTCTCATCTATGCATTTTATCATTCTAATGTGAATATCCATAACTAAATTGAATTAACTATGTAAAAGTAAAGGTTTTTAAATTTAGTAAATAATTAATTAATCTTAAACCATCTCTATAAGATTGAATGAAATTCGCCATAAAAATATAGTTTCATAGAATACTTGATTAATATTACCACTATAAATTTATTAGAATAAGATTCTGTTTGTCATTATTGATTTCTATTATCCAAGTTTTGTAGTTGCTTAATAGAATGTATATTTAAAAAATACTGTATCAATTCAATAATATAAAGTAAAAATATCTGTTTGTTATATACAATAAAAAAAGATTTATATTAGAACATTAGATTTGCAAATAACAAATAACAATAAATATATTAATATATTAATTAATTACTTACTAAGCAAGCCATAAAATAAACCTTTGAATTGAAATTTCTTATATTTTTCAATTAGAAATCTTATGTAGTTTTTTGCAAAAATATGATTCATTTTCTTTTTTGAAATAACTAAAAATGACTCTTTAAAAAAGATATACAATTATTTTGCAATAAAACTGAAATCATAATTCATTCATTTATTAGTTTTAAATCAACTGCTTTTCTACTTTTATTATACTTACCAACATAGGTCATTAATTAAAATGAAAATGATGGAGGTTTTTCGTTTCCTCTTCCATAATGATTTACTTAAGTTTAGGATCTGAAACATGAGCCTAATTTTCTTAAGTCTTCTTTTGTGATTCCAGCTCTTTATAAATCATCCAAATGGACAAACACATCTGAATTATCAGAATCCAAGACAATAAATCCATAGCTTTTTTATTCATCAAAGAATTTCAATTTTCCGGTTTCTCTAGTTGTTGGAACCTCTAAAACGACAGGCTTATTACTTGGAGTTGTAGTACTTTGATTTGGTCTTATAGAACTACTTTGAATATTTCTCTTTTTATTACTTATCTAATCCTGGAGGATTACTTTTTAGATTACTTATCTAGACTTCAGTTGAGTCTTCTTCATGCTACTTCTTTTAAATGTTTTCTAGTTCGGATAGGAGCAAATCCTATTGATCTTTCTTGTGTTCTGAGTTGGATCGAATCTTTTTGGTGGATCTCACATCACTGAACACTTTTTCATTCATCCAGATATCCTATTCAATGTTTTTGAATTTCTTGGGCACATCAACCTTCAATCCTATGATGTTGTTTATTTACTAAGAAATATCTTGATATATCTAATATACTTCATAGATTATTTATTGCACTAATGTGGCATTTTATATGAATTCTTTCGAATACACACTATCATAATGATTATTATCATCTCTGCATAACTCTATCATTCGTAAATGATGATCATTGTAAATTCTACACATCAATCTATTATCTTGAATGTAATAGAGGTTTATCTTAACACGAAACATCATGGATGTTAATTGTAAATTGATTTAATCGAAACTTGAGAAACTGGGCTGCTTGCAATAATCATTTCTTAAGGCTTAGTTTGTTTTTAAGATTGATAAACTTTGGGGAATGAGCTAATATGCATTTTCCATTTTACATTTAAAGCCATTTGCTTTTCCAAATATTGGACCAACATTTAACTAATTTACGCATGCTGTGATGTAGTAAAATAAAGAGCATCTGATATAGCTCTAAATAGAGATTATGATCCAATTGGAATTTATTTCCTCAGCAATCCATTGTCTTATAGAAGCTAATCAATCATATTTATTAATCAAATAATATTTATTTTGCAAATTAATTATAAAAATTTATTCAATTAACTCTGCGCATATTTAAGTTCTTAGAATCTAAAATGTATCCTTTGAGACTTACATATCCAAATGAAATTCCACTATATTCAAAATCTTCTTATTAATCTACATCAAAAAATTTCAATTAAACTGATTTAGCCAATCTCTATGTAGATTCATTGAAATTTAAAGCAACCTCATATTCATTTGGATTCACAAACTGCAGCCATAATAAAGGTTGTAATTACCCTTTGGGTTCAAAAGTGCAATAAAGATACTTCAGCTAATTTGAATTGTCAAATTAGTTTTGATCACAAAACTATTATAAAATTGGGATATTTGTTTAAGTGAGTGTATATTGATTTCCATGCTCTTTAATCAAACTATATAATTCATCAACTGTTCTTAAATTCTATTTTGTGTTATCCTTAATTTGTTGATCTTCACTTGTGATTAATAGGATTGTTTTTATTATTTTTTCACCCAAAGTCTTTCTACAAATCTACACTCCTTACACCAACGAGATGGCTTAAGGTAATCTATCATAGAAAGATAACTGTATACATTTGATAGTCATCATCTTTTAAGTTGTAAGGATCCGTAGAAGTCATTAAAACTATTTAAAGATTCTTACAATATTGATAAAAATAAAGATACTGTAATCCATCAAATATATTTTGATCTTCGAAATCCTCTAAGTATTGAAAACTTAAAAATAAGCTAAAGATCGTGATATTTTCAACGCAAACATCAAGGGAATTAGAATTATAAAATGTTTAAGTCAATTCCATCCCCAGAAATTATATAAATTTTTTTGTATATTAAACTAATGCTTATTTTAGATTAATTGAGTCTAAAGCCAGTGTTCCTGAAATAAACGAATTCTCCAACCTGGCTAAACTTACCTATTGCATATATGTATTCATAAATGATTTTCCAATCCAAAATCTTAAACTATTTCCTGTCAAACCCCCATTAGTTACAATCCCCCAGAATGGAAGCTCTTATAATCTTGCATCCCTTAAGGATTTCAGAAGATTCATGTACTCATTCTTTTAAAATTTGAGCATCAATTGCCTCGGATAATACGTACATAATAATAATCTTTGTACTTGTTAATTCTATAATAATGATCTAAATCAGAACTATTGATACATTAGATGTTTTGATAATGCTAATTTAGAATAAATCTCGCTAACACTCAAAAATTTGAAAATTTGAGTAATTACATTGATAGGTAATAATTCCATTATAATTAAATTAATATTTTTTATATATAATTTTTAAATATTCTACTGCAGACATACCTAAATTGAGTATAAAATGAAATGGTTATACGATAGCAAACTGAACTAAAAAAGTCACCTACAATTAGCTAAGGATGTAAAAAATACTTTCTGAAATAAATCACTTAAATTTTCTACTTATTCATCTTCATTATTATAAATAAAATCATATATTTTCATATTTTTCCTTATGGTTAAATTTACAAAAAAAGTAGACAATTCAAAATTCTATTAAATAAATATAAATATTGTATTCAATGTTTCACAATTTTCTCTCTTAGCGAAGTTACATTTTTATGGATTTCTTAAAACAAAGGATTAACTGTTCCTTTTTATTGTTACCTTATTTCATTCATAGCCTTTTGTTGCAATAATAATTCTTCTTTTAAGTTATTGTTCTATCTCTGCAATCTTTAATTCTCCACAACTTGGGACGTGTATTAAGTTGACAAGTCACACAATTACTAAATTAGTATAATGATAATACTTATTCTATTTATTTAATTGAATCTAATAGGATTTACTAAGTATTATTTGATTCTGCTTGTTAATTTTCATGAAAAGATGATTAATAGGAAAGTGATGTCTATTGTTATTATAACTATTCATATCTTTCAATGATGTTTAACTTAGAGTTGTATTCTTTTTTAAATTCTTTAGTATCCTCTTCATATGCGATAATAAGAGTTGCTTGATCTTTGATTTTTTATTCGTATTCGTATGCTTACTTTGAAAGGGATATAATTTGATTGTTTAAATTTTAAATTTATTTATCTTTTTCAAAACTTAAATTATTTAGTCTTTCATTCTCTTCAACTACCTTCATAATTTGGGATTCCTATAATATAAGTTAATAATACCATTTAATCAATTGCATTGACTCTTTCATCCTCTTCGCATGCTTATTTATATTTTAATTTCCATTCATTAATTTCTTCACTTTGTTAATCAATAACTCCCTCTAATCTTTCAATTCTTGTTTTTAGACTCAGAAGATTGTATTGATCCGTTTAGCCAGGTGAAAATTGTAGTTAATTCTTTTACTTCTCTATAATTGTAACTAATTCCTATTTCTCTCTAAACAATCTTTAAATCAGTTCATTCAACTTTTTATTTTCTTGGATTGCAAAGGAATTAGAGTAATCTTGGGAACTTGATTCAGTGCAGATTCTTCTTCCAATAGAGTTATTTTCTTTGTTATGTGTGATAATCGGACTGTCTGATGTCAAGATATTTTTGGAGTTGCTTCTTCTGAAACTGTTATCATTGGTTTGGGATGGAATGTTCAATAATTTGAGGCCCTTGGCAAGTTAAATCTTTTATGGAGTGGAGGGATCTTGATCGGTCATCATCTGATTGTATTGTAGGTGCAATTGCAATTATTGAGTTGAAAGAGACTTGCAGGTTAGACTTTTCTGATGAAGGTGCTATTAGATTTTCGATGGTTATTATTTGTATGTCTATTTAGGTGTATGATTAATATTAAGCATATTTAACAGATTAATTAAATTTATTGTTAAAAGTACAACATATATATATTTATTGAATCAAATAAGTAATGTTATTGGGAGTCTTAAGATAATCAAGAATTATCGAAGTTTTTTAATTTAAATAGTTTGGAGTTATGGGAATTATAAATATTGAAAATATTATATTTTATTTCAAATTACATGGCCTAAAATACAACAAGTGGACCTATGCAAAAGTTTAAAATAGTCTTCTTAGGCAATCAATCAGTTGGGAAGACATCAATAATTAATCGATTTATATTTGACAATTTCACAGGCAATGAATAGGTATTTGGAATTCAAATAATAATAGCCTACTGTTGGCATTGATTTCATTTCTAAAACACTTCAAGTTGATAACAAATCAGTCAGATTGTAATTATGGGATACTGCAGGATAGGAGAGATTCAGATCTCTTATTCCAAGTTATATAAGGGATTCCCAAGCCGCCATTATATGCTACGACATCACAAGTAAGTGCTATTCTGCATAATAAAGACGAGAAATCCTTTTAGGATTTGTAAAAATGGATTGAAGATGTGAAGGATGAAAGAGGAGATGAAGTTTTAATTTATATTTTGGGAAATAAGACTGATCTAGATCAAGAAAGAGTGATTCAAACTGATATCGGTGAATAAAAAGCCAAAGTAATAATATTAAATTCAAAATATAAAGGAATTAGGAGCCTCATTTTCAGAAGTTTCAGCTAAAAGTGCACATAATGTTGCAGAATTCTTCAAAAAACTATCCTATGATTTACAAGGAAATCCAAACGAATAGCAATCTTAACAGCAACCCTAACAACAACCATAACAAGTAAAGAACCTATTAATTTAATAGAAGGTCCCACAATAGCAATAATAGCCGAATCAAGGGTAATAACTAAAACCCAGTGAATAAACAGATGATAAAAAACAAGGAAGCGGATGTTGTTGAACATTAATTTATATCATTTTATTGTTCTGCACAAATAATAACTTATTTATTATATATCTATTAAGCTATTCTTAATATATTTCTAAACTTCACAGTTTTTTATTAAACTCCATATTCATCTTCCTAAATGATATCATTATTTCCAATGAACAGAGAATTCAATTAACTAAATTATGGTCTAATTTTAAGTGTCACACAAAAGGATGGATTTTCTATTTGATTTTACAATAGTATGCTATTATTTTAGTATGAAATATCCATTGATTTGGGGTAATGATTACTTGAAGTTTAGATTGACAAGCCAAATTAATGCATGGAATATCTTTGCGATAAATTTATATATTAATATATTTTGTTTTTTGTATATATTTAATAAATGAAATATCTCAATAATCTTTTAATATTTGCAAGACATCGTTATAGAAATCATTATTGAGTCTTTGAATATAATTGTCACAGCAAACATTAACTTCAGCTACATTTCTTGCATCACTAATGCATGAATTTGCATCAGCTATTGATATTTATTATTTTGATACTTGTGTAGTATTATGCTCGATTATACACTCTATCTTACAAATCTAACCAATTTTATCTCAAAGAAAGACTAAATTAGAAGGTGAATTTACTTCTTCAATGTGGGTTTACAGGCAATGGCTACTTTTCTGAAAGCATCTTTAATGATTTCCTTCTTTTCTGATGGAATTTTGACGTTTTCATATTCTCCAACGAATTTAGTATCATTTCCTTGAAAATCAGCTGTGAGTGCATTGTATTCAGCTTCTTTGTTCAATTTCATAATAACATCTTTGGCTGTCATTTTTGAATAAAATAATATTTAATTATTATATACATATTCAATGAAAGAGTTTTCATTTTGAGTTTTGCTATTTACCTACAGTGTTTGCGAAATCTAAAAATAATAAAAATAAATTAAATTGTCAATTCATTTCCTCTTCATTAACCTTGATTATTTTCTATATATTGCTTAATTAATTTACTTATAATAGTCCTTTCTAAATGGATTCACTATAATCGATTCTACGGACCCTCACAGATTCAGGATGAACGTTAACTAATATTTTATTTTTTTATAATCCATTCAAATTTGTGCCATTGAATGCTATAGCAATCTTTTCACAATATTCCAAGTCCTTTAGAACAATCGTAATGCATCCCACATCATCTATTTCGCTTATGTGCTTTGGAGTCTCTCTAATACACTCCTTCTACTCCATCTTCAAAGTATAAGCAATAATCTTCTCTATTTAACTAATGCTGATGGTTTTGTCTAACCCTCTTAAAATAATTGCAGCAAATTCATCATTCATCTAAGCCAATTAAGCACAACTGAATTTATATCCAAATGTTGATTTTGATTGCTTCTGATTTTGCTTGCTCATAAATTGATTAGCAACTATTAAGGGTTAATCTGTTTTCAACTGAAATAATAAGCATGGATTCGATTGATAGTATATAAATTTGATCTCTTAAACAAAACCCTTAATAGGCAGCTTATCTACAAATTCCTACACTTTTTGAATGTCAATCTTCTCATCAATGTTTTTAATTATCAATTTAGATTTTAATCCATCCTTTAACACGGTTGAACACGGAATCTGAGAATATTATGAAATCATAATAATTTGAGAAGCAACTTTATGTAATGATGGATATTATGAAGGTGTAAAAACAATAGACTCAGAATCTGAACTCTCTTGAGCTACAATTTGATAATCATTTGTCCCATAATTAGATTAAAACATTGAGTATTTTATTGATGGAGCCCAACTCTTCCTTTGTACTAAATTCAATTATCGTTGCTTATTATGTTTATAGACCTCAGCAATATTCTTTTTTGGAATCTAATTACTCATTCCATTAATTAAGGTTGTAAATTCTTAAAACATTAATTATAAACTTTATATACAAATTTTGCTAAAAATTTACCATTAAATAAATGGATCTAATAATTTTAATAACTCATTTCAAATTATTAACCTCTAAACTTTGTGTCCATATATTAACACTTTATTATCCTAAACTCGTATTAATGACATATATCTAAAATAACTCTGATAGATTAGTTAATCTCAATCAACTTATTTTCATTAATAAAAGAATCGATATTTAAAAATATATTAATTTCAATAATAATTAAACTTATCGATAATATATACAATCAATAAAATGATTAATAATAAATTGGAGTTATAGATATTTGATTTATTACCCTTCTTTTGTAAGATACTTTGATTAAAAAATTTTCAATATTATAGTTTATTTATATTAATATTTTTATCTTTATCTTTGGCTGACACATTTAATTAATATCTTTTCTTCACTATTTCAATATTAATCAACTTGCCCATTTGCAAATCTCAATGATTTTATGAATTCAAATTAATATATAAATCTGTTTCTTAATCTAGTGTTTGAAGTATTTTATTTTGAACCATTAATTTACAAAATGAAAGATTATTATTAAAACAATTTCATAATGACAAGATACCGAAGTATCATCAAATGTAGATGTATTTTAAATTTGTATTGTTTATTATTTTAATAATTTCTCTTTGATTTATTTTAAATCACTTTAATTCTATCCACTTATTTTAATCATTATAATTACTTGTGTTAGGAAATATGATTCTTTAGGCTTATTCACATCCAAATGATTATAATAAATTTTTAATTAATAAGTGCTATCAAATTTTAACCAAAGTCACTTTCATAAGAATTTTATATAATTCTTATATCTAACTCCCCAATAAGATAAAAATTAGACAACATAAGATAATTAAATTAAAATTGAGTTGTTTCTAGAAATATTAAAAATACACAAACTTTATTGAGTCACTTTGCATTTACACAAGTGCTTATGAAAGGATTTCTATGGCAGCCAATTTACTTAAGTTAAATCTGAATTAGATTTGATTTTCAAATTAACTACCATGGTTAATTTATTTATCCATTATTTTCTTCATTATGCTAGTCCCATTCTAAACTTTAAATAATTATATTGAATATAATTCGAGTATTAGTATTAGTTTTCCTCAAACAAAATACGTCTAGATAACCTTTCAGATAATGATTTTATGAGAAATGTAATTTATATGCTAAATTCTATTTGGTTACTTGAATTAATTCTTAAATTTTATCACAAGATATTGAATTTAGTCTAAAATAGCAGAGAAGATAATGAAGATGGATTCAATTAAATGGCTAATGAAGATGGCATTTAATCACCTATAAAGAAGGTAATTGTAAACAATTAAATTCCAAAATTAAGGTAGTAAATTTAAAACATTTTATTCTGATGAAGATTTGTTGAGTATTAAATTAAAATCATATTTTTAAAGTTTAAATGTGCTTCAGAGATTTTAATCATTTAATAATATTTACTTTATACTAATGAATCCATTCTATATTGACCATTAATTACCACCTATTAAAAGAGTGAAAGAAAGGTTAGTTGGGGATGCTTTGCAAAAGGTAAACCAATGGAAATCGATTCTCCTCAATGGAATTCCCTAATCTGATGGCACTCTAATGAGATTAACCCTCAATAAGGCAGCCGAGATAATAGGAATTCCTAAAAAAAGTTTAGAAGATTATAATCAACTATTCAAAAAAGTTAAATTGCTGACGGATGTAAATCAATTTGCTAATGAAAAAATGGGAGTTTTAAGAAATTACTTAAGGAAAAATTCCAAGAGACTCAAAAAATTATTGAAAACTCAGAAAGTTAAAGAAAATAAATAAACTAAATAACAAAACAAACAACCCAACAATACTGCTAATTAAATTGCATTAAATATCAAATAAGACGAAGAATGTAATGAGATTGGATAGTATTCAATATCATATTTATCAAATTTTTAAAAATAAGATGAAACTTCAATAATTAAATTAGAAGTGGGATATGATTATTTCAATTAATTCGAAAAAAATTATGAATCAGATTTAGAAAGCTATCCCTCCCCTTTAGGAGTAAATTTCATATTAAAAAATAAGCAATAAGAGGACCATCAACAATTTGAATAATATTGATTAAAAACAGTTACATTTAGTTATTATATATGGATTCTAAAAAGTTTATAATATATTCGTTAAATTATAATCAAAGAATAATTTAATACAACCCAAAATTTTTGCATAGTTTTTCAAACATATTAAAATTTTATTAATTAATTCACCTAAATGCATTCTTTGCCTAGATTGACTAATTAGAGCATAAACTGCCATATAAACAATTAATAAGACTGTTTGAGTGGTAGAAGATTTCAACTTGGTGAAAATGTGCTCTATAACATTCATAAACAAGCTTTATAGGGATATCTGAAGTCTGGAGTAATTGATTAGAAGATAGTACAATTAAATTTATTGAAAATGAGCAAACTAAATAGTTATGATCTCTCTGTATTGAAAGATGTTTATTCATAACCTAATTCAAGTAGACTGGATTAATAATAAGCAAATGTTATATTATCTAAAGTAAGTTTTAATCATTTAAATATAAGATAAAAACACAAAGGAACCCGAAGAGCATAAATTTTAATCAAAAGAATTAAAATGAGTTGAGTTAAGAAGAAATCGATTTTATGACAATTGAGGAATAATTGTATTATTTATCACTTATACCTTAGAAAACAGTGCTTAAGATCTAAAATAAATACTTCTAAAGTGTTCAATGGAACCTACTTAATAGATCCAACAATAAATGATCTTAAAAAAATAAGTTTACAAGGAAAGAGATAGTTACATCATCTGTTAAGTAAAGAACCATAAAAGAAATTAAATAAAAAAGCCTCATTATTACAAAGGTAATCTAGCATAGTAAATCCATTACAATATCGTAAACCATCAATTCAAGGTATGGAAGTGGAGGATGTTACTTAATACATGTCATCCAAAATATTGGAATCTAAAGCTAACATTGAACAATTAGTTGAGCGACTTAAATAACCAGAAATATCTGAAAAACAAAAGTATTTCTTTGATCTTGTATAAAATTGTGAATGTAAAGCTCTAAATTCTCTGATTTAAGAGAAATCCTTTGATTAGTCAATTATTAATACACCTGATTAAGTAATTTTGTGAAAAATAATATTAGAAAGGATTCTATGCAATTCATATAGCTATCAAGAAGTAAAACCCATAGTTGTTTAAGCTTCTGATAAAGAATGGTGCAAGAACAAATATATTAACAAAGAATGGAAAATCATTACAATAACTCAGTGAACTGTATCAAAATTAAGAAATTATGGAAATCCTAGAAACTTAAAAATATTATAAATGATGTTTTATTAACTAATTAATTAATTCATTCTTATCAAAATATTGCGCATTTGTTATTTGGTATTGGTAATGCACATTAAACTAAACCAAAATTAGATTCTTTTGCTTTCTTTGATGATGCTTAAACATTCCATAGGTTTAGGTTTTTAATTTTATCACATACTAATAATAATATTATTATATAATTACTAATAGTAATATGTGCTAAGATTAGTTTTGAATCAGATTCATTATCAATACAGAAAGATTCTTTAAAATCTGATAGAGTCAATTTATATTAGCTTTGCTCTTGATAAATTAAATATTCAAAGCTATCGTAACCTGCAAGAGTGAAGTTGGGGTAGTATTATTAATAATTAATAGATTTTAGCCAATCCTTTATTGATGGTATTGAGTTCTAATAAAGTTCGAGATTCTCAAGTAGTCCTTTCTTAGAAATTAATCCCATTTCTATAAGTTAATTAGAAATGTATACATTCATCTAATTTAGCTAATATTCTTCTTTAATATCCCAATCTATCAATGCCATACTTATTTAATAGGTATTTACACTAATTTGTAGATGGCAATGAGTTTTATAAACTTACATTGTCGTAAATCTTTAAATCAATAAAATTTTAAAAATAACGCTCCTTTAAACCAATCTCCATTAAAAATGAAGCAATTGGTTGAAATTTAACACTTTATATTGATGATTGAGATTCTTAAGTCGTGACACTGTCATCCAATATTTAACTCGTAGAATTATTTAATTTTGCTAAATTGATTGGGATGATAGTATCCATTGACTTAGTTTCATTCAGTGAATCATCTACTTAACCTCGTTTGTTCTTCATTCTAGATTAAGCTTCTATTAATGCATTTTTGACATCTTCCTTTTGTTATTGCATTTCTTGAATATTTTATTATAAGTATTATATTTTCTCTTGCCATTATTCTATTAAATCGTTGTAACGAGATTCTACCTAATTGTGGTTGAATCTATTCATTGATTTTGAGTCAAAACTGAGTTCTTAATTGATTGACATTCTGTTATAAATTAAAATGAAATAATTATTTCTGAATTATAGGAGGAATAATGAAATGAAAAAAATCACATATCAAGTATTATATCAATAAACTAGTCTTATTAAGATTTAATTTCGGAATGGAGAGACTGTTTTATCGGATGGTTATAGGAAAAATGACAACAAAATAAAAAGAGCAAATCTCTATATTTTTTTCCCTCTCAGAACTCTTAAGGAAAATATTCTTTACTTTCTCCTACTCATTTTATAGGTTTCCTCGTCTTAGACCTTATATTTTGTAGGGATTCTTCTGGTCATACAACAATGGCTAGTTGATTTGTACAATCTTATGAAAATTAAAAAAATGGATAAAATGATAAATAGTTAAGAAGCAAGAGTATTAAAATAATGGGATGAATGTATTATCAATAAAGAAATAATTGAGAAAATCAAGGAAAGATTAACTAAGTAGGATTAGAGTGATTACAATTAAGGAAGTAAAATTAAATCATAAGCTGAAAAGAATTCATAAGGAAAAGTAGTTGAACAGGTGTAAAACTAGAAAAAAGGAACTATAGTTTGTATTTTTTAAATCTAATTTTAAGCCATTATATCAATCCCGTTATAGAAAGTATCTTATAAGCACCAATCGAGCATTAAAAATACCAAAACTGATAATGTTAATAAATATAATCAAATGAGTCCATTGATTGAAAAGGATATTGCCTTAAAATTACAGTAAGTTTAATTGATGGAAGCTGAACCATTAATAATTGAAGTTAAAAAGAGAGTGCCTAGTATGTTTTTGAGAGATGCCCTTTCAACTTAATAGAATGTAGTATTGAATGAAAAGTTGAAAAAAATTGAAAAAGATAAAATGAATTTGATTAAAATCTAAAATGTTGAAAATATAATGATAGGTGATGTGATTATATTAGAAAGAAATCAAAGAGCACCTTGCGACATACTTGTTTTGCATTGTAATGATGAAAATTTTAGTGTGTAACATTAACTATGTGATTATTCATCCACAACAGTAAGAAAACCTGTGATCTAAAATAGATGTAACTTATTAAAATATACTTTAAGCTGATTCTCAGAACTTAGCCCAATTTAAAAAATCTTTGACAGGTAATATCGTTTGTTAAGAACATAATTTTAAAATTAAGGGATTCTTTTAATTAAAAAAGGATCCTTAATCAAGAATATTTGGATTTGAGAATTTTATATTTTGTTAGGAAAAATTACTAGCAACGCCATGGGTATTGGGGATTGTTGTAAAAGTAGGAAACAATTGTTAATTTTATGCTCGATTTTAGGGAGAACTTAGATTTGAGAACTTTTAATTTCTTCCTCATTACATGGTTATTTTGGTCATCACTATAGTAATATTTTACTTAAATTTAAGATTTAAATTATTGTTTACAATTAAAACCATGTGTTGTAGAATTTGAGATCGATTACTCAAATTATAATTGATAATTGTATATTTTTGATCTTAATGGTTCCTCATTTCTATAAAGTATATTATAAGATTTGTAGCATTGTGCAACTTAAAGGAATAGGAACTATTTATTAAAAATAGATAATGTCGTGTTGCATAGATACATACATTGATAAATAATATATTACAGTAAGTGTAGATGCATTTATTGAACACTCCTTTTCACTACAATGTATTATTCATGATAATAAATTATGTGAATTTGATGAACCAAGATTTCTTTAATTTTTACTTTAAACTAATGCAAATCCCAGTATGCAGAATGAAGTCTAAAATGCAGAAAAAGAGGGTAATTTTTACTTTTCTATTTTTAGAATAAGAGGATTTTTTACAAAGGTCTTAAGTTATTAACTCCCTACTACAGAGTTAATGTTCAGATGATCTTATGAGTTAACGAGAATAAAAAGTACATCAGATTCCTAAATCTGTTCAAGGCAAATTTATCTATTATGAATAGTCAGAACAAAAAGAGGATTCGAATATCAATAAAATTGGTTTAATTTAACAAGATTAGGCATCAAAAGAGAAAACATTATCTAAAAACCATGAAGCTTATAATGAAACTATTCAAAGAGCATCCAATCTTTTAGGAAATTCAAAAGGATATCATTCATCAAAAGAACCATTTAAATCAGAAGAATATTAAATAGATGAGCAAGAGTTATGTTAGAATATGATGAGAAATGATGAACCAGATGAATTGAATCCATTATTGCTATAATTAGCTATAAATCACCTTGCTTTTTCTAAGATATTGATTACTGAAAAAAAAGAATAAAAAGTGAAAAATAAGTTCTTAGGTTTATTAGATTAGAAACAAATAAGTCTGGCAAAAGCTATGGGCTATGAATTCATATGTGTCAATAATGTTTAGTAATTTAATAATTGTAATAATTAGGAATATCTAGCATTATATTATTTAGGTTAATCAAGAATTCCATTCATTCAAATTAGTCATAACAAAACTAGATATTTAAAGACAAAGGTTGTTTATGCTGTTTGAAATGATTCATTTTTATGGTCACGATAAATAGTTTATTTTATTCTTGAGAGAAGGAAATGTAAAGAAGAATGAAGGCATTGATGATAAAGTTTGGAAACATCAATATGATTAACTTCATTACATTTATTATTCATATTGTTATTTAACCTCAGATAGTGCAAGTTTATTTTTACAATCAGTAGAAAGTAATATACCAGATAACTAATTATATACTTTGATGGAATAAGTATTCAAATTAAATATCATTTTGGGGCTCAAATATACTTTGAAACCTGAATGTTAAGATTTCATGAAAAATCTAAGGAAATCTGATTATCAAGTGTTTGCATATACTCAAAATTAGGAGATCTATTCCACTTCTATTTTGTATTAATCTGAACTTATACAATAAAATGATTTGGTCTTGCATTTCAATTAATAAAATGAAGAAGATTTACGAGCTTATTTTAAATAAAGTTTATTAGATTTTTCAAATACTTTTGCTGATGCGAGCATTAATTCATCCTAACTTATTTAAGGTCTAGACTCATAAAACAAAATAATATTCGATAAAATCGACCAAAAGCCCAGAACAAAGAAAATAATAGTGATGATGAATAATTAATCATTGCAGTATATCACAGAGAACCATTATTTTACGAGCAATCTAAAATTAATCCTTAGCTTCACCAAAGTACTATTTCTTTATTAAGCAACACAAGATTAACTAAATATTATCTAAGACATCTGGTGTACTTCAGCAAAAACCATTAATATATTATATGAAAACTAAAGCTTATTAAGATGCTTCTATGGGTCTCAGTTACAAATTTTGCAGCTATAATAATTCAGTTTATTTAAAAATCAAAAAATAGAAAAAGTATAGAAAAATAATTTCTTTTCGTAACTCATTATCTCCTTATAATAAAGATTAATATTTGAGAAATGCTATTTCAACGAAATGCAAATCAATTCTAATACCGATGTTATTTTACAAGGTTTCAAAGAGTTGGATAGACTTCTTTTCTTTTAAAGTCCTCTTCTAAAGATATTCTTTAGAGCCTTATACTAACAAACTCTATACAAAACAATAACATTTGTTTCTACCTTTACTTTTGTTACTCTTATTTATACATCATATACGCTCGACTAGATGGACTATTTAATAGAAATCATATTTTACTTTTACATATACTAATTCATTTTATTTTCCATTTAGCACTATTCTTTTTTTGATCAATCAAAAAAATTAAAATTCCATAAGGATTAATCTATTTTACTGAAAAAGTACTCATAACACAAATCATCAATTGAGACAATAATCATTATGATTGTAAAACACATTATGTAAGGAGTTCTTATTTCGTGTATTTTTATTTATAAAATGTACGATTTGGAATACTATTTATATATTTATATGGCTATTAGTATTAGCGATATTTTTTATTTGATGATCAATTTGAATTTCATAGAAGCTATAATTTTAGCTGGGATATTTCCAATCATATTTTATTTCTATATATTGTTTGACAACATTCAAAATGATGAATGGAATAAGTCAATAGACACTGAAGATATATTTACAATTATTTTGGGAATATCCTTCCTATTGATAACAAATCTTATCTTTGATTATGTTTAGAATCAACATATTCTCAGCATACCCAGAATCGATGAAGATTTCGTTTCATATTTACACTACATCTAAACGATGAAAGCATCAAAATAAAAAAAAACAAAGTTGACTATTTTATAAAATAGAGTAAATGAGCTTTTTGAAAATATTGAATCAGTAGATTTAAGTATTTAAAAATGTATATTATACAATTTTATTGATTAGTGCTCTTAAATTAATAAAATAGTTAAAGTAAATTTGGTTAATGGCGTTAACAAATTTTCAAGAAGGCACAAACCATATTAATGTGGAAGAAGAAATAAATTATTCAAAGTTTCTAATTGCTTTTTTATCATAACACATTCTTAATTATCATATACTTTTACCAAGATAGAACTGATTTTTTTTTGGTTGTCTATTTGATAACCTTCTCTCTATAAGGATTATATTTTGCAATTCAACTATTCGTTTAATTACCTACAAATCAATAAGAATACCTAGAATATGCTAAATTCTTTTTATCAACCGCTGCTACTATTTCTATATTATTTGTTATGAAATCTGTTGATAATATCAACCAAATTTTGACAATTTAATATTTTATAGTTTATGAATTGTCGATAAAATTCCATCCCATTTATGACTTCAGAGTATACATAATAACGGCTGTTGCTACTATTCTTGGATATATTGTTTGGTACATAGTTGAAAGCGATTCAATAATTTCAAACAGGATTGCTGTGATATAGTTTATAATTCTATTTTCTGTTTTACAATACTTGGTAAAGAGTTATGTAATTAAATCAAATAATCCTTTTAGTTTATTCAATTAGAAGAGGATCAAGCCTAGAATAAGTTGAATTTTATTGAATAAAATAACAAGATTAATGACATATTAGGTATTTTATTGCCTAAATTCATTCGGGATAGATTAAATGAAAGTAATGATCAATTAAATTGTAATAGCTGACCAATATAATATTCATTAAAATTAAGGTTTGGTCGCAATTGTATTTTGTGATATTTGTAACTTTGACCAAATGGTGACTGAAGAAAAGGATAAAATAATTACATTTTTGGATGATATTTTTAGAACTTTTGATAAATATTGTTAAATTTATGGGGTTCAAAAGATAGAAACAGTTGGAAAGACTTACTTAGCATCAGCAGGTCTCAAGGCGTGTGAATAAGAATTGGCTTATTTATCTTAAGTAGACCCAGTTTAAAGAGCCTTAAATTTGGCCGAGCAGATGATGATCTATATCAGATCAAAGATGTAAGTTTCTTTATCAACCTAGGTGGGGATATAAGGGCTAACAATTAGTTGGTAAAATTGGCATCCATTTTGGAGGGGCTATAAGTGGAGTTATAGGATTTCATAAGCCTCAATTTTCGCTTATTGGAGATACTGTGAATACGACGAGTAGAATTTGCTCAACTGGTTTGGAGAATGCTATTACATTATCAGAATAAGCTTTTGATTAATTAAAAAATGAAAATATTGAATTTGAAATAAGACACGTTGAGATGAAAGGCTTGGGCAATAGACCGACTTACATTTATAAAGGGAAGATTAAACATAAAGAAAAATAGTTTTAGATATAGAGTGATTTGGACTTATAGAGTAAGGATGCTAGAAGTTAAATGGTGAGGAAGAATCATGAAATTTTTAAGAAGGATCTAAAAAAAAGGAAAACTATTTTGACTTTAATCGATACTATGAAATAGAGAATGGATTCTATGTAAGAATAAGGAACACAAAATGTATTTGGAATAAAACCAATAGAACCAAATTATTATTAAACTTATGAGGATAAATCTGGGCATTCAATCAAATTGTTATAACAACAAGAATCTGATGAGAATTACACTTAAAAGTCGGATGCCAAAACAAGTACATTCAAAAGACTAGTCACTATGTTTTAGAATAAGTTTTAACTTGAAAATTATTAACCATAAATTGATGAACTCATTGACTATGAACAACTATTGGTAATCTTATATAAATTAATTAGAGAATGTCATTCTGTTGAAGAATGAATATACCCTGGAACATAATATAATTAAAGAAACTTCTTTTATGTAGTTATTGCAAATATCTTATTATAAAAAATAAATGAGTCAGTTTGTCAGCTATGAATAATATCAAGAGTTCGTCAAGATTCAATCTAAAAATCAAACCGTATAAAATTTAAGAATATATGTTCTTTATTACATTATTAAATCTTTTTGTTAGGTTTAATTTTATGAAAATTTCAACATGGGCTTAATAGGAATGTAATGGTTCTGTTGTTTACTTAATCTGATGTAATTTATCGTAAATAACAAACAGTATTTTGGAAAGTGGAAGATTTTCATAATAATTTTACTATTTTTTGAAGCTTTACTAAGTGGGCTAGTGATAGAACTTGTGGATGATGATTACTTAAAAAACATTCATGTCTATGAAATAATCTTCATCTAATCCTTGTTTTGCAGTATTCAAATACTAAGCTTTTGGATAAAAGTGCAATTTTGCATTACTGTTGCAATTTATTCTACTATTATCCTGGCAATTGATGGAACATAAATCGTTTCAATATATTTTATCCTAATCAGTTCCATGTATAATATGATATTGATTTTATTGATTGAATAATAATAAGTAAGTTGTTTTAATTAAAAAATAATCTATAAAACATAGCAATAAAAGGAATCGCAATTACTGTAGTATTTATTACCAAAACATATCTTAAATAATTTCTTAGATGACAGAATTAACAATATTGGTATTTGTGATAAAATCGATGATCTAACCATATTATTTGCTGACATAGCTGGTTTTACTGAATACTCAAGCAAAGTTAACCCAGAAGAAGTATTGGTCATGCTCAAAAATTTATTCGTAGAATTTGACAGGAAATGTTGTGATTTGAATGTATATAAATTATATACTATTGGGGACTGTTATGTAGCAATTGGAATGATTGATTATCATAACAGAAATCCTCAATAGGAAGCTAAAAATATTATAGATTTGGCATTTGAAATGATTAAAATTATTGCTTAAGTCAGGAAATAAATCAATTTTGAAGGACTAAACATGAGAATAGGAGTACATACAGGGCCTGTATTTGGCGGTGTGATGGGTACAGATATTGTTAGATATGACATATATGGACCAGATGTACTAATAGCCAATAAGATGGAATCAAATGGAGTCAAAGGGAATGTACAAGTGAGTTAGTCAACAAAGAAGTATTTGGAGGAACTTTATCCAGATCTATATACTTTTGAATTGAATGTTAATTTAGAATTGAAAGCAATAGGACGATAAATAGAGGGATACTTAGTGAAGAAGTATGAAGAAGATCCCGTTAATGAATAAAATGTCCCATTTTGAGTTTCTGATATTACTATAATTTTTATAATTAAATATTTTTTTATTATTTTACTCATTTTTTTATTGTTGCTATTGGTACGTATTGCTGAGCTGATATTATTAGGGGACGTTATTAGCCAAACATTGTCGGCCTTTGTACAGTCACAGCTCTTTATTTGAAATATGATGTTACTCTCTAAGGAGACAAAGATGAATTAATCTGAACTGGTTGGACAATGCTTTATTTTTAATTCAGTAAATTTTAAGAGTACATTATTGGTTAATACCTAGTTTAAGGATTAATTAATTTTGGAGTAGCAACTGCCATACCTTAAGTAGGAAATGCATTAGCTTTTATTTATCTTAATTATTATTATGATTGTGTTTGGTGTTGAATAGAGTATCTAGGATTCAAAACTTAACTTTAGTGGATGGGATTTTCTTAAACTAAAATATTCTTAGAGTTTTAAGGTGTTGATTGATATGGGTAGTAGTTTGGTTGTAATACAGTTGGATGAGCTGAATTGATTAATGAAGAATATATAACTTATGGATAAATTTATTAATTTGGAACTGCTGTTTATTATATTTATTTTTATGGTTATTTAGGTTATTATTATTATTATTATTATTACTATGGTTATTGTAATGGTTATTATTTTGGTTATGGCTATTTAACTAATTATGGAGATTTTGGTGCTGATTATCTATCATTTGTTATAATTAATGGATTTTATTTATTACCTAAATATTTTGGTAAGATGTTCTCAAGGCCTTCACCAAAATAGGTGATCTTAGCAGAAATTTCAACTTGTTACTGGAATTATAAGCCATAATGTTTTAACCATTTTTAATCTCTATCCAAATACAATTTTTTAGCAGTTTCTGGTGTATCACTCTTGTCTCCAGGAGCATTTTTGACAGGAGCAAATTCATCTTCTCTTTTTACTTCAATCAACCCAAATTACTCCTTTGGACAAAGGGGAAAGCAATCAAAAAAAAACAGTTCAAATTTCAACGCATTTGTTTAATCAGGTTTAACTATCTATTTCTAATTGATGTCATAATAATCATATTTTTTTTAGGCAACATGATAACTAATTTATTGCTAATTTAATTACTTTGCAGCCAACTTATTACTTGTTTGAGGATCTTCTATTATTTTATGTGCAAATTCAACTGTGCAAATCATTTACGCTATACCTCCTGCATCATAGATTAGCTCTCCTTACTAATTCTTCTTATGCAGATCTTCCTAAGTCATTTCACTGTACTCTAATCTAAATTTAAATATTCACCTATTACGCATGGTTTTTCATTGATTAAGGCATGAATTCCTACCTTTTCTTCCGCATGGGCCTTTTTCACAAATTTACTACAAATGGTTAGATTTTTTGATTCTACATATCCAATCCAAATTGGATCACATAATTTACAAAGGGCATTATCCACTGGACATATATGGATGTATTTGATGCCCAAACATTTCATATAATCCAAATAGCCCTGATTATAGAGACTACTAAAAATTCCTCCGTTTCCTTTTCAATATAATAAGGATATTCTTACCATCAGGTCCTTCAAGAATTGCTGTTGAATCACTCAACATGATTTCTCCATTTATGGATAAAATGGGAAGGGAGTCCTATTGAAAAAAAGTGATTTGATCTGATTGAAGATTAAAGTAATTGTTTTCAATGAAAAACTGAGTAGTTTCTTCATGATTAACATCAGAAGTCATGATAAAGAATTGAATAGGCAAACACTATCCGATTTTTGATTGGATCGTGTTTTAGAGACTCAAAATTCGTTCACAAAATATTTGAAATAAAGTCTTATGAGAAGGCAAGCCAATGTCATACATTCCCTTGGCTTTATTAAAACCCAGTCGAGTACCTTATCCGCCAGCCATCATTGCCACGCAAACTTGATAAGTATTAAATTGTAAGCATACCCTTTCCTTCCGAAATTAATTTTTCTCCCAATTTTTGGTACTGTTGGAGAGTGTCTTTGGGAGTAGAGGCAACTCGCAATACATTTTTGATAGGATTTAGTTCGCGATTTTCATTAGGCTTTTCTTTATAATGACTATAGACCTAAATTGGGGATTGCAATTTACATCAATAAGATTTCGAATATTTATGGATTCCAACTTTTCTAAGAGCTTCTCTTTATCCTTTTCCTCCAAAGTGCTGAGGTAGTCTAAGAGAAGTTGCTATTTGCATTCTTCATAATCCTACAAGGTTGAGACTTTCTTTCTCATTTGGATATTAATTAATTTATTATACACATCTCTATACAATTGAAGTTATTTAATAAATTGAGTGGTCAGCTATCAAAGTAGGTTTGAATCTTGTATGCAAAATGATAATAATATATATGTATTGAAATTTAAGTTCAAATATCCACTCGTCTCAGTATAAATCGATTAAATTTAATATTGATTATGAGCGAGAAAAAGGCTACAATACAGGACTATATAAAAAACAAAGTGAAGCCAGTGTTCGATCAATTAATAGCTAGGATAGTCATTGAAAAACCGGATGACGTGTACTCATGGTCTATAAATTGGTTACAAAAACAATGTAAAAATATATTGTCATTTTAAAGAAAGTGGCGTATAAGTGCAGTTACACGTTCATCATGATCTCAGTGAAGAAGACGAGGAGGAGGAAGAAGTTGTTTTGGAGATAAAACAACAATAAAAGTAACAAACTAGAGCAGCAGTTTCTGCTGAAGTTTATGGAGATTACAATAAGAAGGAGGATTTTAAGCCAAGATTTATCCAGAAATCCGAGGCCCAAATCGAAAGGATAAAGAAAAGAATTCTAAATTCATTTATGTTCTAGGCCTTGGATGAAAAGGATCTGAATATTGTATTGGGAGCTATGGATGAGAAGAAATTTTAGTAAGAGTTATCATTTACCTATATGAAGAGTTGGAGACGTCGTAATCAAACAGGGAGATGATGGAAACGAGTTGTACGTTATTGACGAGGGAAGATTGGAATGCTACAAAAAGTTTACAGGATTGGAGGAAGAGAAATTGCTAAAGACCTATATCCCAGGGGAATCCTTTGGAGAATTGGCCTTATTGTATAATGCTCCAAGAGCAGCCACAATTAAGGCCATTGAGGAAGTCACAACATTTGCTTTGGATAGAGAGACTTTTAACAACATTGTCAAGTTTTCAGCCATCAAGAAGAGAGAGCAGATGGAAGAAATATTAAGCAAAATTGAACTATTATAATCAATGGATAATTATGAAAGGGTTTAACTGTGTGATGTACTTAAGGAAGAAAAGCATAAGGCAGGAGAAACCATTATTACTGAAGTATTAGTTAAATTAAATAAAGGGTGAAATTGGAGATCGAATTTACTTGATCATCGAAGGGGAACTAGAGGCTTATTGGAAAGGACAGAGTGAAAAAGTCTATGATTATAAGCCAGGAGATTACTTTGGAGAATTGGCATTATTGAAGAACACTCCAAGATAAGCAACTGTCATAGCTAAAGTAATTTGGCAATAATATTATCTAGACTGATGTCGTATTATTATATTGCGATTTCAACTCATTCAGAAGATTGATGGGTCCCTTAGAGGAAGTGCTCAAGAGAAATGTAGAGAGATATGAAAAATATTTACAATAATGATTATAATTAGACATATCGATTTATTTATTAATGATATAAAAGGATGTAAAAGAGAAAAGGATGTATAAATTTCCTACCTTATCAAAATAACAAGCATTTCTATTAACAAAATTACTCTCTCCATAAGATCGCTAAAGTGCTTTACCTATAATTAGCGAATTGACATGCAATAATGGAGCATAGATAAAAGGTTTAGACACAGCAATTTTTGCTTTAGATAAAAGCTATAGAGATATGTTTTTTTAGAATGTGCTTCCAAAGATGGCTAAATATGCATTGGAAATGTTAGAACTACCTCCGAAAAAAGAGTTGTTAATTTCTGAGGGTTCAATAAGCTTCACAAGAAAAGAAATTTATCAATTCTTATCATTATCATTTTTTGGATTGTTGGTAACACAAGATGAGAAATTCCCAGATACTTACAATTTGGGATATATCCTACAAACGAATATTGAAAAAGCTAAGTGTTACCTTTATTATTTTATAATGGCAAGTCCAGATTTGGAAAATGAGATTATTACAGTTGAAAGGATAACTTTTAATGCAGATTATCACATTAAACAATTCTTTCCAAACCCTTAAGCAAATATTCTAGAAGATGCATAATTATGGTCAAATTGTGAGAAAAACCTTTAAACAATTGAATTTGTAGACTAAAAAATAGAAGAATAATAAAATTGTATTCTAGTTGATTTTGCAAATAAATATGTTGGAGGAGGTGTATTGAGAAATGGCTGTGTTTAAGAAGAAATCTTATTTACTATAATGCCAGAAAACATAATAGCAGTCTTGTTTTGTAAAGTGCTAGACTTTCATTAAATTGTGATCATAAAAAATACTATTAGATATTGTGATTATGAAGGGTATGCAAATAGCTTTCGCTTTGTGAAAAGATAGCCTACAAATCTGAATCAGAATATTCTTGTTTTGGATGCTATCAATTACAAAAATAACCCTGACAAATAATTCCAACAAAATGAAATCATGAGAGAGCTAAACAAGGCCTTCATTGGATTCTCATTATCTCAATCAGCCAAGGAAGAGGAGTTCTTATATCCTATATCAACTGGAAAATGGGGTTGTGGAGTCTTTAAAGGGAATACTCAATTGAAAACAATTATTCAATTGCTTGCTTTCAGTGCTTCAACGAAGTCAGAAAATTAAAAAAGAAGAATGATATTTTCTACCTTCAAAGATAAGCAATTACAGTTTATCAAGAGAGATGTGGATCATATAATTGGGAAATACAAAACTGTGGGTAAACTGTTCTCATAGTTAATGAAAATCACTCCCAAATATGGAGTGTTTGAGTTTTTATTAGGTTAGAAATGAAATGGAGCACAGAATATACATTAATATATAGATTACCACAATATAAATAATATTTGATGTGTTATTAATGTACTAACAAAATGTCATATTGATCATTTTTATTCTTCTTCGTCTTAGCCTACATTGAAATACTTCAATTAATATGTGGCTTTGTCGAGGGAGTGCACGTACAAATACTCTCTCAAAGTTTCTTATTTCAAATATTTCTTGGTTAAATATTTGAGGTATCTCTTGGAGAATGGGATTGTGGATGTGACTACGACTTTATCTTATTCGGCAGCAACTGTGACATCGTTTCCAAGGTTTCCTGTCTTTCCTTGAACCTTGATTCTGGATTGAAGATAGCTCACAAATTCATCCAAGTTCAAAACCTATCATAGGGAATTATGCCACTATGAATTACTTTATCTTCCTTTGGTTCTGTGCAATCAATGACGAACTTCAAATTCAAGTTTTTGGCTTTCTATTGATCCTTTCTTCTCAAAATAGGCATACTTAATAAAAGATATTAAATTTATTTAAAAATAACATTTCCTTTTGTAATAAATAATCACTAAAAGTCGAATTCAATTATGGAAGGAATATTGGGTATTCTCTGCATCATATTATTTTTATGTTTCTTATTTTTCTTTAATCTTCTCATTGTTCTCCCTTCCTATCCAAGCACTATGTAATTCGGTTCGTCAATATGAGTAAGTAAATGAATTGCTAGAACTGCGAACGACCCAAAAAAGAATTGTCTTAGCTTCTCTTTTAAAGGAGTATCATCGGACTTCTCTTCCTATTCACTTATTGCACTGAATCTAACTGAAAATCTTTTAGGGTTGTTATTTGGAGAATGATAATTTGGAATAGGACTCTAAGCAATCTGAAGTTGCTAAGGTTTAGAGTGAGTGGACTTCCTATTCTTATTGCTTAATTATTCAGTGACATTCTATTGTCGGAATCTCTTGATGGATCCTTTGAACATCTCCTATAAATAGATTGTTAATTGAGGATCATAAGCCTCATTAATCAAATTTATTGGCAATTATATTCTTCCGAAATTCTCAACGAAATCATTGTAGATTGATTTAGCCTTAACAAATTCTAAAAAGATAGTCCACTCTTCCAACGAATCTTCAGATTCAAAAGCAAAAAGAAAAATTCTTTTATCTCCTTTTACCTTACCCTTCTTGATCCAATCACTCACACCAACTTGCAGGCAGAATTATTATGAATCATCAGATTTATCAAAAATTGGAGTTATGGTAGTAATCAGTTTTAGCGGCAAGATTCCCGTTTGTTCGATCATACAATTATTTAGATACAAACTAAAGAAATACAATTATATTACATAATTACATCATATTTTCACTATCAATAACACAATATCTGTATTGCCATGATACCTTCTTATCTGACCTTTTGAAAATGAACCCTTTTTTTAAAGGAACTTTCATGTTGTTACTTGTTTTCAGTATCATTTAGATCTATTTTACAATTAAAGACTTCTTTGCTTTATGTGAAAATTTGATTATTGCATTTGAACTCTTAATACTAATTTTTTATTCAGCCATTCTCCAATGATATTCTAACCTCTTAAGTTCTTTGTAATCTTCGTAGGGCTAAGGTATAATTTATAATGCCTCTGCAACTAAGGAGTGGATTGATCTTCTTTGAGTATAAGTCATACTTTAGTACAAACATTCTCTCATAAAAGGAGTAACAAATCGATAATAACGATTTTCATTATCATCATGCATAAACTCTATAATATCTTATTATACAAGTTATTTCAATGCCATCAATAACTTGTTTTGGTTGATTTATTTGAATGGAATAATTTTGAATAACGTTTAGATATCGAATATATCTCCAATTACACATGCGAATTTTAAAAGTAACAAATTAATACAAGATAAAGAGTCAATTATAGGACCGTTCATCTAATAACAAATTTATGGAATTTCAATTTATAACCACTCTTCATGTTGAATTAGCGCTTGTAATTATTAAGTAGCATAAACAGAATCATTTTCTAAGATAAGGTACTTATTATCTAATAATGTTTTAACTAAATGAATTAAGAGTAAGGGCTATCGACAACTTTTCAAATGCAATATTTCATGAATCTTTGGATCAGAAAACTTGTCAAACCCAAAGTATAACAACAAGAAGTGTTTTTGCTCTTCTATATTTTTAATTCCTTTCATTATGACTTCATTTGGTGTCACATTGTATAAGTTAATAATTGATTCAACTCCTCTATCATAAACTAACTCTTAGGATCTATTGGGATTTCTAGAATTTCCTTTTCTACTCATTATTGGAATTTCCCAAAATTAATCCCTTGTAACTCCGATGATCAATATTCTATTAAACTTCTTTATAATCGTCTTTATTAGCTAACAATTAAATTATTTACTTTACATAAAATGATAACTGATCATAATATTACAAATCATCTAGCACTATAATAATAGGAGGGACATCAATTTTATCAGTTGATAAGTCATTTGACTAAACATCATCAGATTCATCATCCATTTATGAATAAAGTCTCCTCTTCTTATCTGGCAATTACTATTCAAAATAAATTTCAAATAGTTTCACAACTGCTTAACCTATTTATTTCATCTTCTGTTCATCATTTGTGCTAGAAGAGGATTAGAAATTTGGAAAATTATTCACATAATCATTTAACCACTCATTTAAATCCAATAGCTCTTCTAATGCTTTGTATATTACTTGATTTCCATTACTAATAGCTGCTAATAACTCCTATTAATTATAAGTGGTTTTAGACAGTGCGATATCATAAATTTATTTAATTATCTTCTTGATTCCATTGCCTTTGAATACTTTTTCAAAGGAGTTTATTGATGATTCTAAAATCAAAACTTTTGGATTTTCAGTTTTAATTTAGTATTCTAAAATTTTCATTACAAATGTTTTTCCTACACCATAGTTTCCTTTTAACAGAATAAAATCCCTTTCTATATCCATGTCTGCCAATGAAATTCTACCATCTCTATCCATCATTAAAAATGTATTAACAAGATGCAAGATTTATTAAGTTTTATCTTTACCACCAACAAGTCCTTTCTAATTAAATCCCATTTTGCTCTGATAATAATGAATTTTCATTATGGATTTTTGTTATGTTATCTAATAAACAGGAATTAGTCCAGTCTTGCCTTTCAATTAGACCATTTTAAATAATTCAGAATCAATCTTATGTTCACAATCTTCTGCTGTCTTTTAACACAATAAAATAGATTTATTTTCTTATATTGCTAGTTACATTAATCGAGCAGCTAAATTAACTGCGTCTCCTAATATTGAGTATTCCCTTCTGGATCCACTTGTTCCTACAACTCCTGTGAATACAATTCCAGTTGCAACTCCAATATAGCATTTACAATTTATTAAACTTAATTGCTTTACTAACAACTAAGCTGCTAACAAGGCACGAATAGGATCATCCTAATGCTTTAAAGGAGGCAATCCAAATCCCACTATTAATGTTGAACCTTTATCATCCATCAACAACTTATTGAGAGATCCTTCATTTATGTAAATGCATTTTTAGACAACCTCTATCACTTTTTAGATGTGTTACAATCTAGAATCAGCATCACTCAAATCAATTCCTAAATTTATAAATAAGGTTGTTATTCTTCTTAATTCACTACTCCATTTTTCCTATTCAATCTCAATATAAGGAATAAGTGCTGCTGGTATAAATGTCATTATCTGTGACTTATTGATCCCCCCTAATCTATTTTTTATTAATTAAGCTCCAGCTTTCAATTAAACTTTATTATTAATTAATTTTACAACCATATAAAAGCTAGAATCAGTCTATAACCTCTAAAACACAAAAAAATCAGAAACCATATCAAAAACCTCCTATGAAACTATGATTTACCCTCCGCTAGTGGCATGATGCTCACTTTTAAATGCCTAAGTCAGTGGATCTCCTGTTGCCAAATATTCACTTCTGCCAAAAACTCCTCCCACGTATATTATATTGATGTCTCCTATACCAAATCCTATTTTAACTGAAAGTTTGATATCTTCCAAAATTGTAGTATTGTTCAACTTAGATTAAATATCTAATGCTGATTGTACCGCTAGTCTACATATGACTTTCAATTCTTCATGGTTTTCTACAGCGCTTTCTTTAATAGAAGGAGGCCAAACCACGATCATGGCATCTAAAATTAGTATATTGCTTACCCCCAGCAAACTTAAAAATATCTCCTCCACTCTTACTTATTGCAGAAACTAGCAATTCCATATAACGATTAATAGCAAATGCTATAAGCTCAGCTCCTTCGTTTCCTAATTTTGATAAAGTTTCTGTCAAATTAGTGAATCCGGATATATCAGCGAACATGACTACAGATCTTAAATTTTGCTTTTCTGGAAGTTAAGTTATTTATTATTGATTAGCTAAATATTGGACTACCAATGCTGGAACAAAACCTAATAAACTCATGTTGTCATTTCTTGTTAGCATAATAATATTATATTAAATTAATTTCTTATTTTCTAATAAATTTGTAAAATTAATTCTTTAGATTATTTGCAGGAAGATATTCTACATAGTTAAATTATTGTAAGATGTAATAAGTGAAATTAAGTTACTATCGCTTAATTTAAAATTATCGCTGGATTAAATAATTCTTGTATAGTATTTTTTAATATTAATTGATAAGTATTTTATTATTCACATACTTTTATTTATACTGCTACTACTTAAAACAAATTCTCTATTAATTATTTCATTGGGATCTAATCATTAAGATATGTACTTAAAAATATTAATAACAAATTTTTGATAGTATTAGGTATTTTATCCTCCTAATTAATTATAATAAAATATTTGAATATGGTTTAATTAATTTCTTGGGGATTAGATTAGAAAAATATAAACATAGTTTTATTTTTCCTAAATGTTAAAATCAAAATAGCACTTAAAATTTCAATTGAATAAATAAAAAGACACACAAATAGAGACAAAATAATTTGAAACTTCTTAGAAAGATAAATCTATAGACAATCTAACAAAATGTGTCTATTTTTATGAGCATTCTAAAATTGACTTAAGAATAATTATATACCAATAGATTGCATTGATTTCAAACTAACTCTCTTAGAGGTTAATTTGAAATAAAAAATGTAGTAAATGATTGATTAATAAGAAAGGTTAGAATTAAAAAATATTTAGGAATGTTTGAATATTTTGGTTTTATATATATATTGATTTATCATGCTTCTCCTTCTTCACCTTCTCCTTCAGCGGTTTCAATACCAACTTCTTCATAATCCTTTTCTAAGGCAGCAAGATCTTCTCTGGCTTCAGAGAATTCTCCTTCTTCCATACCTTCACCGACGTACCAGTGGACGAAGGCTCTCTTGGCATACATAAGATCGAATTTATGATCAAGTCTGGAGAAGACTTCAGCGATGGCAGTTGAGTTGGAGATCATACAAACAGCTCTCATGACCTTAGCCAAATCACCTCCTGGGACGACTGTTGGTGGTTGATAGTTGATTCCGACCTTGAATCCTGTTGGGCACCAGTCGACGAATTAGATGGTTCTCTTTGTCTTGATGGTGGCAATGGCAGCGTTGACATCCTTGGGGACGACGTCACCTCTGTAAAGCATGGAGCAAGCCATGTATTTACCATGTCTTGGGTCACACTTAGCCATCATGTTTGCTGGTTCGAAGGCTGAGTTTGTGATTTCAGCAACTGACAATTACTCGTGATAAGCCTTTTCAGCTGAGATGATTGGGGCATATGAGCAAAGCATAAAGTGGATTCTTGGATATGGGACCAAGTTGGTTTAGAACTCAGTGATATCGACATTCAAGGCACCATCGAATCTCAATGAAGCTGTCAATGAAGAGATGACTTAGGCGATCAATCTGTTCAAGTTGGTGTATGTTGGTCTTTCAATATCCAAATTTCTTCTGCAAATATCATAGATGGCTTCGTTATCCAACATGACACAGACATCGGTGTGCTCCAACAATGAGTGGGTTGACAAGATGGAGTTGTATGGTTCAACGACGGCGGTTGAAACTTATGGTGATGGATAGATGGTGAAACCCAATTTAGATTTCTTACCATAATCGACTGACAATCTTTCCAATAAGAGTGATCCCAATCCTGATCCAGTACCTCCTCCGACTGAGTGGAAGACCAAGAAACCTTAGAGACCTGTGCAGTTATCAGCTAACTTTCTGATTCTGTCTAAGCACAAATCGACGATTTCCTTTCCGATGGTGTAGTGACCTCTGGCGAAGTTGTTGGCAGCATCTTCCTTTCCTGAGATCAATTATTCTGGGTGGAATAATTATCTGTATGTTCCTGTTCTGACTTCATCAATAACTGTTGGTTCCAAATCCAAAAAGACGGCTCTTGGGACGTGCTTTCCTGCACCAGTTTCTGAGAAAAAGGTGTTGAAGGCATCATCTCCTCCTCCGATAGTCTTGTCTGATGGCATTTGACCATCTGGCTGGATTCCGTGTTCAAGACAGAACAATTCCCAACAGGCATTACCAACTTAAATACCTCCTTATCCGACGTGAATAGAAATGACTTCTCTCATTTTTAAAGTGTTGTGTGATGAAAACTCTCTAAAAAAATTATTTGAATTTCAGCAGTTATCCCCACATTTGAATATCCAAAATATCCTTGCACCGGGGTACTTCATATTTGAATTATTTTCTTTTATAATTAATGCAATTAATTATAAAAATATAAGCATAATGAATCATCTGCAATTAAGAAACTTGTACAATTACTGTGAATTATTGAAAAATCAGCAGGAGGCTTATTTTGGGGGGAGTTAATATGGAAATGGCATTATTTTAGGATATAAATTTATCGCTTCCAATTGAGAGAGTAGTATAAATCTATTAATTATCTCATCTCAGTAGATTCTTGGGAAATCGTTTATTATAGAAAATTATTTTTAGAATAATTTATAATAACTCTGATTCAATTTATAATTTTTTAATGGATAAGAACATTTCTCTAAAAGTTAAAAACTTCTAAACAGTGAATTGGTTGAAAAATAGATTCAGAAATCAAGTGAAGGATAAATATATTTTGAATGAGAAGGAGCTGAAGGAATAAACAATGATGAAAGCTGTCTTCAAATCAATTGATAGAGATAATTCAAGTTTTTTATTCCCTTAATTTACTTTAGAGTTTCTAGATCGCTAAGAATTGTATGACATGTTCAAACGCTATGGGATTAACATAACAAAAACTAAATTGCGTGAATTTTTCAAGAGAATCGATTAAGATGAAGATGGTAATTGACATTATTTATTTGTCAGACAAACTTAATTGGAACGACTTTCGACAAGCCTTGTAAAACCAAGAAGCTTTATAGAGTAAATTCTCAAATATATGAAGTGTTCGTTGAGCTCATGCGAAAAATCAGAGAGACCTCTGAGAAGTTAGGTAAACCAAATGAGTTCAATTTTGTGCCTTTAAGCTTCCCCAACATGATTTAATACATGAATTATTGCGTATTGAGGGAAGAGCTCATTCAGAAAATTAAATCGGAACAATTATCAAATTAATAAAAAGTTAAGCAGTGCACAAATCTTTTGTCTTTGGAAGATATTTGCTATAAGAAAGTAGTGGATATGAGAGAAGTAGAGGAAGAGCAACAACAAGATGAAGAAGATCCATTCAAGAAATCAATGAAAAAAAATAATGATCCTCAGCAACTAGCCATTTTGAAGAGATTGCAAGAAAAAGAATAAATGATGCAGCGTTAAGTAAATACTAATACTCTATTTTTATAGAAAAGAATTAGAAAATTAAGTTCTTCTTAATATTACAGGACAGACACAGACTAAACTAATAGATCTATTCGAAAAAGCTATTAGTCAACTAAACAAGAGACGAGCAAAATATATCAATCGGAATTTAAATTAATAGATTAATTTGTAAATGATAATTAATCCTAAATACCATTAAAAATTACTGACAATAAAAATAATTTAAACATACAGCAGGCACTGTAGATAACAGAAAGATTGAATTAAAATCATAACGATTCTCCTTATAAGTACTAAGTAAATCACTTGAAATAAGTTTCATGTACTACAAGTACAAAGAGAGGCGACCATTTTACAAATTAATATCTTATTGTAATTTTACAATTAATTTAAGAATTCTAAATCGCCTTTTCTAACCTCTCAGAGATCAAAACTTCGTTCTCCTTAAAGAATTAGAGTAATATCGTAGATGGATTTGAAAAAAAGTGATTCAAAAAATAAATTTTGATTGTTTATTATTTCAAGCATATTAATCTACATAAGTTAAATAGATTAATATATAAGAATATCAAATTACTAAATATTTTAATGTAAATGGAAATCAATCTAATTCTGCCATTTCTTTTGAAAGCTCCTTATAATGTTTAAGGGTTGTCTTCAATTTAAGATTATATTTTTCTAATTCTACAATTTAAGCTTTTAATTTTCTTATTAATTCTTCATAATCAATCATAGATTATTTCTAGGATTCAATTACTTAAATTAATTTAACATTCTCCCCTTCCTTAGTCTTTACTTCAGTTATCAACAAAGTAATTCTTTCTTCTAATTATATAATCAAGACCTTCTGTTCCCCATTGTGATGATTTAATTCTTAAACTCTCTTTTATAACTGAGCAAGCTCTGATTCCAAACTACTATTCTTTTTTTCTAATTCATTCAACTTTTCTATGATAGTTGTTAATTAAATTGTTAGAGACTAGTTTTTAGCGACATGCTCAGCTCTATCTGATTCTAATTAATTTATTTTAGCCAAATGTTCAGTGATCTCAATTTTTTGTGTTTCACTCAAAGATTTGAAATCTAAAACCTTTTTTTCAAGCGTTATGATAAGAAGTTCCAATTCTTAAACTTTGGTTAGATGTAATTAAATGGCCACTTAATGGGTTTCTTCCAGTTTGATAATCTGGTGCCTAAGTTCATCAATAATTTTATTCTTCTCTTAAACTTAAGTGGAGTTTGTTCTTTCTTATTCAAATTATATTAGAATTAATCTATGTTACTCTTATAAACTATTATGATCATTAGTCAACTAAGCAAGTCTTTACTTCAATGACTCTAATTCACTAATGGTAATCTGATGAGTTTCCCTTAATGAACTATGTTCCTATGTTAGAATTGTCCACTTAGCCTTATAATCATCCAATTCAATAATTATCAATCTATGTTTATCATTTATTAATTGATGCTATTGCATTAGCTATTGTAGCTATTCTTTTAATGCAGAAGCCTCAGTTTATGTTTATGCTTATCTATCAAGATTTTCTTTCAATTCCTATTAAGCCTTAGCTAATTATAATTCATTTTCTTCCAATTGTTTTAATAGATTTGAAATTCTCTCTTTCATCAATATATTAGCCTCGCTTAAAGCATTAATCTGAAAATTCTTTTCTTAGAACACCTTTAAATTTTCAGAAATTTATTCATCTTTTTCAATGATGTTCTATTGCAATTTTTAATTTATTTACAATGCTTCATCTAATTATTTTGAGATGGTAGTATATGAATTTTTTAATTCAGCCAATTATTGCTAGATTGTCGATATGATTTACTCCTTCAAGCCTAATTCATCTGCAAATAGAAGCTTCTCCTTTTTAATAGCCTCTAATTCCAGACATCTTAAATCATACCTTTACTAAAGCAATTATAATTATTCTGTCTATTAAATTATAACTAACTCATGATTTTATAATTTCTTTTTGATTTCTATATTTTCTGTTGAGTATTTTTCATGCTCTCTTTTAGCAGCTTCTGCTTGTATTAATCTTACTTCCAAATTTCCAATGATCCTCAATTTATCTTAGTTCAATTATTGTAATGCAATATACTCCTTATTTAGTTGATTGACTTGTAATTCTAATTAGAAAATCTTCTATCGATCAGCATCCAATTACTAAGTCCATTCTTACTCAGTCAGTCTGGATTATAAAGAAATATTGATTTAATAGTTCTTTTCTTTTTGAGAAGCTGTCATTTGATTTTCACCTTATTGGGTAGATAAAAGTGCAAAATCAGCAACTTATTGTTAGAGTTCTTTGTTTTATAGGATCTGAACGTTCAGTTGTGCATAAATTTCTGAATTTGACTTTTATAAATTGTTTATAATATTCTAATTGTCTTCTTAAATTTTGTCAGAATATTTCTTCTATTCATGTAAAGCCTAGATCTCCAAATCGTATAATGCTATCTTTTTCCTTAATGCTTCATTTGCATCTAAAAGTTACTTATCAGCATCCTGATTGATTATTTATAATGGTTAGTTTTGAAGTTCCTTAATTTACAATTGTAATTCAGTGACCAATTTGTGCTTAGTCATTAAGAGTTCTTCAATTTATTCAATATATTTTTTTAAGGTTTCCTTTTCTTCATCGACTTGCGGTTATTAAGCAATTTAGACAGTCTTTCTTCTTAAATTCTGGAACTCATCAGATTGAGTCACTGAATATTTGAGCATCTCTTCATCTTATTCATTTCGTTATTATGATTCATTTTAATCTTTGATAAATTCTACTTTAATTTAATGAGTTTCCTTATTCTTTTCCAAGGGTCTAGAAACAATTACACTTTGTGTCATACCCTGTGGGTGAGATATAAAAATAATTAGTTTTGTTTGAACATAGTTCTTTTCAATTATTCCAGAAGAAACCCCTTTCATAATTTAACCTTCAATTTCCTCAAATTATTGATTGAATTGTTTGATTTCATCGAAAGTTGCATAGAAGGAGGATGCCAAACACTTCAAATAGTTGTCGTATCCCACAGTGGGATTCAATAGAACTTGATTCAAAAAGAAAAAGCTGGTCTGCAGAAGGAAGAAGTTAATACCAAATGGCTAAAGGTATCTTGCTATTCTGTTTCTCACAAAAGGTTTGACAAGTGTCACTTCACTTTGTTTAAGTTTAAAGGCTTGCTCCAGGACCTAAGCTACCTTCTCAGTTTCATTAAGATAATCATAAGGTGTCTTTTTCAATTGAGATGGATAAGTGTTGAATGGGATTATATTCGAATAAAGCACCGTCAGTAATGCATATGTCGATGCTTCGGAGGAAAAACAAAGTAAGAATAAAGTAATGAGTATTTAATCTGAAGTATAGCCAATATCTGGATATTGGAGTAAAAGAGAGCCTAAAACTTTGCTGATTTTCTAAGTCAATAATTCATGCTCGTTGTCTTTGATTAGATAGGTGATGAATTCTCTAAGGGAGAAGTTGAGATTGAGCCAAAATTCAATCATGACTGAATTCAAGTCTTATTTCATTTTGTGATAATCACTATTCTCTGTTGTAGAGGTAAGTCCTTTTAGTGCTTTTTCGTATTCCTGTGTATTTAATATATCTTTACTTGATTGGCATGTTCTACAGTCAAACCTGATGCCTTTAGCCATTCGACAGCAAAAGTGTTAGTACCGAAAACAATCTTTTATTGTTCAATAAATCTTTTGATCCAATCACTTTCATCTTTGCAAGAATTACAAATTCTCCTAGGTCTCTTACTTGGACCCGTTTCTGTTATATAAATAATCTTGTGTTCTGAACATTGTTTACAAACAGCACGGCGACATCTAAAATATCAAGGAATCATTCAAACCTTTTGCACTAATGCTCAGGTTTCAACAACCCAAATTCCTTTTGACACAGCTGACATCTTTTGAATTTCCCTCTTGCTTCAGAGATCAGAACTGTTTTGATGTGTGCTTGGGTTAATGATTTTCTTTGAGACATTATTAAAGATTTTAAATTCTATAAAGTTTAACATATGAAATCTGAATTTATATTTTTCTGAGCAATTCGATTTGGTATGTCAATATTCTATCACCAAATCTAGGAGATCACTATTCTTTGATTCTCTTTTGGAATGCAATCCATAGACTTTATTTTATCACAGGAATTATATAAAAATAATTAATACATTTTTAAATCTTTAATTTAAAATGGTCAAGATGAACGTTCTAAATGATTGCCTTCGTTCAATTGTGAATGCTGAAAGGTATACTTTATTGTTTTATTCGAAAAGATAAGGAAGAAAATAAGTGTTAATCAGACCAACATCCAAATTAGTTGTGAAATTCTTATAAGTCATGTAGAGACACGGATATATCGGAGAGTTTGAAATTGTCGATGATCACAGAAGTGGCAAAATTGTCGTTGAACTCTTGGGTACCAATTGTCAATTATGAAAAGGTCGCATTAATAAATGTGGAGTCATTTCTCCTCGTTACGATGTTACTCTAGGTGAATTCGAGAGATGGGCTAACAATATTTTACCAGCCAGACAATTTGGATGCGTTGTCTTAACTACTAATGTTGGCATTCTTACTCACGAGGAAGCTAGACAAAGACACATTGGAGGAAAAATCCTTGGTTTCTTTTATTGAGTTCAATACAAAGTACATTCATACACATACAATATAAATAACCTAATCATCATTATATATTTATTCTAACCAAATTTTGTAATATCGATTTTCATATTTTATATATATCGAATAAGTTAATAATCACTTTAATTGTGCACCATTTGAACCTGTCAATCTGGTTGAACCACTCTTCACCTTCTTCTTGAATAACTTCTCCTCCTCATCCAATTTGTCATCATCCACTCCTTGAGCATAAACCATCTGATCCATGTCTGCCATCTCCATTATATCGTTCACCTTCTCCTTGAAATATTGATGCTAATAATATAAGGTACTGGTTAATTGCTGATCCTAATAGCTCTCCCAATAAGCAGTAGTCTTCCTTTCCAAACAACTATCCTTTCTCACCTTGTACACTATGTCATTTCCTTCAATTTGCATTAAAGAAAAAGGGAAAATGCTTTTAGAATTGACTTATTGCTGAGGATTCTATATCTTATAAATGGGAAAAGAATCCGATAACACTTAATCAAAAGTTAATTGGTATTTTCTTGCTTCTAAGTAGAGAGTTGCCAAGAATCTGGCTACACTCTCCATCTTCTCATCTGGTGGTTCTTAAGGAATAACAGGGATTTATGGCTATTATTATTATTATTATTATTATTATTATTAGGGTTAAATGGGTTATGGGATCACTGGGGGTGCAATGACAGGTGGTTTTTCTTCGAATTTCAGTTTTTCTATAATTAGATCTTCGATTTGTTTTTCGAATCTGAGTATCTAATCTTCCTTTCGCTATTTTTCTTTTTTTTATTATTCATTTAAGTCTCTCCATTACAGAATTTCCTTTGAAATGTTATCAAACATCTCGTCTGCTCTTTCTACTATGTTAATTGAACACTTATCTAAACACTCTCTCACAAAACAGTCCTTAGGCCACAATCTGATTTCAGCATTATTGTCCTTTTCTTTTTTAGATGACTCGAAGAATTCTTTGATGAACTTGCAAAAGCTTAATCTCCTCTCAATTTCCATAGCTTTTTCTCTCTGAATACTCTAATCTATGATATTTGAGACAATCAAAAGATCCTTTTTCAACAACACTATCTTCTAACCCAAATTTTCCATCTCGTTCACTCCTCTTGTGTTTTAGGCATTGCCTCTACGCAATTTCATGGTTCTGTCCATGGGCTGAGTTCTGGGACGGAAAGCCAGATGGGGATTACTATCCTCATAATACGGATGCATTAGGAATCTAGTTAATGAACGAGAGAAGTGTTGTCTCTGCTTCTTAAAATAGGTGTATAGTTATTCCTGGAGGGTTATAGTCTATTGATTAATTGATCTTGGTAAAGTGGGTTTCAATTTCAGAAAGTCACTAAAATCTATTTCAACATCTTTGCCACTCTTGGCATCAAGGAGTGCGAGGTACAACTCAAAGTCTTCGATAGTGATGGGCGTTTGCAGCTTCTCATTGATGGTTTAGAGGAAATGGATATCTTCGTCAGTCAATTCGTAAGTCGTAGCATCCGGATATACAGGTTCCTTATAGACTACGTAATCTTCACGGCATCTTGTCGGAAGTTGGGATTTGAGTTAGGGCTCTTCAAATTATTTAGGTCTAAATAATAAATGAGTATAATATAAAAATAAATAAGGCGGGGGTATGGAGGAGCAAGGGAGAGATTTCACATTTGAGAGAGGTGAATTCCATTCTCTTGGCCTCCTCTTTTGGTAATTAAACAGATGTATGTAATTTACTTCTCTTTTATGAGTTAATCAGGAGTAATGATTTACTCCGTGTTTTTAATATCTGCTTCCTGCCCTTCAGCATTGTTGAATGCTTCCAAAGAGCTAACTGTGAGCACTGGCTTCGATGCATCGATCTGTCTTGGTCTTTATTTCATTTTCTGAGCTGCTACCAATCGATTAATAATTAAAGAAACTTGAATAATATGGGAAGATACTATCCCATGCAAAAGAAAAACAATACAAAATCAAACTAATAACACAAGAAAAACTCCTCTTTATATAATATCTCTTCCTCTCCAATCTCTTCTCCTTCAACCTCCTCATCTCCTCAATCCAGCTCTGAGAATTGAATGCTCTCGTCTTTCTCTGTCCCTCTCCTCCGTTCTCCTTCTGCTTATTCATCATTTCCTCCATGTTTTCATTATAATTATTAATGAACTAAATTGGAATTGTTGATAAATTAGATGATTCCTTCAAAAAATTCAACTCCCGCATTCTCGAAGTTGATCAAGGTCGCATCAAATATTATTCAAAACCACCACCAGATTTCCAATCTGAAAATCCAAAACTAAACGACAAACCTAAAGCTGGGTTAAATTTAAATCATATTGTATATTAGACTACTCTTCAGCAGCATCCTGGATATTCTTGAAGCTGACCCTAGAATCAGCAATGATCTGTTGCCCAGAGTCATCGCCTTCACTTTTTATTCCAATCAATTGCTCAAAGGCAATGAACTCAATAAACCAGAACCTGCCCTTCCAAAACCAAAACCACCATTATAAACTTGGATTTTTCTATTCAGAGACATTGAGTCAAAGGAAAGATGGTGTGAGATCTTTGCCATGAATTTGCAGAGACAAGAGGCTCCCACTGCTTCTGTTAAGCAATTTGTAGAAAATCAATTGAAATAATTAGAAAAACTGAGGTACTTCTTTTCGATCTCTCCTTTTTAGTCCAGATCAGATCAAGGAACAAAATCCAATTGAAAGTGTGGATGAAGAGGAGAAACTCAAAAATGAGGCAAAGGTTCGATCTGGGAAAGTTAAATAATTTAGAACGAATTTGAAATTGTAAGAAATTGACAGGAAAAATAAAGAAGAAGAAATTAATAGATAAAGAAAATAATAATTTGAAGAAGAATAGAAAAGACTCAATCTCTAAAGGGAAGAGGAAGAGAAGAAGAGAAGGGAGGAAGAACAGCGAAATTTGAGAAGAGAATAGGAAAGGTAAATGAAGTTGCGAATATCAACAGCATGGGAATTCAGATATTATCAAGCCTTGGAAGACTGTATTGAATCATGTGATAATTTTGATAACAGCATGAAAGCTGGTCTCAGATTGATCAAATACCTTGAGACTTTCAAAGAACAAGCATTCATCTCAGTCAAACAATTAATTTGCGATCTTTTGGATAAAAAAATCACTGTTGTCAACCAAAATCAAAGTGTCAACTTAATCGAAGAAGACAATCAAAAAAAAGTATTGCTCTATATATCATTATAAGACCATATTCTCTAAGCCTAAGAAGAAGTAATAAAACAACGAGGAAAATAATTATATTGGGTAGTTTCAAGATTGTTTTTACGGCACCTTCTAATTTAAAAGCAATAATATGCTGATTTACATTGCAACATCTGAAACTGTTGAGAAGACTCTTCTGATACCTAATAAATCAGTTATGATTCAAAGTCTCAATCTAAATTTATTAGAATTACCCTTCTGGTATGGAATAGTTCATTCAAATTGCAAAAAACGATAATTGTCAGATGAATTCAAAGCCTTAAATTATCTAAATGACATTTGTTTCTCCCAAAGATCTGTGAACAAATATTTCAAACTCAAAGTTCCATTATCATGCTAAATTGAATACCTAGGATTTAAAGCCTTGGTCTTAGCATGTCCTCCCTCTCCTCTAGATGATTCATCTCTAATTTACGGTGTCCCAAATGGTGAAAATTATTACAAGGCATCATAAAAACTAGAACTTGAAATTGAAGCCTTGGGAAGAAGTTTGGCAATCAAACCACATTGTTTTATGTGGAAAATCGAAAGATTTGATCCAAAGAAAATACAATTAGATACCAAAAGATCTGTCATCCAATTATCTGTGAATACTCAAATACACAGTGGGAATATTGCTGAATTTGAACAATTGAAAGCCTAGATTAAAATTTATGCAGACCAAGAATCAGAACAAGAAGTTAAACGACAAGGCTTGTTTTATTTACTTAAAGTAAAGGAAATACTACCTTATGTTATTGAAGAACATTATTCAGAACTGGTTGAACAATCTAATAAAACAATTCCTGCAAATCATAACTTTGATCATTTACTTTAAAATTATGAATTCAGAAGAGCCAGACCAGAATTCTTGTCAGTGTATTATGATACAGGTGTCAGTGGTTAATTGAGAGCATAATAGAGTAACATCCAAAACAGAAAGGTCTATAATCCTGATGCCTATGACACCATTGAAGAATCAAATGACATAGCAATTGATCAAATGGCTTTAGCAGAGATGAGCAAAAACTTCATTAGAGGTTATATCCAAGAATTCGTGAATAAAATCGATCAATTAGAAATATGTCCTATAGATAGTTATACGCTAAGAGAATCATTTAGACTTTTCGGTATAAACATGAGATTCCTTAATCTGGTGGCATTGTAAACCAAGTATATTCATTATATCAAATTTAAGAATTCCCCATGTTCAATAGTTATGCGAAGTGGAAATGATGGCTAGATCAATTAAAAACATATTTAATTAATAATTCACAGAGTTTTTGTAGACAATAACAGAGGATTAAATCCCATTTAAACCCTTTGATCCTAAGAAAATCATCAGGGACCCCTTTTCAGATTAAGAAGAATTGGAATCGAAGAGACCCTTCCCAAAAAAGCAATCCATTATGTTACCACGCACGATTATTTAAGAAAGGGAAACCATGTCAGAATTCATAGAGATGCAATACAAGGAGTAATTGGCAGACTTATTAAATTTACTATTTTCAAAAAGCAACGTGTTTTATGAATAAATTCTCTTTAAATAAGTGTTATTTGACTTCAATTACGATCTGAATTTGAAATTAAAAGGGATTTGTCCAGGTAGTTTGTTGAGTGCTTTACAATACAATTTAAAATTTGAATCGAAATTTGAACCCAAAGACATAATTTTTGGAACTCCTTATGCATAATTAGATGAAAGTGTCATTAACAAATTTAATTTGAAATAGTACCTACATTAAAAAACTTACTAGCAATTATATAAAACATCTATCATTCCAGCATCATCTCAAATGACTCCACTGACAACTCCTCCCACCAAAGGAGCTCATTCGATAAAGTAAATGAATAAATAGGTGTTCTTTGATTCCTCCTCCATAATTCAGTTAAGATTCGATGTTCAGAGTTTCTCTATGTTAGAAGTTGAGATCTGTAAACTGGTGAATAAATTTAATATCTTCAAACTATAGTAAAACTACCAATTGGCCATAAAAGTTCTTCATATGTAAATTAAATTTTGACAAAATCAGACGCCTAAACCTTCTTGAAGGACTCGAACATTCCAGCAACATAGCTTAGGCCAGAACCATGGTGTTGACAGACCTAGCAGAATTGCATTTCAAATAGAAGCAGTATTAACAAACAATGGTGCGATTAGCAGAGGCATTGAAGCACTTGAATCCCAATATTTACCTCGACAGTGAGAATCTTCTTAATCAACTTTCCAATATGAATTAGAGATGGATTCCCAAAGTGGGAATGATTCGACCACTGATGTTGTTATTAGAAATAGTAACTGAATTATACTAGGATTATGTATTCATAGTATTCGATTTGTTGATATTTAATTTGGAGTTTTGTTTAGGCTCCCAACATCATTACTATGCTAAGGTCTTCAACATCATGGGTACATTTTTTAAGAACAGAGGCTAAATAGAAGACATGCTCTAGATGAATACCATGTAGATAATTTGTCTTATCAAAACTATTGGTCATCAGCATCAATTGACTGCTGATGCATACATTGAAATTGGAGAACAAAAGCAAAGTCCTGAATAATAAATCCTCTTCTATGAAAAAGCATTTTACATTTTTGAAACTCTCTACACAGACAATAGTCTTTAGACTGCCTATGTGGCTTGTAAATTAACTAAAGGTTACACTGACTGTGGTAAAATTAATGAAGCTTTGAAGATTAGCTAATTGGCTTGTAAAATTCTAAAAACCAAAGCATAAGATAATTTGGCATATCTACTAGAATTGAGTTATTATAGAGCTTATAATTTTTATAAGAATTAGTAAAAAGAATAGGCTAGAAAGGAATGCGAAGAGTACTTTAATGTCTTACTATTATATTGGGATTAAATACAGGCTTATGATCAGCAGGATCAAAGTCATTCCGATATAAGCAATAATAATCGGGACTTATAGTCATTTCCAATATAGTTAATTGAAATGACTCGTAAGACTTTGATAACTTTTACTGAGATATTCTTAGCAGAAGCCTCAAAAGAACATAGAAATTTCCTATATTAGATGTTTGATTTGATTATAGAGAATCATGCGAGATCTAATTTATTGGAGCAATTTGATTCCCAATTCAATATTCAATTTATTCATGTGTTAAAGAAAATTAAAACTTTGGGCAGTTTATAGGCTTATTTTGAATGGTCCTTAATTTAATTTGTAGATAAGACTGGAGGCGATACAAATTGGTTAACCTTCAATTTTAAAGTTTAGAATTACGAATAGTTAAAAGAACCATATGAAAATTATGAATGCATAGTAGTCACAATAGGAAGAAAGATTTTGGCATAGATTTTTGAAAAGATTATGATAAACAATCCATGAGTGGTTGAATTATGTTTAAAATTTCAATTTCTTATTATAGTATTTATAAATGCTTGCTTTTTGAGACTAAATACATTAGTGTGAATGGGTTGGGCATTGATAATTGGATTTTCTGAAATCTCAGAATTAATGCAATTGTGTGTTAATGCTCAGAAGCCAAAAAACATTGAGATTAATGTAAAAGAGGGAGAGATGATGAGTGAAATTATGATAAAGTTGATTGAATTTAATTTATTTAATGGGGGAAAAAAGAATTGACAAATATCTGTTCAATCCTAAGGATCTTATTGGGGAAGGTTCGTATGCTTAAGTGTACAGGGGGAGAGATGAAAAGACAGGAGTGAAGGTAGCGATAAAAGTGTTAAACAAATCAGTCATTAACGCGTAATTTTAGATTGATCGAAATTTAGAGACGATTATTTAAGGGAAGGGTTGATCTCAGAGATAAAAGTAATGTAGAAATTGAAGAGTCCAAACATTGTATAATTGATGGATGTAATGGAAACCAATAATAATTATTATATAATTCAAGAATATTGTGATAGTGGAGATTTGGACAAATTGATTGAGAAGTAATTGTAATATAGTATCATTAGTTATGTGGCTTAAAAGAAAACTATGCCTGAGAAAGATGCAGTCAAATTTATGATTGACATTTTGAATGGATTCATTTAACTAATTAAAAATGGTATTATTCATAGAGATTTGAAACCAGCCAACATATTAATAGACAAAGGAGTACAAATATCATTAATATACTAGACCTTCAAATTAGCAGATTTTGGATTTGCAAAATGTGTAGACAATTTTAAAAAGGATATGTTAGCATCATTGGTAGGAACACCATTATATATGTCACCACAAATCTTGGATAATAAAAAATACACTTCCAAGACTGACATTTGGAGTATTGCTTTTATCTTTTATGAGGCACTATTCGGTAAAAGTAAGTATCCTCTTTTCTATTAACTCATTAGCTCCTTGGACTGCTAGATCACCTTAAGAACTCTTGAAGAATATCAGAAATTAACCTTTGTAATTCAAAGGACCTCAGATCTCCAAAGAAGCATNAGATGTTTGATTTGATTATAGAGAATCATGCGAGATCTAATTTATTGGAGCAATTTGATTCCCAATTCAATATTCAATTTATTCATGTGTTAAAGAAAATTAAAACTTTGGGCAGTTTATAGGCTTATTTTGAATGGTCCTTAATTTAATTTGTAGATAAGACTGGAGGCGATACAAATTGGTTAACCTTCAATTTTAAAGTTTAGAATTACGAATAGTTAAAAGAACCATATGAAAATTATGAATGCATAGTAGTCACAATAGGAAGAAAGATTTTGGCATAGATTTTTGAAAAGATTATGATAAACAATCCATGAGTGGTTGAATTATGTTTAAAATTTCAATTTCTTATTATAGTATTTATAAATGCTTGCTTTTTGAGACTAAATACATTAGTGTGAATGGGTTGGGCATTGATAATTGGATTTTCTGAAATCTCAGAATTAATGCAATTGTGTGTTAATGCTCAGAAGCCAAAAAACATTGAGATTAATGTAAAAGAGGGAGAGATGATGAGTGAAATTATGATAAAGTTGATTGAATTTAATTTATTTAATGGGGGAAAAAAGAATTGACAAATATCTGTTCAATCCTAAGGATCTTATTGGGGAAGGTTCGTATGCTTAAGTGTACAGGGGGAGAGATGAAAAGACAGGAGTGAAGGTAGCGATAAAAGTGTTAAACAAATCAGTCATTAACGCGTAATTTTAGATTGATCGAAATTTAGAGACGATTATTTAAGGGAAGGGTTGATCTCAGAGATAAAAGTAATGTAGAAATTGAAGAGTCCAAACATTGTATAATTGATGGATGTAATGGAAACCAATAATAATTATTATATAATTCAAGAATATTGTGATAGTGGAGATTTGGACAAATTGATTGAGAAGTAATTGTAATATAGTATCATTAGTTATGTGGCTTAAAAGAAAACTATGCCTGAGAAAGATGCAGTCAAATTTATGATTGACATTTTGAATGGATTCATTTAACTAATTAAAAATGGTATTATTCATAGAGATTTGAAACCAGCCAACATATTAATAGACAAAGGAGTACAAATATCATTAATATACTAGACCTTCAAATTAGCAGATTTTGGATTTGCAAAATGTGTAGACAATTTTAAAAAGGATATGTTAGCATCATTGGTAGGAACACCATTATATATGTCACCACAAATCTTGGATAATAAAAAATACACTTCCAAGACTGACATTTGGAGTATTGCTTTTATCTTTTATGAGGCACTATTCGGTAAAAGTAAGTATCCTCTTTTCTATTAACTCATTAGCTCCTTGGACTGCTAGATCACCTTAAGAACTCTTGAAGAATATCAGAAATTAACCTTTGTAATTCAAAGGACCTCAGATCTCCAAAGAAGCATAGGAATTTTTAATTGGGTGTTTGCAAGCTGAGGAAAAGGATAGATTATCTTGGGATGAGATCTATCGTCATCCTTTATTTAAAGGACATTTTACTGAGTTTATCAAAAATGTAAGTATCTTGGAAGACAAAGCCACTTATTTGATTAATGACATAAGATAGATGATTATCAAGGAGTAGATTGATATTGGAGAATTGTTCGCTGAACTTGACATGACTAAGGACAAAGCTTTAAATGTTAATGAGTTGGGGAAATTCTTGTAAAGAGTAGATAAAGACCTTACTAGAGAGGAGATAGAGTATATCTTCAATAAATTTGATGACGATGGAAATAATCTAATAGAGTTCAATGAATTTAAAAAGTGGTTGGAAGAAAATGATGTAAAAATGTTATTTAGAATTGTTCTTAGTGCAGAATGACAGCATCTGAAGTAAGCAGAACTAAAAAGAAGGTTAGTATTCTTATGAAACCACAACAAGATATTTAAGCAGGATCACTAGATGATAGAGCTAGGTCAGTCATTGAAAAATTGAAGGTGTCTATTGTCAAATTCAATATCAATCTCTTAGATTTATTTAACAAGGTAATTATTGCTCTTATCGTTCTAGTATGATAAGTCAGCTAATCACGAATTAGATGTTTAGGAGTTAGGTAAACTATTAAAGAGAATTGATCAAACTGTCACAGATGAAGAAGCCAAGGCCATCTTTACCTTCTTTGATCACAATAAAGATGGATCTGTTTCATTTAATGAATTCGAGTTTGTCTTGAAAGAATGCTTAGTTAAATAAAAAATAAAATAGTGAAGATGATATATTTACATATCGTTAAAAATATTAAAATATATTCTTTAATATATCACACAATTCCCAACAAAGAATTATAGATCTTCATAACTATTATAATTGCTTTATTCAATGGGTTAATAACATATGGTCTTAATCCTCTTGCCAATGTAAACCATCCAATCGTCTTTCTTAATTTTGTCTTATAGACTTTATCATTCTCTGCCATTTTCAAATGGTGTTCATAGGATGTCCTGGGAATCCCTTCTTCACCTAAGAAATTCTTTATCAAAATATCGAAATCTAAATTAATTGAATTTTATACTCTCTCTGAAGGATTTCTCTTCGATTTCTGTTATCAAGGGGGCATCAATCTAAAATTCTCTCATTAAACAGATTGGAGATAAAATAGAAAATACTATTCCTAATTTAGGAAAACTAAAATAGATATTTAAAAAATATGATAAGATGACTGAATAGCCTATTAAATATCCTATATAGATGTGTAAATAATAGGGTAAATGATCCTAATAGGGAATCTTTAATGAAATATATCCGGTTGTTATATATACTGCATAAAGTAAATAATCAACGTGTTTAATTATTAACGAGATTATTGTATTTTCTGGTAAAATTACAACCAAAATATCAAATAGGGAAGTTTGTAGCAATAACAAAAAACTGAAAAGTAAAGCTTACAAGGTTAATTTAATTTGATCAATTATAGTAGAGAATCCTACATTGTTGTCCCTTTTTAAATTGTATATAAAAAATTGCCTATTCTATTTAACATTTGTCTCATATTAAATCGATGTTTAAGTAATCTTTCCAACATATACTAATTGTCTGATATTGTTCTCAAGGTATAAAACTACGGATACGATTTGAAACAACCATAAAAATAATTTAGGAATCGACATCAGTCCTAACAAGTACACAATCAAGTCGATTATAAACACGATGGCTAATTTTTTGACCGCAAATTCTATGGCTTGCTTTAAATATTTTTAAATTTCCATGCAATGCTTTTCTTATTAATCAAAAGCATATCTTCGAAGTCCTTTCATGAATTAAATGCTGTCAAATAATCCATATAGGAATAATATCGATTACGTTTTTAAATATTACATCTATAAATAATAATAGATTTTTATTATTCATTTGTTTTCTATAATTATTTTTTATACACTTTAATCTCGTTATATTTATACTAATTAAGTGTAATCCTTTGTAACCATCACCTCATTTAATTCCACCAGTTAACTAATTTCTATATTGTAACCTACAATTAATTAATGAAAATAAGAGTGTTTAAACTATAAAAATTGATAAATGAGCAATAATTATGGACAGATTCAACTTGGTTAATTGCATTATATATAGAAAACGAAAAAGATTTATTATAATTTAAAACCAGGATGAATTAATATAAAATGTTTAACAATATATTATCTAAATTATTTATATTATACTTAATATAAATAATTAACGAAATGAGTCAATAAACAGCAAAAAACTTAAGAGATTTGCTTATAAAATAATAACTTAATAGCAAGATCAAATTTAAAGGAGAACCTGTGAACAAAATTTAACCGACTAGAAAATAATCAGGTAATTGGGATAAGAAAGTGGATATCTCCTAATGCTATTGCAATTAAAAGAATTGTAATATATGCATAAAGAAAAGGGTTGTAATTAATGCCTCACCTTTGCTTAAAGTCAAAGTTAGCACTAAAAACTAACCATGTGAGACTGATAGTAAAAGAGAGATCAAAGTTGGCAACTCAGTTTCAGCACATCAATCTCCTAATCGTGAAAAGCAATATCAGATGCAATAAATGTTCTTACAAAAATAACTTTAAAGCCATTTGCATTAGATATAGGAATCACGTCCATAATCGAGACAAATACCAAAAGAGTAAGCGAAGAAGCCTTAATTTTATCATAACATGGACAATTTTTTGAATAGTTACTATTAAAAAAGCAATCTAAGCAATTCATAGTTATATGAAAACAGTTACAATGTTAAATCAAAAGTAGTTCCAAAACGAGTAGAATCCAAAAGTCAAGTATTGAGTAACACCCAAACTTCATTTAAATTGAAATTGAATTAATAAGGACCTAAATTTTCAGCTGTATCTTATTGAATTTTTTATATTAGATCATCAATTCTGGTTTAGTTGAGTCAGCTCCTAACTCTCCAAACAATCATGAAAATTCAAATAAAAGCAAATTAACCCCCAATGATTCTATCTCGAAAAGCAAAATTAATTAAAATGACTCGAAATCAACTGAACTAAGAAGAAAGTCCACAGGGGAGATCTCAGACAAAACCCAAATCCTTAGTTTAAAGATTGATGAATAGGTGAATAGAACTCATTTTAAATTTCTCTATGTAATAGGCAAAGGTGGATTTGGGAGAGTTTGGAGAGTAGAAATGAAGAAGAACAAGAAGTTGTTTGCATTAAAAGAAATGTCAAAGGCTAAAGTAATATAAAAAAGAAGTGTAAATTCAGTGTTGAATGAGAAATATCTATTAGAGCATTTGCATCATCCTTTTTTGGTTAACATGTGGTATGCATTTTAAGATAGGGAAAATCTGTTCTTGATTATTGATTTATTAACAGGTGGTGATCTCAGATTTCATTTAGGAAAGATGAGAAGGTTTAGTGAAGCTTAAACCAGTAAAGAATATTTATAACAATAGAATTCTTTGTTGCTTGTATCTTATTGGCGTTAACTTATTTGCATTAAAATGGGATTATCCACAGAGATTTAAAACCAGAAAACTTGGTCTTAGATTAGGATGGATATATGAGACTAACTGATTTAGGCATAGCTAGAATGAATAAAGGAAATAATGCTGGAGATACATCAGGAACACCAGGGTACATGGCACCAGAAGTAATGTGTAGAATGGACCATTCAGTAGTGGCTGATTATTATGCACTAGGAGTAATAACATATGAATTGATGCTTGGAAGAAGACCCTACAATGGTAGAACCAGACAAGATATCAGAGAGTAAATTCTAGCTAAGTAGGTTCAGGTAAAAAAGGAGGAGTTACCATTAGGATGGAGTGAGAATTCTCTCGATTTTGTGAATTAGGTATTGTCATTTAAAGGATATGGTTAGTTAATTTTGAGAAAGCCAGAAAGAAGACTTGGTAGTAATGGGATTGAGGAAATATTGCATCATTCTTGGTTGAAAGGATATCCTTGGGATGATTTACTGAAAAAGAAAGTTCAAGCTCTTTATGTTCCAGGAGTATTTGATTTTAATTGATAGTTAGGCTGTTGATGATAATTTCGATTTTTAGAATCAGATTTCAGAGGAAACTTAATTGAATGATGACTAGTAATTAGAGAACCAGGTTTTATTGAGGAGGGATACTGTGTAATGTAAGAAAATTAGTAAAATGTAGCTTTGTTCGATGGGTACAATTTTGATGTTGAATTAAAAAACATTCAACATTAATAAACCTAAAAGAATCATTCTTAAAGAAAATCACAACCGGTTTCTCCAGAGAAAAGAACATGACTTTGAAAATTTATTAATAATAAGTGATAGTCAACTTTTGTTTAATTTAAATATAGATAAATCATCTAAGATTTCTTCTTCATAGAGCTTTTAGGACATTTGTTTTTTGAGATTCTCGTATTTTTCATCCAATTCTCCGTATTTGATGAGTAAATCATCGATGTAATTATTCTTTTAGTCTATGCTTTGCAACAAGTCCTCGCATTTCTTTTGCAATAATCGAATGACTTCTTGATTATGAACAAGTTTTTCTTATTCAAATAGTTTTGTCTTAAGCAGTTGGATTTCCTATAGGCTTGACTAAGACTAATACCCTTAGGTATTTGTTGTGGATCTCTTTGATATCTTTTTCAATGCGAGCCTTGAGAGTGTTCTCAAATTGTTTGTTAAAGTCATTAATGATGATGAGATTATTGGAAGTAAGTTCGTCGACTTCGCTTTTCTTGTCATTATACAACAATAGTAATTGTTGATTCTCTGATTTCAAGGAAGCGACCAATTAATTGAGTTGTCTGAGTTCTTAGTCGTAGTTTTCTTTGATAGACAATTGATCTTCCAATTATTCTTTAAAATGAATCAAACTGATTTGACAATCTGAAATGAATTGCCTAAACATATATGATAAGAGTACTTCATTTGATTGATTTATTAGTTTTGACTTTCAATAATCTTGTCATATTCTTAACATTTGCATTTGAATATTCTGAAGTCCTCATATTGGTTATAGATTTGAGGTTACAGAGTTGGGTGAATGTTGGTGTGTTTGACAGTGGAATACTTGTGATCATCTTGAATGAAGGTTGCAGTGGAGTGAGATTGAGTTCGCAATGGAGATTTAGTCATAATTCGTTAAATTGACATGATAATATTAAATTCCAAGTGTCTCTATAGAATACTAAATTAATTGTATTTAAACAAATCATCCTAATGTGAAAATATTAATAATTATTTTTTAAGTTTAGGAATGGATCCAAAGTATGTGTTATAACTTATACAATTCTAGGAAGTAGCCTTAGCCAAATTAACCTAGTTAACCCAACTAACCTAACTAACCAAACCAATAGGGATAATCAGAAAAAAAGGATGTTTCTACTGCTATTTTGGACAGAAAGAAAGCACCCAACAGATTAATAGCAGAGGAAGCCCTCTAAGATGATAATACAGTTATTCAATTATCTTAAGCCAAAATGAATGAACTCAAATTGTTTAAGGGTGCACCAGTGTTGTTGAAGGGAAAGAAGAGAAAGGAGACAGTGGCAGTTCCAATCCCAGATAAGTTGGATAATGAAAAGATTAGACTGAATAAGGTCATCAGAAAAAATTTACGCATTAAATTAGGAGACATTGTGACCATCAAACCATTGGATCAAGTATTATAAAATTCAAAATTTAAATAGGTTCCAACTTTAACCAAAGTCCATGTGCTTCCCTTTGATGATTCAATCGAAGGTATCAAGGGTGATTTAGCATAAACCTACTTGATTCCTTATTTCAAAGATGCCTACAGACCTGTGAAGAAAGGTGATTACTTTATTTGCAGAGGAGGATTCAAGGCAGTCGAATTCAAGATTATTGCAACTGAGCCAGGAGAAATAGGTATCGTAGGACCAACAACTACATTGTTTACTGAAGGTGAGCCAGTGAAAAGAGAAGACGAAGAGAAATTGGATGAAGTAGGTTATGATGATGTAGGTGGATGTCGTAAATAAATGGCACAAATCAGAGAAATGATTGAATTGCCATTAAGACACCCATAACTATTCAAAACTCTAGGAGTCAAACCACCAAGAGGAGTTTTATTATATGGACCTCCAGGATCTGGAAAAACATTGATTGCTAGAGCAGTTGCAAATGAGACAGGAGCATTCTTCTTTTTGATTAATGGACCTGAAATTATGAGTAAGATGGCAGGAGAAGCAGAGGGAAATCTCAGAAAGGCATTTGAAGAAGCTGAAAAGAACAGTCCTGCCATTATCTTCATTGATGAAATCGATTCTATTGCACCAAAAAGAGAGAAGGTTAGTGGTGAAGTCGAAAGAAGAGTCGTCTCTTAATTGTTGACATTGATGGACGGTTTGAAGGGAAGAGGTTAAGTCATTGTCATTGGAGCAACCAATAGACCCAACTCCATTGATCCAGCTTTGAGAAGATTTGGTAGATTTGATAGAGAAATCGATATCGGAGTACCTGATGAAGTGGGTAGAATGGAAATCTTGAGAATCCATACCAAAAATATGAAATTGGCTGAAGATGTTGATCTTGCTGCCATCGCCAAAGATACTCACGGTTTCGTTGGTGCTGATATGGCTGCTCTTTGTACAGAAAGTGCATTGTAATGTATCAGAGAGAAGATGGATGTCATTGATTTGGAAGATGAAAAGTTAGATGCTGCTGTACTAGAAGCTATGGCTGTTACATAAGAACATTTCAAATTTGCTATGGGCTAAGTCAATCCATCATCTTTAAGAGAAACTGTAGTTGAAGTACCAAATGTCAAGTGGGAAGACATTGGTGGTTTAGAAGAAGTCAAGAAATAATTATAAGAAATGATCTTATTCCCTATTGAACATCCTGAAAAATTCCACAAATTTGGTATGTAACCATCCAAAGGTGTTCTGTTCTATGGACCACCAGGATGCGGTAAAACATTGTTGGCTAAAGCAGTTGCTAGTGAATGCTCAGCCAATTTCATTTCAATCAAAGGACCTGAACTATTGACTATGTGGTTTGGTGAATCAGAATCCAATGTCAGAGAAGTCTTTGACAAGGCCAGATAAGCATCTCCCTGTGTCTTATTCTTTGATGAATTAGATTCAATTGCAGTCTAAAGAGGTAGCAGTGCCGGTGATGCTGGTGGTGCTGGTGATAGAGTCATCAATCAATTATTGACTGAAATGGACGGTATCAGTGCTAAAAAGAGTGTCTTCTTTATTGGAGCTACCAACAGACCTGAAATCTTGGATGAAGCCATTATTAGACCTGGTAGATTAGATTAATTGATCTACATTCCATTACCAGATGAACCATCCAGACTTAACGTGTTTTAAGCCAATCTTAGAAAAACTCCTGTTGCTAACAACGTTGATCTTGCTTATCTTGCCAAAATTACTGATGGATTCTCAGGTGCTGATATCACTGAAATCTGTTAGAGAGCTGCCAAAGCTGCTGTCAGAGATGTATCAATTCACCATTAATTAATAGGCTATTGAAGCAGAAGCTAGATAGAAGTAAGCACTCTAAATGGCTCCAAATAAGGCATCTTAACTCATCAAAGCTGATCCAGTGCCAGATCTGAATCGTAAGCACTTTGAGGAAGCTCTTAGACATGCTAGAAAATCAGTTACCAATATTGTATACATTTAAATCTAAACCTTTAGGATTTGCAAAAGTTTGAAGATTTCAGAAAGAAATTTGATCCCTCATTCAACAAAGGAAATAACCAAGGTGGATTTGCTTTCAAATGGCCTGAAGCTGGGGGCTAATAATTTGGAAGAAGTTAATAAAGTAAAATCTAAGAGGAAGATGATCTTTATGGAAATTGATTAAGATATATATATTATATTGATAGAATCGTAAATTCGTTTAATAATAATAATTATATTTTTATAATATCTGGAATATACAAATGTCTGCTGAAATAATTATAATTGTATTGATATATTCATTTCTTAACCACTGCCTTCTTCCTTGCTAAAGATATTAATCATTCACATTAGTACCTTCCTTCTTTTATTCCTCCTCATATTTCTTCTGATGATCCAATGCTTATTACTTTAATTATTCGATAGCCAAACGCAAGGCAGTTATCTACGCTTACTTCAATTTATCAGCCTCCTCCAATTAAGCTAATTGTTGTAAATAAGGCTTGAGCATTTCTTTGGCTTCATGTTCTGATTGATCCATTCTAATTTATATTAATATATAATTAATTAATAATATTAAGATATAATTAAAACAGAAATCAATTTCTCTTTCGTTACTTTGAATTCTTTTAATTGTTCATTGCTTAGATTGATTTTAAACTCCAATAACCTCCTCCAAAAATAGCAACAATCAGCACTAAGAAAAATGCATAATGCAAATAATTGGGTTTGGATAACAAGGAAGACTCTTAGGACTATTCCTTCCATGCATTCTACCACTCTGATTCAATCTTCTGAGTTTATTGATATGATTATTTCAGTTTGTTTTTCTTGTCCATATCACCTAAATCCTTTTCCAATTTCTTTATTATCTTCAACAACGCCTCCTCTTCCTTTGTTAGAGTTACATCAATCCCAATAAGTTGTTTATAATTAAAGTCCTTCACCACTTCCTTGTAAGCCAAACTCGATAAGATCTAGCTCCTCATTGAAATCATTTACCTCGCTATTCACGTCAATTACTTAGACACAAGACAAAATCATTTACATTTGGACCTTGTGAAATATTGAGGTCTTGTTTCCGTTTTCAACGCTCTCGATTATTTGATTCATACTCTCCTTCTCATTATTGATATCCTTTATTGTCTTTATCCAACAAGCTCCGATTTTCCTTGAAAGACTTTTGATATCATATAAGCTCATACATCTCTTCCTCAGTCTCTTCCTGGGCAAAAGTCGAAACCACTAAAAACAATAGAATTTATAGCATCAACGTGTACTAATTAATATTTTAATTAATGATTAAGTGTATTGCGATGCCAAAGTTTAAAACGAATTTAATGTGTTAATATATATATCATTCATCTAACAAATTATTAAACTCTTAATCTGAAAGCACTTTATCCTTAGATTTGGCTCTGAGTAAATCAATTTCAACTAATTTCTTTTTCTCCTTTTACTTGGCTTCCTCGATTTATTACAACACCTTATCGAGTTCCTTTTGTCTTGCCTAATACTGAGATTTAGAAATCGCCCCTGTTCTTCCCTTTGATGATTCAATATCATCAACTGGATTGTATGGTGCATCAACTTTTGGTTGAAAATCAATCGAATACCTGTATCCAATATAAAAACTTGCCCCAGCAAACCCAATCAACAACAATATTTCAAATAATATAGCCATACGTGTTTATGAAAATAATAATAATATAATATAAACAAAATTTTTTCAATAATTAATAGTTTTTTACAGTACATTATCCTTATACAACAAATGAGCTCCAATCTTCTTCCCATTCCTGTATTCCCCCTCTTCGTAGATATGATCGTTATGATAAAACTGTCCCTTTCCATGATATGTGTCGTTACAAAATTCCCCTGAGTACTTCAGTTCCAATTCCTCATTCTGCTTCTTTATATAGAACTTCCCCATTCCACATCTCACAGACTTCTTCCAAAATCCAATGTATAACCATCTTTCCTTCGCATTCCATCTCTTCCCTTCCCCATGCAATAATCCATAAATCATCAACCCACAGTGTTCTTCATATATTTAAAATTCACTATTCCTTACTTCATCATACCATGTCATTTTACATTAACCATGCTTAATATCATAATCAGGATTATAAGACCCAATATATTTCTACAAACGACTTTCATTGTTTAACTCCAATACTATTCCATAAATGAACTTTCCTTTCTCGAATATACCCTCGTATATTGCCCCCTTTAGCTTTTTCATCATGACCCCAAATCCATGTGCTTAGTTATTTTAAGTATAACCACCATATTCAAATTATTAATTTTCTATTTTCTTCCTATTGTTTTGATAATCAGATAACCCTCTATAATCTGTTGGAATTTCGAAATTAGGCTATGAAAATCTTTTCCATTTTTGGAATTTCTTGATTCTTGGATTAGTTGACCATATTTCAAAATCCTTTAGATTTTCTAAACATTTCTAAAAATTATATTTATCAGTATATCCACTCTTTGAATTCGGAGGAGACTTTGTTGATACTCTATTAAAAAATTATTATTAAGACTCGAAATCTTACATCAGAAATGGTGCCATTTCATCTGTTACTGATGGCTATCGCAAAGGATTCACAATAGTTAATTTAGTATTTTGTTTCTTAACCTAAATCTATTAACTTGTTTCAAAACCATTAAAATTAATCAATGACTTAGTAAGCACCATTTCTTAGGTCTTTTTAAACACATTCACAACTGTTTATTATTGTTTATATTATTAATTCAATTATCCCTTTTAAATTTTCAATTCTAAATTTATCATCTACTACACTATGTTACAATACTAGATTTATTGTGGATAGGAGAGATCCTCAAATTCTTACTATGATAGAAAATTATTTGCATTAGGTTAGAGTATGAAGTTTTAGAACTTCTAATTCACATCATTCTCTTCATTGTTCTCTGTCTCTTAAATCTGAATTAATTTTTTCTTTGTTCTTATTACATTTTGTAAACATATTTCTATTTCACTTTACTAAGGATCATTATCTTTTTGTGTTTGTTCATTATTTTCTAATATGTTTTATAGGTTAAGGATATATCTATCTAATTATTATTCATTCATTTAATTCAAGTCTTCTTAGTTCAACAATATTAATTCCTATTCTCTTGTATAATTTAATTTCTCTTTTACATTTTAAATTTGTTCAATTGTTTGTAATTGCTTATCTATTTCCTCCTCATTATCCTACTTTGCTTGCTTCTTTTTCAATAACAGCTCTTAGTATTTAAATAATTATTGACTATTTAATAATTTTAGTACTTCTATCTTTAATAAATTATCAGGTTTGTGAATATCCAGCTTTTTTGAATCATTATCAAACATCTCTGACATATCGCCAGTTTGATCCTTCACTAATTATAATATTTTCTTAGGCTCATCCCCGTTCTCTTCTTGACTTATTTAACTATTCTAATCTTATTATAATTTTGCTATTTAGATAATTTAAGGACAATTGCCGTTTGATAATTATGAACTGCTATTTACTTGCTCAATAATATAAATTTCATTTTAATGATTCTTTACAATTTGAGGGCTTTCTTCATTCAATTGAAGTGGATTCTAAATTTGTATGATTTCTTGATTTTTAAAATCTTTTATATCATTTTAATCCTTGATAATTGAAATTTGTTGACTCTCTTTCATTTCAATCAAAGTTAAATCATTTATAATATGATTCTGCCCTGTGATTGTGTTTTCCCTTTGCTTTCTCGAAGTACATAAATCAAAATCTTAAATTTGGGTTGCAGTTTAAAATTGAGGGTCTTTATGAAATTCAATTATGGATTAGCTCATCTAATCTTATTGGCTATATTATTTTTCAAACGGAAAGTCTTATTAATATAATATTAGGTTAGTTTAAAACACTTAGTTTAGTTCCTATTAATTTTTGGGAACTTGAATTTAGTGAGAAGAATTTGAGTTTTGAGTTTTTAGAATTAAGGGAGAATTAGAATTGTTAATAATTTCTATCACATGTGATAATTTCGGTAATTCCTCTACTTTAGGATCAGCTTTTTTAATTATTTAAGTTGATTGATTCAGAGGAATAATATTTATCTACCTTTGTTATTGATCAGCATAGATTTTAGGACTGTAACTAGATTCATTATTTTTATATGTTTCTACTTCTTGAACATTTCTGATATTCTATATGACAGTTTATTAAACAGGAATCTAATATTGTGTTTATCCGACAATTTTAGGAGATTTAGATGACTTCTAGTCGACTATTTGATTTAATGTGTATTGTTTATTTTGATTAGTCAATAGATTGGATACGGTTTTTATTTAATCCTTTTTTTACACTTAATCTTTATCATCAGTCAATACTTAAAGTTAGGATGGTTTTTGTTGATCATAATTTTGTGCTTTAGTTTATTTCTATTTGTTCTAATCCTTAATAAGATGATTGTCATCATTTAATTGAGTAAGTAAAAGGGTTTAATCGTTGTTATTGAAAGAGCTTAATGAAACATGGTTTACTTTGATAAGTTTTTATTCTTCAAATGATGAACTCTCGTAATCACATAATTATTTCAGAATACCATTTCCAAATTATTCTTCCTCATTGTTCTTTGGAGAAAAGATTTAAATCGAATTTTCATCTAAAAAATATGACTTGCTATCATTGACTGGTTCTTTAACTTAATTTATTTTTTGCTGTTTTTTAATTTCATACTACTGAGGTTTGACTTATGTTTTGTTTTATTGAGTCTAATCATTTTTTTATGTTTCTTAATCATTAATCTGCTATAGTTATGTTAATTAAGCTTAAGATAGATAATAGTAATCGAGTTTAGTATTAATTTATATTTGCCTTTTTAATTATATATTGAGAATGTTGTAATCCTCTTTCTTAACTTATTTATGTTGCTAATTCTCAATATCACCTCTAGGAATCTACTTTTTTAATTGTTCAAGACAAGTCAAAGCAGGTATTTTCCCAAATGACAATTACTTAATTATCTCTGTTATTACCCTAAAATAAGGATTAGCTGCTTGCTTTCTGATTTCTTAATCAAATTTAGCTATATCATATCCATAGAAATTTTTTATATCATCAGGTATTTAAGTTTGAAACGATAATAGTTGCAATAAGATGATGCTGATACTCCAATTATCGTTTCTCTTAAGAATCACCTTTTTGTATTGTTCATTCTCAAATATTTATGCCCATTCATTCTCTTGAAAATCTATGTTATCCTAAGTGATGATCTCCATAATTTCAGGAGAACTATAAAATAGTGTTTCATTTTATTTCTGTCTTTCTTCAGAATTTGCACTCTATTTTGTATAATGATTGTAATGTGTTCTTGCACTTCCAAAATCAGTTAGGTATGTCTTATTTTCAATCAATATAAAATTATTAAGTTTAATATTTCTATGCTAAATATCTGATAATTCCAAAATAGATGCAATTTCTATTAATTATTCTGCTATTTATAGCTTCTGCTATTCACTTATCATAGAAGTGTTAAGAAAACTATTTAGAGACTTTGCATTTGACTTACAATTATAAGTAATATAAACTATCACCGATACTGATTGAATTTCAGCTGCCCATTCAATTATATGTAAGATATGATTAGGAAATTGATGACTCAAACTAGCCTATTATTCAATTTCTAGTTGTAAGTTTTATTTCCAAATATTCCAATTACTTTTCACTGAAAAACTTATTGTCTTTATTAGATTTCCATCTTTTGTAGTCTTAATATTTGGATATATCCTACTCAAATCAATCAATTTTAAAGGAAAATACTTTTCTTTATACTCTCGGAATTCTATTTACATTAATAATTATTTCTAATTTTATTTGCACTTCACTTACAGCAAAATTGGCATCAATTTTTCTATTTGAAAAAAACCTGTATTTTTGTGAAAAAAGACACTCACATACTAATTTATGGTAAAAGCAGAGGCCAATTCTCAAAATAGTGATGTTAGATTCTAGTTTTATTGAATAGTTACTGATTTATAATATTATCAAGAAGAGAAAAGAGAATTGATACTCATACTATGGCATCATTATTATTTTATTGTAATTTTGATGGAAATTGAGGTTGAAGAGGGAAGGGGAAAGATAAATGAGAAGGAATATCTAATCATCCTTTTGAATTATTATTATTTGATTTAATTATAAATATATATTACAGTTAATGAATAAGACTAGAGATTGGAATATTGTCGATGATGAATTAAATAGAAAATTGAAACAGTTATAAGAGGTGAAATCATCGCTTGATGATCAATCTACAGAATTGTTGCTTCAAAATAAGGATTAAAATTAAGGTACTTGAATGTCTTATTCAAAATTAGAATATAATAATGACATCAATTACTACAAGGAGTTCTGGAGATATTATATTCTGAATGAAATGACGATAAAAAAAGTGAATGAATTGCATTCCTAAAATTAAAAATTGCATGAATTAATAGCTGAAATTGATGTAATGTATTAGTGAAATGGCATAGAAATTACAATAAGAGTTGCATCAAGCTCTAAGTTATCGTCACAAAAAGAAAAACAGACGAACTTCTTAAGAAATAGAGAAATCTTTCGTCTGTCCGTATGAGAAATGTAATAAGTAATATGGGAGTGATGTTTCTTTAAACTTGCACATCAAATTGAAGCATGATGGAGGGAACAAAACTGACCGAGAAAAATTTGCTGTAAAAATCTCTTATATTTTGATTTAATGTAGAAAATGATTATTGAAGCCTAATAAAATGGTGAAACAATCACTGATTTGAATATCAACATCAAATTTCCTCCAGGATACTTGGATGTACAATTTATTTAATTGTAGCAATTCAAAACTCAATTTATGTTAAGTTAATAAAATTAGTTAAACTCAGAAAGGAATACAATCGAACAAGATTGACTTCACCATTGAATTAAATATAATATAAATTTTTGTTTTTGCTAATCACCATTATTTCATTCAAAATGTTCCGAAATGTGGGGGCCATTTTACTTTTATAAATTAATATTAAAATATAATATGAATTTAGGAATAGATTAAATAATCCCTCATTTGTGCAGTACCATTGGGAATTCTACTTAATCAATTATTTTAGACGACTGCATATTGGAGTTTCAAAAATATTTGGAGAAAGTAATTCCAAGTTATTTTTAAGACTCCTAAGCTAAGAAATTGGTTTTTAAAGACCAAATGACTACCAATATGATAAGTATGTCTTTGTTATGTGATCATAGCTTCACTTTTGGGATTGACAAACCAATCAAATTTTATGAAACCTTATGAAAAAGAAATGACTACTACGACTCTTAATAAATTATATAAAATTGTAGAAGAAATATCACAGCATGACAAAATCCGAATTTTGATTAATTAAACTATATTAAATATAGAACGAGATACCAATCGAATATTATAGGATTTATAAGATTTATTTTAATTACTATTCTCTTCGAAATCTTGTGGTAAAATGATACTATTACAATAATTTGATTAATACATAAGAAAATTACAACAATATACATTTTTTTGGGAAAATCTAATTTTATTAGAAAACTAGCAAGCAACCATCAAAATTTAGAAGGATTCATTAATAAAGGAAACTGATCTACTCAATAAAATAGAACTATGGAAAACTACTTTCATACAAGAAAAAAATCAAATTTCATCATCCAAACCCTCCTCACTCATTTTAGACCAAAAGAAACTCATTTAAACGTAATCCCTCTAATAAAAAAATATCCTTAAGGCTTTGCAACAATATTCTGGACTCGGCCTTTAAAAGAACTAATTACAATCAATCGCCCTATTTGAAGATCTAGCCAAATAGGGAAATACCTTAGCCAAAGCTATCTTGGGTTAATTAATTTTGGAAGGCCAATTTTGTGAAGGAGATTATGAAAAAGTAATAATATTAAGGCTATTTGTATAGGCTTACTAATACTTTTCAGAGTGTGCTGACCAAAATTGTCCAATTGGCATTTATTTTATGGCAAAACTAATATTAGTAACCATATTCTTAAAATTAATTTAAGGAAGGCAAAGTCTAAAATAAAGTATTTGGAGAAGCCTAAAAATCAACCAGTAAATTCGATAATCCAAAAAATACTAGGGATGATGAGTGCCAATTTGCAATTTCTATGCTTAAACTAGCTTCTGATGCAGGACATGTTGAATCGCAGATTTATTTGGGAGACTTATATTGTTAGGGACACAAATTAGATGATTGTATAAACAACTTAATATTTGTAGTTATTTTGGAAAGTGATTACTCATAATCTGAGATCTATCTCAAACATGCTAGAAAACAGGACAATGTGGAAGCCAAATATAAATTGGCTAAACTCTATTAAAAAATGTACAAAATATCCATTTACAAAGTATTTTATCCTAAATATTTGAAAGAATAGGATACAATTTGTTTATCAATTGTTATTGGAGGCTAAAAATAATGATTACTTACCTGCCTATTATGATTTGGCCAAAATATTAATTGAAGGTATTAAGGATGAAGTGCAGCCAAATCAAATGATGGCGGAATTGATTTTGGAACAAGGGGCAATGAAGGGTAATATTGACTGTGCTAGGCTAATGTTAGAAAGAAAATATAATAATTTAGTTATTAATAAAATCAACATACCTATGTTTCTGCAATTATTGGATTCTTTTGATTAAATATAGAATAAGGCTGAGAATCTAACATTTTATTATAGAGGTAAAATAGCACAGAGCGAAAATAATAATTAATTTGCTAATTAATTATTTAAGTAATTATAGGGTTTATCAATTATTAGTTTAGGTGCTAATTTGGGTTGTTCTAAGTGCAAATTGGAGTTGAGCTAATGTTCGAAAAAAGATTAAATAAAAAAGAAAGAGGGAGAGAAACCAGAAGTATTTTAAGCTAACCTTGGCTTTTTGTAATTGGTTAAGTAAAGCGATTGGAAATCAAGGTTCAGAAAGTAAAGTATATTTTCAAATCCATTTAATGCTTCATAAATTGAAAATGATCAATCAACATTGTAAATGAAAAATAATTAAGTTTTAGTTAAGCTAGAATGACATCTAGTATCATAAAAACTATAGATATAAATGAAGCAGAGGATAAGAGATAACGAGTGATCTCAGATTATACTGGATTTTCAAAGTAATAAGTTTCAGACTAAAGTATATTGTTGTCGAATTTGAGAGCTAAACCAAACGAATAGACCCAAATTAATTCAAATAATTAGATTCAGGAATAAAAGTAAAGAAAATCATCATAATTTACAAAAAAAGAAAAACCCAGGTTTTTGAGACACTTATCTTAGCATGCTATTCATTCATAATCTTAAAATGTATTAAATATTTAAAATGAATGAGAATAGTTTGTATTTATTTAATCTCTTTATTATATAATACAAAAATATCTAATAAAATATAAATCAAATAAATTCAACTATTTAATAGATATTCATATATATATATATGTAATTTCAATTATGAATGCACTTTTCAAAGAGTTAAAATCTTCTCTCCTTTTTTGTAAATTCTGTCTTGTGCTTGCTAGTTTTAAAGACCTAAGATCTCATTCATTTCTTCTTCAGACAATCTAACTTTGTTGTAAATAGATGTGAATTTTTGTTTCTGTTTATCTGATTTAATTACTGGTTTAACAGATGATTATTTCTTTTTCTTTATTTCTTCATCTTTTTTAATTTCCAATATTTACTATCTCTTTCTGGTTGTTATTACATATGTCTTAAGATTAGGAGGTTCATCTACAATCTAAATTACTTTGTTGCTATCATCATCCATCTTTTCTGGGTTTTATATTGATTTTGATTCTTAATTTTATATATCTTTGTTAGTTTAATGTTTTTAAGGTTTGAGTTGTTTAAATGAGTCAACTTATTCAACTTTCACTTTGAGTTCCCGATTATTTTGTTTTTTATCTGATTTCTTAATTTGTTTTTATTGATTAGATTCTTTTTCCTCTTCTTAAATATAACTCTTCTATCTGAGTACATTCTCTATATTTGAAGTGGAACTCTCCTTTATTGATTAAGGACTTTTAGGTTTCTTCTTTTTTGATTGTTTAAATTTAGCTGTGCATTTAATGTTTTGTTATTCATATTAAGAACAATAATGATACGAACATTTTATTGAATCTTCAGAGGATAAGAGAAGTTATAAAATGTTGACATTGTATTAACATTGAACCTAATAGTTTTTGTCACATTTCAAACAAAGGACTTTTTGCTAGATTTGATAACAAAATAAAAATATTTCTTCTTTGCATTCAACACAAAAGCAATGTTTCCTCATTAAATAATTGATATCCAATGTGTAGACCTTCTTTTTTTGAATCAATTCTCTTATTACTTTTTGTTCTTAATTTATGAATTCTAGGAGATAGATTCTCAATTGGTCATTCTTATTATGGATATATATATCCAAGAATAGGTTTTTGAGAGGGAACTCAGGCTTTATTTAGTATTTGATATTGATCTATTATCGTCTCATCATTTGTTGATATGAATATGAATTCATAGCCAAGTAGCTCCAACCAGTGGTGATTGTAGTAGATAAGCATTCCATTTGATAGTAGGCTCCTGCCCCTAAAATAACGAGGTCTCCGGGTTTTTAAATGAATCTCTTATAAGGGATGCCATATTTCTGTAAGCATTCTCTTTATAAATAGTAATCTCCTTGTTATAGAATAAATTGTTTTTCATTTTAGAATAAGTTTTCAATATGTTCTGGATCAATAACAATCCATAAACAGTCTCCAGGTCCATGATTCAAGTTAATTCGATTGACTGCTCCAGGTTCTTGCTTTGCTCCTTACCAACTCCCTGGAGCCATGATGTTAATTTAGAGTTCATTAACATTTTTGATTTTTGTTCTTAAATAACTCAAGCCATCCTCCTTTAAAAAGCATTAAGGGATGTATTCATATAATTTAAAGGACTCTTCTTCCCAACTCTCAATTTATAAATCAAACAAGGAGAGAATTTTGTTTGGATTATATTATTTGTTCCTGAAGAAGAAATCTATTGGGTCATGTAAGTAATCAAGGTATTTTTACAAGGACATTGAGAAGTATGATTTTTCTGTATGATCTTGGGCTGCTTTGAGTTGTTGAGTCAACATAACTGATTCTGAGCCATGATTATGTCTTATATTTTATAATTTAAAGTATCCTCTATTTAATTGGTCTAAGACATCCCGAGGGATTTCCCACAAAAATACAGGTTGATCAACCCAATCTGATATTGGTTAATGGAACTTAATGAGATGATCTTTGATTTTTGGTGGTTAAGTTCTGTTGTAGGAATCTAAGTAGGAATCAAGGAGCCCTTTGAATTTGAAAGGATCTGCTTATTCTTCAATTGGTTATATCAAGTTCTCAGCTTTGATTTCTTCTAGGAGTTGTTGCTCTTAAGGGGATGGGGAATAGTGAAGATTAACAAATTCTGCAAAAAGGTTCATGTTTTTATTTAAATTAGTTTTGTAAATAATTTCCAAGGCGATATTAAAATAAATATAATAAAAAAATGAACTCTTAAATTTAGTCAAATCCTAGGGAAGAATCATTCCTTCAAATGCTTCATTATTCAATTTGCCCATTAATGAAAGTAATGAATCCAATTTAATTAGAGAAACAGTTTCACTTATTGGATTATTATCATTGATCTTCTACATTATTTCCTTTCCTTAATATACCAACAGACTTAGATGCTTACTCTCCGACCACATCAAAAAGTCTTATTTAATTTTGGTCAATTGTATCCCATTTACACAAAATCAGAATTCTGGAGATTGTTACTGAGTCTAGAACAACACAAAAACGAAACTCACTTGTTCTTCTCACTGCTCTTTAAAATGCATTTTTTTTCATTCATTGAACACAATATAGGATTTAGAAACACGATCCTAATTTACTTTATGAGCGGGATCTCCTCAACTCTATTTTAAGCCATCGTTAGTTAGCAAGTTGGGTACTTAAATGTCATTGATTATTATAGAGTCTGCGGTTCCTTTCACGTTGGGGCAATCGGCTACGCCTTATATTTGCAACAACAAATGTTATGTAAATATACAATACTATAAACAAGAAAAGTGTTCTGCATAATAATAACTATAATTTTATTTTGATCTCCAAGTGAGTCAAGATTACGGTCTCACTTTAATTAAAGTAGTTATTGTGTTATCTATTATGTATATAACAAGTCTTAAGTTTCATGGGATTTTAATGATTGGATCTCTCTTATTTGGAATCTAATGTATGATATTGGGATAATACTTTTCATATGAGTAAAAAAAGCAGCAGCAATTGCAATTAACTAATAGCACTAAATAAACCCAATTAACTAAATACATTTATTTAAGTGGTTCTATTGCTGTCATCATAATAGAAGTGATTGTATTTTTTCAATTAAAAAATCATATCGAAATTTGATATTTTAATATAAAACACCCTTATTCATATATGAATATACAATCGATGTCTATACTATTTCAATAAAATTGAGTTTAAAGTGAAGGTTTTACAATTTCCACGTATTCCTCATATGATTTAATCTAAATTTGAAATACATTAAATTATCATAATATATCAAATAATAGATTAATGTTTTTTCATCTCAATTGTTATAATATATACATTTACAAGAATTATAATTTGAGATTAAGATAAATTATATACATTTTATAAATGAGTGGTTTGATCAGAACCATATTTTAATTAATAAAAAGCTTTTTATGCAAAAAATTGGATAAAACTTTGAATTAAAAAAAAAGTTAGGATCTGGTGCTTTCGGTGACATCTACCTGGGAGTGAACACAAAAAATAACATTGAAGTAGCTATAAAATTAGAGCCCATCTCATCTCAATGTCCTTAGCTGAGATATGAACACGAAATTTATAAAAGATTATTAGCTGATAATTAAAGTATCGATAGAGGCATACCTCATGTCTATTACACATCAGAGGAAGGCGGATATACTTTTATGGTCATGGATCTATTAGGGTCATCCTTGGAAGAAATATTTGTGTCGAAGAAAAAAAAGTTTTCTTTAAAAACAGTTGTGATGATTGGATTACAATTTTTAGAGAGAATCGAATTCATTCATTCCAAAGGCATCATACATAGAGATATCAAGCCTGATAACTTTTTAATTGGGAAAGCCAATAAATAAAATAAAATATACATTTTAGATTTTGGATTGGCAAAACGATTCATTAAAGAGAATGGACACATACCTTATAGAGAATCGAAGACATTGACTGGAACAGCCAGATATTGCAGTTTAAACACTCATTTGGGTGTAGGTAATGTGCATTAGTAAATATTCATTAGAGCAAAGTAGAAGAGACGATATTGAATGTATGGCTTATGTATTATTTTATTTTCTCAAATCGACTCTGCCTTGGTAAAATATGAGAGCAAAAAATAAGAGAGAAAAGTAATTTATAATTATCATTTTTCAAGATATGAAAGGATTATGGAAAAGAAGATGACCACAACTTATGATGAATTATGCAAAGGAGTCCCCAAAGAATTTGGTTTAATATTAAAACATGCTAGAAATTTAGAATTTGAGGAAGAACCTAATTATAAATATTTGAGAGGATTGCTCGAGAATATTTGTTAATAGGAAAGAATAACTGTTGATAATTAGTTTGATTGGTGTAAATGAGTTTTTATTAAAAATAATTTTTATTATTAATTTTTGATTGTTATAACTCATATTTGCTTAACATGCGTTCACCTTCACTATTTTCACCATAGAAGCAATCTAGATATGAAAAATCAAATAGTTCAACTGGATTTGCTACATTCTAAGCCACTAATTAAATGAACACAAAACAATTGGCTGATTACAGAAGGGATGTTAGAACAAATGTCTCATCAAGAGAACCCTTTGCTTAACCACAAGAAAAGTCCTCTTCTTTATTTGCCTCTTGGAGCAAAGCTGAGAGAGTCGTATTGTATTTATATATGTTTACATCATTATAGAGAGCAATAGAAAGTCAGTAGGAAATCACCAAAAAAGTCAAAACTACTTGGAGGTTTAAATTATGAAGAAATATTTACTAATAAAGGACCATAAACAAAACAAAATAAAGATAAAGTTGAATAATTGTTTAAGAGATCACCAAGAAATGATTACTTCGATAATTCATTTACATCCTTCCCTAAACCAGCAAGATAGAATACTCTTGGATCAGGATATAAAGATTCCCCTTAAAAATCAAAAGAAAAACTAGAAAGATTCAAAAACTGGGACAATCGTCTAGATGTCTAATTGATTCTCTAAAATAAGTCAATCACAAATAAAATTTCTTCAACTGGAGACAAACCAGGCTTTTATAAATATGTCAATGAAACTTAAAAAGGATTGTTTGATAACAATCAATCTAATTTTCTTTATTCTAAAAGTAATAAGAATACTCTTTTTGATAATAAATAATCCTTCTCCTTTAAGGATACATTCAATCCTCCTAAATAACAAACATTTCAAAGAAATCACTCTCCTCAATTATCAAATAGATATGTTGAGAAGTTCCCCTTAACCGATATCGTACGAATGACATCCCATTTCCAATCTCTATCAACTTAAGAAGTCACTTCAATCCCAAGAGGGTATTAAATCAATAATTATATTTAGATACATATCCGAGCTAAATAATTTGGCTGATATTTTATAAAGAGTTGTCAAGAGATCAAACAATATTAGTTGAGATATAATTTTATATTTACTGCATAATTACAATAAAATATGAATATAATTGGTAACATTAAAGCCAAAAAAGTTTGGTTAATCAATTCATACATAGTTCTAATATAATAATAAGGATTATTGATTATCCTATAGAATACTTACTTAAATTAACAGATCTACTCAATGGAATCTACAAGTATAATTAAATGAGTGTTTTTAAATATGGCTTTATTTTGACATAAGAATATTAAAGATATTTCGATTAATTTTAATATTACTTATATTTCTATATGGTTTGCATATATAAAAGATAAGACAAGAAAATAGTAATTGAAAAAAACTAGATTTATGCTCAAAATTCATTATGTATATGACAAAGGATCTATCTTTGAAGTTTACCCACCCTATTACTTTCAAAATATGAATTGGGATTATTAATAAAATAGAGATGGCAATATTTATACTAAATAGAGTTGAAATGAATATGAAACAAAAATAATTATAACAATTTTTATATTAGATAAAATAATCATTATATAAATTTTCTAATAAAGTGATAATGTGAACCAAGACTCATTCAATTATTTATGATTAACGAATTCTTAGATTTCTGTCAAAAAAATGATGGACACGAAAGAAATAGACAACTGCCATCAAGGAAAAAATGGAAAGAAGTCGAAGACGAGTTGCTATTAAAAGCAATAAGAAAATATGGAACTCAATGGACTAAAATTCAAGATGAGATTCCATCTAAGGACTCAAGGCAATGCTAAGCAAGATGGAAAATACTCAAACATGTAATATAATAAAATAGTGTATATAGAAAGAAGAAACCCTAATGAGATTGGAGGCTTTAGCAAGAGAAGACTTTTCTGATAAAGATAACCACTTATAAAAGATGAAAAAATAAATGAAATAAAGAAAAGAAATACCCAGAAGATATAATCCTAAATTTGATTACAACGAAGACTCCTCTAGCGAATCTATGCATTTACAATAATTTTAAGAAGCGTTAGCTAAATAGCCAAATAAATTATTACAAATTCAATAACAACAACAGCAACAGCAGCAGAAGAGAGAACAATATTAGAAATAAGTGTAAAATCAATATCAGAATGTCTGGAATGCCATGGATGATAAGATGCTTTGGACAGCATATAAAATATATAAAGGAGCATGGAATTAAATCACTCCCAGATTTCAAGAGAAGAACCCACAAAGCTGCGTCGACAGATATTAATATGTAAACATTATCATTATTTCATAGTTATTGTAATAGAAGAAAATAAAGTTATAGGAAGATGCATCATCAGTGGATGTGATATCATCCCCAAATGATTTAAATAGTTCATAGGATGGATCAGAGCAATTTGATATCTCGGTCAGTGAAGATGAGGATTCAACAGATTTATAGCGGTCTGATTGCAAAACATTACAAACAAAATAACAATAGTACAAAGGAGTTTACACAGTATAGCAATGTCATACAAATATCGAAAGAATTTTGAAATCATTTTCCAATCATAATTTAGATACTCTGCCAGGCATACGAGAATCCATAGTCAAACTTATATTAACTGATTGACAAATATTGTTTTATACATCATATCTCAACAAATTTAGATAATACTTCTTATTGTTAATCAATAAAGGCTTAAGAAATAGATCCTTAACAATCTTGATCTTTCAGTTTATTATCCATCTCACTTTATGAGTTATTTAATTAGAAAAGATCTAGTCTAGATGCATTATGTAGCTATCTATTAATAATTCTAATTCACTACATATCAAGAGTATTTGTACACCTTGATATTCTAATTAAATCATCTAATCTAGATAACACACATTATTAATGATGGAGTCCTAACATGATGAAACATAAATCTATAAATCTAATTAGAGAGAGAAGTTCAATTGTTTTATGCAACTAATAACACATATAAACCTTTGGTAATTAACTACCAAGTATGATCATTCATTTATATTTAATACTATTTCTTAATAATTATTAATTTATATATAATATTATATGATATTTCATCATTCAATATAATTAATTAATACCAAATATCCATTCAAATTATAGGTTTTAATAATATTATTGAATATTATTAAAAACAATGAATGATAATGTTATATGCAATACGCTATATTTTCTCCAAAAATGTTAGCTTCTTCTAAGTCAGATAGAAGGTCATTAAGAATGGATCAATGAAATAAATTAGTGTTAGAAGGAATTAGAACTCCATAAAGCCAATCACCCTCTCTATGAGCAATGCTTGGCCTTCATTACTGACAAGATCATACACCCATTTTTGTAAGACTTAGACATTCTGTTCAATTGTCAAGATGTCGTTAAGGAAATAAAAAAATATGAATTGAATTTTAACTACGTAATCAAGAGGCTATCATTGGTAATGTGAGTATCTATAGATTAGATAAGAGAGTTCATTCCAAATGTGGTGAAGGTGCCTTTGGACGACTTGTTTTGTAAACCTTAAACTGATGAGGAATGGATTTAATTAAATCGACATATAGAATATGTTAATGTATGATGAAAATTTAAAATAAGTTAGATGATCCACTGTCGTTGTCTAAATAATTCGATCAGTTTTATGATTATATAGCTTTGGGAGCAGCCTACTGTACTTTGGGTACAAAGTACTCTAATTCATTGATAAGTTTGATCGTTCAGAATGTGGGTGGGGCTGTTATGTTAGTAAAGAAATAGACAGCAAGAAACATCAAGACCAAGGAAATCACAAATCCATCACTCTCATTTGTTAAGGGTTTATGGAGTATTCAAAACAATTCAGCATTTTTCAAGAATTTCATGAAACTGACTAATTGTAGGGTGAAGTCTCACTTTAAAATTCATGTGCCCTTTTTATTCGAAGAATAACAATTTAAATATCATCATGACAATAATACCTATGTTAAAGAGAAGTTTAAGGGTTTTAAAATGGTCGATGATCTATTCAATAAACTTCAAGCAAAGGAGTTATCATTGAAATAAAAATAATAAAAAATAAAAGTGAGAATTATTTCAGCAAATAAAGTAAATATAAACTAAAAAGTCGATTATTCCTAATTGGTTTAGAAAGTCGTCGAAGTAAGTTCAGAACATTATCAAATAAGTTCGGTTTTTTAATAGAACAATAAGAATTCAAATATCAAAAAAGTAGTCCTACATATTCATGGTGGAGGGTGGGTAGCCATGTCCTCATTTAGTCATCAATCTTATACAAGGAAATGGGCGAATTACTTAGGAGATGATTCTATAATATTCTCAATTGATTATAGATTGGCTCCTGAATATAGATACCCATATGCTTTGGAAGATGTATGGCAATTATACTTATGGATCATCAATTTCAGTCAATTCTATCTAAACATCACAATTGAATAAATCGTTTTGGCAGGAGACTCGGCAGGTGGCAATATGGCTTTGGGAGTTTGTTTCAGAGCAATCAAATATGGAGTCAGGATTCCTGATGGATTGTTGATGGCTTATCCAGCTGTCAATTTGGATTTTACTTAATTCAACCCTTACTTATTATAAGGATTGATTGATTAGGTGGCTCCAGCAACAGTGTTAAAATTAGCATTACATGAGTACTTGAAAGACACAAATGCAACTCCAAATGTTGATCCCTACTTAAGTCCATTGATAGCTGATGATTCATTTTTATAACAGTAATTACTAGTATAATAATGTTAGACTACCTAAAATGACGATCATGTGTGGTGAATTGGATAGTCTCACAGGAGACACAATAAAATTTGTAAATAGATTAAGGAAGTTGAATAAGTAATTTAGAATGCTTATATATAATGGAATAAATCATGGATTTCTGAATTTTGAAGTGCCTATTTTTGCAGTGCCTGCTATAAAACCATTAATCGAAAGTAGCTGTGATTTATTAAAGCAGTTGTTTAATTAATGATAATTATAATCAAAAAGATCCACAGCAAGTGTCAGTAGTGTCTTTATTCTATTTAATTGGAACAGCTAAAATATTCGGTTGTGCTAATTCTTGTGTTTTCTTTTCAGATTTAATATCATCTATTTCATATCTTTAACCTGGTATTTCTTCCTCCACACTTTGTTGTTTGGACTCATATATTTCTAATTATCAGTTTTCACATACTTCTAATTAATTATTCAAAGCATTCTTTGACTTGTGTTCCTTCTTTAGCTGAAGTTTCATTATATAACATGTTGTATTATTAACAGATTTGTTCTACTTCTTCGACTGACACACATCGATTTTGAGGATTGTCTTACAACAAATCTAGTTTATTCCCTATCAACATTATCATAATCTTATCATCTGTATGTTGTAGGATCTGGAACTAATAGATAGAAATTACTTCTTAACGCCAACTCAAAACATTATCAAAGGAATTCTTGTCGCATAAGTCATAAAACAACAGAGCTCCCTCAGATTTGCGATAATGGGCTGTTGTGATGGCTTTGTATTTTTCAGCTCCAGCTGTATCCCAAATCACAGATTTTACTATCTTGTCCACATCTGCAAGCAAAATGGATTAGGCTGCATATTCAACTCCTATTGTAGGTTGTGATTATTTTTTTATAACATTTTTGGTTAATCTAATTTGAATTTAAATTCCTACCGAATCAAAAAACTAGTCTTCCCCACACTTGAATCCCCAACCAAAATAACTAAGAAAAATGGAATAATATACTTTTATACAACTCGTCATATTGTGCTTTGGGCTCTGTCATATTAATAAATTTATAATAATAAAATAATTGATCAATTTATTAAACTAAACTTGTCCATCATTTCAATAAATTCGTTGTAATCGATCTCCCCATCCCCATTCTTATCGGCTTCCTTTATCATATCATCCCAATATTTTTCATCTATGATTTTTTCACTTTCTAAAAAGGAATAAACAATAATATGATACTTCCTAACACAGTCTGCAACTCATGCTTGTCTATCTTTCCACTTCCATCCAAATCCAACATCTTAAATGCCTAGTATAATTTCTCCTCCTTCATATACAAAGACTTCTCCATAGTAGCTGCCAAGAACTCTAATAATTGTCATCACACACAAATACCTGTATAATTAATGGTTCCATTTCCATCTGTGTCGATACTCTTTATGATATTTCCTAATTCCTTTGCTTAGACATCGCTCATCCCAATTAATCCTTCCCTTAGTTCATCTATGGTGAGCACTCCATCTCCATTTTTATCCAATTATTTGAATAACCTATTTAAACACATTTAAGATACTTTCCTAAATCAGCAATTTCCTATTCATTCAATTAAGAAGCAATGAATGTTAGAGCCACCTTTTTAAGTTTATTACTGCCATTAAAGTTTTTCAATTGACCGAAGTTTAGTTTCAATTCTACAATTTATGACTAAGTTTTTTTTACATTTAGTATTCTTGCTGCCATCCTTCATCCATTTGTGCTAAATCACTTGCGATGCCTTGTATCTCTTCTCTGGTGTTGTTATCATATGAGATATCAAGTCCTTGGCTGAATCACTGACCTACTTCAACTCAGGTATTTCAAATGTGTATTCTCCCTTCTGAACTGCATCCAATATCTCAGGATCACTGTCACCGTAAAAGGGAGGCACTCCAGACAATAAGATGTAGAGAATCACACCTGCACTCCAAATATCACACGATTCATCATAGCTCCCTTTCAACACTTCCGGAGAAATATAATAGGGTGTTCCTGCCTTTGTCTTCATTGTAACCTTCTGACTTCCAGAGGCCTTTTGGCTTATTGGATCTTCAAATAATGTGCTCAATCCAAAATCAATTACTTTAATGGGTGAATCATCAGCCTTGGTCAAAAACAAGAAGTTTTCTGGTTTGAGATCTCTATGACATATCCCATTTGTATGACAATAATTAAGTGCCTAGAGTTTATGAATCAAAATCTCACTTGCATTATCTAAAGAAAGATTTCGTGGGCTTCGGCTTCACTGAAGTATCCTTTGTCCATAATTCGATCAAACAATTCTCCTCCTTCGCATAGTCTTTATAATTCATAGAATATCATACTCCATCACCAAATACACATTTCTTTGATCCTCAAAAGTTTCATATAATTTTATGATATTTGGGTGATCTAATTATCTCAATATGTCAATCTCTTTTTTGAAACGATCAGGGTTTTTCACTTTGCTTTTTGGGATCACTTTCACTGCTCTCTAATTCTTTGTACCCTTCAGCGTAGCCTTTACCACACTCCCATAAGTTCCTGATCCGATCACCTTTTTTAAATTGATATCATAAAATTATTCAATTTTTCCCTCGTGTGTCATAATAAACCATTGTTTTTTCAGAAAGACATCTTGATCCATGATATGTTTATTATTTTTTGATTTATTTATTTAATTATTAATTAAAAGCATATATATATCTATTTATTATATCCAACTAATTGTAAGATATTTCATCTTCTTTTCTTCCAAAAATACTTAACTAAATTGATTCAAAGAGATCACTGAAATCACAATTACATTAATTTTGCAAGGCCTTCTTAAAATAATTACTTAATTTTATTTATCTAACATCTCTAATACTGGCAACAAATTTGACATTATGCACTATCAAGACAATTAAATGCTTGAACATCACTCAAAAACTTAATTTATTCATATCATTTAACAGTTATATTATAGATAAATTGAGAACTCTTTTAGAAGTGCTACCATCAATCATATAGGAAAATGATTAGGAATTTTGAAAGACTCCTTCTAACCTCTTTCTAAACTACAATTAAAACTAAAGATATATGTTCCTGCACTCTAAATAACAACAAAATTGAGAAATAAAAGATGATTTAAGGATTGTAGTATATGATTAAATTTAAATTTAATTAATCATAGCTTTTTAAGTATTTCCTTTACTTGAACCACTCTTCTATTATTTTATGATCCATAGACAATAGATGGGTCATACTTTGGTTTTTGAATGGAAAATATCGTTGTAAATTAACCTCTATGTTTTACAGTTGACACGCTTTATCTAGATTATTTGTATTCGTAATCAACAATTTAAGCAATTGAGAGTTTCATCTTATCCTCATATTCTCTATAGTTTTTGCAGAGTTCTGCTTTCGAGTTAACTGATTTGACCCTTGTTCTTAGATTAAACTTTCTTTCTCGTATGGCTTAACCCACAATGGATTTTTCTTATTCAGTTAATTCGCAATTGGGCAGATCTCTTTCTATTTTGTTGTAATCCAAGACAGTTTTAACTCTCTTTCTTTAATACATAATTTTATTATTATATAAAATAAACTAACCAATCTCAATATATTTCAGTTGTTAAATACTTGTGGAGAGTATAAAAATTATATAATAATAAAATATGTTGGAAGTAAAGGTAGCTAAAAAATGTTGATTAAAAACATAAGAAAAGACCCATCATTCTGTTGAGAAAATACTTTCAAAAGTCTTGATCCCAATCAACCTATTAAGTGCAAATCATTTCCTGACTAGTATCTCTTTTGATCATGTCTAGAAATGGCATGTCTTCATAGACCATTTACTATAATTTTGGAATGTAAGGGGGCTTTATCAGCGAAGCCTCTAAATCTTCCTTTATTTATAAAAATCCAAGATTACCCACTAGAAGCCATCAAACCAAGGATGCACTTTCAAGGCATCATAAGACCCTCCCAATCTTAATTCAGGCGTCCTATTCATCAATTGATCCATTAATTTGATAGCCTTGAAATCCTTCAAGATTTGAGGATATTCCAATTTCTCATTTAAAATGGCTTCCTCTATTATAAATCTAGATAAGAGAATAAAATACGGGTCGTCTTCTTCATCTCCACCAAATGGCACTTCTCCGCACATTAGTTCATAGAAACAGACCCCTAAGGACCAAAGATCGGTTGAAAAACTGTAACCCTTGCCCTTCAGGATATCAGGAGACATATAATGTGGAGTTCCAACGACGGTATAAGTCTTGGAAGCCTTTGACTTTAAGACCTTGGCAGTACCCATATCAATCAATTTGATGTAACCATTTTCCATAACTATAAAATTTTCAGGTTTGACATCCCTATAAATAATGTTTTGGGAATGCATTTTCTCTAAGATGTTTATCATTTAAGCAATATAAAACTAGGTTTCATAAGAATTCAATAATCCAATTTCCCTTATTACATGAAACAATTCCTTCCCCTGAATATACTCAGTTAATAAGTATATGTAATTCTAATCCTTAAACGATCTCCGAAAACATACCAAGTTTGAATGATGAAGCAATTCTAACACATATTTCTCATTTTTGATATGTCTCTCTGTATTGTTTGCAATGACACTGACTTTAGGAACACATTTCATGACATGCATACTTTATTAGGGTATATCCTTAACTAGATAAGCATTTCCAAAGGTTCCTTCCCCTAGTAATTTTAATCCTACGAAATCTTCTAAGGTAAGCAAGGAGTAGTTGCTTTGTCTTTTCTTCATTGAATTCGAAGTATAATTAACGCGATCTTTGTTTCTCTTAACAACTATTTCCAATTTCCCACCTATGCATTCAAAGAACTAATTATAGGAAAGTTCTGATAATGTAGTTTTTCTAGTAGTTTTGATGTCATTATTTATTTTTCTTTTCTGCTCATCCATTTATAAATATATATCACCAAAGAGCTAACCATTGTTGTAGAATTGACCTTCAAATTCCAATTGTCCATCAAGAATAATAATCAATTTGTCCACCAATTCATTGATTTTGAAGATATAATCATTACTCTCATATGTTTTGATCTTGAAATTTGAAACAATCTTTTAGATTTGCATTTTGGTCAAGTCTCTTAATTATGGGTGTTTTTCAAATGCCCATTTCTGCATATTGGTGTAAATAATTAGCTATGTGACTAAATAATACTAATACTGTACCTGAATCTTCTCTCCCAAGATAGTTGTAATGTCTTCCCTACTTAAAGATAGAAGATTGACATCTGAATCATGTGCTTTGACTGTTGCCCCTCTTACACAATTCCCAAATAGAGCTTACTCACCAAAAGACTCGCCTTAATTCATTTGTCTTAAGATTTGTCCTTACTTGATCACTTGAACAGTTCCTTTCTAAATGATATAAAATGAATTTGCCATATCCCCCTCATTTACTATAGATTCTCCTGACTTGAATTTTACTGTGATTAAGACATTTGCAATGCTATCTCTCTATTCTTCAGTCATGAAATCTAAGATGACCAACAATTTTACCAAAGAATTTTACTTATATGAGAAACTCTCTATTTGTTTCATAAGCCTTTTACTAGATATCTTCAACTGCCTTTCTAAATTTATTCCTCTCTAAAACCCAAAATCCACAATCTCCAATTGCACACACAGAAGCAGAACGAGGAGCAAGATACATCAGAGCCAATTCACCAAAAAATTCAGATGGTTTCAATATCCTCTTTTTCTCTCCATTTATTATGATCTAACATTAGCCCCGTTCTTCATATATTATCAAATCTACCAATTATGAAAAATAATGTTGCCTTATCCCCCTACTTAAATATGAACTCCTAATCTTTGGTTGTAACATAATACATTTCATCTATCAGTTTTGCTCTGAATTACCATTATCATTACTTGTCATGATTATCCAGTTGAGCAAACATAAAATGATTGCCAAATGCATTCAAAATCATTTGAAAGTCAAAGGGACTTTTCTCTTTTTGTTATTTACTTACATTCTCATGAGTTTGTTCCTCGACTACTTCTATTTTGGCTTAACGCTTCCTCTCTCCTCTCCGCGGCTATAATACTTCCGATATTTATCTACTTCCACCGCTAAATTAGACAAGGGTTGATTAGCCATATTCAATTATGTCGGAAGAATTTAATCAATGGCGATTTCAGTTTATGCCGATTAGTTGTTACTTATACAAACTCCCATTTTATAAATAATTATTAAACAATTTTCATATTTATAGAATCACTCGCATAAGAACTCTATCATCATTCACTTACTAAGTATTACCACTCCAATATTTTATACTGAAAGCATTACCTTAATTAACAATAAATCTAGTTAAACTATCAATTTTCATTATTACAACTAATCAACGAATCTGTTCAACTTGAAATGTTAATTTCATCAACAAACTACATAATAGAGCGTATTATTTTATACAAATAAAGTAATTAAAATATGGTAATTTAGAATATTCCAATTTATCAAAATAATATTTTGATCATCATATATAATAACAATTAATGATGCAATATATTATGAAATATTTTCAATCTGATAAGTCAGACACTCTTCTCTGGTGCTTCCCTTTCGGAATTTCCTATTTTTATATGATTTCTCTCATTCTCTCCAAAAACATCCCAAAAACTTCATTCACTACCTTCTAGATATAATTAGTGGGGCATTCATCATTCTCATCGGTATAAAGACCTCCATAATCTACATAAATCGGTATCTTTTTTGAACTGTATACGATGTCATCATCTTATTGGTTCTTTAAAAATCGGTATGGTAATCCGATCAGGTAGAAGTAAAACATGTTAATAATTTTACTCTCTTTTTCTATTTTGGATGGCTTCTTTAGATAATGAACCTTGTCATTGAAAAATAATTAGACATCAAACTTATTATTACACCCCAATGTACCATTAGATTTGCATTCCATATTATCTTAAATGAATGAAGCCAAGATATCGTCAATTGCATATCGTCTACCACATCGAGGACATTTGGCATCCAAATAAAATTTGTAATCTGATTGTCTATTGCTCAAAGATCTACTGCTGGGATTGGTAGTTTATTGAATGACTTGTTGAGCTTTCTTTTATTTTTTATGGTTTTGCTAAGTCTAGAAATAATATTGATATATTTAAATCTATTTCTGATAGCCCAACACTCTCATCTACTAAATAAATTACAATGCCAAATCATTCATTTGATAATGAGCACAAGCAATCATAGCATTTTTGAAGATATCTGAATCAATATACAAATTATTCTATTTCATCTCCTTTAAGAGATGAATACTGTATTTAACCAAATCCGTAAGGTCTATCTTACCTTCTTCTATCTTATATACCAAGAATCTAAACCACTGTTTGTAAATGTGAGCCAACTCAAATCTGAGTATATCTATTTAGGTCTTAGGAAACAGATAAACAGAGAATGGATTCTCATGTTTCAAGAATTCTAATCTGGGTTTTGAAAAGAATTAGTCGTTGAGTTTAAGAGGGAATGTGCAATACTAGAAGTGTTTGTCCTTCTTAAAGTCCTCGTCATTGGGTTACAAATAGTCTTTAAATACCTATACAGGGAGTGTGAAATGATCGCCCTTAGGATCTTTAAGACAATCATCAAAGTACTCTAATTAACTATCATTTTGCGAGAGTTACATTCTCACCTGAATAAAAAAGGTAAATAGTCTAGTCTCCATGAAGGGTTCCAAAAATTGTTTGATTCTTTACTTACTTTTGACAAACAATTTCTCCTTGAAAACTTACTTATCAATAAACTTCTTGTAATCTTGTAATATGAAAATATTGAATCTTAAAAATACTTCTCTTACTTAATATTGATCAATCATTTCTAACTCATCTTCTCTGGGCATAGGGAAAGCATCACCAATTGTGTCTATGAGTTCTGGATTGTAGTACTTGTCGAATTCTTTTAATTTTAAGACAAACTTATCAAAAATATCTTCAGGAACATCGATTGGTTGACTCTGCTTGATATTATTTGAATCCAAAAAGACTTAAATAGCATCTGGGTACTTTTCAGCTTGTTTTTTGTTAATCCCAATTAAGTAAGGCAGGGGAGCTTCAAGGTATTATTCTAGATCTTCGGGTAAACTAGAGATCAAAATGTGGGTAAATTCAAAAGGGTATAGGAGAGTCAACAAAGCTTCAATTACCAATGAACTGATCACAGGTTTGGAACTGATGAGCTGAATTTTCTTCTCATAAAGCAATGCGAAATACAACAACACGATGTTCTTTTTGTTTAAGACTGCAAATAGACATTGAAAGGCTTGATTTGAGCATAATGGAAAACAGTTTGATTAGAAGAAGAATATCTGTTTGGCCCCATTGTAAATGTAGGTTTCAGTTGGATCCTGAGGAAGCACAATTTCATCAACTATATTACAAATGTATCTTTCTAAAGGCAAAACATTTTTAGCAATATAAATTTAATATAAATTCTTAAGCAATTCCAAAGATTATTCTGAATAGCAATAATTGGATGATAACACAATAGCCATTTCGTGAAAACCCTTCAAATTTTATTCACAAAATATTAATGCAGTACAATAAGTTCGTTCTCCAGTTTCTGATGTCAAAATATAGTGATTGTATTTTGGAAATTAGTTATTTCTATATAAGGATATGCCATTGGGGAAACAAAACATAGCCAATTCTGGTTTTTCGTTATTTTGGGGGTACGAGTCAGTGATTTCAAATTGGTATTTGGCTGAGTGATATGTGTTGGCCAATGAATAGGCTAGGTGAGAATTCTGGATTGATTGGGACAACTTATAAAATCCTTCTGGAGGAATCTGGTTCTTAGATATCAGGATGAGATCACTCCAAGGATCTTGCATTGGATCGGTTTTATAACAGAGTATTAAGGCTGTCTTGTGATTGGATTAGTAGCCAAAGACTTTGGAGAGATCGTAGGTGAAATCTAAATTGCCATTTTGGTAATGCCATTTGGAATCATCTTCTTGGATAGTGCAGATGTTGAGATCGTTAGTCAACTTTAACTTTTAATCGTGAACGTCAAGATAATAGAATGACAAATCCGTGATTGGAGGTTTAGCAGAATCCTTCTCGATCTTTAAAAGCATTTAATCATTGATTCTTAAATGATGGGTTTTCTTTTTACATTCATGTGTGCCTACAATGACTGTGATGTTGGTGATGTATTCTTTGTCCACTTGAATGGATTCCAATTGCTGGGTCAAATTTGAAGGAGCGATGATTGAGAACTGATTGTAGATGCGTTGATAAAGAATGTTCATTAAATATATTTTATTGGTTGCGTTGTTAAAATAATAGTGGTTGGCTTGATGCGAGCCTTAATTAAACAAACTAATAACAAAAGTCATTCTAATTGTCGGAGTTCCTCCACAAGTTATATATCCAAACTATCTACACTAGCCAGTGATTCGAATCTCTTCCTGGTGAATTAAGTTAAGGTTTCAGCCTTATTGATTTATTGATGCTCTGTCTTTAAAATAGACAATCTCTCTTTTAATTTCATTATTTTTGTTCTTCTGCATTTTTTCAAGGAGGCTTGGAGTTCAGCATTATTTCTCTCCTTCTTGAACTTACGCTAAGGGAATAATCAATAAATAGAAGTACTTTTAATTGGGTTCTGGTTCTGTCATTGAACAAATAATTGATCATGTAGAAATCAGTTCCAAATAGTTAAAGACTTCTAAAAAATTTTTTGGTGTCTTCTTAACTCCAATTCTTGAATTTATTGATCTTCTCCTTCTTAACAGTCTTTTGATTCTGCCGCTGCTTCTGCTTGGTTAGTTGAGATAGTTGCTGTTGGATAATGAGGTCAGTTGTGCTTTGATCTTAAAATGTAGTATGTGACAATGAATCACTTTTTATTTCTTTCATGTTTAAGATTTAATTATTAAAAAATGATTTTGAATATATATATATTATCATTCAGGCAACATAACCTTGTCATCCTCAACCTAGAATTTTTCATCCACACCCTAAAATTTATCATCCACAACATTGGCTTAATTGATGTGGATATTGTCAAGTTCCAATTCTTCGTAATCCCTATTACTGACCATCATGTTCTAATCAGAATGGCTCTATTCTTCCAACCCCTTCTTGCTGGGACTCCACAAGTATTATTGATAATAGATGTACAAATTCAATATACTTATGGAAATAAGCACTTCCGTTCCGGTGAGATTATAGATTTCAAAAGATCCAGATAAAATGAACAATCCCAAACACATCATGAAAAATATGTTAAACAATCCAATCAACTTGTATCGCCACAATCTAGTCTCATAACATTTACAAAACTGAATCAAGTATTTTAGCAAATACACAAAAATAGCAAATGAAAATAAAAATGAAAGCACCTTAAATGCCATGTAGGCTCTATGATGGAGATCATCAAAACTAGTAGTGGGGTCTTTGGTATATTAAATCACTAAGATTGAATAGGAGACCACAAAAAAGAGCCATAAAAGACCGCAAACTAAGACCTTAGGCTTAGTGAGTGATGTGGTGTTTTTGCTTCCATTCTCAACCACAATTCTGTGATAGAGTACAAGCCAATAAAGAAAGAGACAACAAATGAAATTACTGAAGAATATGACACCAATTACAGCAGTGACTCTGTTTGGAGCCAACAAAGTAGCTGCATAAAGAGGATCATTAAACCAAGGCAAAAGAAAACTTAAAACTACTACAAATTTTTGCTCAATCACCCAGTTTTACAGAGCCAATTTTTTGATTCTGAATCCAAAAAGTGCCAGAGTGAGTAATGAAAATGCAAAAAAGGTATATCTCACTGCCAAGACTGAATTTGAGTATCTTGGATCGACAGTTACTCCTTCTAAGAATATATTCACTCTATTTGTGATATTAATTTTTCTAAAGTCGATAACAAAGAGGTAGTCGTGATAGTCTAGAATTGGAACGTATACCAAAACATTCCAATCACAAATCTATGGATCGTAAGTTCCTTATTAATTCTGTTGAGGAGGAGGTGGAGGATTATGATTGCCATCTCTTTGCAATAATCTATTTGGATTCGTTCCATTATTTTATTGATTATCTTGATTATCTTGATTATCTTCATCATAATTTATTTAACAATTTGACGTTATTGAGTGATCATTACTAGCTATGAGATGTTCAGTTAGATTTCCTGATTGTTGTTAGTCTTTTGTTAATCCAAATAACGTAGCTGTATAATTGATGTAGGAGATTTAATATCCTTTAGGAGTATTAAAACTAAATTGTCCATAGATTATTAAAAATTGATTCTTTTAATCCAATTTCCTAATAATTGTGTAGTTGGCCCCACTTTAGTTGCAACTATTAGAATCTAATTTAAAATTTACAATAATTATTTGTTCTCATCAAACCAAGATCCTTATCCCAAAAGTGCTTCATTATTTTATTAGCAAGGGTAGTCCATCTATACTAATTAAGTTGAGTCTGGCATAAACACAGATGTCAATACAAAAATAGTAACCAAAACAAAAAATAAACACCAATGAATGCACACATGTTTTTTTGTCTCTATATCAGCATTAACCTTAGTCAAAATGACCTGCTCCTCCTATTACACTGGCTACCCAGTAACTATGGGTACATTTTAGAGATTGGGAATATTGTTGTCTTAAATTTCCATTTTATTAAATTAATATTTAAATATTCTTCATATAGTCATACTAATCTGCTTTTTCGCATGAATTTGATTTTCTACTTCCTCTGCATCTTACTATTTTATTGCTCTATCAATTAATGATAGAATTTAAGGAACTTTTACTGTTCTAATCTTATATCCAATTCTACTGACTGGTCATAATAAAAGTTTTGAAACATAGTGGTTCCCTAAACATTTCTATCCAGTAATCTCCTTATTAGATCTAAATCTCCATCTTTATACTCTTTTGATAAAGCTGGAGGTTTGAATACATCTGGTTAGAAGGGAGGATTCACTTTTCTGTATAGGAACTTTATCAAATCAACACTTTCAAACCATTTATGATCCAAGATTTCCAGTAACCCTCCCTAATGTCCAATCCTACTCTTTTGATCCTTATCCAATAATCTTACAATTAAATCCTTGATTTCATTACTCAAACTATTATTTTTTGGGAACTCAACTTCCTTTAAAATTATATTTTCATAGATCTTATTGATATCCTCAGAATAGAAAGGAGGCTGTCCCACCACCAATTCATATAGTAGGACACCTAAACAATAATGATCCAATTATTAATTATGTCCCTAATTAGTTAACATTTCTGGAGCCATATACTCAGGACTTCCACAAAAACTATAAGCATATTCATTTCTTGTGGGCTTTGCAAGTCCAAAATCAGCAATTTGAATATGACCTGTAATATCGATTAATATGTTTTCTGGTTTTATGTCTCTATATATTATATCCAACTGATGCAAATATATTAATCCCAATATGAATTCTACAATGTAAAATCTTGCCTGAGATTCTGTAAACACGTGATATTTTTATAAGTAATAGAGCAGATCACCTCCTGCACAAAATTCAGTAATGAATATTAGATGGTTTGGACATTCAAGAGCATATTCTAATTTATTCAGAAAAGGATGTTGAGTCACAGCTAAGATGTTGCGTTCATTCTCAATTATATCTATATAATGTATTATGTACTTTCAATCTTTTTCTCAATAATTATTTTCTTGTCTATTATTTTCATCGCATAGAATCGACTTGACTATTTCTTTTTAACCAAGTACACTCTTGAAAATCCACCCACTCCTATGCATTTTATAAATATAAAGTCTCTCAATCCTGTTTTGGATTTCAATGCCAATAACCCTGGCACTCCTTAAACAGTGATGATACGTCCTTAGAATACACTTAACCTTTAATTTGGTAATTGCAGATAATAATCGATGGCCAAATTGGAGTTGGTTGTTACTACTGCGCTTATCGTCGGAACTATTTTGCGAGCTTATAGTAACAAATGATCAGTAGTTGCTCTAATTCTTAAGCAAGTTAATCATACTCATAAGCGAATAAGAAATTATGAAGCTTTTCTTCATGCGAGAAGATTATCTGAATCTTAGATTTATTTTATAACTCATCCATCTAACTCTCTGAAGTTTTTTAGATTGCTTTCGGGGAAATGCTTTATTCTTCCTTAATATATATAATTTAAACATGTTTTTATTCGTAAAGAGAAATTGCTATGATTAGATGATTTGTCTAGTTTCTTCATTGAAGGACTCTATTGAAATCGTTTTTTTGAATTATTTCTATAATTCACAATGGTTTGAAGCGCTTTTTGTTTTTTTTAAATCATTCAATTAATAATATTTTATAATCATAATCACTCTTATAATAAGCAGTATATATTACAGAACTGATCGTAACCCTTCCTTAGTAGATTCAAGATTGAACCTTATATCTTAAACTCTTTTCATATAATTTTCATTACAAAGTTATTGACTAATTCAAGTATAGGTTTTGCCTTACACACATAAATTTACTATGTTGGAACAATATATTTAAATTCTTAATTAGATATATTTGAGTAAAGTATTAGAAGAATATCAAACGTTAGTTTCTTTTTAACTAATTCCTCTATATTTTGAAAATTTAGTTCGATTTCTAACAACATAATTCGAATATGTATCCCTATTTCAATTATTTCAAAAGTACTTCGTTGATCTAATTAATAATTTAAAGAATCCTCTTAATATGATTAAATGAAACATTCCTTTTTATTCTATCTAATAATGTGTAATGAATCCCCTAAATTATTTTGAATTCTCTAATTTTGATTGTCCTTATTTAATTCTGACTTTGAAAAATAGATATTATTTTCTATTCAAAGCTTTTTAACATAAACATCCTCTATGTGGTTAATTTAATTTTTCAATTCCTTTCTTTTTAATTCTTATTCTAGTAAAGATTGTCATTTCTGTTTATTAGAAAATAGTTTTCAACACTATTAAGAAAATAAAGGGCAGAAATATTGGTTTGATTGATTTTGAGGGAAATTTCAATATCAATAATTTTTATGTAAATTAAAAAAATTTAAGAAATCAATTGCTAGTGTTGTGTGTATAGAAACAATATCAAATTATTATTCAAGGGGGAAAAAGGTTTATTAAGAAAAGTGGTTATTTCCTTATATGAGAGATATCCAGCTCAAGCTGCACCAATCATTTAACAACCAATTAAACTCAAATAGCCTACTTTAGAATAGATGTTTTCCCGCCAAAAATAGGCAAAAGAAGAAACTAAAGAGGTTATTGATAAAAAACCTCTCGAAATGGAAGTTTATATAAAAGTCTTCTGTAATGGAGAGGAATTACTTTGCTTCAACTTAGACGAAAGCATAAATTTATCTAAATCTGAAGTGAGATAATAAACACTAAATTTATAATTTGCAGATAAAATTCTCTCTCTTTATGAATGTCCTAATGAAATACTGGAATAATTTAGATCTGTATTGATTTGTATCTATAGATTACATTATCCTTAGAATTATAAAATGATAAAAAATAACTAATTAATCACCGAAAGAACTCTCAACATCTCCCAACAAAAGAGGTGTAGCAATCACAACCTGAAATCCCACCTAAAGATACACAAGAGAAAAGAGAATTAAATGTAATCTAAAGGCTGAAATTACAGAGGAAATTATTAGCTTCCTAATAATAATAATTATAATAATAATAATAAAGCGAATAGATCTAAAAGTAAATAATCAAGACTAAGTCATAAGAACCTGCTATTCCAATTAAATAATTAAATATAAAATTCTAGTTACCCTTATTCATTTGGACCCAAATATTGTCATATATAGGTTCTCTGTAATTAATGGGATTGAGATTGATAAACAAACAGTTTGAATAATCGATTAATAACTTAATTCATAAATTATCATATAAACATGTTGGAGAAATTCCATATGAAATTCTGTGCAGTTCACTGATCAAATTTTCAAAGTTGAAACACTTAAGTTTTGGATCCTTGAAGAATATCAAACCTACTCAATTACAAGATGTCAGAATTACTTCAATCTCACTACTACAAACTTTAGACTTTAAAGATTATCATGCTTTGACTGATAAATTGTGTTCTAAATTTATTTTGCAATGTGTCAACTTAAAAACATTAGTGTTACCTTACAACTCTAAAATTACAAGTGATACTATTACATTAATTTCTTAAAAACTCACCAATCTCGAAAGACTAAAGTTAGTAGAAAAGGATAAGGGTCAATTAAATGAAGAAATTGCTTTTACATCATATTTATCAATCTTTTAATTAAAATAACTTCATTACATTAGAATTCCCTTTTTACAAATAGATTTCTTTTTGAAATATTGTTAATTGAACGAAACTAATCCATTTAATTCCATAAGGTAGAAAATTAAAATTGGAACAATCATATTTTCTATTTTAAACTCAAATCAAATAACTCAATTTCTTAATTTTCTTTAAATCAATAATGAAATCACTAAGTTATGCATAGGGGAATTATAAATGAAAAATTTAACACCCTTAAAGCATACTGTTTTATTTGATGAGAGAATCTTTTAACAATTGAAAGGTAATTAATAATATTATATACAAAGGGATTTTTAAATTCAGTTTTGGAGGATTTGTTGATGATGAGTACTGCAGATAACTTTGTACCCATAATCCAGATATTAAGTAGCTTAAAATTAGATCAAAAATGATTACAGATGATGGCTTAAAAGTAATTTAATCTATAAATTCTAGAATATCTTCTTAAAATGTAAATCAATCGAAAAAATTGATGTAGCATTTTGTTCTATGATTTGCGGTACAGGATTTGAATATCTGACTGATAAATCACTTACTCTAGAGTATCCAAAAATATTTATAGCTGTATCTCTGGATGATTATAATATGCAATGTTTGGAAGAGTTATTACAAAGAAAATCGTATGATTGCAAACCTACTCTCAGAAAAAAGTTAAAGAAGTTTTGATTATCTATAAATTATTTGGATTTACATATTTGCCCTATTAATAATACCCTAAGGTTGATAATTTCAAATATTCTTGAATCTTAAAATTGTAGTCATTCCAAAATAGGCTGATTTAAAAGGCCTTAATCTTGAGATCATAATTGTAGAATAAATGAATTTTTAAAAGAACACTCTAGTTTAAAGGGTAAATAGAATTTCTTATGATTCATTTTTGATTAGTTCTTAATTGGAAGGTTTATTTTATACGTTTTTAGCTTATTAAAATAGATTTTTATTATTTTAAATTTTTATGAATGAATATTTAAATTTTGTCATTTGTAATCATTTTTATCAAAAATTCTACTCATTAATAATAATCTTTAATTATATTGCTTGATATCATTTCAACTGATTATACATCAAATTTTGAAGACGATTTGATTATTAAGAATAAACAAAGTTTATTTATTATTTAATACATGATAAAAAAGCTTTTTTGCATTCCTAAGTGGAAATTGGTTGCTGGAGCTTCATTTGCGCTGCTTGGTCAACATATATATGATTGCATGTATAATACTGAAATCGAAGTCTTCTATTAGAACACAGATAATAACAAACATCTACTTTCAAAATGTCCAAATATCACAGTAATGAAAAATAACAAAGATAGGGACATTTTAATCCAAGTATTTGGAGTACGAATAATATCTTTGGGTTATTCTATGTAACTTTGGTTGAACATCAAATGGTACCCTTATAATAACGAGAAATGGTGACATTGAAAGATGGAGGTCAGGTGGCATTGGATTGGAAAATCAATGATACCAAGAATATTGTATTGGTCTTGCATGGATTGACAGGTGGAGGAGATTGCAATTATATAAAAGATACATTAGAAAGACTCTATGATGCTGGTTATACGGCTGTTTGTTTTAATAACAGAGGAGTCGGATTTACAAAATTATCTGTATTATTTAAATTAAAAAGACACCTTAATACCATAATCATGGAGAGCCATCTGATATGATGGAAATCATTGATTTAATAAAACAAAGATATCCAGAGGCAACATTACAATGTGTAGCCATTTCAATTGGGGCAAATTTGGCAGCTAAATATGCAGGAATTACAAAGGAGAAATGCGCATTCAAATCTATTGTTTGCATAGCCAATCCATTTGATTTATTGGTGTATTTTATCCACTATTAATTTAGGCTTGCTTTGAAAATTTGGATAGATGGTACAACTATTTATATATCTACTATCTCACTAAGCATTTCAAGTGGTTGCTGAATAAACATTTAGATGTAATGAATGCATGTTTTGATGAACATAATATTGACATCAAAAAAGTATTCGAAGCAAAAACAATTTATGATTTTGATCATTATTTTACAAGACATTTGTAAAAATATGAATCAGTTGAGTAAATGTATAGGGTAACGCTCTTTGTTAAAATAAGGCAAATTCTTCAATACAATATATTAAAGATATTACAGTTCCCACCTTATTTGTTAATACCAAGAATGATCCACTAATACCATGGAAATTAGCCCCTATTTAATTACATAGACACATGCCAAATTTAATATTTGCTTTAACTTAAAAAGGGGGTCATATTGAATGGTTTAGTGAAACTAACTTAGTAACTGTGAAGAGAGTAAGTAGATCATCATTTATTAATAGTGGATTATGGATCCAACTTTAGACTACTTAAATTATTTCAGAGATCTACCAAATGATAAATGGTAGCAATATATTAAACAAACGAAAAGTTGATGTGAATAAATTTATAAGTGATATAATTAATTATACAATCAATTTAAAAAATCTTTGAACTTCTGTTGCATTTAACATCTTCTTCCCTATTATAAAAATCCATATTAATTTGAATCAAAAGAATTGTTAAACCCAAGTTAAGTCTTATTGAATCTTTAGGCTATATGAGAATCCATTCTACTATAATTCAGTTATGGATTCATTTTCTTTCTCAATTAGTTGAGCTCTAATGATTCTTATACATACAATGAAAATATATTCCGATGCGCTACAAAACCTAATATTATAATTTTACTCTTGGGCTTCCTCCTATATTTGCGTTGAACAGACTAACACTTTTCTCCAGTCGACAACATTTGGCCTCCAACTATCTTTAATAACTAATCCTCACTTGTCAATTAGGACTCATCAGTGCAATGCTTAATAAAAATAAAGAGTTACATTGAATGGATCATGTTTTGCAGAATATAAATTAAGAGATCTATTTTATCTGACTCTCATTAATTTTTGTTATAATTTAATTCTCTCACTTGGTTTAGCATACGCAGATAATTATGGACTTACAAGTGGAATATAATTATCTTTGTCAGACGGCACCATTTTATTTACTGATACATATCTAAACTATTTTTTTAAATCCTTTTTTTCTCTTTACTCATAATCGCTATTTGAACTTGTTTTTGGAATGTAATAATTAAAACTTTTATCAAACATAATATTAATAAAATTAAATTTTAGTAATTCTAAATAGTTCCAAAAGTCTTTCATTTAACACCAATTATTCATACTCCTTGATGAAATCCCTCAAATTTTAAAATTTTGAACATACTGTTAATGGAACTAATAGTTTTTCGTTATATATATTTAAGAAAAAAATGAAAATATCTATTTGATGATAACCGTGTTTCGATTTAAAAAAACCATAGAGTACACAATTAGAGTAGGTATAATCTTATTTATAAAAAAATTAAAAAAGTTGCGTCTATCGGGACTCGAACCCGACCTAAATGCTTGGAAGGCATTCGTACGAACCTCTATACTATAGACGCTAGCTTATAAAATTTACTATCATTTTGGTTTTGTAACGATATAGCAAAGTCCAATATTAAATATTATCTAGATTTCCAACTATTCCAAATTGATATCTAAATTAGTGTTTGATATGCTAAGATTATTGGGTTTACCTATTAATCTTATAATTAAAAATTAAAAAAGATGCGTCTATCGGGACTCGAACCCGACCTAAATGCTTGGAAGGCATTCGTACGAACCTCTATACTATAGACGCTAGCCTATAAAATATACTATCTCTCTGATTTTATACTAGATCACCTAAAAATAACAATAAATATAAATAAATTGAAATGAGTTTAATGGTTCTACACATATTTATAAGGAAAGGAATTATTATTGAATTTAGAGGTAAAAAATATTGTGCGCCCATCGGGAATCGAACCCGAACCTAATGCTTGGAAGGAAATCGTGCTACCTTTACACTATAGACGCAACATAGGAATTAAGAGGATCAATAGAAATTACAAAAAAAATTAGTAATCAAATATGAGATTTTTGGGTTAAAAAAAGTAATAAAATGGCATTAATAAATATAAATTAAACCCAAGGTTGTATAAATTTAATATACACTTAATCATTTCGTTTCTATTATTTCTTCCTCTTCAAATTCTTCCCCTTCTTCTTTATGGTTATTCACAAAATTCATTAGCTTCTTTTGATCATTAGAATTCAATGAGACTAATTATAAGGAATTCTAAATACCTGGCCTATTTTGATCCTCTATGTATAAATAGATGGCTATAATTAAGGAAACAGAAGCAAGTATTAAAAAGAATAGGACTACTGATACTTGGGAGGATGCTTCTGCTGAAATGAAAGCTATGAATAATGGCATCACAAAAAAAGCGAAGTTTTGAACAGAGTTCATAACGCCAAATGCTGTGCCCCTTTATATAATCAAATCTTACTAATTATTTTTATTTTACAACAAAGGCAATGCTAGTCCATATTGTACTGGCAAAGAGAGCATAGGCTAATCCCAAAGTTAGCATGCAAAAAATAGGATAAAACAACAACATCAAAACCAATCCTAAAAATACTAAGGCACATCCTATAGCAAGAAACTTAATTCTTTAGCCAACTTTGTCCACCATCAATCCAACAAAAGGACTTAGGAATGTACAACACAAATAAGGTATTCCCATCAATTCACCAGCTACTTCTTAGTTTTATTCTATAGGTGCATCTGAAGGCAACCATAATTTAATTATTATGCCACTTGAAAAGGAGATAAAAATTAAGACTGACGTATAAAAAGTGGTCATTATTAAAGTCAAGATCCAAAAAATCTAAAAATTGATTCATTTGTGTATTTTACTTTAGGGAACATTCTAATATCATCCAATATTTGTTTTACAAGCTCTCCAAAATCCATTACTTAAATGCTATTATCCAATAATCCTTCAGTTTTCTATAGATTTCTTTTTTATAAGATCTCCGCATAAGAATCAATGAAATTCATGATGAGAAGTGCAGCTCCAGAAATCAAAGTAATCCCAAAACCCACTCCAAAGGCTGTTGTCATACCTGATTTTTCTGCAATTCTTGGGGAAATATAAGTTCCCAACACTGTTGCACTTCTTATCAAACTCAAATTTAATGCCTACTCTTAACTTATAGTTTACATTAGCAAATGACAACTCTTTTCCCACAAACCATTTATTGATGATAATTGAACTTGCTACACAAAGAGATTCCCCACCCAATCCAAACATAAATCTACCCAATATCATATATTTAAGGTTTGCTACCGAACTTCCAAAATATAAAAAGCCCTAACCCAGAATCACAAAAAACATGAAGATCAATGACATTTTTCTATAGCCTTAAACAATAGGAGGTTTATTTTACCGAATACATCACTCATAAAACCACCAACTAAAGGCAAAATGATATTTGGAATGGAATAGAAGGAGTACATAAAACTGAAATAAAAGCCTGTTAATTGCTCTCCATATACTGGAATATAGGCCTGCATTATTTGTTCTTTTAACAATGCAGGCTAATCAAATATAAACATATTTCCATACTATGGTATTCACATATTAATTACTAATGCGACGCATGCAAGCAATAAAATTATGTATCTGAGAAAGCTTGAATTTTGTTAGTCTTTCCCCTTTTTCATTTTTTTAATAATAAAAACGAATAAATCAGAATCAATCAAAAACAAAAAAAATTTTGTAATTTAAAATTTCTAAGTAGCATGCAAAACAATCTTAGCGAAATAAAAAAATATTAACAATAGAAGGAGGAAAGATTTCATTAAAGTCTGTTCAAAGATCAAATCTAAAATATAGATTCAACTATTCAAGATGATTCGAATAATCCTGATTTTGTTAAGGTCATTGTAATTTGCACCTTCATTAATGAAGTAACTATTCAACTTAAATTGATAGACAATAGCAACCAAAGAAAAAATAATCTGCTCTGATAACGAAGCTTAATTTGTAGAAAAGGATGACGTAGTTGGTAAAGAATGAAAAATAAAAAAATAGAATAACAAGACCTTTCTGATTGTATCAAAAAAGAAATTGTAACATATATAGAAAGGGCATTTATTGAATGTTCTAAACTACTAAAGTCGAATTATATTGAAAAATCTGATGTGATAAAAGTATACTTCAATCGTACAAAATTAGTTGCCCATCTGTTCGGCTAATGGAATACGTATTCCAAACGAATATGATATCAGATAGTTTTTTAAATTGTCTAAAATCAAAAACAATAGTGAGGAATTCGGCAAATCGCTTCGATCTATGGATACTAAACATTTATTTGGTTTGCTTATTAGCAGTCTTGTATTCCAAGTATTTATCTCAATTGTTATTTTGAGGATAGTCAAATTGAGGAAGCCATATTTGAATTACTCTTTTAAAACATCACATTGGAAAATGCTGTAAAGTTGTTACTTATCACTGTTCAATATGAATCCAAAAAATAACACTATTTTTATAAGTATCATTTATAATCATAATCTAGACTTATTAAGCATTTGTATTATTTTAGCAAAGGGTTGTTGAAGGAAACCTATGACAATTATTTACAAAAGATAGTGTAAAATGGAATGAAGCCAAAACAATTGTAAGTTGAAAAACCCAATTTTATTAAATTAATAACTCAATTGCACATTTTTAAAATTAACTCAACCATCCTTTATCCCATTTTTAAATAATAAGAGTCATCTCTATTTTAATATTACAAACCCATTAATGAAACGAAATCATTCACTGTTTATAGAAATTTAGATTGTCCAGAAGGAAGAGAGTAATCAGATTTTCCACATATCTACTATCTCAAGAATAACGAGTAGTAAACTGTTTTAGTAGCAGTGTAATATGAGATTTCTGGGGATATTCTTATTTTCTAAGAGTACTAAGAGAAGTTCATTAAATATAATGATAACTACTTAGGACTTATTGAGTTTAAGAATCAAGGCAAGGAATTTATTGTTTTTGATGATGGCTATCCAGAGTACATGGAAAATAGCTTTCCTTAATGGGTGGGGAGGAAGAAAAGGAGAATGTTAATTTTTGATTACTTTTCAGATAAAAGATACGACAAACCAAGATTATTTGATGTGAAATGCTTCAACATTAATACAAATTAGTATGACGGTAATAATTTTTGCATTATTCTTAAGAGATCATAACTTAAGAACCACACTATGATGAATAGAAGGGTGCCTTTACATTGAAATTAAAAGATATCGCACTAACGCCATCAACCAGAAATTTTGTATTACAAAAAAAGGAAGACAACAGCAAAGAATAACACATCTATCTATGTCATGGGAAATTAAATAGACATACATTTCACTTGGAATTACACGAAGGAATCAGTGTATTCTAAGGATTCTGTATTTCTGTTGTATCAATTTGTTCTAAGGGCACTTGTTAATGAATACATAATAATTTGTATTTTATTTTTAAAGGAATGTTATAGCACTCTGAATCAGATGATCATTCTCCGGTTAATGTAATCTAGTTTTAAGATAAGAATACTGAGATTGAGTCAGAAGCTTTATGGGATAAGGAAGATACCTAGCAAGAATATCACATTCAAATTAACTCAGATCGAATTTTAGACATTTTTTAATCAATTGAAACTTAAATTGATCCATTTACTTGTGTTTTCAAAACTAACCAATAAATGATAGTCATGTATAAACAGAAATTGCCACTGCTTAAAAAGCTAGGCTATTTAATTTGTAAAAGTGAAACTAAATATTGCATAATTCTTATAAAATTAGAGAATCAGAATTCATTATTTATAAAGTCTTTAAAAGGAGTATAAAATCATTATTATAAAGGATTCTGAAATAAATGATAGTATTATGAAGAAGATTGGAAATGCAATTTATTAGTTTTCAGATAAAAATTAGCATCTTTCTCATATAGATGAAATTATGTAAGTATAAATTTACATTAGACATGAAGATTCAAGATTTAATCCTTTTCATTTAGATAGTTTAAGTGTTGCTATGATATATAAATATCTATAAGATAAAATTGAGATACCTGAACAAATAACTATGAAATAAATTTATAATTTGATTGAAAAAGAGCATGAAAATATCAAGAGAGAACCATTATTAATCAAATAACAATAAGTCAGTTAATTTCACATTTTTACAATAGAAAGATTCATCTTCAATAAGATTTATGATCAAATGATGAATCACTATATAGAAAAACTTCAGGAAAGATAAAGTTAAGTAGATTTAAAAAAGATGCAATTGAGAGAAAAATATTCGAAAGAAGATTTAATAAAATCATTAGAAATTAAAAATCAGTATTTACCCAATTCAGAAATACCATATTTTGAGGCAATTAATGAATTAACAATGATTAATCTCTACAAAACTCCAACTGAAATGTTGAAATAATTTTAATATGTACTAGTTCTGATTAGAGGAGTTGCTTTTGAATGTAATTAAAAAGAAGAAATTATTGCTATGGATGACGAATTGCCAATATTAATTTGGGTAGCTTTGATGAGTGATATTGCTAATCTCTATGCAAAAATATATTTTGTTGATGATTATATATAGGAAATTGAAAATGAAAAGAGAATCTTAACTAATCTAAGAGTTTCTTTAGATTATATTTCTAAAGAATGGAAATTATGAAATGATTATTATTATCTTACATTAGTTAATCAATTCTTTATCTTATTGAAATTATTTATATTTATCAAGCTAATCTAATAAATACTACAAATCTAGCTATTTTTGTTATAGATTGTATAATATATGTAAAGCTCACAAGACTTACTTTGAAATAATTTTTTATTTATACTTATTAATAATCTATTTGTTATAATCAATTTTGAATAATATCTTGAACATATATGAACCAAATCAAGCAGGTCTAAGAAAATGTGCAATAGTATTTGAGTACATCTAGCTAATTAATGTTTAATTGGAATCGCAAACAATAAAAGTCCAACAGAGATATTTTGAATTGGACTCACAAATAATTCAAGGAAAGCTTTTAAATAAGTAAGAAAAAAGTTTAATGAACCATTAATTTTTAGATATAAAAAATTAACTTTTATAAAATCTTGAATATTAGAAAATATGAAAAGTTAATTTTCGTTTACAATTTATTATGATTCGAAATTATATAAAAGGACTGTTGGAAATACTTTCATATAGTTAGCTTCTAAAGTTCAAAAAGTTATTGAATAGATTATCAAAATAAATCAATATTAATAATTTTAGGTTTGTCAAATATAATGGAAAAATGAAATTCCTAGAGCTTCACAATGTTTTAGGATTGTAAGTGATCTGATTGTAAAGAACTGAGCATTAAATATCAAGTAAATTTTTGGTTAAAATTATATTTATTATAGGTGTTATTAAATAGAGTAAATAATTTATCGTACTTAGACTTCACATTCTATGGACTATTTATATCGCTCTCTAAGAACTAGAAAGTAGAAATTATTTTGGCATATAAGATGAATGTATAGATTATATAATTTTTCTTAAAAAATAATAATGTTATTTACTTAGCGTTAATCAACACAATTTGAAGAGTTGGAATCTTTGATGAGCAGGATTCCTCAAGTATCTTCGCGTTCTCGAAATTTATCCAGTGATCGATAATTAAATAATGAGCGATCAATTAAACTGTCCATAGAGAACAGTAGGCAAAGACAATAAGCATAATCATATTCTGTAGAAAAATCAGTAAACACTTCTAAAATAATTTCGATAGTTGAATTTGAGTTCCCAGAATCAGAAGGTTGAAAATTTGGTGGCTTCATGGATGCAACAAAAAAATACATCATCCCTTAATTCAAGTTCAAATAATGTTTAGCCAAGCAATTTGTTACAAGCTAACTTAATCTCTTAATTTGAAAGCCAAGGAAGACAATCAAATCGGCCACATATTATTATAGAAGAAGATCTTTTATTTACAGAAGAAGGAGATCAATAGCATGGGATTCAATCCAACAAAGTCAATCAAAATAAAAACAAAACTCCAAGCACTACACGTCCTCATGCAAAGAGTATAAAAGAATAATGTATTCAATTTGCTTATGAAGAAAGTTTTGATGTCAAAAAAATTGCTATAGACAAAAATATTCCTAAAAAAAACTAAAATTCGTATGCTCAGCGTCCTCAAACCACGAAAATGCACACCTCTACTTAAGTGAAATCTTCACCCTTGGTTTACAAAGAGCATTCTCTTCACAATCCAATGAAATCATCACATATCGATTAAACTAAAATTAGTAATCTAAATAGTGGGTCAAATAGTTATTGCAACAATATCAATAATAGGAATAAATAAAATAACTAACAAAAAATAGTTAAGAAGGCTAATCTAATCCAAAATTCGGAGTTCTAATTAGATAATTCATGTATTACTGATTTGATCAGATTAAAGGATTAGATCCTATCAACATATCTAAAATAGAATAGAGCTCTCATCAGTTCCCAAAATCAAATAGTTAAGTAATATTGAGATATTTATTTAGAAATTTTGATGAAATAGTAGCAATTTTAAAACAAGATTTCCCACAACATTAATGAACGGTGTATTTATGTTATTAAATATATATTAATCTAATATAAAAGTTTTGAAACTTCTTCAAAAGAGGAAAACCCATTAAGCCAATAATATTATTAAAACAGGCATTTGTACTTTTCTAATAATTTCCTAATAAAAATATGTTGATTTTAGTTAAATTCATTAAATTTTAATCAAAAAACCGTATCATATAAAACAAAAAAATGGAGTAATTGTCTATGATTTGGTTCTTGAAAGACATCAAAGACAATGGTTTTCTTGATGGGTAAATATTAGAAATATGAATGAGTTTTGGGATATGCAAAAAGTGTAATATAATAAGAGTACAATATTTTTATAAGTGTCATACAAATGTCTTCAATTGATCTAAGAACCCTTAATTAGGTTCAGCTCTGGCATGCTTTTATTTTACATAATTTAAGGCTCTTAACGAATTGAGTCTTAATTTTCTGATAATGTAGGCTGTTATGATGGTCACTGATCTGCTCTAACCTCCATAACAATGAACTAAAATATTTTTATCTTGGGCAATTATTGAGTCAATATATTCGATACACTCTTCAAAGTATTACCGTATGTTGGTTTCTGGTTTATCCTCTATTGAAATGCATTTATAAGAATATTTGGAGGGGAAATACTCAGGCAAGTCTCCGATAATGAGAATATTTGAGATTTGGTTTTTATTTAGCCAATTTTAATCTTTGGCGTAAACAATTGATGACAAATACACGTGAGGGATTATTTCAGACATGAGTAAAATAAAATAAAATAATAATAATAATTTTATAAGTTAAATGAGGCATTTATAAAATCTCTTAATGAAAATTAAGAGTGAATATGAATATTATTTCATTTAATTAATGAAATCTTTACTGAAAAAATATTTAGTTTGAAATTTTCATTTGTAAATCGTTTAAGTGAGTAATTTCATTAAAGATGGAACAAATGTAAAATTTTTGAATTCCAATTTTTATGCATTGTAATAAGTAAAGATCCAGAGAGTAAAGATGGCATGAGTTAATAATATAAATATATAATTAATAAATATTAATTCATGCAGACAGCTTCAATATTTAATGGAAAATATGTTGTATAGAAGAAGATATCGTCTGGCTCTTTTGGAGTGGTTCTATTGGGACACGACAAAGATAAAAATATCGATGTGGCAATAAAAATAGAGAAGGAAGAGAACGAGGATGTGCGTTCTTTGGAGAGGGAAGTTCAAGTTTTGGAGAGGTTAAATGGAATTGAAGGAGTTCCTAAAATATATTGGCATGGCGAGCAGGATGATTTTAATGTTATTGTTATGCAAATTTTGGGAAAGGACTTATCTCATTATGTGAAGAGCAAAAAGAAATTTTCCTTTAAAACAACAATCCAATTAGGAATTTAAATAGTAAAGGTTTTAGAGAGAATCCACAATAAAGGAGTTGTTCATCGGGATTTGAAGCCTGAAAATGTGTTATTTGGAATAGACGATGAATCTTCTAAAATTTATGTAGTGGATTTTGGAATAAGTAAAATATTTCGAGATAAAAATGGAAATATTCAGTAAATTATTCAAATTTACTTAGTCCATTTCGTGACAACACATCTTTCATAGGAACAACTCGATACGCTTCTATAGCAGCACATAAAGGCTTTGAGTTGAGTAGAAAGGACGATATTGAATCTCTGATTTATGTTTTGCTGTACTTCATGAAAGGGTAATGGAATTGTGAATAATAAAAAGTCTAGGCAGTTACCATGGCAAAATATGTAGAATGTCAGTGATGAGGAGAGGACAGCCAAAGTTGGAGAGATGAAGATGTCCATCGATCCTAGAGAATTATGTAAAGATGTACCAATAGAATTTGCAATTATACTTGAGTACTGAAATTCATAAAATGATTTAGGTATCTTAAACAATTACAATATTTGAGTGAGCCAGATTACAATTTGATTCAATAGTAGTTTGAAAAAGCAGCAGAAAATTTGGGTATTTAGTTGGACTACTCTTATGATTGGGATTAGTAATAGCCAATGAAAATTTCATAGAGTGTTCATTCTGACATCATGCAAAGATCCACTACTTTAAACTAATAATTATAACTTCCATCTACTGGTGAGATGAAAAAATCAATTGATAAACAAGGAAGCAACCTCATCAGATAGTATAAATCCATTTAAATCTGATTAGAATGAGTAATAATCAATTCTTAGCTCCTCCTCAATCAAATTAGTTACAAGCTCATGCTCTAAAAAGACAAGATTCGTCCTAGTAGCCAAGTATCGTATCTGGCAGTGTAATGCTAAGTACGTACAATTCGATAAGGCCAAAATATTAAGCTTCTCAGTTGGGCATAGACGTTAAAGTGAGTATAGATAGTGCACCTAAAGAATTTCTATAGGAGTAGAGGAAGACTTCAGAGTCAGCATAATAAAAAGCACAAAATTGCAATACTGAAACAGTCGGGTGGAGAGACTCAATCTTTGAGGAGAACTTTGATGATCTCCCATTATCTAAGAAATATGGACTTCTTTAATAAAAGGGAGTTGATATGTAACAATCAATTCTTACAAATAATTTTAGGTATAGAAAGTAAATGAATTCTAGTGCTAGCCCAAACAGACCTAAGAAAAAACAATGAATTTTAATTTAATTTTAGATTATTCTAAATTTGCCAAGTTTTTTATTCTTAAATAATTTCAACTGTTGATATCATGTTTGTACACTTATGAGATTGCAATTTCAATGAGATATTTGCTTTGATTTATAATTGCTCACTATTTTTGTTAATAAATTTGTTAAAATAAAATGAATCCAAATACACCTTTCAATGAGCGCTTCTTGAAAATTCAAGAGAAATTGAATTCCATTCCTCTCCATCATGATACTTCTAAAGCTCATAGAATTGATACTATTAATTCTAGAGTCACAGCAGTAGAGGAAAGAATTCAGGATACAATAACATCTTATAATAGAAAACTAGTAATAGCTTATTAATGATTAAAAGCATTCTTTGAAAGATGAAATCGTGAGAGTTCAGAAGCAAATTGAAGAAGAAAATAATGCTTTTGAGACATAGTTCGAATAGAGAGTTCGTGAGATTGCTGCATTTGAAAGCAGAATAACAACTAAATTGGAATAAGAAATAGCTATAAGGAGAGATGGAAACCTGAAATTGCAAGGGTATTTGGATGAGAAAGTAAAATGAAGAATTTATTAGAACATAGGTTGTCTACTTGAAATCCGATATTCAGACAGAGGGTAAAATCAGATAGGAGTAAATTGAGAATATTACTACATCATTAGAAAACGATTTGCCTAAGTTATATGATATGGTGAAAACTGAAGGATAAGATAGGGAAGATAATGACAATGGAACATTAAGGAGATCTGGAGAAGAGATCAGAAGATTGAACGAGGGTTTGACCAATCAAAAGAAGTTACGGTATAAATGATCATTGATTTTCTATCATAGAGAAGAATCTGAGACAGCTATCTTTGAAATGCTTAAGGACTTGGTTTCTAGAGTGAAGAGTGAGATTGAGGAAGAAAAGAAACTAAGGGAAGAATCACAAGAATCACTTTTGGGTTTGTTGGAGGATGCTGCAAATAAAATTTATAGAGCAGCAAAAGATTGATAAATTATACAATCATATTAAAATAAATTTTATTTAATATTATATATTCATTTATGTTATTTATGTTTCCTATGATTTTTAATCATAATCTTAAATAATCGAGCAATTTCATTAGCATTATTATGCCTCAAAAAATATTCGAAATTCCTAACTTTCTCGAACCCTTCAAAAATGTCCTAATACTACCATAACTTTTTCCCTTGATCTTCATCTAAAGTCTTATTTGCATATATGTGATCAATCGAGTACTCATTAACTTTTATTTGAGGTCCTACTTGTTTCGTTAATCTCTTTTGATCTCCCCTTTCTACAATCTTCTTATCTGAATCTTAAATGCTCTTGTTACTAAGAATAGTGTTTTAAGGGTTTTAGAATCTAAAATTCGGTTATAATTGCTAGGGTCCTTGATTGAAGCGACTCAAATATTTATTAGATCTTTCTGCTCTCTGGATTTTATTAATTATTTCTAAGATTTTATCTCGCTATAAATTTAACAGTTATTTATACAATTTCATCATCCTTTAATGCATCTGTGCAAGCTTAAAATGACAGCTTCCTCTTCAGCTAACATTTTGATTACTATAAGAATGATGGATTCAGCAATGAATTTCTTTAGACATCCTTATTTAATTTAGAAGAATATTCCAGAATTTAATCATCAGCATCGTCTATACAACTGGTCCCTATTAAATAATTTATATAATTTGAAGAATACCATCTCCACTCTCAGCAATATTATTTTACTCTTCAATTTAATCCTACAATATTGATGTTTTGCACATGTACAAATAGATACTGTTTTGAATATCTGATGACTCTCTTCTTGTTTGAATTTTTGGCTCCAATTTTCTTGCATATTTAACTCTATCAGAAGGAATATACCTTCTATAATTTAGCAATACTTTGGATCTATTTGGATATCCACATACCATACTAAAACACTATAAATTACAATAAATACGGGCATTCCAGAATAATATGAGTTGATTTATTGCAGGCTCTGCATGTCACATCTACTAATTCTTACTTGTTCATAAATGAGATTTATTGAACCAGTTCACAGTATTTATACTAATCTTATATTTGAAGCACATTACATAATCATTTTGATGTTAAGATGCTAATTCGATAAATTGAGACCTTTCAATCTTTAATACATAGGAAAATTAGTTGGATTTACAAGACATCTAATAGGCTTAAGATTAAAAGAATTCTAAAACGCCAAAGGCTTATCCTTCATGTTTTAAGGTTTCCAACACTTTTATAGTTTATTACTTGTTTTTCAAGGTAATATAAAATGAGAGATTGCCATTAGATAAAATATAGAGATATTAACTAGGGTCATTTTACTAAGGAATATTTAACCATCTTACTTTATATATAATCGATTCGGGTACAAATTTCTCTTCCACCATTGCTTTTGATAAGGAAATCAAAAAGGCTTCACTAAAATTATTTACAAGGAAACTATTCTTTGAGATCAATTTCATATTAGTATCTATTTTCATTTCTTCAGCCAATTATTTTGGAATCAATTCACTAAATTTGTAAACTTCTCTATCATTATCTTCCATTTGATCACTCCAAACGTATTCAAAGTACTTCCGTATTTTTTCAGCCAAATGTTTATTTATCCCCTTAATTCTAATAAATTTTTTCAAGTTATTCATATCAGTTCTGATCTAAAAGCTTTATCTACTCCATTCAGCATAGATTGAATTGATATTACCAATAGAGTAACCAAATACTCCCACTGCAGATAAAGCCATTCCAACGGCAAATACTCTTTCTCTCAGATTCTAAGGAGTAATGTCACCATAACCAATGGTGGTCATTGTAATGATACTCCAATAAAAAGAATGCAAATATTGATTAAACCAGTATTCATCTTCTATATTCTAGGCCTTGACCCAAGATACCTCATTGGGATTCCCAGTAGATCCTACTAGAAACCAGATGCAGGCTGAAAAATGAGCTGCTGCTAAAATTGTGTACACTAATTTAACTATGTCCACTATGACAATTTAAATTGCTGTCAATTCTAATCTATCGAAAAGGGTTCTTGAAAATTTGGTTATTTAAAACACTTTCAAAATTATAACTAGATCCAAGTATTCCAAATTAAATCTTAGACTTATGAAGTAGGGGATCACTACAAATATGTCAAAGAAGAATGCTATCATATTATTGTAATCAATTTTACATGATCGCAAATAGTTTTTGGCAATCTGATATCGATTTTCAATCACTGCTCCCTTATAGTAATAGCAGGTATTGAATTTCAAAATGATTTCAAGCATAAATGAATAAGATGGTAAAACATCGAACATAATCTATCTGGCCTAATAAAAAACATCATTCGAGTGCTCATCGAATTTGAATGCAATTTTGGCTGATACGTAAAGTACGTTAATATTCAAAATGGTGAGTATGTATATATTCCACCAAATTGAAGCCAAAGACTCAGGTCTCATTATTAATTTTTGATTTCCACAGTAGATCTTCAGCATTTTTGTTCTACGTATTGGAACCAATATATTTTAATTCAGAAAGTGCTTTACTTTTTAAAATCCTGTTGGTTTCTAAAATTAGATTAAATCCATACATGTTACTTCGTATTTAAAGAAATTTTTCAATAAGTAATATGAAAAGTCGGCTGACACATCGCCTATTATTTCAAAAACATTTTTGTTGATTAATTTAAAACTGGTAGCAAAGTTCGATTTTGTGATAAAACTTATGAATCTAAGAGTGATCATCAAAATCTCCAAGGATTTTGCTTTCCAAATTTTATTGCTGAATCCGTGATGCTCATTAGAAATTTGACTTTCGATAAGGATTGGACTCTCCTCTTTGAGATTCATTACTGTTTTATTAGATTGAAAACTCGCATCTCTTAACCTAGGTCCTATATTACATGTGTAATTAGGTCTATAAAATATGATTCCAAGAAGAACGTACTTGTTTTTCTAGTCAAATAGAAGACTCATAACACCCTTTTGATCATTTTGTTTTGATTATCGAAAATTCTAAATATCGTGTAGGATGACTTCCTGATCTTAATCGCAACTTTTCAAAAGAGATCTAACTGAATGCACCTGATTTTCAGTATCCAATTTTTCTTCTGTTCTATATAATCTAGAGTATTACAAATATCTGAATTTAGATGATTACTTTTCATAATTATTAATAAAAATAATAGTTTATCACCGAATGTATTTCATTAAAATTTCGAACATCTTTTTTCAGTTGATCAGCCATTAGTTATCAATGAAAATGTATTGGAATGGGGAAGTGGAATTGGATGCACTACTTCTTATATTCTAATAATATTATTCAAAAATCTCAGGGAAATAAAAGTTTAATAATGATGTTATGAAACAATGACATCTCCAATGGTTGTTATGATAAATAAGATTATTTGCAAACATCTTGGGATTAATAAATTTGAGAAATTTTAATGTGAGTTTAAAAATCTATATTTTTATTTAAATATAAATTCTGAATGAAGCACAATCAACAACTTCCTAATGCTCACATGCGTAAACACTGGACAAGATTCGTGAAGACATACTACAATTAACCAGCTGCAAAAAGAAGAAGACAACAAAGAAGACAAGCAAATGCATTAAGTAATGATTTTGATGTGAATTTTAGGAGCTTCACCAAGACCTGTTGAATTACTTAGACCAGTGGTGAGAGGACAAACAATTAAATATAATGGAGTGTAAAAATTAGGAAGAGGATTCTCATTGATTGAGCTCAAGGAAGCTGGACTCAATGCTTAATTTGCAAGAACAGTAGGAATTGCTGTGGATCATAGACGCAGAAATAACAGCTAAGAGGAATTGGCTGCCAATGTTAAAAGAGTCAAAGCATACTTGTCTAAATTAGTGCTCTTCCCAAGAGTAGCAGGCAAACCAAAGAACGGTGTTGTTAAAGATTCAGCAAACGATGTTGTTGCTTAACCTGTTACTTAAAATACTAATCCTGAAGTATTAGTTTATATTTTATGACTTCTAGGTTATCACTTTCTAAAGAGCACCCAGAAGAGAGAAGGCTACAGTAATTTCCAAGGAGCTCAGAGCCAAGAACGTATATCGTAGACTTAGACAAGAATGGTACAATGCAAAATTCGTTGGAGTCAAGGAGAAGAGAAAGAATGCTAAGGAATAAAAGAAATGAATAGTATAATACGTACATTTGGATATATTAAATATTATTAATAAATGAATTTTCTTGAAAAAATCAGAAGTGGGATCTTGGCCATAAAGAAAATAGCAGAGAACTAGGAAATACACTAAATTTGTGATCGCTTAATGGACACTCTTCGATTGCAGGACTACCCAAAATATTTGGATAGGATAGTGCTTCAAGATGTTCGTGTATAGAATTTAATGATGTTAGATAGAGCATTTATAAAATTAATGCAATTTTCTAAAGAATCTTAAAAAAATCAATGAGAATGAACAGGTCTTTAATATTTTATTGAAAAATGAGGAAGAAACTTATCGGCTAAATAAATGTGTATAGGAATTATAACAGAACAATGAGAATTTGATGAAATAAATTTACACCTATGAAAGAATGCTGAACGTTTTGAATCAAAATTAGGACGATCAGATTTATCACTTAAATAAGATAAAGGTCTGGTAAGTATTACAAACTAATTTAGGAGTAGAGTATGGAAATTGTGCAGTTGAAAATGAAATTGTAAGACCAAGAAAATGTACTCTCGAATCCTTCGTAATTGAAGAAACAAATTAAATTATTAGAGAGCAAGAAGAAATGATTGCATATTATTAATTTTATTATTAAATGATAATTGAAGTTAAAAGAAATGAGGATCTTTTAGTAATTTGTAGAATTTGCGAGAAAAAAGTATCAATAACTTAATGACGCCTTAGTTAGATGCTCATCTCATTACAAATCATCTCACCAATTGCTAATAAATATATGAAACAAAGATGTTGTTATAAGAATTGAATTGTTAAATCCACTAATTAGCAGAATAGGCTTAAAACAAATTTCGTACAACCAACACTAAATATTAAATCCATAAGGCCAAGTAAACACGACAAAACCTTTATGAAAACGGAAAGAGACAATCGGTTTCCCTCAATCAGCTCTAATTAGATGGCTCAATAAGTGATGGCACAGGATCAAAAACAAATAAGGCTTCCCATTAAAACACAGGGAAGTCTCATTTTGCACTCATCGGAGCCCAGAATAAAGCTAAGATGCATGCGGAATCGGATTAAATCGTAGAAATGCAAAATAAAGATTAATCAATTTAAAATGGGTTATTTGATTAGAATCACGAAATTAATGTAAATTAAATTAAAGGGAAACAAAGGGCTAATTAGCAATACATTCATTCACCTTAAAGAGAAATTCTGTAAGGAAGTTCACCAAGTTCAAATGGTTTGGACAGTCCTGTCTCATTTGAGTAAGAAATACTGCAAATATTTAAATTAGTGATAATATTGACATCCTGAAAGACTTGAGACAATAATTAAATTGCCTTAAGATTATAATCAATTATACTGAAGAGACAATCAAAATCAATAGTGGCACACAATCAATTTAATTCGATCTTCAAACTCAAGTTAATTTGATGAACACCAAGGACTTTTCAGATAAAGAACTATAAGACATCGTTAAACTAGCTTTAAAGTTAATTGAAGTAATTATCAATGTGATTACTATCCTTAGGAAAGAGTATAATACACTTAAAAAATATCAAGATTATAAAAATTGATATCAGAAGAAGATAAACAAGATAATATCAATTCTCCTTTGGGATTTAAATAAAATACAGAAGGTTTCTGCAGTAGATCTCCTAAAAGAAGCCCAATCTTATAGAATTGTGAGAAATCGAAGTGGCTAAATAAATAAAATGTATTCTTCAATTATGATAAGAATAACATTATTCAAGAGAGCTCTTTTAAAAAAAGTTCAAGTGATTTTGGAGATGAAGAAAACAATTCATAAACTGACGAAAGTGTGGAAATAAAAAAACTCAATAGAAACAGTTCAGAAGAATCATTGGAAATGGATAATTCATCTCAAAAATCTAAAAATAATATCATCTCATTTAAGGCATTAAACTTGGATGATTAAGTGGAAGAGAAGGATTTCGAAAATGCCGAAGAGAAGGATAAAGGATATTATAGTGATGGTGATATCAAAGTAATGAAGATAGCTAAAAATAAATAATTGTAATATTATAAAAATAGAGTTTTTTAGGTTAAATGTAACATTATAAGACTTTGAATTTATATCAGTGTTAGGAGTAGGGGGTTTTGGAGCAGTTTGGTTGGTAAGCAAGAAAAAAACTAAGGATTATTATGCAATGAAGGTAATAGATTGTCGTAATAAAAACATGAGTGAAATCTAAAATTTAAGAGCAGAGAAAAATGTCTTCGAAATATTAGAAGGTGACTTTGTAGTCAAAGCTTTCTATTCCTTTATCTAAGATCAATGTTTATTATTTTTATTAGAATATATGATGGGTGGGGACATTAGTTAAGTGCTGTTTTAATATGGTAGATTGTCGGAATAGGTTGCAAAATTCTATTTAGCAGAATTGCTTTTGGCCATTGAGTCATTGCATAAGAAAGGAATTATTCATAGAGATCTTAAACCTTAAAATATTTTACTTGACTCTTAAGGTCATATTAAATTGGCTGATTTTGGATTATCTGAGATAGCTTTAGTGCAAAAGATAAAAGATGGGAAGGATGGAATTAATTTATCAATTGATCCTGAAGCGCTACCATAGAATGTTTCTAAAAGATAGATCAAAATCAAATGCAATTTAGAATTTCATATGCATAATTATCCCAGCAAGAACAGTGTTTAAGATAAATCATCTTCAGGAAAAAGATAAAACAGAATAATAGGAACACCAGATTATATTCCACCCGAAGTTATTAGTGGGTAGTCGATATCTAATTTTTCAATAGATTGGTGGGCTTTTGGAGTAATAATGTATGAGTTTTTGGTTGGTATACCTCCATTCAATGACAAAAGTATCCCCAAAGTATTCGAAAATATAACAATGAGGGCAATTGAATGGCCAGAAATTGGAGATGGTGAAGACATGATTTCAACTAATGCTTATAATTTAATCAACAAATTATTAGAGCCTAATTATCACATCAGATTGGGTCATTAAGGAATAGAAGAAATTAAGAAGGATCCTTTTTTTAAAGACATAGATTGGGTTAATATAAGAAATCTGGAAGCTCCAATGATTCCTATTCGAGATCTAGAACATTTAGAAGAAGAGCAATGCAATCTACTGCAAAAATAAAATGAAGAGAATAAAATGAAGGATAGACTACGATCAGTTTAGTATTCACATGATGGAAAATTCGATGAGGTTGCAAATCTTACAAGATTCGATCTTCTGGCTAAATTAAGTGAGTAGGATGCAGAGAATGTTATCAAAAAACAATCAAATCAACAGTTTCATGGAAAATGAAAATTCTATTGATCAAATAATCTTCTAATGTATAATCATACTTAAGAGATAAATAATATTATAATAAAACATATTAAAATTTTTATAGTTTATAAAGGTGAAATTGATGATATATCTGTTTAGATAAAATCAACATACAAATTTTAAGAAATCTAATTTACTTCCTAAGTATTTTTACTATTAAAAATATTGATATATATTCTTAATTTATACAATTAATTCAAGCTAGTTCAAAAGGTAGAAGTTTTAAATTAAATAACTAGAACATGATGTAAGACTCATGAATTATACTATTATAATTAAATAATAAGCTATTTATAAATGTAATATATTCTAATCTTCTTAATCATCCTTTTTGATTGTAGGTAACTAATTGCAATTAAACTTTGAATAATTAGTACTTCACCTCTATCTTCCACTTCTATTATCTAAAATTACAAAAAGAATAACAATTAATCGATGCAGAAATTAAGAAAATAACACAATTTAATGTATAATGTATAATGTATAATGTACGTTTTTCTTTCATCAATCGAATAAGCCACCCATGTCGACGTCTTCTTCAGGTTCTGGAGCCTTCTCAACTGGCTTTTCTTCAGCCTTTTTAGCTGGTTGTGCTTGAGCAGCAACTGGAGCTGCTTTTGATGCTAATACATTATAATCCCTTTATTTTACATCCTCCTCCTAAGGAAAGTGTTCCCACTTTCTTCAATCCTTCTGCTATAACTTCTTATAATGTCTTTCCTTTCAAAGAATCTACTAAGGTCTTAATTTCAGCATCTGATCCTGTTACACCAACTTCAGCCAATAGTCCCTTTACGTCAGCCTCACCTAAGTGTTTAACCAATTATCATACTGGGATTAGCTTTTCCGCCTAAAGTCAACAAAGCATATGCAGCAACGTATTACATTGAATTTTATTTTAAAATTTATTTCAAATCCCATAAAACCTTAATAAACTCTAAATTTCATAAAAATTCTGTTTGAAATGAAATCTACCCTTTATTGTATGTATGCCTAGAATATCCAAAGAACGAGTGTGATATCAAAGGATTAGATAGTGAATCAAAAAAACAATTAAAATAATAAATAGTATTTTAATTGTTTTATTGAAATAAATTTCAATATATATTCCCTTTTTATTATGATAAGCCCATAAAAAACAGACACCAGTCAGATGTCTGCTGATTGAGTTGCTAGATAGAAAAGTTTAAATACAATGAGGATGAGGAATGAAGAAATGATTTTTCTTAGATGATTTAATTGCTATCTTTAACATTTTAATTTAAAACTAAGCAATCTCTTAAATTCTTCTTATATACATAAGGTTATAATGAAAATGATATTAAATAAAGTATTTCGATAAAATAGAATAGCGTTTCCTTTTAAATCAAAGAACTTTTAATGAAGAGTGTAGGTTGATGTTTTAAGATGTAATGAGAAATGTAAGTGTTTTTGTGATCTTTTTAAAATCTTTGTCTACTATCGAAATTATTTTGATCAAAACGTAGTCCTTAGTAAGTACCAGTATTTCAATTTATAAACTTGAAGTTTGAGTCCGTTCTTTTAAATTCTATCCTCATTTAGATAACCAAAAAAATTAACCCCATAGTTGAATATAATAAAGGAGGTATTTAGCACAAGTCTCTTTTCTTTATTAGAACTGAAGATTTAGATTAATTAGATAAATTAACATTAATTATATAATTAATGGGAATTTAACATACTTGTTGTATGAGAGAGTGTTCGAACAGAGAATAGAATCCAGATTCTGAAGTGCAGGTGATCTAGAATTAATAGAATTTTAATATAAAACGATAGTTATCAATTGAAAACTAGACTTTAAAGACAACATAGAAAGGAACAATTTAAATAAGTGAAATGGATAACACATTTGAAATGCTGGAGGAGAATTAATCGAGTAATTTGGAAAACAACCCAGTACCAGCATTTGTCTAAAATAAATAATTTCATTAATTCATGGTTCCAAAGAGAGAAAATCGATTTATGTAAGACATCGAGTGTGAAGTGAGAGAAAGAATTAAGCAAATGTAATTGTTTCTATAAAGTTTAGGTATATTAAGGACAAATTCGAAGCTTTATAATCACATTATTCTGAATTAAATCGTGAATAAAATCCATCAAAATCTAATGAGTGTTCCTTCAAAGTTCCTATTTATAATGAAACTAATAGTAACTTAAACTTTCCCTTGAATTCAAGTCTAGGCATTGAAAAATTGTAAAGCACACAATTAGAATGCATTACAGTTCCACACAAGGAGATGAGAGGAATATTAAAATGTGATTCGTCTTAAAAATATTCTTAATCTGCAGATGCAAAAACTGAGAAAGCAATCAGTAATAAAAAAAGGGTTCACTTCTCCTAGGATACAAAATTCAAGACTTAAGATGCAACCCATATGTATAAATGGAGAAACTTAAGAAATATATGAGTTATTTAATTTATTCTCAAACGTATAACCATTTATGTATCAAATTAAAACTTAGCAAACACTGATTTAAGTTAACTAGTAGGATCAAACTCATAAAGAGTGATGAATGCAAGTCTCCTGTTTATAGGTTTCTTGAGTTAGTAAAATGCAATTTGAGTAAAAAATAGTGGAGTCGAGAATTGTGTTCAAAGTTGGGAACTTATTTGACTGAGTTTTGAGAGAAGATGAAAAAAGGGCACTAATTCGATTGAGCAAGTGAAATTGATGATTAAGGGGTTGTGGTTATTTTGGAATAATATGATTTTCTATNAAAGTATTTCGATAAAATAGAATAGCGTTTCCTTTTAAATCAAAGAACTTTTAATGAAGAGTGTAGGTTGATGTTTTAAGATGTAATGAGAAATGTAAGTGTTTTTGTGATCTTTTTAAAATCTTTGTCTACTATCGAAATTATTTTGATCAAAACGTAGTCCTTAGTAAGTACCAGTATTTCAATTTATAAACTTGAAGTTTGAGTCCGTTCTTTTAAATTCTATCCTCATTTAGATAACCAAAAAAATTAACCCCATAGTTGAATATAATAAAGGAGGTATTTAGCACAAGTCTCTTTTCTTTATTAGAACTGAAGATTTAGATTAATTAGATAAATTAACATTAATTATATAATTAATGGGAATTTAACATACTTGTTGTATGAGAGAGTGTTCGAACAGAGAATAGAATCCAGATTCTGAAGTGCAGGTGATCTAGAATTAATAGAATTTTAATATAAAACGATAGTTATCAATTGAAAACTAGACTTTAAAGACAACATAGAAAGGAACAATTTAAATAAGTGAAATGGATAACACATTTGAAATGCTGGAGGAGAATTAATCGAGTAATTTGGAAAACAACCCAGTACCAGCATTTGTCTAAAATAAATAATTTCATTAATTCATGGTTCCAAAGAGAGAAAATCGATTTATGTAAGACATCGAGTGTGAAGTGAGAGAAAGAATTAAGCAAATGTAATTGTTTCTATAAAGTTTAGGTATATTAAGGACAAATTCGAAGCTTTATAATCACATTATTCTGAATTAAATCGTGAATAAAATCCATCAAAATCTAATGAGTGTTCCTTCAAAGTTCCTATTTATAATGAAACTAATAGTAACTTAAACTTTCCCTTGAATTCAAGTCTAGGCATTGAAAAATTGTAAAGCACACAATTAGAATGCATTACAGTTCCACACAAGGAGATGAGAGGAATATTAAAATGTGATTCGTCTTAAAAATATTCTTAATCTGCAGATGCAAAAACTGAGAAAGCAATCAGTAATAAAAAAAGGGTTCACTTCTCCTAGGATACAAAATTCAAGACTTAAGATGCAACCCATATGTATAAATGGAGAAACTTAAGAAATATATGAGTTATTTAATTTATTCTCAAACGTATAACCATTTATGTATCAAATTAAAACTTAGCAAACACTGATTTAAGTTAACTAGTAGGATCAAACTCATAAAGAGTGATGAATGCAAGTCTCCTGTTTATAGGTTTCTTGAGTTAGTAAAATGCAATTTGAGTAAAAAATAGTGGAGTCGAGAATTGTGTTCAAAGTTGGGAACTTATTTGACTGAGTTTTGAGAGAAGATGAAAAAAGGGCACTAATTCGATTGAGCAAGTGAAATTGATGATTAAGGGGTTGTGGTTATTTTGGAATAATATGATTTTCTATTTAAATAAGAATTTATCAGTAATATAGAAAGAGTTGATTAATAATGATTTAAGTGATTTCTAGAAATAAATATCTTTAAATAATATTTTAAATGCAATAACAGGAAACAAAGTTTGACGAAAATTTATATTCAAGATAAGTGGCTGTGTTGGGAGCCGAGACCTAATCCAAACTGATCTAAATGAAGTGTTTCATTCATGGATTGAGAGGGGTATATAGATTTATTATGGCAAGTTGGGATTGGAGATAGCCAAGAATTTGATATTGGCTGGGCCAAAATCTGTAACCGTATATGATCCAACAGTGTTATCTATTGCTGATTTGGGTTCAAATTTTTATGCCTCACTCGAACAAGTAGGAAAGGTCTCAAGACAAGATGCAGCAATCAAATAATTGAAAGAATTGAACCCATATGTGAGTGTAGAAATATACAATGGATAATTGAATGGGGCCAGTTTGAGTGAATATACAGTTGTGGTTCTGACTGATGTTTGGGACTAGAAATTCATCACCGAAGTAAATGAGGCAGTCAGACAAAAAGGACACGGATTCATTTTGGCTCACTCTTCAGGATTATTTGGATCGACATTCGTTGATTTCTCAGATGTAAAATATTTGATTATATCTCTAATAGAAATTCTAAATTTTTGATCCCAATGGTGAAGAACCAAAGTAGGCAATTGTGGCTGGAATCACAAATGAAGCAGAAGGAATAGTAAGTACGATTGAAGATAAGAGACATGGATTTTAGGATGGAGACAGTGTCACATTCAGAGAAGTGGTTGGTATGACAGAAGTGAATGAAAAGATCTTTAAGATAAAGGTATGATTATGAATGTGAATATCAAAGGTGAAATCCCCATTCATGTTCAGCATCGGAGACACAACAAACTTCTCTTAATACTTGAGAGAGGGAATTGCAGTGTAAGTGAAGGTGCCTGAAGACATTGCATTCAAATCATTCAATGCATCATTGAGTCATCCTTTTGCACCAGGCAAGAATGAATTGGATTTGATGGATTGGGAAAAGATTGGGAGACCAGAGCAATTACACATTTCATATAATGCATTATTATAATTCGCATAATAAAATGGTAGATGGCCAGGATTATTGAATTAGGAGGATGCCTAAAAAGTTTGGGAATTAGCATAACAAATCAATAATTCAGACAGAGGAGAAGGAGCATTAAAAGCAGAATTGGATGAGCAATTGGTAAAGAACACTGCATTGTATTTCTCAGCCTAAATAACTCCCTTGACTTCATTCTGGGGTGGTATTGTGGCCTAAGAGATCGTCAAATACACAGGTAAATTCAGTCCAATCAGATAATGGTTACACAGTGAATTCTTTGAAGCCTTACCTGAAACAGAGGTTAACAGAACATTGTTGAATAGTCAATATGATGATTATGTTGCAATCTTCGGAAGAGAAGCATTACACTAATTACAGAACTCAAAGATATTTATGGTTGGTGCAGGTGCTTTAGGATGTGAATACATCAAAATGTTTGCACTTATGGGATGTGGTAGTGGTGCTTCAGGTTAAGTGACTGTTACTGATGATGACAATATCGAGGTTTCCAATTTGAATAGGTAATTCTTATTTAGAAAGAATAATGTTGGATCTAACAAGGCAGCAACAGCATGCAAAGTAGGTGAATAAATGAATAAAACATCTAAATTCAAATCATATGCACTCAGAGTAGGACAATAAAATGAACCAATCTTCAATGATCAATTTTGGGATGGATTAGATATTGCAATCAATGCAGTTGACAATGTTCATGCTAGAAAATACATTGATAATCAATGTTGCTATTATGGTAAACCATTATTTGAAAGTGGAACTCTTGGTACTAAATGCAACTCCCAATTGATTCTTCCAAATCAAACACAATCTTATAGTGAATCATAGGATCCACCTGAGGATTCCATTCCTTTATGCACATTGAAGAACTTCCCCTATTAAATTGAGCATACCATCTAATGGGCCAGAGATTACTTTGCAGGATTCTTCGAAGATGGATCTCAAGATTGTATCAAATATCTAGAGAATCCTGAAAATTATCTTAAGAAAATTTTGAATGAACTTAAAAACCAACCAGGAGTGTTAAGACCAAAATTAGAATCAGTCAAGAAATTTGCTGAAGTTGCTAAAAAGCCTTCATTACATTCTATTGTGGCTTTGACTAAAAATATGTTCTAAGACATTTTCTGCAATTAAATCAAATAATTACTTTACTGTTTCCCACCTGATCACAAAACCTCAGAAGGCTAATTGTTTTGGACTAATCCTAAGAGACCACCAACTCCAATTGAATTCGATCAAAATGACCCTCTTCATCAACTCTTCATTCACAGTGCAGTTAACATTTTCTCATAGATTTTCGGTTTGCCCAAGTAAGATAATTTCAATGAGATTGCCAAGATCTTGCCATCCATCTAAGTCTAATAGTATGTCCCAAAATAAATGCAAATAAAAGAAAATGAGAAAGATCAAAAGGAAGAGAAATCTGAAGACGATGAAACACAAATCCAAGCCTTAACTCAAGAATTAGAGAAGTTGACTCTTGAAAATAAGGAAGTCACTAAGTAATTGCAAGAATGTGCATTTGAAAAAGATGATCCAACTAACTGGCACATTGAATTCTTGTCTGCAGTCTCCAACTTGAGAGCCAGAAACTACAGAATCCCAGAAGTCCAACCATTCTAAGTCAAGTTAATTGCAGGCAAGATCATCCCTGCATTGGCCACAACAACAGCAATGATTGTGGGAGCAGTAGGACTCGAAATCTTTAAGTATATTCTCAAGAAGAATGTCACAAAAATGAGAAATGCCTTCATAAACTTGGCATTGCCACTCTTCCTGTTTTCAGAGCCCTTGCCACCTGGAGAACATTTGGACTAGGAATACAATATCCTCTTATTGGGACCAACCAAAGCCATTCCAGAAAGTATATATTCGATTTATTCTTAGAGTGGACTGCTTGGGATAGAATCACAATTAATTAATAGATGACTCTAGGATAATTCATAGACTACTTCAAAGAAAAGTATCAGGTGACTGTGTCTAGCATCACCTTTGATAAATACATCATCTATAACAATTACCCATAGCCACCATAGGAAAAGTAAGTGTATTCATCTAATTATTTAAGTTTCAATAAAGATCTAAGTGTATTGTTTGTTGAAAATGCATTCCAGCCACTTCCAGCTCACAGAATCTATCTAGATTTTTAAGTGAGTGGAGAGCTAACAATCAACGGCAACGAAATTAATGCCGATTTTGCCCCTGTTAAATATCAATATAAAAAATGAGTTATTCAATAAATAATAAAATTAATATTTAACAGACATTTATGAAAAATACATCTGCTAGCAAACAAGCAAACAAAACCAATGCACTCAGGAAATCTGCTGAAAACTTGCCTCCTTTTGCTCCTTCAACTGAAAAAGATAAGGAAACTTCCAAGTTAGCTCATCTTGAAAGTAAAAGCACCAAATATTAGTAGTTAACTTAAACAGAGTATGTTTATAACAAGACGCCTTGATGCCATTGTTGCAAATGATTGAATACATCCCAGCCATTCAAAGAACTGACAGTGTAGTCAAAGGGCTGATGAGAAAGATTGAAGAAAATGAATAAAAGATCTTGAAATCAGAAAAACTACTTGAATCTAAAATCAAAAATCCAGATGGAAATCAAGATAAAGATTCCAAAAAACAATAAAAGTAACTCCAAGAACTTTAGGGCAAAGTCAAAGACATGGAATAACAAATGAATAATTTATAGAGGTATCGAGATAATTAATATTATCAGATGGTACGAAGCCAAATTAAAAGAAGAAAATCAAGCATTATAAAGAAACCTAGAACACAAAATAGAGAAGTCTAAAACTGACACTTAGAAATCAGTTGGATCCGAAAAGAGAATCAGCACTGAACAATCCAAAACTCATAGCAAATAAGTATCATAAGTTCAACAACCCTAAGAGTCTTAATAACAATATCAATATAATGTACTATAAGCTGTCGAGTAAATGGTGACAGCATCTCTGAATCAAGTTAGAAATCAGATCCAATCAGAAATAGATGAGTTAAGAGAACATGTTATTGCTTCTAAATAATGATACTTATTATCAAATATATATATATATATTTATATCATTGTGGCTCCTATTTTATTATCCCTTACCCTTCGCCAGGTTTCTTTACATTTTATTGCTATCCTTAGTAGAGTCCCATCAATGGATTAAAATTTGAAAAATTACCCATTCCCATTTATTATTGCATTTGTTATTGGAGGTATTATTGCTGTAATTGATTCAATCCCATTCCTGATCCTAATTGCTAGGGCAAAGCAGATTACAGTCCCAATTGAGAATTCAATTGCGAAGCTAATAATTGTTATTATAATTGTTAGAAGTTCTAATTTTATCCCATCAATTATTAAGGATTCACTTGTCCCTAAGGCATTCCCAATCCCCCTAGGCTCTACATGTAATTCAACAATTATGATTACATTGGATTACCCATCATGCCTGGCTGAGGAGGATACTATTATTGATTTAGCTGCTATTACTACTGCATAAGCAGTGATTGGTAGATCTGATTATATTACATGAATGATTACAAGGCATTCTAATCAATAGGTTATTAAAATTAGTAAGGGAATGCAGGGTTCATATGTTAAGGTGCTCCTTATAACCCTTAGGCAGGGATGTTGATTTGTTGGATTCCAGGAAGGTGACTAGGTTTTTGATAGGCTTATTAATGTTGATTAGGTAGTTGTTATGGGAGTTGTTGAACTTGTTACAAGGAAGGGGCAGTAAACGAAGATGCTGGTTACCATGCCTATTTTTTATTATTCTATTGTTATTGTTATGGGATCTAAGGGACTTGTGGTGGAACTGGTTTATTTATAACATCGTTTGGCTTACTTTTGGGCGGTTATGGCTATTATTATACAGGTTTCTGCTATTATTGGATGAGTGCTTATTGAGCTACAATATCATTTAACTATTATTGTTGCAATTACACAGGTATCTATTCAGGAGGGTTTACAGGTTTTTTTACTTCTTGCTCTTATTTCTCCATTTTTGATGCAGATGGCTAATTTTAATATTCGTTTAGTTTGACTTTCTTTTATGCTGATTAAGGCTCAGAATCAGAATAATTATCATCTGATTCATTTGAGTCACTCTCACAATATTTTTGAGTTAATTATTTAAAAATCTTCAACAATTAATCGAAGCATTGTTTATAATTCTCCAAGATTTCTGCAGAGTCTCCTAATTTAACAAATTTAGAAGGAATTTGATCTTCCTTCCTAATAATCTCTAAGCACCCAGTATTGAGGAAATCAATAGCCTCGGTCACCTTTTTATTTTTATTTTAATCATTATTTTCCTCTATCAACAAATAAAATTGTTTTTCGCCGACTGCACCCAATTATTTTGTAATGATATCTTTGGTTAATTAACTTTAGAGTTTCTCCATTATTGTCTTGATATTTCCTTCCACAGTGACTGGATTATAGTAGAGGGAAACACAGGTAGAAAATTTAATGATTAAAAAAAGAGGGTGTTTCACTTTATGACGAATATTGGGGGCGGTTAAATAGTTGAACAGACTTTCAAAGTCATTTTCTATTTCTACATCCTGTTCGGTCTTCCTTTTGTTCTCTCTTTTGAAGTACTTTTTATCTAGCAAATCAAATGTAAAGGGTTCTGCGTGTAAATACAATTTCTTTTATTCAGAATTACCTGCACTCTTTCTACTGTCCACAAAGATTGGAGGAGAGATGGTGGAATTCAATATTTGAGGTTTTTCAGTGTCTGAATTTTGAATGTACACACTCATTAATAAATGAAATTTCACTCCTTCATTGTTATACGAGGTCGATGCAAATCTCAAAGCCTATAAATGGGTTTAAGCAATTAAATTACTGAAAAATACGCTTGACCATCTATGAGTTCTAATTTGCTTGTTCCTCGTAATCCAACATCTTGAAGAATCACGCGACTCCCTTCTTGTACTTTTTTAACAGCATATAACTACGCATATAAATTTTTAGGAGAAAGTAAAAGTTCTTACGTTTATGAATCTTTGATCTATTCATATGAAAAAGTCATTACTTCTAATCTGACCACGATGTTTGGCAAATTCCAGCTCTTGTGCCAATTCCATCCCAATTCCTCAGAATATTTTAATTGTTTCTCAGTGTCAATTACTAAAGTAACGTATGGTTCAGGATAAGCCTTGAGAAAGTCTATAATGCATTTTTACATCTCCTTCAGGATGAGTCAAAACAATTGAAGGCGTTGTTTCTATTTATACTTTATTCGAATTTATGGTAATCTCAAGTGTTTGAGTGGCAGGCACCCAATCCCATTTAGACGATTCTAAATCGATTTAAATCAACATGTACCTGTGTTTTGGTTAATCATAGTAGGTGATTTAAAAACGATGTTATATTTAGAAAAGATTTTATATAATGATTAAAAATGATTTATTGATTCCTAGATTTGTAATACAGTGTAATGTGATCATAGTATACAAAGCTTAAATGACGTAAAATCCGAATTTTATACGAATTAACATAAATATTTTATGAACCATAAATATTCAAAAAATAATGTGCAGGTTGTACTTACTTACAACATTACTAATGTTTCTATCATTTGTTTGACCGCCTCTTGAAGTTAATGAAAATACTTCTTGTCCAAAATTAGCCCATCCCTACCTAGGAGGCAAGCAGGACTTGGAGATGAACTAAATAGAGTTCAACTTCATTCTCCCATAGTTATGAGATGTTTGAATGCAATCAAAAATAAAATGGAAGAGGATTTAAAAAATAATCATCATATTCAAATAAAATTTTCATTATTTATTATCAATAAATTACATGTGATAATTTAAAAATTTTTAGTATATTTATTAATTTGTAGTTATTTAGCATAATAAGAAAATGTTTAATTAATTTATGTTTAATAATAAAGAAATAAGAAATATATTAGAACACATTCTTTGAATAAAACTAATGGGTTTTGTGTATGAAAACAACTGAACATTTGTTTAAAATTCTAATCGAATTGAATAAATATTATAAATGCTAAAAATTGAATAACAATGTTATCATCCAATTTGAATAGGATATCACTACACATTTGGATAGACTTTATTTAATAGCCCCTATCCATTCTTAATAAATAAGTGTAGTTATATCACCTGTATTCTCATTTTTGTTGATTAAAATAAGATCCAAAATCGAATAAATGAGCAAAATAAGGGAAATAAGTCATAAATTAGTTTGAATTTAAGGAACATAAGTCGATGCAAAGTGGTGATTCAGAATTCGATGAAAATCAAGAGGTAGTTTGAGAGAAACCTAAAGATATAGTAAAGTGAGGCGTTATCTTGTTATTTAAATATTTTGATTCATAACGAAAAGGATTCGGTTTGATGAGTAATTGTATGGTGAGGAGTGTGATTGAGGTTTATGGTTACTTGTTTTTGCATCGTTTTGGTTTCAACCATATTTAATCTAATGTATTCTATAAAGAATTAGAAAATAAAATTGAGATTGTATATGAATAAATTTTATAATTTCTGCAATTTTTATTTATATCATGAAGCAGTATATTAATTAACTTGCAGATAAGCTATAAATTTCAACCTCTGATTCTATTCTCATTATTTGGAAGGTGTTTATCAACTTTTGCTCTTTTGTTATATACATAGAAATTTCATTAGAATTATTCAATGTGGAAGAATTTCAAAAGGATAACAGGGGAGATATATTTTTTATTTGGAGAATATTCATCCTAGTACATATTAAATATATTTAAGTCCTTATTAATCATTGATATGATAATATCATTATTCATAGAATATATCAGCAACAATGGCATCATCATATAAAAGCCATATAAGAAGGTTAAATACTATTTTAGACACTATTTCGTGTTTGATTTAATCGTGATAGTCTATCTATTTGTGTCTACTTTTCAGCCATTACCATTTTGGGTGGGTTTTCTGGTGTTTTTTAGAATTCCATCCAATCTTTATTCTGACAAGATAACCGAGGAATATCTGATTCAATTTTAGTTTTTATTGTTGTGCTATCGAATTCTCAAGTTGCTGGTTACTTTACTCTACATATTTGATATTTTCGCGTGTTCCTTTTACGCGATGGGTTTGTATTCCATTTCAATATCAGAACCAACATGGCTGGAGTACTCAAACAGTGTGATTGGGAATATCGATAAAATGCATCATTTCACCTAATACATAATCAGCTATTTTTGGGCAGTTGAAACCCTCGTGTCGATGGGTTACGGTGAGATCACTCCCATGAACTAATATGAGATAATCATAGGAGATTTGGCATTGGTTGGATGCATGTTCGTTTGTTTGTATGTCATATCAACAATCCTCTCCTTATAGTCAGACAATTCGTCTTCTCTGGATGAGAGCATGTTATCAATCAAGCAATTTATGATAGCGAAGAAGATATCAAAAAAACTATACAATGAAGTTTCAATATTTTTATCTTAATTCAGAATAGAATAATCCAAGAGAGATATCGCAGTAGAACAAGTAGTGATTCAGAGATTGCCAAACCAATTGAAATCTAAGTTGTATTATGAGGCAAGTCTCAAAATGATGAAAAGAATCTTGTGGATTTCTAATAACTTCTCTAATGAATTTGTTGAAGAATTGTCCAGTTTTGTGCGAGAAATCTATCTAAACGCCAATAGTGCAATTTCTGTTATAGACGATGACGATGACCCTAAAATATTTGTAATTGAAAAAGGCAAGGTGACAGTAGAATTCAAGGAAATGGAAATCAATTTACTTTATAAAGGATGCACTTTTGGCAACTATTCATTTTTCAAATAGGAAAAAGAACAATTCATCTCTTATAAAACCAAATCTATAGTGATTCTGCAATACATCAAATTAACAGACTTTTTAAAGACGATTTAAAATCATAAATAAGATCATGAGAAATTCCACTATATATTGGATCAAGTCCTTTTTGAAAAGAGATATTAATCAATTCAATATGGATGCTACATTTGTACATAAACTAATCATTTAACTGAAAATTGTTAAATTATTAGTATCAAAGATCAAGTCTAAGAGGAATTTTACAAGAATCCGAGTGGAAATAATCAGCAAAAAAGAAGAAGATTTACACGTTAAAATAAGAAACACAGTAAATGGATCTTAAATAAACATGCTTTTGAGATTCCACATGAGCCACCAATTTCATTTGATATTGACAAAAGATATTATAGTAAGTTATTATTTCAGTGGCATCCTTTCTCAATACATCAACAAGAAAGAATGACTGTATTTTTAAAGGACATACTCAATGATAGTTTAAAATAGGATGATCTCATAATAATGTCTAATAATGTGCCGAAGAGCAAGAAAAAATCAAGTGTTTTTTCATCCTCAAATCAATATTTGTTTTATTGGCAATTGTTTATGATGTTTGTAAATGCAGCATTCTTTATTGCAATACCTTAGATAATATTTTTTTGGAATTACTACTAATAATTTAGTGATTATGGAGCCTTTAAATTTATTAGAATAATAATTATTGTATAAACTGTTATATATATCTTATTAGATCTTATTCGTTAGTGATTTCATTGTTCAATTGAATACTAATTTTTATCATGAAGGTATCTTAGTTAAAAACAGATTCAAAATAGCAGAAAAGTATCTAAAGAATGACTTAGTGTTTGATTTTATCCCCATACTTGTTCTGTTTTACATTAGTCTATCAGATAAATATGTAATAGTTTATTTGATTTGTTTGGTTAAACTAATACCTTTCTATAGATTTCAAGTATACTTATCTGATAAATTGAAAATAATGCCCTAATTGAGACAATTCTATATGATTTGTGGAATGCTGGTTGAAATCCTTTACATAAATCACTTCTTCGGATGTATGTTTTTTGGAGGAAGTGTTTATATGTACACATACCATCCAAATTCTAAAACATGGGTGAATGACCCCACTATGAATTTTGGAGTAATAATTACTAAAAGTACAACATCAAAGTATTCTATATGATTATCATAAGGTACTTGTATTCCACTTACTGGGCAATAGATGCAATAACAAGGATCGGTTATGGTGACATATTGCCATTGAATGATCTAGAATTCATGATCACCGATTTGACTGTGATAACTGCAGTGGCAATAGTGGCAGTAAATATCTCATTGATCGAAAATATGAGAAAGAACTCTAAACTGTAGAATTACTTTGTGGATAACTTATGGATTCAATAATATCTGAAAAAGAAAAAATGTTCAGATCAATTAAAGATTTAGATCTCCAATTACTTGCGTTATTACCATCGGATTGGACAGGATAGGAACATAGACATAGAATAAGAGTCTCTGCAGTTACTTCCGAGTAACTTGAAATAATAATTGATGTTCGAAGCTTATGGGATGATCTTTCATCAACAACATTTTCTAAGGGATGAGGATGTGTTGTTTGAGTTGTCTAATAAAGTAAAGGAGATCTATCTTGGAGATATGGAGAACATCTTTTTGGATAATACACCTGATTAAGGACAAGCATTGTATTACGTAGAGAGAGGCTATGTTGAGTTATTCATTAATACTCAATACTCCTAAAGAAAAGATGTAGTTATTGCTTAATTGAAAAAAGACACTTTCTTCGGCCATTACTCCTTTATTACTGGATTACCAAGGAAATGTAAATATGTTGAAATTCATTATATTTTAGCTTCTGCTAGGACGATGTAATTCGCCTCTTTGATTTATATTCAAAGGAAGGATTTTCATGAGGTTTTGGAATTGAACAAGAAATTTCATCATTAATTCTAGGCTCTAAGAGACAGTATAATTTATGAAAATTAATTTCAGCTTATTGGTTTGTAATGTTTTACATGTTATGGAAATGATCATTTAAGTATTGATTGTCCCTTAACTTCTATCAAAAAGTAAGTGATGCTCAGATTTTATCATACAATTAGAGAGAAGAGTTAATCAGAACTCAATCTAAGGAAGTTATATAAGTAGAATATCAAACAGGAGAGGAGGTTTAAGAAAAGAAAGAAAGAGTGGAAATCAAAAACTATAAGAACACATGACTTTGAATTCTTTTTTGATTATACAATTCCTAGAACCACAATCAATTATGTTATTGATAAGGACTTACATTTGATTTGATTAATAATTATGTGTAATTTTTAAGAACATAAATCAACTATATTCGAATATTTATATTGCTTGGATAAAATTAAGAAATATTGATGATCAATAATTTAAACTCAAAGCTATTTAACTGGGATTCCTGCATACTCTAAAGCCTCGATAATCCATTAAGGTATCTATCCTTCATTTTTAAACCAATTCTGAAGAAATCCGTTGGTGAACTCAATCAATTTGCCATCAATTATGGATTGACGCAAATTGAGCATCAATTGTAATAAATAGTTTAGATTATGAATAGAAATAAGGTGACAGGCAACCTCTTTCCTTGCAATCAGATAATGCAAATATGATTAGGTATAGGATTTGCAGGCTTAGCATTAACACCCCTTTTAAATTGGTTCAAACACATTTGCTGCTTCTTTGTTTTTTAGTTTGAGAAATCCATTATCTGTAAACGCAGTACCAAATCTAGCTGTTCTAGTTGAAAAAACACAATCAAACATGTCAACACCTAAGCAAGAACATACCACAACGTCAACTGGATATCCAACACCCATCAAATAGCGAGGTTTATTTACAGGTAATTTAGCTGTGCATTATGCCACAGTTTTCCAAAAGTCAACCTTTGATATAGAATAATTTATATACTTTATCTTCTCCTCCTGCCAATCCTCCAATTGCATATCCATTTGCTTCTCTCTGAATCAAATCGTTCAATGACTGCTCCCTTAATTTTGGATCTATCCCTCCTTATACAATAGGAAACAAGTTCTAGTCATGCTTTCTTTTGTGAGCTTCGATATCTCTATCCAACCATCTGGTTGTTCTCTCACTTGCCTCTTGCATACGAGGACCAACAGTTGTAGTTCTAACAACATCATCCAGAGCCATGATTATATCGGCTCCTATTTAATTTTATGTGTGGATTGAATCTTCTGGTCTTAAATGCATTGTTGAATTATCATATGGTGATTCAAAGGTGACTCCTTCTTCAGTGACTTCGCTGAGTTGAGACAATGAAACCATCTAAAATCCACCACTATCTGTTAAAATGTTATGCTTCCAATTAACAAATTTGTGCAATCCTCCAACCTTCTCTAATAAATCACCTCCAGGTTTGTATGCCAAATGATAAGTATTTGCTAGCAGTAATTTGCATCCCAAGTCATCCATCTCTGAATAGGTCACTCCTTTCATTGCTCCTTTTGTTCCCACTGGCATATACACTGGTGTTTGCACTTCTCCATGAGGAAGTCTCATTATTGAAGCCCTAGAGTTCTTGAATTTATTCAATACCTGGCAAAATTGTGGGTTGCTAATATCGTAAACTCAAGAGGTATTTCATTCTTTTTGACTTTTTTATGAGGTTACTTTTCGATATCTCCTAATTCTTACATAATTTATTAAATTAAATGATAAATCAGATTAAAAATATTGGAGAAAAATATGTTTTAAGTAGAAAATAATGGAAGATAAATTGACATTTAAATTCTATGGTAAGTTAATAATATTGTATAAAAATTGCATTACATTACAACCTTAATGTCTTAAGAGATGGCATTTTTTATTATAATTTAATAAAAGTATCCTTACCCTTATACTTCTCACCTAAGAATCCAATGAACAGAGTAATTATTCCATTTTCATTTCCTCCTAAGATAAATCTGATATTGTCTCTTCTCAAATAGGTATACAACGACTAAATGTACCAGGATCATGAAATAAATTTAACTATTATGGTTAATAGTGTATCAAACTTAAATGGATCGAATATCTTTTTCCACTCAGTAGTTGTCTTCTCATCTCCATTGAATATTGCAGTCACCTTAACATTTGATGCTTTGTTGTTATCCATCAATATAATTTTTTCTGCTTTAATAACAGCAACCTTTAATTTGCCATTACGTGGTTGAATCACTCGAGATTGATTAATAGGTATTTTTATTTCTGGATCTAGAAAAAGAGGAGGATCCTGAATAGTTATTATTAATCATTAAAGGAGATAGAATTTTTACCAGATTGGTTGGAGATAGCTGTGCTGGAATCCATAAAAAGAATTAAGCCAAGTTCCAGGTTGTTTTATAATAAATGATAGATCAACCAAAGTATCAGATATCTACTGCGAATTCTCATCGAACAAATTGATTGTGATTTGAAATTTCTGGATTCTCAAATTAGCATTTCTTGTTATAATTAACATATGCTTTTACACAAAAATGCTATTGAAAGATTTTAGAACCTGAGACACTTTTATAGATGATTATCATAATCCCCAACTATTTTAAGTACATTTACCTGCAGAATTCATTATTATGATTTCTAAGTTTGTGCTTCTGGCAAAGGCTGAGCAATATTTGCTAATCTGAAATTTCATCAGGTCCTCCTGATCCATTTTTAAGAGCTTTTTATAATACATATTATAAATTATTAATTTGATTATATTTTGATTCTTTATTGGTATATTTTGATTCTTATTTTGATTCTTATTGAATTATTTAAATTTTGTCTTTTCTTGAGGGTGAAATAGTATCAGTGCCTGAACTCAGACTTTTTCAATCATTGGATTGCTACTGAAACCATAATTAATTTAATTTTTATTAATACAAAAAATACTGTGTTCAATCCAAATGTATTTATTAATTTACTCATGATATCATCATCAAATTAAGTATTTTAATTCTTTTTGAAATAATATATCAATGTGGGGGAGTGTCTTAATAATCTGCCTTATTGTACTTTTAATAGGAATAAGAGTCAGAATTTATTTTCGAGGCAAAAAGTGTGAAGCTTATAGGGATATATCAAATATGACTATCTTAATTACTGGAGGGAGCAAAGGACTGGGATAAGAGACAATAAAACAACTGGCAAAGTTCAAATGTAGGATAATATTTGGTTGTAGGAGCAGACCAAATGAATTCTTAAAACAATTACTGGAATCCTTCCCTTAAACCAAAATCTAATATTTTCCATTGGATCTGTAGAGTTGGAATTCAATCAAGCAATTTGCTGCAAGAGTGAAACAAGAAGTGGATAGAATTGATGTAGTTATTAATAATGCTGGAATAATGGGAACATTGACAAGAGAATTCACTCATTATGGCTTTGAAGCCTAATTTGGAACTAATTACTTGGGTCCCTTCTTCTTGAATCATTTGTTGGTAATAAATAGAATATGATAAATTTAGCTCGATCTTCTGAAAAAGTCAAATTCGCCAAGAATAATTAATGTCTCTTCAATAGCTCACGTATTTCAAAACCTTGACTTTAATGACTTGAATTGTGACAAGTGGGCAAACAGCTTGTTATGGAGTAGGATATACACCTATAGAGCCTATGGGAACACCAAATTCGCATAGATACTGAATGCTTAAGAATTTTCTGAGAGAACTGGGGTGAAGGCCTGTGCCTTGCATCCAGGCGTAGTGAGAACTGAGGTGCTGCAACATTAATTGTCAGCATGGTGGTTCAATTTGATTATGTCGATTGCTTGGCCTATTTATAGCTTTTTCACAAAAGACAGTTATTATGGATGTCAAACTATTTTATTTTGTCTAATGATCAAGGATGAAGAGTTGGTTGATGGGGGATTCTACAAAGATTGCAAATTGGCAAAGGCTAGATTTACGAGCAGAGAGAAGGCTAAAAAATTGTGGGATGTGAGTTTGTAGTTGATATCTAAGCTAGATAATTTATATTGAAACATATAATATATTTATATATAATGAAGAGCACAAACAAAAAACTGTCAGCGTAGGACGGCAAATTGATATACGAAGGAGACATTATAACAGATGATAAATCCAAGTAGGTCTTGTATGATGGTCCAGGATATCTATTTAATAATGAAACGAAGTGTTTTTTCAAAGGGACATGGAAAAGGGGAGAGAAAGTCTGCGGAATAGAGACCTTCCCAAATGGAGATGTTTATGAGGGTTAATACAAAGATGGAACGTTTCATGGCAGAGGTTTGTTGTATAATAATGTTCAACTCTACCCTGACAAGAAAAGTTAATACTTGTATGATGGACAATTTGAGTAGGGACAAAAACACGGCTATGGTAAAGAGTGTTACATTACAGGGGGATGTTATGAGGGATAATTCAAATACAACTAAAAGCATGGACATGGGAAATTGGTCTTTTCTGATGGATCCAATTACGTAGGCGATTTTTAAAGAGGTAACCAAGAATGCGCATATCAATCTTAGGCTTGCCGAATGGATTCGGAGTTTAGATAGCCTACTCCAAGGAAAGAATAGTTGCCACATTCCCTCCTCCATATGACAACGAGAAGAGAAGGGAAGTATAAAAGACGGATGAATTCCAAGATGATGATGCAGACAAACAAAAATCAGAATTCTTGTATGAAGGTGATTTCGTAGACGGATACAAGCATGGAATAGGTAGACTTTACTATCCCAATGGTTCCTACCTCTATGCTTATTGGGAATACAATAAGCCTGCTCGTGATTTTGTAGAGTATATTGCTGAAGGGCATAAGTGGAGAATCCTCAATGTCAAATAGTTATAGACTGAATAGAGTATTAATTTCTTTAAGATCATACGGGAATTTAAATCTGAATGGCAAGAGAAGTACCCCATCAAAGGCAACAGTTACCCTCCAGCTGAATTAGATGGCTACAAGAGTCTCATTGACGAAAAAGGGTTAAAGCGAGAGAATTTCGAGGATCCAGAATTCGATTTCTCTGAACAGTCCTTTAACATCAAGGACGAAAATGACTAGCCCATTGGAGCACCCATTGAATTTGAGAGGATATTTGCATCAAAGTACTTTAAGAAGAAGGAATTCAAACTATTCACAAAAGAGATCGAACCTGGCTATCTGAAATATTCAGAATAATATTGCTGCTAACAATTAACAGTTGTCTTAAATGCACTTACATTCCACTCATATTTGTTTGCTAAGGTGTTTTCTAGAAAATACGAAGCTGAGTAAATATAATAATAAATAAAATAGAATCGGATTTTACTTTATTAAACTATTTTTGAAAAACGAGTGGAAGGAATATATCATCGATGATAGAATCCCCGTATTCAGAGCGGACAAAATGCCCATCTTCTCTAATTCCGAGGAGTAGGAATTAGCTTGGGTCATTCTTTTTAAAGCATTTGCAAAATACAATCAAGGGTTCCAATATTTTTCGAATGATAAATTAATGAGAGCTGTTGAGTATTTAACATTGCTTACCGGAATGCCAACTATACAATTAACAGTCCCCAATGTCTTTGGTGATAATCAAGAATACTCTGATTAAGTATTGCTTCATTTATATGTCCAAGTAAAAAAAAATCTGGAGAACCATGTCTTAGAAATATCAAAGTACTAAAGTCAGAATCTGCTATCTCTACAAAGACATAGAGGATCGATTAAAGTTACCCAAAAATACTGCCTATCAAATTGTGGACATGCAAGAGACCTCTTAAGGCAAGAGAGATGAATCCTATTATCTACTTATACTAGCATCAAATTAAAAGCTTGCTCTTAAATAAGACATTACCAATTAAGTTTCCCTAGCTAGATAGAAATTGCAGGAACGAAATCCTCAAGCTAGAGGCAACGATTCTTACTTCTACATGGAATATAAAGATTTCATCAAACATTTTCAATATATTGTAATGCTTTGCGCCACCAGATACCCGATATAAAATTAATAATTGATAGAGCCTGAAGAAAAAGATAAGCATAATCACGAATTAAGATTCTTTTGCAAATTTAAAACTAATTTAGCTCAAGATTGCTTAATATGTATTACTTAGGACCATTAAGAAAAATCAGATGAGTATACTCTTTAAGAAAGTAAAGTTATTATGTCGATAATGCTTTAGAAACATTTCCTGTGAGAATTGTGCTAGCAAAGGAAAAGGACATGTTTACAAATAAGAATTAAGTGAAGAAGAAGATCGTTACAAGATGGTCGGAGCAAGTCAATCGTTCAAAATAGGAAAAGGAAAAGGATAAGAAAGAAGAAACCATCAAAGCTGACATGAAATATGCCTCCATATTTGAATAAAATTCTGAAAAAAAATAGGTTAAACCATACAAATATTGTTTTGGAAGAGGTTAATCTACAGATAAGATGTTATTTAAGGATGCCTCTCTGGAAAGTGGAGATTATGTATTGTTTGTATAGGTTGAAACAGGGGATAGCAAAGAATAATTCGATTTAAAAAAGATGAAGTTTTGGGTTACAATTCACAGTCAGAAACTCATACAGATTCAAAGACTTGATCAATAGATTCAGGGATTCCAAAAAGCAGTGTATGAGAGTGCAATAGCAATTGCAGATAAGCATTCCCAGGATTCTCAAAAAATCAAATATTTCCATAAGGGAGATCTGAGTGAATAAGAGAATGGCAGTAGTGACCTTGTTATAACACAATATTTCATCAAAAAGGAAGGAACTTATTTGTAGCATTTGAACAACAGAAGTACCAATAAAATTTGGAGGCAGAAGTTGTATTTCAAGTTGGATAACATGTAAATTATTGATCATAGGGAATCTCAAAAATTGGACATTTGTTTATCCAAGAAACAGACAGCTCTGATTATAATCTAATAAGTGGGGGCTAAGAAGTATAATTTGGAAGGGGGAGAGGGAATTTGCATTGTGGACTTATTGAATGATCAGAATACAGAGGAGGAGCAGGAGGTGAAGAACCAAGATGCGGGTAGTCTTCATGAGGATACTTAGCCAAATTTTCAATAGACTTCATCAAAGCCAAGATTTGGAAGTCTACTTTTTAAAAAGTGATGGTGAATAAATATATTACATTTTTATACAAAATTTTAAATTAAACTTCAAGAATTATTTTAGCGGTAAAATATTTAGAATTAATTTAAATTTCGAAATTCGACATAAAAGACCTTTGGAATGGACCTATTTCCTTCTAGGAATCTTTTTTCAAACCCGAGTTCGCCTTAAACTTTTGAACCAAACCCTTGTAAGAAGTTATTTGTAAATCCTCCATTCACCCCTGAGTTTGGAAATCAGATTAAACAACCAATTAAACTATAAGTAAGAGATGGGATTGGGATTAACTAAAAAAATTAATTAGCAATGAAAATTTAATAATAGAAATCAACAGCATTTTAATTTAATTAGATGGGTTCGCCAAGCACTCCTAAACGTAGGGAGTAAAAATTAGAACAATCTACTGGGGAGAAGAGTAAGCAAAGCCAACTAAATAGGATGAATAAGAAGAAGATAATTCGAAATTTGAATAAACAATTTGAGGGAGAAACTGAGGTTCCAAAAAGCAGATATCATGAGGAATACATATAAGTGGATGTGTTGGGTAGTGGTTATTTTGGATAAGTCTATAAATGTAAAAATAGATTTACTAATTAAATTTGTGCTATCAAATGCACAAAAATCAAACAAAACAAATTGAATATAGATTTAGCCAATGAATCTCAAGCATTGGCTTATTTAAACGCTAAAGGAGCTTGTAAGAATCTGGTTAGATACTTTACTTCATGGCAAGAAGGGAACATGCTTTATTTGTTAATGGAGTATTGCGATTACAGTGTGAGTTCCAGATAGGATTATGAGGAATTCGAGATTAAAAAAATACTAAAAGACATAACCAATGGATTGATTTTCTTGCATGAACAATAAATATCTCATCTTGATATCAAACCAGAGAATATTCTGTATAGTAGGAAGGATGGTTAATACAAGTTGGCCGATTTGGGTTTGTCAAAGAAAATACAAAAACGTTAGGAAGACGTGAGTGTCGGTGATATAAGATACATAGCAAAGGAATTACTGAATCAGACAGAAAAGTTGGATCTCTGTAAAACAGATATATTCTCTTTGGGTGCCACTCTCTATTAATTGATGACAAGAAAGTAATTACCTTCAAATGGAGAGGAGTGGCGCCGTATTAGGGAGGGCATCTAGATAACAGATTTCCCTCAAAATATGTATTCTCTTAGGTTGAGGAAATTAATCTGCAGAATGATGGACCCTGATCCATTCTCGAGAGTTAGTGCGAAGGAGATCTTAGAAGATGAGTATATATATGTCAAGAAAGAGAATTATATCAAATGGGAAAAAATACGTGGTTTGATGCTTAGAAGACAATTGGATGAATGTTTAATTAAGCAAAGAAAACACAGTATTTGATGGGATGCTCCATTATTTGATATTTTTGTAAAATTTTGTTTTATAAATTTTTGTAATTTTTATGAAAACTTACACTAAATCATAATTATATTAAGAAGAAAACATCCCAATCAAAATTTAGCAACAGGAACAAATCCAAGGCACAGAAATGAAACAAGAAAACAATAGGATAACATCCTCAATACCAGTTTGTGTAAAAACTAGACTCCCCGAATCTCGAATCTACATGAATAATAGCAAAATTCCATAGTTTTAAGAAGTGTAAATTCATTGGTCAGAACGAGCTCCAATTCAATAAGTAGTAGCTTAATAAATTGTTTCTGATGTCCGCTAATCATCTGTGGAGCAAATAAATAATTAATAAATGGCCTAGCCTGTAAGTAGGCCATATTAACCTGGATCTGGGTTTCCGACTCGCTAAAATTTGCCATAGATTCCGAAGATGAGACACTCATAGTATCTATAATGCAATTGGTGCAATTAAGAAGTACATTCCAAAGTTGAATATCGAATTGGACTTTCATAATTGTTGCTTTGTATTTTTTTGTTTCCTGCTTTTGGAGTTGGTTTTATTTTTGTATGCTGTAACGTAAGAATTTATATATTAGCATAGATGTATAAAGACTGTTATCACTTCTGCACTAATTGTTGGTGCGAAATAGGAAGAGTAAAATTGATTGATTTTAATTCTTGATATTAAATTTATAATATTTATTATGTTGGCTCCTCAATACATATTAACAAAGTTTCAGGAATTCTTGGAAATATAATTAGAAAACAAACCAAAAAAAAATGAAGTAATAAAGAAATTAAGAGACTTTAATAGATATTTTGCTGCGAACAATTACAATATTGGCAAAGGATTTGAATATCTTTAGAATAACCAAAACAACTTGCAATAACTAGTGCCAATACCGAAGATAATCATCGATAAACTTCAAATACCAGAAAGCACTATGCAATTAACTGGACAAGGATTGCAGGGCTTGTATAATGCAATAATGATCGGATTACTAAACAAGAAGGGATAATTTATTGCTGATGGAACACCTTATTAACAGTTGAATTAATTGATTAAAACCAACTCAATCGATCAGAGTCTGGGATTGTGGTGCTTTACAGAAATAGCAAACATTCTATTGAAAAATAGCATAAATCTAAATTTGAGTAACCATCTGCTTGAAAATGGGATTTAAGTTAGCGATTAGGTAGATGTAAAAAATTTGTCTATTGGACAGAGTGCACTTTTAGTTGATAATCTTAAATATGTTATTAATGTTGATATACAATAAATACTTTATTACAAACCGAATAAAACGCTACATAGATTGGTGTTACTTAATTCTAGTCTTCCTAATAGTATCAAGATAATGATAGAAAATGATATATACTAAAATGTGCTGTTGTTTTCGTTATTCTAAGAGGAGTAGAATAATCAAAGAAGTCAATAACTTGCAAATTAATAACAATATAGCTCTCAATAATACAGTTCAGTGCAGAATAATAAGTCAATAAGTCTTCAACAATAGGTTAAATTTCTTTTGGAAGAGATGAATCAGTAGACGGAAATGCTTATAGAATAAAACCAATTGAAGACGTTGCCTGAGTTTAAAGCTTAACAATATGTGAAGTAAATGAAGAACCAAATAACATCGGAGGAAAAGAAGAAGAAGTGTCTTAAATGCTAACAGGAGTTTAGTAGCGATATTGGAAGCATAGCAGGATAAATTACGAACTTTTGTATGAAATGTTATAAAGAGTTTTCAATTTGAAATATTTTAATAGGCTATAATATATGTATTTTATGGTTATTTTATGTAATTTGATTAATAAATACAATTAACTTATTGTAATTAATTGGGAATTTTAGTGTATGGACATCGATTAAGAGAAAGAATTTAACGAAGAAAATAATGAAATAATAGAAGAAGACATCAATTAAATCTAGAATGAGGTGCAAGATATCCAATTCTAATAAGTGAATGAGAATTAGGAGAGTGTATCAGAAATAAATAAACAATTAGAATAAAAAGGGTGAGATAAGAAGAGTGCCAGTGCCTCCTCATAGAGTAACTCCATTGAAAAACAATTGGGACAAAATATTGACAACGATAGTGGTATTTGTTTAAATGAAATGCAAAGGAAAACATGAAGTTGTAAATAAGGATGAACACAAAAAAGAAGTGTGTCGAAATAAAGACGTCTTAATTCACTGAAGACAAGACTTCATTGTAGAGAGGGGTCGATTTTTTGAAGGCATTCATGATGGGTATTGAATTTAACAATTCTTAGGATTTGATATTGATGATTCGGTGGCTTTGTTGAGATTGGATGACTTGTATGTGGAATCATTTGAAGTTAAAGATGGTACTAATCGATGTAATGTTAATAGTTAAAACCTTACATGGTGATCATTTGTCTAGATGTATTGGACGTATTTCTGGTGAAAAAGGCAAAACTAAATTTGCAATTGAAAATGCCACAAGAACAAGAATAGTTTTAGCAGATTAAAGAATACATATACTAGGGAGCTATTCCAATATCAAAGCCGCCAGAGATGCAATTTGTGCTTTGATTTTGGGAAGTCCTCCTGGAAAAGTCTATTCCTAATTGAAATCTCTCTGTAGAAAATATGTAGAGAAAAGTTGAATTATATTCGTTTATCATAATCATTATTATTATTTATACATTTTATCGCAAATGGAGGAATCGGGTATAGTGTTTGGTTGGACAGTGTGTCTTTGCCAAAATTTGGATTCGTCCTTCTTTTCCCAGAAGTGATTGATGGGTGCACTTGATTCGGGGCCAACTTTTCCATTCATACAGAAGGAAAGCCAAATGAGCAAATCAGGAGTAGTATCAATTTCAGCTGACAGAGTATGAGGCATTTCATGAATGTGTGGATAAGGGTTCTTCTTTGAATAAATTGAGACTTTGGGTTACGCTTTCTAAAATTCCTCTATTTCTGATTGTAATTCTGCTTGTAATTTGGCCACGAGAGATAACCCCTTATTGTTTACTACTTCAATAATATCAGAATTGATGGGGATATGTCGAACAAAGAAGATGTAAGTGAATTGTATTATCTTTTCTAGAGTGATAACTCTCGAAACTTGATTTTAGCTTTTGGGATGAGAGGTGAATTTCATAAAGGAGCATTCCGAAAAGAAAAAGCCAACACTACATTGCTGATTTTTGTCCAAGAGCACATTGGCACCCAATTCCAGATTCAATTTCGGATTCTAATGCCAAAGTAGAACCTTCATTTCCTGTTGATCAGTGAGTGATTTCACTAGTGGGACGTGGAATATATTCTATTTGAAAGGCTTTAGATGATCAGACTAAATATAAATTTATTGTTAGTACAATTAAGCAATTGAACATATAGCCATCCTATCTAATGACAAGATTGAAGGTTTGTCTCTTGTCTTTCATCTAAACATTGTATATGCTTATCATTCCTGTGGAATTAGTTTGAGCTATTCGAATGGGATAATATAAATTTTGATTCAACTCCTAACATTTCTCCACATCTTGGTACATAGTAACAGTTGCTCCAACAATTGGTTCAAATGTTTCAGCATCACTTACAATTATAGTGACTGTAGTGTACTATCCTAAACTTTCCTCTTCTCCTGTTTCGCCAAGATCCTTATGATTTCTTTTTTGATGAGAAAGCCTAGGCAATTTAACAGTTCTGATGGTGTCAAACTCCTCCTCTTAATATTGAATCATTTATTCAAAAATAATCTCCTTTTCCTTTGTTGAAAACCTAACAGTTGCCTCTTTATCTGGTGGATGGCATACATACACTTTAGAATTCAACAATTAGTTTATAGGTCCTTCCAAACCCTCAAAGCATAGTTTGTCAGTTGCTTCCTCACCGTGCAATGCTTATTAAAGGACATATGGATCATATGCATGACTTCCAAAGATTGCTATTTCTTAATCTTGAAATGTAGGTAGCAACTAGAATATTCCATTTTGCGATTCTAAACAAGCATAAAATCCCATTCTAGAACATTTAGCTTAGCCTGCACATGCATTATGATCAAAATGAACTTTGAATGCCTTATTATGTTGATCTCTCACTTCCTAACATTATGGAATTGAGGATAAGGGGGTTAGATTGGTGAAATATTTCGGTTCTAAATTGATTTAATCCTTATAATTAAATTCTGGCATTTTAATTGGCACTTTCTGATTGTATTTGATTGACAAATATATTCCAAGAATAATTGAAAATAATGCCAGAACTATCTATACTATATATTAGGTCTATGAATAGACTGATGGCCCTGCCTTTATTACATTCGGTTCTTGTAGAGCAATGTCAAAACAATGACCTGCTGCTATGAATCCTAAAAATGCAGTCAAAATTGAATAGAAAAAATATTACTTATAAAATAGAGTTCTTTCTTCACTTACTAAATAACAACAAGACAAATTCATACAGGCTAGTTGATTCCTTTTCTCAGAATTAGGTTTATCCACTTCATTCTCCCATACTATACCAACCTCGTCTTATTGACAATACATGTCAAAGTAATTGCTACCTTATATATTCACTGTCTTGTATTTTGCTGGACATCCTATAGAATCTATGTAAGTTTGGGAGAAGGTCTGGATTGTTGATTTGCAGTCCTTCTTCAATTCTTAAATTGACTGACTTGAAGCATACAAGAAATTTAAGGAGTTCGAAATTAAAAATACACTAGCCACCATGATCAAAAGGAATGGTAAGAAATAGAATTTCACTTTTGGGAATACTTCTTATTGAATTGATCTTTGTTCAAACAACGTGAATAAAGAAAATATCAAACCAATCAAACAGGTCCAAAATATTGAAGTGTGAGCTCCTTTTGCTTTCTCCATACTTTCTTAATCAACTATCCCACCTAATTTGGATGGCAAATAATTGGTGTCTCCTATCGTTATACAACACATAAAGATGAATCTTGTAATAAGAAATAATCGTACATCGTCAAAAACCAACCCAATAAGGATGGCAAATTCATTGGTTAAAATTCTAGATGGTATGATACTTTAGCATAATAGGCCAGAAGAACCAGATCCACTAAAATTAGTATTAATTGGGACAACACAATTATGAAAGCCTCCTTTTGAGCTGTATTTACTGGGACTCCTTGAGCAGCCATCAAAGCCCAGGAGTATCCTTCGTTTTCTAAAATGCCAAAGAAGCAACTTGCATATAATGCTATTAAAATGAAACTAATAACGTAGATCAAGCCTTCAATATGCCAAGCTTGCAAAGGCATTTATTCATCATTCTTATCCTACAAATTTAAATTTTTACACTATACTTTCTTATAAAAATTGTATCCCTTATGACTCCAATACAAAACCACCAAGCTGATCAGCAGAAAAAAGATACTCGTGATTCCCAATATCAATTATGGTTTATTCAAAGAAAAGAGCGTAAACGGTATTATTATTTGCCATATTGACACTAAAGTGGCACCTGCAGAGGCCCAGGATAACATATCAAAATGATAAATCTATTCATTTAATATCTGCATTTGTTTACTTTATCCTACTTGGTTAGCTGAATCCCTTTCTGAATGATCGGAGCTTCCTCCTGTTGTTTTGATAAATTCATTTTATATTTATAATTCAAATAATAAAAGTTAATTTTTCAAACAATCTCGTTTTTATTAATATCTAACTTTGATGATTATGCAATCATCTCAACACTTTTGATTCCAACTTGAGAACAACCCCTTTGATACATTTCCTTCATAAATTGATAAATAAATGTTTGATATAAATATAATTTTTATTAAATTTTGTAATTAACAGTTAATTTTACAATGATTAGATTTGGAAAATCACCATAACCCATTTAAAAGAACCCCAAAAAAGCAGACAATTTAGAAATTCTCACTTTGCTAGACAATTGCACATGTAATTATTCTACTAAAAATTAGTAATCTTCAAGGATGATAGGATAGCATTAAGAAATATGGTTAAAGATGGCAATCAAGATGTCATTGCAATACTGAATCACTATAAAAAGGGCAATAATCTTAAAGACTTGTCAACTGATTTAAGGAAATACCTTAGAAGAAAGGGAGACAAAGAAAACGAAAAGGTTCTCACTTGTCAATCTCCTACATCCAACAGAATGTAAAAAGTATAGCAATTGCAACTTCAACCTTTACAAAACAGTTAAAAGAAATCTTGTCCTGATTTATGGAAACCAGTTGAATAGCAATCTCCAAAAACAATCAACTTAGGTAAAACTAATTAGTTTGTGAATGAAGTCCAATTTTCAGAAATCGTACTTTCAGCTAGAAATCAAAATGAATCTAAAGACATCGAATAAACCTATTTCTAAACTAATGTCTCTTAATAATATGCATTTCATCAACCAGCTCATAATTAACTCGACCATTCTTAAACAATTCAATAGAGCAGTTAATTATAAAATAGTTAACAACATCAATTATAGGATTAAGACATTGATATCAATCAAGAGGATGATCTCCAATCTGAATCTTCAAACGAAAGCATTTTAAACTAGATCACATAGCCACCTCCTCAAATCCAAGACATTACTCCAAAAAATGAAGTCAAACCATCCTAATTATTTCAAAGTGGCCATTCCACCTATATACAAATTAACACCGCCTAATCTTATCTTTAGCCTCTATTGGCAATCCAAGACAAAACAGCAAATACCCATAAATCATAAGAAACTGAAAATCAAATTATTGTTAATGACTCTCAAAAATACTACAGCTTTTACAATTATTAAGATTATTAAAAAGCAGCTCAACCACAATACAAGCATTTATTCACTCATTGGCCGTCTCTACTACATAAATTAGATGAACCTGAATATGTTCCAAATTGTAGAGTTGTTCCATATATTAATGCTACTCCTGAACAAATATTTACCATTCTCTTTCCGAATTCAAGCAGAGCCAAAATTAGTTATTATGCGTTTGAGAACTAGCTAAAACACAATTTATTACAAATTGATAGGGACTCTCTCTTCAAGGAATTAGATAAGGATTAAGACGATTGGATTAATTATAGTGAAACTGGTGTTATTCTAGAAGGTTTGTGTTTGTAAGTAGAATAACCAAAGAATTGCGTGAAGGTCATTTTCGAAACTTTGAAATCCACTCCTTCTATTCCAAACACTTTAAGTCTTTCAGATCTTGAAGAATTTGAAAAAAAAACAGATTTTCAATTTGCAAGATAGTACATATTATTTATTAATATTTAAGATTAATGTAAGAAGTAGATGGTAATCAAAAAGGGTATCTAACTTATTGGGATTTATATATGCATCGTGATATATTTCTAATGGAAAGATTATGCTAAATAGTTTCATCAATTACAGGTGCCACCCATACACATTATTGACTTTTAAATTATTATTAATATTTATAATTTGATGGATTATTGGACACTTAGTGGAGGTGTAGCATGCAGAAATGGGTGGTCTTGTCGTGCCTGCAAATAAAACATTTATAAGGGACAAGAGATCTTAGTAAGAGAAGGCAGAAAATTGAGGTTCCATTTTCATAAAGGCTGTTTTCAAGGAAATGGAGATCCAAGAACACAAAATGAATCAACCTACTTTAATTAATAAAGATATGGTAAAATAGCTGATAAAGCTCCTGAAGTAAAAGGGTATGGTAAATGGAGTGTAGGTAGTTATGGCTATTAACCAAGCTTTAAATGATAATATTAGTTTATTAGATATTCATTTTATATAACTTGGAATTTGTAGGTGTTTCCCTTCAATACTTGGTTCTATTTTCCTTTTTTAATAATTCTACATCTAAACCCCCTGATCCTTGATTATTGTGTAGTTTTTTAATTGCAATTTTTATTTTTCTCTAAATAGTTCCTAATAAAACTAAAGTGGACTAGAGGGTAAAAACCCAAAGCCTAAACCTTATTACATTTGTTATTGGTCTGAATAAATTGTTTTATTTTACGACTTCAATTTCGATGCCTAATACAGGGTTAGATTTTGATTATTGAGAAATTAATTAGGAATGTTAAATTATTATTTTTTATTGTTTTAGCTAAGACTTCTTCGTTTTGTGACTGAAGATACCCTTGAATCTCCTTCATCTCTCAAAATTACTAAGACATCCTATTAAATGGAGCTTTAATCATTATCTCTAAATTGAACATTCGGACTATTTTTGTGCTGAGATGATTGATAATCTGAATCAACTTGAATTCCTTTGTCCACATAATTTATTTCTTGTATCATAAGATGATCTTTCCTCCTTACTTTCTCAACCTATTTCTGAAATCCACTAGAAGTTGTATCTAGCAATTATTACTAACTCTTTTTTTCCTTTTTAGCTGCAACATTTTCAATTTTTCTATCTCTCTTTTAACTAATCCTAGGAGTATTGATCTATTGATATTAATTTTGAACTCTATTCGATTTTGGAGATTAATTTGTATGATTTGATGTTTTTTGAGTGCCCTTAATTTGGAATTTGTTTTCAATATAGGAATTATTTAATTGATCTTTTGGACTGATAGCCTAATCTGTGATTTAAAATTGAATGAGAGGAACTTCTGGGGACTATAATCGATATGGTTATAAGTTAGCATCCTCATTCAACTCTTATGACATTGCATATCTAATCTATATTAACAATAGAATAATACATCAAAAAACTCAGTAATTGTTTCAGCTTCTCTCTTTTGTTTACTCTGATGAATTAATTATGATGAAATTGCCAATTAAAAAAATGTGATCAAACTAGATTGAACTTCTGGATCTTCATTTTGCAAGAACTCTAAGCTTATCCCGCTTTTTAAAATTGATAACAAATTCACTTTCGATGGATACCCTAATCTTTATAATATCTAACAAAAAGGCTTTGATATTAACTTTATAGTAGATTCACAATTTAAGAGTTCCTACTTTTGGGCTTGGATTGTTTATGAAAACATTTAAATTGTATGTTTATGCTTCTATAATTCTAATTACTACTATTTGAATTTCTATTCTAAAATATTCTTCTCTTATTCCACTTTTATTATATTATATTGAGCCTACTAATAATTTTATATCAATTTTTCATAATCTCTTATTGTAAATTCATCATTGACCTATTTTAAAAATCGATTGATTCTTATTTTTAATTCATACAAACTATCTTCATCCTATTCTGATTCAAAAAGCTGATAGAATTAGGAAAAATTAACCCATCTTGCAAAAGCACACCTTAGTGTGATTTTTCTTATTAATTAAGGATCTGTCAAATCTTTCTATTGCATTTTCAGTTTCCTTTCAAATTCTTAACTCAGATTAAGTTATTGTTCCTTCAATTTCTACTCAATCAAGTCATTAAATTATTCCTGAATTTTTAATGTGTTCTCTTCATTAGATACCCGAAGTTCCTCAATAATCTATTCTTTATTTTATAGGTCTTATTTTAAAGAGGATATAATTTGGATATTATCATCTATCATAATTTTTAATTATTCCTCGTATAATTATTTTTATCTGCAAAACATCCTACCCCCAGCTGAATTTTTAGAAATAAGTTCATCAATCTCTCTATAATTGATTCCATAACCTCCTATTTAATTTTCAAACACTTAAAAAATTATCTTGTTACCAACTTAATCTTAAATTTGTTTCCAAATCTTATAAGGATCCTTTTCGATCAGAAACAGCATTTTAATAATGGACTGCAGAGTATTATTTTATAGTAAAACCGAAATAGTTCGCTTATGGGATTCACATTCAGTACTCAATGCAGTTAATTCAATTTTATATCTTTAGACTGTCTATTAGCATTATTTCTATAACAAATGAAATTTCTCCTGAATATAGTTCTACAATTCAGGTTCCAATGCCTATTTGATATCGAAGTAAGTAACTTCATAAAATTCAGTTCCTGGATTTTCTAGTTACCTCAGAAACTTCAATAAGAGGAAATATTTACCATTGATTTGAGATGTTAAATATCTTTTAAATAGTTTGTGGTCATCTGTAAAATTTACTCATCTCTCTTAGTAACTTTGAGGTTAGTTTCATATAGTAACTGCTGCAGGGTATTTAACTAAGCGAGATCATTTTCAGCATTAGGAATGCCTGTTGGTTTATGTTCTAGGGAAAAAGTCTTATGTATTTTAGGTTTAGGTTTAATGATGGAATCAAATTCATCACTTGAACTTTATTCTCCTGATTAAAAACCCTCATTCATAAATATGTTTTTAAAGTGGTTCTTATGTTATATTGAATTCAAATATTATTGAATGTTAAACATAGTTTTATCGATTTCTGTAATTGTAAAATATTATTCAATATCATACTCTATTGGAATATGAAATATGTAATGTATACAATCTTTTACAAACCTTACAATATTGGTTTCTAAAATATCCTATTTTTAATTTCAATTCCATACATTAATCAGAGAGCTTTGTTCTAACTGCTATCTCAGACTATTACAAAGTTTTTCAATGAATTTTAACATTTAATAGTTTATATATTAAAAGTTAAATGGAAACAGTACTTTAAGAGAGTATACTTGCATTAACTTTTGGTCACTAGAGAAGCAGCATTATCTACTTGGCTCAACATAATTTCTAATGTGAGAATCCAATAAATGAATTGATCGAATTAGAATTGCACAATCAGACTGTATCGGATAGGTAAATAATAATAATTGATCTTAGGTATATCATCTCAAAATAGCTACCAAATCAACCTCCATTCTTGCTTATCATTTCAAGAAGGAAGGATTTCTAATTTTTGCATTTCAAACCTTACTTAATGGAAATATGATAATTGGGAAATAGTGCATAAGGATTCAATCAATCAATTTTGTTATTTGAGACCAAGGGAAGAGTGGATATGAAATTTCATATGCCGATGTGAGCAATCTGGATGTAAGATTTGCATTTTACTACTTATAAAGGGGATTCTCTTCTTCAGCGCTATAGATTAGAGAAATATTTATTGTGCCAATATTGATGACACAATCTAATCAAAAGGACCACAAATAATTTTAAGTAAATTAAGATTGTCTGAATGAGTTAAAGTCAATGATCTGAAATGCCATCATACTAATTATAAAATATATGTAGTCCATGTTCAGATGGATTAGTAGGAGTGCGGAATCAACTACTTACACTTAATTAAATAGCATACAAGATGAAAATAATATTATTATATCACTTTCATTCTAATAGAATGGTTAAAAGATGTTGTATCGGAGGTATAATAATGGAAAAGTAATATTGATTATTCCAAATAAACTAGATTTTATGCTACGATGCAAAAACCTTAGGAGTTAGAAATATATTGTTGGCCATTTACTAATCAGAGTAGATTCACAATAATGGCATAATATGTTTACATTGGGTTAATTAAAATGGAGCCATTAATTGTAATTAATTTTGGCTTATCTCTACGATGGAGATATAAAATTATTGAATATCAAATTACTCGTACCTTAAGATATAATCAGAGATTAGAAGGTATCAAAATCAAAAAAGCAAGAATTCTTTGAGAGCATTAAAGAATTTAAAATCTATAAGCTATTAAAAATGATCTAAAATACAATGCATAGATACAGCAGCCAAACATTGGAATATCTAAATTCATTTAACTCCATCCTTATGCCGATAGATATATGATTTTAATAGAAAACCCTATCTTCCACTAATTGAGTGTGAGACCTAACTCTCTGAATATCGCTCCTAGAACTCAGTTTCTCTTAAGTCGTAAGATAGGAAAAACCCATAGATGTTGTACTATAATGTCCAATGATGGAGTATAAACAGATAATTTAAAGGAATATACTGCTCAATTTTCTATGTTTCTAGGTTAAGAATTTTGGGCTAATCTTCCATTATTTTGCTATATGATGATAGGTCAAGTTATAGTATCAGATTTGAGGATATTCTACCTCAGGAAGACATGTTAAAATTATTGAATAACAAGATAAAAACAAATTACAAAATTAAATGAAACAGTCATTTAATCTAAAAGTGTCTAGAATGTTTTGGACACCTTTGAGATCTGGCTTTGTCGTAATCTATCAGCCAATGAATGAGAGGAACTTAAAATTTAGTAGAAACAGAAATTCAGAGAATAATCTCTTAGATCTATTAATGTAAAGAGGTTCTGAAATGGGTTTCAAATTTGGAACTGATGAATAAGTAACAGATCTAGTTTGGCAGAAGGATCAATTCTCAGAACGAGATCTATATGGATTTGATCATAATACATCAAAACATTATTCCAAGTCACACAAACTTCATTGGATTATTTAATCAATAGAATATTAAAACACTGAAACTTTACTCAATTAATTGTATTAGAGCTTAGATAAAGTTAAACTGACAGAGGAAGATCATTAATTACTTAAGGAGTGTGAAAAAAACTAGCCGAAATACAAGACAAAAGAATTCTGGATTATATTAATTATCATGTCCAAATTGGAAAAGTCATTTTCCTTTTAAACGAATTAAGAAACGCAATAAATGTAATAAAGACTATTTTTGCCAATTTAAATGCTTTGCATATCTAAGGTTGATTGCTTGAGGTGTAAGGCTTGCGAATCTGTTTCAGCTAAGAATCATGTTAAGTTGGTTAAGAATGTCCATATTGCCATACTGATGTATTGAATATAGTTAGCGCTTGATTTTGATTTTTTATTAATGATATAATAATACCTCTTTTAATATAAATTAATTTAATAAATATTAGTTAAGAGAAATCAAATTTAATATTAATGGATAATAAATTGAGAAGTGTGGTTTAATTTGCTCTCTACACTCTATTATTTTCGGTTCAGAATACTATGGATTTTGGTTAAAGAATAGAATATTCCCTTTATGTATAAATTTGAATTTGATTAGGCCATTTATTTAGTAAGTTGTTTATTCTCATATTATTATCTATCAAAGTTCATTAAAACATATTGTAAGAAATCTAATTAAATGTATTAATATATTTAAAGAAATGAAGTTAAACATTAACCAAGGTACTTTTGGTGACTTTAATGTTAAATTGTTTACCATTTGAAAATTTATTAGGTGACAAATATCAATAATTATATCGAGAATTAACCGAATTAATTAATCAAACAATCTTATTTTACACATGGTTAGTTATGTTTGAGCAAAATTTAAAAAAAGAAAATGTCGATTAATAAGCTATCAAGCCAATTTCAGTATTTAAAGTTCTCTTTTGTTTTGGTTACCCAATTAATTCAGCCTTAGAGATTATAAATAGAATAGTAAATCCATTTCAATCTATTTTTTAGATATTCTAAAAAGAAAGAGAATATCAAGTGCTTTTGGGACTGGAATTAATTTATGGAATAGTATTTCTTGTCTAATATGGCCTCTATATAAAGTAGTATTAAATTAGAAATGTGAAGACTAGTGTCAATTATAAGTAGCATGATCCCTTTGATGATGAATTGGCAGACACAATTTAAAATGAAAATGATAATGAAACTGTGATATACGACTATTTCAGATTTTCTGTTATTGCATGCTTAGGTCTTATTATAAACACAGTAGTCAAAGTTTATTAATATGAACGCTCAAGTATGAGTTTTATAAAATAAACTGGAATCATTGTAGTTTATGCAATATTCATTTCAAATTTGATTAAAATTGCTGAAGATAAATAAATAGAACACAAAACCTTTTTAGAATTGAGTAACAGACAGACTAGAAGCGATGATCCCTTATAGGTTTGAGAGTTTTTGCATTATTATATAAATTAATAAAATATGAACGTTTAATAAACTAAAACATCGTCACTTAAGGACTTTTAAATAATTTAAGAGTTAGGGAAGGGATCGTTTAGCACAGTTTATAAGGTATTTTGATGTTTAAAATCCAGGTGAAAAGAATAGCAGATGGTTAAGAATATGCATTAAAGAAAGTGAAATTAGGATCTTTAAAATACAAAGAAAAAGAGAATGCGCTAAATGAAGTCAGACTGTTGGCTTCGATCAATAGCAAGTACATTGTAGCCTATAAAGTAACATAAATAATGATGAAATAGGAAGCTTTTTTCGATGATGAATGTAAATGCTTATGTACTGTAATGGAACTTTTATCTGGAGGTGATGTCTACCGCAGAATCACTTAAGCTCAAAAGGGAGGACCACAATTCTCAGAATAGGAGATATGGATAGCCTTGATTCATATGATTTTGGGGTATGAATTTGTAGTTAAATAAGATTGAAAACTCTTCATGATTAGAAGATAGTGCATAGAGATTTAAAATCAGCAAATGTTTTCCTTTCTAGTGATGGTACTTTCAAATTAGGAGATCTAAATGTGTCAAAAGTAGCTAAATAGGGATTTGTTTATACTTAAACTGGAACACCATATTATGCTAGTCCAGAGGTGTGGAGAGATGAACCTTACGATTTGAAAAGTGATATATGGTATAGAAATTTTAAGATATTTAAGGTCTTTAGGCTGTGTTCTTTATGAAATGTGTTGTTTGTAAACTCCATTCAGAGCAAAAGAAATGGATGTTCTTTTTTAAAAGGTTTAAAAAGGGTTATACGATTAAATACCAGCCAAATATTCCAAAGATCTTGCTTAAATTATCTCTTTACTATTGAAAACGTAATCTTCACAAAGACCCAATTGTGATGAATTATTAAAAAATCCCATAATTCTAAATAGAATGAGGGATATTGAAACTCATATCAATTCTTAGCCATAAAATTAGGAACTGTTAAAAACTATATAAATTCCTAGGACTATTGATTAATTAAATTCTCAATTTCCTAAATCGAAATATGAAAACGAAATTATGAGCATTGAAAGGAACATTGAGAATAAATCAACAGAAAATTCATCTAGTCCTTTTAGATCTCCATAATAAATCATTAAAACATAATAAGATTCGAGATTAAGTCAAGTCAAAGACAGATAAATCACTGATATAACCAAAAGCATAGCTTATTTAGAGAGAAAAAACAAACACCCTTTGTTAATTGAAGGACCTAGACCATCTGCATCAAGAAAAATAGAAAAACCAAAATCTGCCTAACCTCAATAGCGTTACCACAATAATGATAAAGGATCTTAATTAGGAGATTCCAATGTTAAGAACTCATCAATAAATAAAATCAAAGAATTTGAAAATCTAAGAATAAAAAGAGAAAATGAACTTAAGGCTATTTAAGAATTCAGAAAGTAAGAAATCCAAGATTCTAAAATTCGAGAACTAAGAGACATAAAATAAATTAGGGATGCCTCCAAAGAATTAATTGCTGAAAATAGAAGAATTTCTCCAATATCCTAAGCAAAATAAAATGGATAATATGGATAGTATCAACAGTAGTATGGAATTTAAAAGCACTCCTACTCTCCAATCACTAGAAAAGCCGAACTGCCTTAATATAATATCAAGTATGTATATTAATAAGTTTGCAGAAATAGAGTAGTATAAAGTCAAATGTAATGTAGAACTTAAATAAGTTAATCTATTAATATCAGCAATCCTAGCCAATAGATTCGTCAACCAATAATATATCAAGAAGCTATTACAAGCAAGAGATAATAAATTCCATAATCTGCAGCGCCAGTCCCTTAAATTTATTCATCAAATTAATAATAACTACCAAAATCCGATAGATATTAACACCCTTAATCGGCATTGCCAGCAAGGGTAGAGTAACAGAAGCTAGAAAGATCATAAGTATTTCCAGTTTAAGCAAGAGTTGTCAAAACTAAATAAAATGAATCAAATGCAATCAATAAAAATTAATCAACAACAAAATAAACACGTCCTTTATCTTCAAATTTAATTTCTAATGAAAGACTTTCAAAGTAGGAATACTAGCCTCAAAGTAATTAAATTCATGTAAACTACAACCATTATTACCCAATCGAAACCTATTAAAGGCATGCATCAGATTAAAATTTAATTAGATATTAGTATATATAATTATTCTATCTTTTTAGATAAAGATAATAAAGCAGATAACTAAAATAAAATTTAGAGAGTAGAAAAATATGATAAATTTTTACTGTATAAATATTTTTTTTCTTAATTTGATTTTTTTATAATTATTGAGCAATTTTTGACATTTTTTAACAAATTAACTTTCATTTATATAATAATCATTGATCAAATATATTCTGGTCTTAGGAAATTGACGTTAGTGCTTTAGATACTGCTTATAAATAATATCCATTTAAGCTTAATAATGCAGTGAAAATGTTGAATTATTTGATTAGTGGATCATATTCTGTTTCATAATCTAGATCTTAAGTAAATAAAGCATATGCTGTTTTACTATAAGGAAATGGAATATACACTTCTTAAAATTAAGCTATGCTTAAAACACACTTTGTATCTTTTGGATAAGCTGAAGAGCCACCTTTAACCTTAAAATAACGAAATTTCTTACTCCCACATGTTTGTATGTTTTAGCAAGGATTTGATTCTTCAATGATGCATACCCAATTAAAGGATAAAATATATCATAAAACTTAGTATTGAACGTTTCCTATTTATTGAGTTTATCTAATAGATTGACATAAGCTGAAGTGGATGCTTTTGTAAAGTATTATGCTTATATTCCTAGTATTTCTCCATCAAGCACTTCTTTTCCTCTATCTAATAAATCTTATGCTTATTGACCTCCTTGTTCTAAGATTTAATGAATTCTATTTGTCTCTTCTAAGACATATTCAGGAGTAAACGAAGAAATTTATTTTATGTATTCTTCCCTTTCCTTATTATCATAATTTAAAAACACTAAAAAGAATGACGATAAATAAAACGATTGAGTTTGCTCTAGTTACAAAGATGAAATAGTTTATTCAATAGAATCCATTGTTAAGAGTGTTTGCAAGTATTCTGTATTACAGTTGGAGCTCAGAGCTATCATAGCATTTGCTATTTCGATCAATTGGATCTTACCATCCTAAATTTTTCCCATTTTATCCCAGAGATCCAAAAACAAAGCATGAGATGTATCAACATCTTTCAAGTAGTATTTATTAACTTCATCTAGTGATATCCATTTTTCAGGATCAATTATGCCACTTGCAGATTATCTTGAAAATTCTATTGCTACAGTAATTTTGAACACACTCATTAAATCTTATTGTCTATTTCCTTGATAATTAAGTATCTCAACATCATCTGTTTTTACTGTTATGGAAGTTCGACTTGGATTTTATTTTAAGAACTCAACAAATGTTGGTTACACGAATTCATTCAATAAGAAAACTTTAAATTTTGTTTCTTAATATTCCCATTCAATTGATCCTACTGCCAAATTCTTTTTGAATCCAAGGATGAAGATTGGATGCTAAGGAGCGGGAGAAGATTATGACCAGTATTCAATTGGCCCTGTCTTACTTTTTTTAGCTACAAGAATTTCTTCAAATTATTTTAAAGTTAATGCCTTCTAGATTTCATCATCAAGTTATTGATATATAAGTGCAAAATTATCTATTATTGATACATTGAGTACATACCACCATTATAAGCTTGTTTTATGACATTAAATACAGCTAGGTTTGCTTCATCTGTTGGAATGAATTCGCACCTAATAAATGCCAATAAAATAAAACTAAGGAAGATAGCAGATCCTTTTGTCATTGGTTTATGTTATTTATTTTTATTCTATATATTTTTTAGACAATAAAAGGAATAAATTATAGAAAAATATACATAATTTCTTGTTGTGCATAAATCATAATATTTTTGTTTATTCTCACTTTTATCACATAAATTAAATTATTGCATCAATAATGGTCGCTCTTTTAATATATAATATAAAATTAGAAATCCTGTTTGTTTTAGACTATTCAAGAGAAAATGCTGACAGAATACTAGTTGAAATCAAATACAGCAACATCATAACAATTATCTTTTGGAAATTCATCATTCTATAAAAAGAATAGTTACTTTGGAGAACAGAAGAATTCATTATCATTTAATGTAATGTTTTGATCGTCTATATAATTATTAAATATGAAGTTTTATTAATGGAAACAGATCCTTCTTTATTTTATACATTCCATATTTATATTTTTGACAAAGAAATATAAATGACTCATTTTAATATAATCGCTATTAACTCTATTGAAGTAATGCTTGATGTAAATCTTTCAATACCCACTTTCGCCATTTAATTTTTAGTCTAAATTTAAACAGCTATGTTTGATCTTATGAAAAAAAAATGACTTTATTTTCATAAATGTCTGAAATAATATATTTGTAATTATCAAAATTTAAAGTATGAGATCATATTAAATATTTTTCAAAGTATAATTAATTCATATTCGGCAATATTCATATAAATTTAAAATTTGAAAATATCATTTCAAACCTGTTTTTGGTAGTAACAATGATAAATTATCTTCTCTTCATTTTCAATAAGAACATTTGTAATATTTTGTTAAGTTAGTCTAATTTATATATTACTTTCCGCAATACCCTCAGGGTTACTAAGAGGCTCCAATTAACATTCTATTAAGAATTTCAAAATCTCAAGTAATAAATAAATTTATAAGATTAATTTTTAAACAATTCAATCCAAATATTCAATTTTTATTTATTTTATTATCTCATCCGATGAATTAAATAAAAAATTTTCATATTCTTCTCCTCCATAATGTTTAGAGACAAAGATATAAAATTAACTTAGCAATAATAAGGAATTTTAGATAATTTCTGTAATGTAAATCTAAAATAAACGTTAAATTCTACTTATATTTAATCAAACGTGCTTTTATCTAGATAGTTATTGAGCTTAAGATTTATCTCCTAAATGAAATCAATTATGTTTTCATAAAATAGCGAATAAGACCTTTTAATTTAACCTTGTGATATTAGTAAATTAAAATCCTTTTATGCCTATCCTAATTTCTATTCATCCTTTTCTATCAATTATAATATGAATAGTTACCTTCTACTAATTTATGTTATAAATATTAATAAATTCTAATAAATTAAATTAATGTTTTCGCAACTATAAAAGTCATGTCTTTAACAAATTAAAAGTGCATCAGATTCTTTTAATTCATAAGATTATTCTTCCAATCAACCTCATATTAATTTATTTTAGGCATCCCTTTATAGACAAATTAAAAGAAGTTAGTTATGTAAGTCCATAATTTTTCAGGCGAAGTTAATTCAACCCACTAAATTTCTGGTCTTAATTATCCTGTAATTAATTAAAGCAGAACTGCCTTTGTTTCACTAAAATCAAGTTCACTTTCTTTTACTATATAGTCTCCGCCTAATTATGCCAAACCATCACACAAATAGATGATATTCTTTAAGTAAAATATGTAACTATCAAATTTTACCTAAAATACCATAAATAAATACGTCAAATTATTCTGCCACCAGCTTCAATTGAGAATTGATTTCTCTAAGTGTTTCTCCAGCCAATTATCTAAAAATAACTTAATCTACTGATCTTTGCATTTTAGTTATGAGATCTAACCCAAATATCACTGCAGGGTAAAGATCACTCCTTTAAATCTCGTATCCTTTAGGAATTGGCTAATTTTTCAAGAATTTAGGAATTGTTAATTTTTATTTTTGTCTTATGTAATCTTTTGGAGAATACTAATATATTTTCTATTGAATTTGAACCTATGATGATTATATTGATTTGTGAATGATATCTAAATTAATTTTCTCTAAAAATAAGTTTGTAAAGGTATTTAAGTAATTCTAAAAGCATTCTACAACTTATGATTGATCCTAAAAATAGAAATGGATTAATTACTTTACCCTATAAGATTATTTGAAATATTGGGAATAAATAATCGTTTTCATCCAATTAGTTCTCTTTTATTTTCTAAAATACTTTTGCAGTGTGATTTTTCAATTATAATAATGATTCACTAATCATGACTAATTAATCTAGATTATAGATTTTCTACAAAAATATTCTTACTGTCTAATAATAGTTATCAAGAATTCTTTATAAATGTTATTTGTCGTTCTCCTTGACAATTCTTAAATTTAATCTGAAAAATATTCTTGAATAAAATGCTTCAATTACAGTAGTTTCAAATATTATCCCACATAATGCTTCAAATAACAGTATTTCTTATTATTTCTATAGATTCTATTTACTAACTAATTTTTATTAAATTAGACTTTGATTAATTTTATAGAGAATTTGACCTGTTTAATTGAGATTATTGGATTATTTATTAATTAATTCATTAATTTATTGATGTAAATTTAATCTATTGTAAAAGTTGTATTATAAAAAGACATCATTATACAAAGAATAAAGGTTCTAATCACCTTAAATTTGAGATTCAATGTAAAGAAAAAGATCTTTCATTTATTCTGTTATGCTGAATTTCAAAAATTCATCCTCGTACTAATAATTGTTTTTTATATAGTATCCTTCAATTTCAATTATGGAATCAATTAAGGGAAAATAATCTATAAAAATTACAGTTTTAATGGGTTTGGTTAAAGGATATCATTCTCTTCCTCATTCAACTCAGAATAACCAAAGAACCTTGGAGGATAAAACACACAAATTAAGTCTTTTAATTGGGAGAACTTTTGATTGATAAATTATGATTCTTTATTTAAAAGTTTCATTAAAGAGCTCTTGCAAGTACCTAGCAACCTTTCCTTCAATTATTAATATTGTATGATGTATTTGTCGCTCTGGTAGTAATTAGGTTTAGAGGAAAAGAAAATTATGCCTTCTTGAATTTCACTAATTAATATTTAATAATTAATTTCCTTTCTATCATCACTCTCTAAGTCCCTTTAAATTTTCTAAATGTTATAGTAATATTATATGTTTTCTTGTATTTAAAATTGATATTCTAATAATTCTTTTTATTTATTTATATGAATATTGGCTTCTTAATGAAATTAACTAATTTTTTATACAATCTTGTCTTTGTCATCATTCAATTTCTTCAACTGATCACATATTATCTCTAAATTTTGTCTTATACTTTAGAGCGATGTTAATTTTTATTAATATTATCCTTATATCATTTCTAATCGAAAAAAGTCATCATTTTTCTTATCTTGTTTCTTATAAAATGAAAAATTGATGGGTTTATCTTTCTCTAAATATGCCTTTTGATGCAAATTGTCTATTTAATCAATAATAGCTTATTCTTGAAGAGTTAAAGCATTGCTTTATTCCCACTATACAATATTGATTTACATAAAAATTTACGAATATTTTTATATATATATAATTTAAAATAAGCCAATTATTATTCTTTACCAATAAATAGATGAAGTTCTATGTTCTCAATAAACTATTCCCTAATTTGATAAGACTCAAATTAAACGAAAATAATCTCCAAATGGAAAAAGTTTGCATTGAATTAGAACTAAGTAAAATTAAAATTATTATTGGAGATAGCTATTGATTGATAATAAACTCCTATTGAAAATTAGAACAACATTGAATCAGTGATTGATGATGCATAAAACAAACAAGAAATAAAATAAAGAATTAAATTTATTAAGGATTCTTCTCTATACTAATTATATTGAATATTAATTTATTAGATATTTTAATATATTGATTCACTTTGTTCATTATGATAACTTTTATTAGACAGATCTTGGAGTAGTAAGAGTTTTAAATGATATAGGTTTGGGTTGCATTTTTGATTTGATATTATTGCTTATTTGATGACAAGTCTTTGCTCCAATGTTCCTAGTCGATAATAAGTTGTTATTAAACTTTCTTACACATAATAATTTAAATCTTACCTCGATGAACTATCATGAAAAGTTTGGGTCTTGCCTATTTTGCAATTGGACTTAGGTGTCATCTTAGATGTACATTAAGTTTTCACATTTCTGGGGGATTTGAAAAAGTTTTCTTTTTTATCTTCCCCAAAATGGACGCTTTTTATTTCTCTAGACGGATCTTTATTCTATATTTATATTCTTTTCTTTAATTAGAGCTTTTCATTTACTCTTTTATGTACTTCGTTAATTTATATAAATTACATTATTCTAAAATTTGTTAATGTTTTAGTTTTGGTTTTGGTAGATCCAATTAACCACATTAATCAGGATGAATAATTTTTAACTGTCTTTTTTAGGATGTTATTAGTAATTTAATATTTTTTATTTTATCATTTGTAAGAAGTTATGATAATTTGAATTCTTTTATTATATTATTCTTATCTTATTGTCTTTCGGTTTTTAATTTTTCAATTTTTAAAAGCTATTGGTGTATATTATTGTTGTTATTTATTTTACAACCAATCTTATCCTAATCATGTTTTGAATAAGAAGGCGTATTTTGTAATTCATCAAGTACGTTTCCAACAATAATTCCACTTTCGATGGTGTGAGAAGGTGGAGTGCTTTCAGTTTAGATCGGCTCATCTCCAACAATGCCTTTTGGAGGTTTTTCTGGATTATTTTTGTTTTCCTCATCTATTATCTTCTGAATTTTGTAATATTCAAGTTTTCTTTTTTAGTTGTAATATTCATTTAAGATATTTACAATAGAACTGGATAAAGCCCATCTCGGTAAATCATTATGAAACTTGAACTTTTTTAAATTTTTACTTTATAAAATTCTGTTAAGACTTCCAATTTATTATCTAAACAATGCGGTTAATATATTTTTTTCATGTATTCAACATCCTCATCCAAAAGGGCTAAGTCCTAATTTTAATATTAAAGGTGTTTACTTTGAACACAATATTTGGTTTTGTTGGCTGGTCCAATATGATTTCATTGATATCCTTGGTAAAATAGTAATTTTGTGATTCAGCATATTTATTATAAAGAGAATTAGTGATCCTTTCTGGTAAGGATACTTTCTTGATAATTAATTTAATTTCAGTCTACCTTTAAACTGCATTTCTTCAAAGTTATTGCCATATAAAGTCTTCCGAATCGGCTAACAGAAAAGACATTTCATTTAATTAAAAAAATATTAATAATAATTAAAAGTAAAATAATATATCTTCATTTTCTCAAAGCAATGCTGTTACTTTTTAACTACTTTTAATTGACAATTTTTCCAGGTTGCCTCAGAATCATTGTGATCGATCTTTCTCTAGTTTATTAGGCAATAGGAATTTCCTCTTAGGAACTTTACTTATTAAATGATTATCGAACAATGCAGCCCTGTTTTTGTGTTAATTAAGGTCTAGCTAGCATATACAATAGAAATATTACTTGGTATTTGAACTGTAAAACAAACTATTATTATGATTTTAAAAATTATTATTATTTACTCTTCTTTTTTTTGTAAGTTATGAAATAAGTGCAGGCAAATCTAACTCTAATAATTCTTGTGCCATAGATTAATTCTAAAAGTTATCAATTGATGAATAGTTTCCATTAGTGGTTCTTTTTGGCTATTAAGCTTTTTTGTCTACATGTTTATTAAGAACAACTACTTACATTAATTAGACTTAATTTACTATTGTTAATAAGATTTCTGTTATTATAAATACTCAACACTTTCATTAGTGTGTCTTTTACTACTGGGTCTTGCTTTTTCCGTTAACTCCGTTGTATTTGTACAAGCATTCCGATTTCTATTTTCTTTTTCTTATAAATTCCATTTATTCAACTATTTTCTTTCCCCTTCACTTGTATTTTGTGTATCAAAAGTGACTGTGTGCTGTTTCCTCATGGAATGTGTTGTTTCTGGGATTTTTTGAAACTATTAAGGTGTATCACTGTCAAATAAATTGGGAGCTCTTACACTTAAGATCTATAAGAATTTCATTTATATCTTACTGAGCTGTTTTATTGATCAATTTTTATGAACTCATCTTCGTCTGAGGATGAGCTATTCTCTGGAGAGATGTCAAACACTATGTTTTGCTACATTTTAAATTAAATATTTATAAAATATCAGTTAATCCAATTAATTTTATCTAATTGAATCAATCATTTATTTCGATTGATTTTCTTGAACCAAATCCATTTTTTCTAAATTCAGAGTTTTAACAATATTAAAAGAAAAGCAATGTAAAATAAATCTTAGGATTTCAATATACAAAATTAATTTAGTACTTCTCAGTTTATATTCTATATATAATTCAAATAATATTTTTTATTAATTTCATGTTGTAATGAGGATTATTAGGAAAAGTTATGACATAATTTTTTCTTTTTTTAGAATCCTTCTGTTATTGATTCGTTTATTAATAATTTTTTCATATGCAAATGTTTGATGATACAATAAGAGAGTTGCTTAGCAAAAACACAGCAATTGCAAAAATTGTAGATTTAGAAAAACTTTCATAACAACCTGGATTTAAGATTGAATAAACTAATAGTTATATTTACATCGGCTAAGTCTAAAATGGGTTGAAGCATGGAACAGGTAATTTGAGAGATATCAACATAGGCATATTGAAACTTTTAGACTCATTTAGAATTTATGTAGGAGAATGGCAAAATGATAAAAAGTGTGGGCTTGCGTATGAAAAATTTTAAAGTGGAGCTGAATATTTCGGCAATTATGATAACAATAAGTAAAATGGGTATGGAGAATATGTTTGGGCAAATGGAGAGAGCTATAAAGGGAACTGGATAGATGGCAAGAAGAGCGGGTATGGTGAATGGTTTGGATAAAATACTTCGTATAAGGGTGAATGGAATAATGGTTTTGTTGAAGGAAAAGGAGTGTATCAATCTGAAAATGGTATTTTTGAGCTCATAAGTAAGGGGATTAGTATACCGGAGACTTTTTATAATCAATGAAGCATGGATTGGGAGAAGAATAATTTGCAAATGGAGACAAGTATGTAGGCAGTTTTAAGAGTGGTAAGCCAGATGGTTATGGGGAATACTACTGGAAAAATGGAAGTTTATATCAAGGTGAAGATAGAGTTAATTGTAGGTTTCTTTATGGATGGCATGAGACATGGCCATGGTGTCTGGCAATCTAATACTCAAGGTAAAATAGATAGGTACGAGGGAGCATATTCTAACGACAAAAAATGTGGATACGGAGAATTCGTATGGTCAAATGAGACAGTATATAAAGGGAATTATTTTGATGATTATAGATAGGGTTATGGAGTGATGTATTAAAATGGAGTTATTTTTTACAAAGGAGAGTGGGATAGAGGAATATAAGTAGAAAAATCTAACACATAATTTAAGTTTTAATAGAAAATGAAAACTCAAGAAACCACAGCCAGAAAATGGAAGTTCAATAATATTGATGAAATCTAAGAATTAGAGGAAGAAACAGTAACATCAGGGGTGGAAGGAAAAAATGAGAATAATCAAAAAATAACCTAAAAGAATCCTCAACAATGTCGGATGAAAACCTTAAACGTAGAGAGCAAGCCTTAAAATAGTGATTTTACACCAATGAAAAGGAGTCTTTAATTATAGAAAAAAGCTACACCTGCAATTCAAACCAGAAGCAGAACCTAATCAATGGGTAATTGCAAAATCCCTCTTTTATCATAAAAATAAAGATCAAATTCGAATTAAATTACTAACAACTAAAAACTTGAGCAACTGGTTAAATTTTCCCCTTATAAGCAAACGCTTAAAATTGGAAGATTTAAATTATAGAAAATATAATTATGAAATCAAATCTGATATCATCTTTTGTGAATATAGTAATAAAGTTTTAACTAATCATTATTATAATAATCTTTATCTACAAACAGGACATGTATCGTTTATTTCAGCCCATGGCCTAATACAGTCTGAATGAAATACATGATTTGGATTACAAGTTAATTTTACAATCAAATCATCTTATGCATAATTTTATAAACAAATATAGCAAGGTTAAAATGTTTGACCATTTAATTCTGAGTATTTGAATTAAGTTCCAATCAGCCGAAGTGCTTGCTCTTATCTTCTTCTTTCTTCTTCTAATCTTTAGCGATATTCTCGATATAGCAAAAAGGGCATAATCAAACATATTGCAAGTAAGCCGAGAACTATTGTAGCTAGTACAACCCATCCAAATATCAACTGAACAACTAAAATCCATTTATTAAGCAATAGAGTATTTTGTAATAACACCACATTTCCTAAGCCGAACATTATTATATAAACAAATTAATTGCATTTGCTTAGTGTTCCATGACTTCCCTTTATTGCTGCCCAAACATCAATTTAATCATTCAATGATTCTATAAATTATCTTGAAGTTTCAGAAATTGTTTCAACAGTTTTTTATATTTGGATTACACTAAAGAGGTGAAATGAATATTGCAATAATCTCCAAATCAAATAAAAAATTGATGCCTTTTAATATTCATAATACCAAGGTAATGAAATATAACTTATGACAATTATTAATTATATATTTAAGTACAATTATATTGAATTTAGCGAGCTTTTGATCTTTTTACACTATTCTTCTATTTCTATTATCCTTTCTAAAAGAGTTTAATCATCCATTTTATTAAAATATATAAATGAAAATAAAATATTTAGTCTAAAAATATAATAGCTAATTAATCATATTAGCAACGGTGTGTGATTTCTTTTGCCTTAAAATCGATAGAAAAGTTTAATAAATCAAATAGAAGAGAGTGACCTTACAAAAGAAAATTTCTTTCTCATATTTACAGAATTTCTAATCATCTATAAACCATTTTATTTATTTATTGTACGTTATGGATAAGATATAAAGTAAATATTACAAATTCACTCACATTACCTATTATTTGATAATTCTAAGATCGAATGATATCTACGCAAAATTTTATTGACGAGAGTATCTAGATTATATCGTTGTTTGTTGTTTTGTTAATTATATAAAATCTTTTTCATTTTAATTCATCCTTTAATTCTTGGATTTTGACTTTATTCATTAAATAATAATAACCAATTATCCTTGATCATTTCTAATTTTTATTTGTGAATAGTTTATAAAATTATTTATTTTTTGCAATAATTGATTTCTATGATAAAATAGGAGGAGGATTTTATTAAAAGAATGAAGTTATATGAAAATAAATTCATTTTTATTACAGAACAAAGTAAAGTAATATTAAAGGAAACGGATTCTTAATTGGAGTAATAAATGAATTTTCCCAATCCAGTGTATGATGCGATGGTTTATAAAGATTTGTTAATTACATCAATCAGAAATATGCCTGTAACGATATAGAAATAAATTAAGATAGATTGCTATTTATCAAAAAGAGGATGGAGAATGGAAACAATAAATGAGACTACATGATATCAAACCTAACTCTGAAATGTTTTTAGCTCCATTAGAAATGAAAAGACTTACTGTAAGAATGATGATTATAATTATTTAGGAAAGCAATAACTTAATTGGATGTGGAAAAGGATTCTTACATGAATATGATTTATAGAAATTTTAGGTCATAAATTTCAAATGCATTAACAATTATGATTATATTTCATGTTTAGATTGTTGTGAATAAAATGAAAATTATGGGATAGCAAAAAATATTTTGTTATTGGGTTAATTCAATAAAGTCATTAAAATTGTTGACACTTAATAAGATAAATAAATTGGTGAAGCAAGAGTTCACATTGGAGGAATAACCCATTTGAAATTTGACAAGGTCGATTCATTATTTTTTTATTCTTGCGCTCGATTCGATGATTATATTTATTAATGGGTATTTTAAACTAATAAATTAAGGATTTGAGAAATACGAGTACATTTTTATAATATTTTGAAAGGAAGAATCAGTCAAACTAAAGAATGAATTTCGATATTAATCGTAAAAGAGAATTGTTAGTAGGAAATGATGATGGAACTGCCTATGTATATAAAAGCGATTTGAAAAAAGCCGAATATTAAATTTCAAACTCATGTGTCCATTCTAGTATTATTTAAGATGATGGTTAATGTTATGTGAGCTATGGGTAAAGAAAGTTTAATGAGGAAGAAACATTTTTAACAGGGATATAAAATTTCACAATCAATTCATGATATTTGATATTTTTTTAACATAAAAGTAATTAATCCACAAACTTATGGTTTTGCCCATGTTGCGGTTTTGCATCTAATTCGAAATCAACACTAGAACTAAGAGGTAAAATTGAGGTTAATCAAAGGAAAGTGGGTTTTTAGAGCAGAATCTGAAGAGCATGATGAAATTGGTAGTAAATGTTATAATATCTTCAGTAAGTAGAATTGAATTTTATATTATGGTGTTAGAAAGCAATGAGCTCAGAATCAGAAAAACATTTTCTCCGAATTATAATACATCCAAATTAGTCAGCCAACAAAAGACTGTAAATTCAGATAATAATTAGTAAAATCTTGCTCTCTGCTTTCTAAAATGAATGCAAAAAATAATTTTAAACCTAATGATATTATTATAATGAATTATGAAAAACCTTTATGGTTATTTATCATCTCCATTGTAATCTCTATTCTATGCATAATCTCATAAGGTGAAATAATTTAAATAGTAAGAATAGTTTGCTACATACTCAATAACATTGCTTTAAAGATTGATAAATTTGTGTTACATGGACTAGCCATCAATAAGGTTAAATTGTTTTTGATTGGAATGCTCTCTCAGCAAAAAGAAAGCATCATTAATTTGTCCTCGACATCATTTCGTTCAGACTTATTTAAATAAAAACATACTAATACTTATATGGAAAGTATTCAGTGGTTTGGCTTCTACATTATTAGTCAGTTTGAAATATGGGAACGATGATTTGAACTAACTCTTAGCAACAATACTTATACCCAATAAATTTAGATTAGAATATTTCAATAGATATCAACCAATTAATTCGGAGTATTTCTTCTGGTTAGGATCGATAATTCGTATTATAGGAGATTAGCCTTTTTAATGAATCAGTTTGGAAATTAAGGATAAATGCTATGCCTATTGGAATTGCATCATAAGCAATGAAATAAAACCAAAATTTATGAATAACACTTTAATTAATATGATGAAAAAGAATTTTATTGAATATAGTGATAAGAGTTTGGAGGCTATTTATGATTTGTTTATGAATCCTCTACAATTCAAAAGAATTGATTATGTAGTACCCTATGATTTACCGCATTCTGCAATTTTAAAGAATGATAAGCAAAATATTAAGAATCAATAGCAGTAAAGTTCAAATTTGTTTTTATATGAAGAGTCTCTATAAATTAATTAAAAAAGTAGAAGAAGGTTAACTTGATAGAAATTTAAACGACGAAGGGTATTATTTTAAGAGCAAACCGATGTCTCTATTAACTCAAATTAGAACAGATTATTAAAGATTACTTTAAGTCTTAAATAATATCATTTAAAACGCTCTTACTTATTCGGAAACTGGGTTTGTATTAGTAAAGATAGATAGTTGGGATCTAAATGAGATTGAATTTTCAATAAAGATGAAGGAATAGGTTTGACAAGAAAATAGCTAACTTCAATTAGATAGATTATAAATTAAAAACATACTACAACAAGTATATAATAATAAGGATTTGGCTTAATTATTTGCTAAATTTTGTTGAAATACTTGTCTCTAATTAATAGAAACAGGATTAAAATTGAATCAGATGGCTAGGATTCAGGTACGACTGTTCATTTCATAATTTCAATTCATATTTCTACCTAAACTTAAGAATAAACTTATGGTTAGCACTCAAAAAAATCATTTCCTCGAATGAGAAGTATGCCTATTTGAGTTACTAATTAGTATTAAATCAAAATCTCCAAGTAAAATTCTACTGAATAAGTTGAATGCGATTTGTCAAGTGTCTCATTCAGAGAAATCTTATGAGTTGATACATTGTTCGATTGAACTATTGAATTAAAGAAAGCCTTCATGTAATACTCCACATTAAACTAACCACAATACGAATATTAATAGTAATAACCAATTAAACATATGATAATCTTCTTAATAGTCATTATTAAAGGAAACTAGATCAAACCAACCTTGTTGTAACACGATTTTAAGTGTTGATGATGAGGTTTTTAATTAAAAATCTCTATAATTGCTTTTGGGTTAGCAAGGAATGAATGTAGACATAGTATAAATATTATTATGTTAAGATAGGTATTTAATGGCAGATAAGCAATCGAGAAAGTATAAAATCCTTCTAAATGTTGTCTTACATGCCAATCACGGACGGATGGAAAAAAACAAAGAAATTAAGAGAAATGATGCAAAATCAATAATTGCATATACTTCATAAACCACTTGACATCTAAAAATTTTAATAAATTTTAACTAAACTTTCTTATTATCTGATTTCTAATAATGTTAATTTAAAGTACATGTAAAAACCAAGTTATATGGTATTTATAGTTGTTTACCCATTAGTTTGTAATGAATAGAATGAAATGATGTAACAAGGAATATTCAAAAAGAAAATAATCTTTCATATTTGAATTATTCAATGATTTTCAAGTCTAATTTAGTTTTTTATATAATTTTTATATTGATATTATAAGTTCAGTTATTTTTAAGCATTAAAAAAATATCGTTTTTTATTAATTAATAATAAAATATGAAATTGGGTTTAGTTTTTGCCATCTTATTGGCATTTAGTAATTGTGCTTCATTCTTGGAAGAACAAAAGCCAATGGAAAATAAAATCTATAAGGTAAAGCTTGATAGGACAGAATCCTAAGCGAAAAAGTCATTGTTTGATTTCATCACTACCAGCCAATAATACAGGAATTCAGCTGATTTATTAGATGGGTCCGATATAGCTATGACATAAACAAAATAAAAAGAATCTATAAAGTTGTATAATTTTAAGAATACATAATACACAGGAGAAATAGGATTAGGTGCTTAAGATAATAAATTTAAGGTAAACCATTTTATCTATTCAGGTAATCTTCGACACCGGTTCAGCAAACATTTGGTTGAATTCTGCTAGATGTAGTGATTATGGATGTAAAAATCATAAACAATACGATGGCTCAAAAAGTTCAACATATGAGCATTTGGGATATGATTTGGACGTTCAGTTTGGTACTGGTGAATTAATGGGTGAAGTATTAAATTTGATACTATAATAGATTAATGCAGATACTGCTTATGTTGGTGGAGTGAAAATAGCAAAATAAGAATTTGCTGAGATCGTAAAAGAGAATGGAGATGTATTCGCTTAATCCGATTTTGACGGTATTGTTGGATTAGCATATCCTTCAATGGCTGCCTATAACTTTAACCCATTTTTTGATAATGTCATGTCATAGAAATTGTTGGACAGAAATGTGTTTTCATTCTATTTTTCAAGACAAGAAGGCTCAAAATCATCAGAGCTAACATTGGGAGGATGGGATACTGATCATTACTAAGGAGAATTACATTTCCATAATGTTGTTAATAAATATTATTGGTTATTGGATGCCGATAATATTTTAGTCAATGGACAAGATATAGGACTGTGCAAAAAGGGCTGTAAAGTAGTTGCTGATACAGGTACTTCACTATTAACAGGACCATCAGATGATTTATATGATTTGCTAGGTAAAATTAAACAATAAAATCTATTAGATACTTTGAATATTGATGAAAATTGCAAAAATGCTAAAGAATTGCCAAAATTAACATTTGTATTGGATGGAATTAACTACGATTTGGATGCTAATGATTATGTGATGAAAATTGACTCTTAAGGAAATGAAATAGCTTATGATACTTTTGCAAGTATTGATAGTTTCGTAGAAATGGGTGGTAATTGTCAATGTGTAGGATCATTCATGCCTCTTGACATCCCAGATCCTTAAGGGCCAGCTTGGATTTTGGGAGATACATTTCTAAGCAAATATTATTCAGTCTATGATAGAGATAATGATAGAGTTGGCTTTGCAAAGGCTAAATGATATATATATTGTTATCAAAAATATTATCATCTAATTCATTATTTTTTATAATCATAATATTTCCTTTTTATGTATATTTTTGAATAGCAGGTACTTCAAGCCATTAGGATTAATGATTGATTATAAATTTCCTGCAGTCGCCAACCGCGTTTATAGATGTTGAATTTTCTATTCTAAATAATTTTCAATACTAGCCTATTTGTTGTTAAAATAATAGCATAGCGCAGGAAAAGCAGAAAGTGAAGTTTATAGCGTTGGAATGCTTTTGATCTTTCCAAGCACATAGCAATTTTTTCACATACGAAATTATCGTCTTCTTTATAAAGATTAACGCCAATTAGCCTTCATCGAAAAATATTCTTTATGCCATAATAATATTATCCTATACTTGCCTATTCTAATTTACTTTTATGTGCTTCCTCTACAAAAAATACCAATAATTGAGCAACTCTCTTCATATTAAATGAAATTATTATTTATTATTATTGATATAATAAATAGTCAATAAACTTTAGATAATTCAAAGTTTACTTTTCAGAATCTAAATTAGTTTATGAGTTATACTTACTACCAACTCAACAATTTTAATAGAGAACGTCTAACTTAGTTTTTGATTCTATGATACGTCTCTTTTATCATGATTTTTGAGCCAACACTTCCAAAGCAAAAATCTTGATTTTCTATTTGTTCAAAATTTTACAATCTTCGAAAAATTAATATTGATTATAAATTTAATAATGCAGTTCAAGATTATTACATATTTATTCGATTAAAACCTAAAATCTAATCAAATGATATTGGCCCTTTCTAATTGAGCTGTTATTTTTCATAGTCCTTCTATAAGAAAATAAGCATATTTCTCCTCATATATAACTAAATATGAATCAAAAAATACTTAAGAAACATCAAATTAAGAGTTCATATATTAAATAGGAAATATTTGCTTCAATTTATTTTTCTAAAGCCCTCAAGTTTTCTTTCTTTTCACTTAATTGTTATTGTATCCATTATATAACCTTGCTTGATTTGGTTGGCAACACTTTTCTCTTAAACTTCATTAATGTACTTATAAATAAAATTATCTAAAATATATTAAAAATGCCCAAACCAATATAATAATTTGTTCAATTCGGACCCATCCAATTACCTTATTCACAGTTATTTATCTTAAGAAGGCATGTATTCGCTACAGTAAATTTAAAACCAGTGGCGCCAGGTTTTTTAAATCATAAATTAAAAGGTCATGTATTAGTTTGTTCAAGAAGGCCTGTAAAAAGGCTATATGATATGACGGAAGTCGAAACTGTAGAATTTTGGATAACTGTCCAAGAAATTGCAAAAGTGATGTCTGATTTATATAAAGTAAGTATTTAATTAATTTTATGACAAATTGCCATGTTTCCATTTAAGATGGAATGCATGCAGGTTAAACTATACCAAGTGTTCATTGCCATATCATTCCTTATTAAGGCAAGATTTTGATATCTTAAGCTGAAAATTAAAAAACGGAGAGAAGTGAGGAAGATATGAATTAGGAAGCTTAAAAATTAAGAGCCCACTTTGAATAAAGTTTATTGTGATTTATTTAATTGATTAATTATAAGTCAATAAAGAAATACATTTTTTGAATCTGCTATTAAATAACTTTTTTATGCTCTTCGATTAATTTTCAATACAATTAATTTTCTCATTTGAGGGGAATTATTTTTTCATATATAGTGCATCACTTATAAAAAGCATAATAAAATCAACCCTTTACATTATTTCAGTTCGGTTTTCTGTTACTAATTCTTACAATCAATTAATAGATCAGAATGTCTTATGGTGAAGCTTTAGTAACCTTCTTTAGAATTCTTTTTAAGTAGCAAAAGTTAGCTCTAGAAGTTTAAAACTGAAACTTTGACCAAGCAATATACTAAAATGTTATATAAATTAATTATAAAGTGACAACGGATAAGACCATCTTTGCAGCTACAAGCGTATGGCCTCATAAATGAGTAGCTTTTATATATATATATCCAAAAAGATTGTGGATTAATTGATCTGCAATTAACATATTGAGAATAAAGGCTATATTTGTCCTTATTAATTTTGAGCGAGATTTTTTAAAGCCATCATTAATTCAGTAGTTAGAGACAGAAATCAGCTGCTCTATTCCTAAATATGGTGAATTGATTAAAGACTAAATAAAGGAATATTATTGTATCAATTTTAATACATCCTTTACGCCACTTCTCTAGAGAAATCGTATGAAGGCCCTAAAACGTTGACTCCATTTCTTTCATCCAAAAAGTATTTATTAATTCACCCCATCTCAAATTAGTTAAGAAACATACAAATCTTCATTTGGAACTAGTGTTATTAATTAAGGATTAATTATACATTTCATAAGATTGTTTCGTCAAGCCTTCTGTGAATAGGGTTTCTCATTAAGATTTTATCTAAAAATAATTGGATAAAAGCCTTATATAACAATTGATTTTTTGGTTTCTTAATTATTCAGTCTCCTTAGCAATAATATATAAAGCACTGAATCCGAACAAAAGATTAGCTTCAATACACAATTCTTACACTATTTCACAACCATTAAAATATGAATGATCCTAATTTGAAGATAAAGAAATGTTAGAATTTTTTAGCCATCTTTAGCAATGCAAGTTTGAATAACTTATGTAAATATTGTTCAAACAATATCGCGATCTTTATATGTAACTATAATATTATAGTACTAAATTGACAATTGAGAAGTTAGAGGCACAACATGTTGCAACATTTTGGATATCT